ACACAGGCAGTTGGATATACTCCATCATTAGAGGTGAAGACAATAGCGAGATCAATCCGCGTACTCAGATCAAAAGCATGCTTTCAGCAAAATCCTTCAGACCCGCTATCAACTCCTTCGAGCAGGGTGTGAGGTGGTTGCGCATCTTCGTGGCCGACATTTTCTCACGATGCGTAGAAGAGGGTGTGCTGGAGAACAAGAGAAGACCCAAGAGCATTAACCTGCACCACCGTCAAGGTGCGCAAACGCGGAGTCGACAAGCACCGATACCCCAGGGCAAACCACTATCAGAAACCATACTATTCGATCTCGCCAAAAATCTATTGGCTCAAGTAGTCGTTGACGGAAGAGCCTGGCCATGTTCTAATCTCTCATTGAGCGTCGGAGGCTTCGAAGATGGTATCATGAACAACAAAGGCATCGGTGGTTTTCTAGTTCGAGGTGAGGAAGCAAAGGCCATGATGTCGACTGGTAGAGCTATAACTGGTGGAGGCGAACCACCAGCAAAGCGAAGAAGGACAAAAGGAAACATTGCCAACTTCTTCGGCCCAAGAGACGAAAAGAAGAAAGATTTTGATGCAGCGAGGGCAGTACTCTGGAAAACACATAGCGAGTCCACACGAGATGAAAGTGGGGACGAGGCAGAAGAGACAGGGGAAGATCACGATCCATTCCGCGCACAACAAAGTCATGAATTAGACCGACCTTCAACACCAACGCTGGAACGCCAAAGTTCGGATATGGATCTTTACGCCCCAGGAACACCGCCCTCGGCTCAACCTCAGCCTGCTTCCCCCTCTCCACCACCACAGAACCACGACCCGGTAACACCAGTCCCTCGTTCCAGACCTACAGCCCAGCAAAGATCTATGGACACATATTTCTGTTCTCGTTGTAACCTCCACCTTCCACCGGCGGATAAGCCCGAACACGAAGACTACCACTTTGCGCTTGATCTGTCAAAGGAGATGCGGCATGAAGAGAGAAATCCCCCTACGCTCTCTGCAAGAAAAGGTGTGGGTGGATCGAAGCCTTCCAGAGGGCGGGGACGACCACCGGGAGGTGGAAGAGGAGAAGCGGTTGAGAAGGGCCAGGCGAAGCTAGCTTTTGGGAAAGGAAGCTGATAGTTGGGAGTGTTTACAATACGCCAATGTTTATGATGATACCTACTGTTTGAGAATCAATGTTTCATACGTCGAGAACTTGTACATAATTCTGCTGTCATCCACTTAATGAGACGTCGTTGATACATGTGCATCATATTAGCGGCCATATGCTACTGCATATATTGAGCAAATGAGCACGCTTATATTGGTCATTCGGCTGGATTAACTACACAACCTCAAAGTTCAACCTTACCCACGGCATCTCCTCGCTCCCTTCTGGCATCCTATACGTGAAGTTCCAAAACTCAAAGTCGCTGTGTTAGGTTAGCACATAGCCTTCTCTCTGTGTGGACGGTAGTCCTGATAGAACTTACTTGATAACCTCACCAGCTCCGCCAAACAGCCCATTGAATGTAACCTCGGGTTCTAGATCCACAGATCCGGTAACATTGACTTGAACACCCTCTACATCCGCCCAACCTGCCACATCCCTCTTACCATCCCAGCCGTTCGTTCCCACCAAGAAGGAAAACGCACTTGATGCATTCCCCACCGGATACTCAAGTTGCAAGCTTCCCTCTTCAACCACCACATCCAAAGCCATACTCTGAGCATACAAACTCATCCAGCCCACACTACCGTCCTGCCTCTTCCATTGCACGACTGCTGGATTGAAAGAGTTCTGATTTTTAGCCGGGCCACCGACGACAGTTTCGTTGAAGGATTCAGCACCGATGGTCAGATTAGGGGAGAGGTAAGCCGTGATATTTCGCGGCTCAAAGTCGTACGGTGGAGAGAACGCGGAGGTCCTAACAGTATGTGTGCCTGGAAACTTGGACAGAGATGAGAGCGTGGCGTTTGGAACTAGCGTGTTATGGTAGGGCGCCAGAATGGCGATTAAAGGGCCAATCGCGAAGTCATCCTTGTGGCCCATGGCGTATGGCTGGAAGGGTGTTAGCTCTCTCATTCTCATGTAATCTCTGACTTTGTCATGTGTAGGAGATATGATAGAAGGGAAACGGAAATGGTGCTTCATGCATACCTTCTTGTTGATAGGCGCCATCTCCTTACCCACAAGCGTCCACATTTGCAGCGCCAAGATACTGAGATACTTGTTCATGTCGAATCCATATGCGCGATCCCACGGCCCAGCCACATTCTTCATGTCCGCATGATACAATTCGCCCAGTACAGACCAGGTATCGCGAAGCATTCTTGGTCCATACTCGCCCATCAGACTGTCGTTTGGCATATACTTCGCCCAAAGCGTAAGCGCAAACAGCGAAACACCAGCGTAGGTTCCAGAATTGAACTCGGAAAGTGTGTTGTCTCGGACAAACAGGTCGATGATTTCTTTCGCGTAGTTTTCGCCTGCGATCGTCATGTTGGAGTCATTGGCACGGCGACCGACGTAGCCAGAGACGAAGGCGCGCATGATGGAGGGGTTGCTGTAAGCCGGGTAGAGATTATCGTCGTCGACGCCGCCAACACGGTAACTGTCTCCGATGGTGGTGTTGAACAAACTTTCCAGCATGTAATCTTGGACATCCTGGGGGAGTAGATGAGGAAATTCCTCTAGCATGACGACGAAAGTTGTGCCAATGAAGCCGCGCCAGTTGGGATCCCACGAGTTGTAAATCTCAGCTGGGTATTGTTCTGTACCTACGGCTGGCTCCTCAGGATATTTTTGGTAGTCGCCAAACCTTGGGTTATATTAGCAACGGCATCTAGAAGAGGAATTGAATGATCTCTTTTGCTGCGAAACTCACCATTGTTGACTTTCGTTTTTGAATTGCCCTCCGATGACATTCTTCACGATCCGTACTGCCTGCTCAACGTCATCGGCTTCGTTTCGCGCCAATAAGCCAGCTGCATACCAGACGCTCGCTCTGGTCTCGTGTGTCAGAGCAGCAGCGTCCAAGCTGAACATGTATGCTCTTTCATCATCGTAGTACATGTCCATCCAATCCATCGACTCATGTAACAAGCCCGTCGCATACGTTTCCGTATCATTGCGTGAGACTAGACTACCACGAGCAAACACATGCTCAGCCAGGAGCGCCGAAGCCACCCAGAGCCTTGAGATCCCAACCATGCTGGATGTCGCGAAGAGCAGAAGGTAGAGAGTTTGGCACGCGACATGACGCTGGCCATGATGCAGCTGCAGTGATTGCGGGCCAAGCGTAGCATTACGGTAGTTTCTCCGCTATGTTTACATGAAAGCCGAGGGCTTCGGCATATGCTACTGCGAGATAACGGTGACTTCGGCCTTGTTGTTCTATCGCGGTTGTGTTAGGGCCGGATAATTGTGTTACTAGTGGGGGAAACTGCGGGATTCAGATGCCAATGTGGAAGGCGAGGCTATGACTCGTGGTCACAGATGTGGCCACAGATGTGACAAAATAGCATGACTAACCAAGCATTCAAGTCGCGGTCTCTGCCGCGATGTGGCTTGTACAGCTCGTTCTAACGAGTAGATTAGACGGTTCCGTGTCTCCTAGATTGCGCGACTAGCTTTCAGAGATCTAACCATGTGGTAACAGAAGGGCCGAGCCGCTTCACCTGCTGAACGTGATGAATCGTAACACCCTGCGAGGCTGCACGACTACCTTTGACTCCAGGCGTGACGAGGCTTCATGAGCCCGCGCAAGTCATATATTTTTAACCATCGCCTTGTGTTTCAGAAGATACGGACATAACCATCAGCCTGAGCATATGCACTGAGTCACGTGAGTACAGACAGACTTGAGCAGACTTCACTTATAACACACTGCATAACATCGGCAGGCACAGTCCGGCTGTCGGCATGAGATCTGCGACAGTCATGTGGGAATAAACAGGAAATGGCGCAAGAGGATTGCCGTAGCGTACTGATGATCGTGTCGATCGGCGGGTAGAGGCTGAACGAGAGATCATCACGGCAAATGCAAGTCATTGTGGCGTTGGGCATGTTGTAACAAGCAAGCTGAGAATCAGTTCGAAGAAGCCTTGACACAACCTGAGTGACAGTGGTGGCTTCACCGCGAGGCTAGAGAGAGCACATCGAGAAAGACGAAACTGAAGCGTTAGCGCAGTGAGTGGGACCGAGAAGCGTCTGGTCGCAACCCGGTACGTGATCAAAATCGCATAGGCGAACACAGTGATGTTTCCTTCTACGCATGCTGTGCATGCGCAGATAACCGTTCATTCGTAAACATCGACTTCGTGGAGCAACGTCCGTGTCGTAGGTATATACATAGCAAGAAAAGCAGAATCCGGAAATTGATGCATTTGCATGATAGTGATAGCCATAAGCGGAATGAATGTCCCGATAGAGGCTATAAGATCCATGGCAATAATTGGTTCCGCATCCCGCAGAGCAAAGATCCAGTCGTATGAGGAGAATGAGAAATGAAACCCAATTTCCCAATTAACGTACATAACATCAGACACAAAAGGAAAACCGGAAAGTAAATGCTCCTTTGGGCTGCTCAACCGGGCTGGAAGAGGTATAGGTCCATGGCTTGAGATCCTAGGGAAACAAATGTCTATCCGGATGCTTTTGGTAATGGCAAACTCCTTACGGTACCCGGATGGTAGAAGATGGATCCATTAAAAAATTAGGTTGGCCAGACTCCAGAGCACCATCCAGTAGCTTGGAAAGAAAGGGTATCTCCGGGCGCGATATATCGACGCAGGAACAATAACAAGGCCGTAAGACGGAGATGTACTCTATCTCGTACTGTACCTAGAGGTGCCGGACTGTGGATTGCGCGATGATTGTGGCTGTTGCGATAGGGGATATTCTACACAAGACATGTCAGTTGTGGAGTAGCGCAACGACCCAAATCACTTACGACGACCATCCGAGGCAATGTAGTAGCCAGGAGCGGCTGCTGCGGCACTAACTGGGGCTTAGCGATAGACCAAATAGGGTTCGTCATAGTAACCAAAATACCTTGGATTAGAGTATGGAGTCGTCTGGGTAGCCGGCTGGCGTCCATATGGATCTGGAGTCTGCGCTGGGTAAGAGGAATAAGCAGACTGCGCAGGGTAATCCCTTCCACTGGGCTGCTGGTAAGATGAGTATGGATCCGCTGGCTGAGTCCTGGGTGCAGCAGAAGCAGGTGAAGTCTGGTATCCTGGATGCGAGCTTCCATACACGGATGTGGGAGTCGTCGTGTAATGGGGATCACTGCTACCATAGCCTGAAGACGCATACGTCGTCGCTCTAGACGACGTTGACGACTGGCGAGGAGGCTGATCATAGGGATCCGCCGCCGCATGAGACGAGCCGTGTTCGTATGGTTTCGTCGGACCCCAATGCTGACGAGCAGCATGTGTACGAGAGTCCTGATAAGCCACTAATGAAGCGTTAGGGCCCCCTGGTTTAGTAGTGCGCACTTGAGGACTATGGCTACCTCCACGTCCAATTTCGCCTGGCTGGCGTTCCTGTTGCCAACGTTGTGAATCCATTTTCAAATCCTGTATCATTTGCTAGGGAGACGGGTTAGCCTTGTGCGCGACCACGGTCCGATGGCGACTCAACATACCGATGTGAGAGTTCGATAAGCGGTTATCCAGTAGCCTGGCTGGCCCTATGTGAGAGTTAGTCTTCCGTAGAGGTGGCGTTGGAGAGAGAAAATAAGTGCGGACCTGGTACTCTCCGGTGCCTGTGCCAGGCCTGACGAGCGCATCTGGGCCCAAGTAGCGCTGGATGTCGGCCGTGATGACTTCTCTCGCGATTCCATCGCCAGGCACAAACCACTGATTTGCGCGCGACATGGTTACTGAGATGCGTGTGGAAAGGGGACGAAAAGAAAGATGACAGTGATGTCAATGCCAGAAATGGGGCCAAGCTATGGGAGCTAAGATAGAGGGGCTCTAGGCACCAAGGTTACGGGCAAAACAGGTGGGTGTCCGAGGTCTATGGTGTCCAGAGAGATTCCAGAAGAGATATGTTCAGCGACGCAGGACGCAGAAGCGGGGTTTTGACCAATATACTGGCTCCTTAGGGGGGTCTGGCCTGTGACAAGTGGACCTTGACGGCGTGGCTGAATGCAGCTTCCTGGTGGGGGCGATCACAGCAGGTACTCGGAAGTAGAGGGGACTACGCTCGAAGCAATATGCACACTCTGACAGGCAATGCTCAGGGTACGGGCGACGGGAAGAGTACTTGTTGAAGTGCTCGTTGTGGATGTGTCTCGTTCAGAGCCGCAACTGAAGAAGAATGGCTTGCAGTGGGTGCGGGGTGTGATTGGCCGATGGCGCGACTGGCGGTAGATGCAAGACGCAAGTCAAGCGGTTGGGCAGCACACTGGCGGCAGGCTTGTGACGCTGGTTTGGCGGGATAGAGGAAGGCCGGTTTCGTCGAGATGCGATGGGAAAGCAGCAAGAGGAAGAGAAAAGAAGACGAAAAGAGCGGCGTACCGTCGGCAGCCGATCTAATTATTCGGATGGGCCAAACGTCTCCATAGCTCGAGCTTCTGGTGCGATTCGCACAGTGTGGAGACGACCTGGGCAGCCCTCAGGTGGCGTCGCTTGGGCATCAACTGCGAGGATGCCCGAGACCAGCCTGACCCTTCTCAGCTCTAGCACCTGTGATGCAAACGGGCATCGTCGCTTGTCAGCACGCTGATTATTCTTTACGGAACGCGATTTTGCTCGTGATTGGGCGAATTAAAGACAAAAGGGCAGCGCCCATGGTGTTTTCAAGGTTCGCCCGTGGTGGAGAGACTTTCGGGGCTAGCCGCTGGCATTTTTACAGACATTTCTTACCTGCCCGCCGGTGAGCCCTGCATCATCTCACCCCAACAACAACCAAGACTTGTCCCTGGTCCTTCGCTTCGGCCAGCTGTGACGTTGTGAGGCCACAGCCTGACGCATTGCTTCGGTCCAGACAGGCTTCACCGACTCGATGCCGCCGTGGTGCAAACCACGCCCGCCAGTCCCGGGCACCGCCAACTCATGAGAGCGGCCGAGCCCAGCGTGCACGATGCGACCGCCCACACACATCTCTCTGCACATCCTTCTTCACAGCATCATCGCCTTCGCACACTGAACTATGTACAGGCCCTATCCTCGAGCTTGCAGAAACTTCAAACGTAGTCGCCTATAGGAAGTCTTCCCTCTACCGCACACTAACGATCCATTCCTCGTGCTTCCTCGTCGTGGCTGGTTCTCATTAGTCGAAAATCCAGACCTACCGCTCCAGCACAATCTTCGTCAGGCACCCATCAGGTCCGCGGTCCGCCAGCACGGCACGTGTTTTCGTGTCACCACATTGCTGCGACGTACAATGATGCGCAGCCCTTGATCACACGCAGCCTGTCGTGCTGCCCAAGCCAGGACACACCCGATTCTGCAGCGCTCAACGCGACCGAACTCTATATCTTCATTGCCGTCGACCGTCTCTGTCATTTCCACAAGTTGCTGTCAGAGTAAACTTTAAAAGTTGGCGGCATTTGTAGTTGTGGTCGAGAACTTCAGGCGAAAAGAGAAGGAGCTTTGGGTCAGGCGGTAGCCCCATCTCCAACGATCGTCATAGCCTCAGACACTCTTCACAAAGGGTTTCATCTGAACATTTCTTTTTGCTTGTTGACATTCCCCATGTGGAACCAGGTACCCGCACCTTCTTTTCTTCTCCGTTGCATCCGCAGCCGTCAGGGTGCCCGACCCACCAGTTGAGCCCCGATGCCATCGTGGCATCCCAGCCACCTGGGGTACCATACCTCACAACTTCACACAGCACCTCTCTTGTCGTCCCCAACATTGACAGAGCATCCCAGTCCGGCCATCTCGGACCCAAGGATGCATTCTGCCGCTGCTTGGCCGTGCAGTCGACATTGACCTTGGGCGCTGATGCTTCCGCTCCTGTCGCGAGCGGCCCGAATGGTCCCGGGAACTGCTCTCGAAGATATGAGCGCGTGGGGGTAGTCGTGTCTACGTTCGTTCTACGCATCGAATACGCCTCTGTCGACCTCCACGTGTTACATTAATGGGAGCGAAGGGTATAGTAATTGCCATGTAGTATAGCGCAGGTACAACATCAATATCAAATCCACACCTATAGAACCGCGCATCACGCGATTCCCGCGACACCGCTAGGATACCTCCGGGTTAACGACGATCTCACTCTGTTCAGGTGACCGATTACGAATATCAAAGGCTCATTCGAACGCTATAACACACTGCCTGATACAATGCCGCGGTATTGGGCTCTGATGGATAGACCAAGCAACCGTGTCTCCTTCCAGCCTCGGGCACTCTTCCTAAATAAATGCATCGTGTTCACTGTCCTCCAGTAATGGCTTGCGGAGGTCATTGTCTTCAAGGCTTCCAGAGACGCGTAATCAGGCTTCGCATGGAGGTCAGCTTGGACGTTCCCGTTGGGCGTAAAGATCTTTCATACTGATGTCTAACGTGCTATCTGAAGTCGTAATCGTATCGTATCTCTCGTCTCGAGGCCAACTGCCGACAGCTCAACCAATCCTTCAATAGATTTGATAAACAGATCATGATCCGTATCAGGAAGTTACATGTCCACAATCGTTGGCGGCTCGCGGCTCGCCATAAGAAGACAAAATCAAGGGGTATCTGGGGGTATAAGGTGTACATCTCGCTGAAACGACAGGCCAAGGCCTAAACAAAACGCCGTCGTAGATGCCGTGTCCCAGCATAGGTATCATGAGAAAGAAGAAATGGGTATTTTGTTCTGGGTCATGCAATTTCGTGAAGCGATTAAAGGGTGAGAAGTAGAAGAGCAAACGCCGTCAGGTGGAAAGTTCGAAAGAATCGTGGGAGGTGCCGAGACATGATTTTGCCGCAACGTCGTAGATGTCGTCAGAAGGTGCTAAAGGCCAATCGAGGTTCGTGGCGCGTTCAGCAGTGTCGTCAATGTGCGTTGTGGGAGCAAGTTGTTATGGGAAGTGTGCGCAGTGACCGGCCGGCTCAGTACATGGGCTCGTTTACAATGCCAACCCAATCTTCGAGGAATGACATGGCCACAGACATGCGTTGCGCAATCTGCTCCGACACCCACGAATTGCCAATGTTCATGCCGATGGGAATGTCACCGAAGAGGTCACGACCGTTACCGTGAGCACCACTGCGGCTAGCTACGTTACCATGGCCACCGCCGAAACCGACTCCGTTCGCATTCTTCCAGGTAGCCAGCTCGGCTTGGAGTATGAGTGACCAGACCGCGAAAAGCACAGTGGACAAAATGGGAATCCAGCCTGCGAATCGAGCCTTTTTAGCCCGTGTAGCCATGACAGGCGATGTCTTAGCTATTACACGTTCTTCGGCAGTGTCATTGTTTGTATGCGCCTGAGCTTCGGTCGTAGTATTCGGACGCTCTGGTTCGGGCTTGGGAAGAGTCTGCTCGACAGGTATGATTTCGCGAGTGACTACAACGGGGATGATATGGTTGTTAGGCTTGGCAGTCGTAATCTGAGTGCTCGGTTCAATTGGGGTCGTTGCGAGAGCCGTATGAGTCAGGAGCTGGCTCGTGAGCGCAGGTGCGTCGGTCTGCGCGGACGATTCGGTGGTGGCGACAACAAGCGCGTCGGTCTGAATAGCAAGATCGGTGGTTGTGGGCGCGTCGGTCTGAGTGGAGAAGTTGTTGGTGGTAGCAGGCGCGTCGGTTTGGGTAGAAAATTCGGCGCTGGTGATCTGACGGGCAATCGGACGCGTGCTAGCAGCTTCAGTCACGTCCACAGTGAGCAGTGGAAGACTAGGCTCTTTCGGCGCATAGTTGGCAATCTCGTGTCTGGAAATTGTCGAGGCAACAGACGCAGGCCGCTTGGGCGCAAAGCTCGCAACGTCGTACACGTCGTCGAAAGCGAGGGTGTTGCGAGCTGGCTCAACGGGCTCAGTGCTGACTGAAGTCTGTTCATGCAGGCGCAGAAGTGTACCAGTGGGCTGTTTGGGCGCATAGCTAGCGATGTCATGGACATCAACCATGGAGAGATGAGCGCGAGCGGGCTCGACAGGCTCAGTGCTTGCTGCGTTCTGAAGAGAGTAATCCAGAGGCGCACCAGCAGGCTGGTCAGGCGCATAGCTCGCGATATAATTAACATCGACAATAGAGAGGGGAACACGAGCGGGCTCGACAGGCTCAGTGCTGGCAGCATTCTGAGGGGAGTAGTCCAAAGGCGCAATAGCAGGCTGGTCAGGCGCAAAGCTGACAATATCTTGCACGTCGCACAAGGAGAGTTGAACACGAGGCGGCTCGATAGGCGAAGTGCTCAAGGTCGTGTAAAACCCGGTTGTTTGTTCGGGCACCCTCACGGCTTTAGGCGCGGTGCTGGCGGCCTCGCTGACGTCGATGGTGGACGGCGGCGGTGGCATTGGATCGCGGGGTTCGACACTGGCGGCATTGCTTACAGCAATGGCGTGTATAGACGTCTTGACAGCCACGGGCTCAGTGCTGCCAGCCTTGTTGACAACGATAGAGCATGGCAGTGCGGGGGCTGGGTTGCGAGGCTCCACGCTGGCGGCCTGGCTTATATCGATCTGGCTCTCAGGTACACGTGCAACAACAGGCGTAACGCTGGCAGCTACGTGAATGGCGGACAAGGACGGTATTTCAAGCTCGTATTCGCTGGGCTCGCAGTCGATAAAGTCGCTCTCGTCGAGCATTAGGCTAGAGAATTCATCTTCGAGTGTGCCTCCCAAGCTGCCGATATGCCTTTGGTCGTCGACTGGAGAGGCAGCGGCCGTTCGAGCAGCTTCGTCGGCGTGGTGAAGGGTGCGCTGCTGCTCCTTCTGAAGCAAGCCCTCCAGGTGACTAATACGCTCATCTTTGACAATGATAGTCCTGGAGTCCTGCTCCTGTATGGCGTGGAGTCCAGCGATATCGTTCTCGAGCTCGGCGACCAGGTTGGAGTCCTCGTGTTCTTGTATAGCCTCCTCCAGGTCCGCGATCCGTTTCTGGTCCGTTGACCATTGATCCTGCAGATCGTCGAACTCCAACTTTTTCTCTAGGAGTTTGACGCGCGTGTCATCGAGCTCGCTGAGCTTATCGCTGTAATTGGCATAAAGCTGCTGGTAATCGGCGGCGAGGTTGGCGTTCTGGTTGTCTTTGTCTTTGAGGGCAGCTTCCTTGAGCGCGAGGTCGTGGTCGAGCTTGACATTGCGCGCTTCGAGAGCCTTGATGGTGCTCTGCTCTTCCACGAGTGTCTCTTCGCTCTTCTTGAGCGCGTATTCCGTGTCTTCTCGTTCGCGCTTGAGTTTTTCGAACTCGTTCTTGTAGCGGGCGTTCTCGTCCTTGAGTCTGTCGCATTTCTGCTCCAAAGACCCAGCTCGGTCGTACTCTTCGTTGAGCTGCTGTTGGAGAGCGTCACAGCGCTCTCTGAGAACCTGCTCTGATTGATTACTCGCAGTTTCTCCCCTCTCAGACATGTTGTTGCTCACCTGCTCCACCCGTCGCGACAAATCAGACTCTTTAAGCGTGGGTACTTGCTTTGTTGTCGCAAACGCCAAGTCACCGCTTCCGGTACTAGCGCCATCCCCAGCCTCCGGCCCTGCAGGAAGACACGCTCCTTTTGGCGCCAGCGCCAGACGTCGACCGCTCAGCGGGCAAAGTGTCGTAGGGTCTTTCAATGCCGAAGCTGTGAAACTTGGCGCTAGCGCCGAAGACCATTTTTGGAAGCATTTTGAAAGTGCCTTTGTGATTGGATTAGAGGAGCGAAGATTAGATGTGAGTAAAGAATTTGACGAGAAAGGGAGAGACGGAAGCAAAGCCCTACAACAGACAATTCTTGTGCACGGCGATTGCCAATCAAGCGCTATTGTATCTTGAGAAAGGCTCAACTCTGGTGAAGCTGCAGACAGAAGTCCTTTCACCTGGTGTATGGGTCTCGATGGCTACACTCAACAACAAAGTGGTTCCACAAGACATTTTGGCATGGTGCAGTCCTCAGAGTGATTCTCCACTTCTAGTTGAATATTTTGATTCCTAGTCGTCAGCAAACAATATTTTCGTCGCTCGGAAAAGGGAACATGGCTGTATCGCGCTCCTCCAGCCTCCCATCTTCTTCGACAACTGCTGCCATTGCTCCGGGTTGTATCTGGCCATCGGACAGACTAGGTCGCCATCAAAGTGCCTTTCCTCACACCTCCAACACTTTGGAGGCCGTCCAGCGTGCTTTCCAGATCTCTTCACTTTGACTACTTTTCCTTCTAGTCGTTTCGAGTTGCGGGCCATTCCTGTTTGATTTATCAAGCGTCCTCTACTGTCGCCCACCACAGGGTCTTTCGGTAGTCCAAGCGGTGCCAGGAACTGCCATTCGAGCCGCTCGTCGAGACCTCTCTTCCATAGCTTCCCCACATACTCCATGTCTGTTTGTATGAGTTGCGACACACAGCAGAAGTCGCCAATACGCCGATGTAGCATCGTGATGGAGTCGCTCTCAAACTGCGACACGCGTATACCCAGTGATTTCTCTCGTCGCTGTCTCAGTTCATGCTCTATCGCTTTAGTCTGAGTAGCCAGTTTCTTTCCCTTCCTCCCCGGTTGCTTGACCATGTCGCTCAGCTCCGTCATATCGAAGGCTTTGTAGAGTACTTTTTGGCGAAGCTCTGTAGGGAGACCAAGAAGACTGGCTTCCGAATAGTGACGTTTGAAGCGACCTGTTGGAGCTGTGATCCAAGGATAGATCCATAGCCGCGTCGCGCGATCTCGTGCGATATGATGCCTTGCCGACTTCCGCAGTGTCCTCCATTCGAATGCGTTGTTTATGCGGAACCTTTGTCTAGACATCTCTTGACGGCGCTTATGCCTTTCGTGTTTGCAAGCATTTTTGCTTTTGACCATCGTGTAACTGCCTGTGTCGTGAGACTAGATCGCTAGGACGCAATCGTGGACTGTGCGGGGTACAGATTCTCCGAAACACCTGAATGGTATCAAAAGAAAGGCTTGCATTGATTCATGTCGATATCGGGGTTCGAGTGCCTAGGTAGAATCAGATCGTCGACATCAAACGGTGCCGAATGCAGGTGCGTGTGGATCTGGGCTAACCGCAACGCGGTAGCGAGATCCAGCCCTGCATTTGTACCGTACACTGAAGCAGCCTTTTGGACCCTTTTACTAGAGAGTTGCATGAAAGATGGCTTTGTTGACTATCCTTACTGATATCGTGTCTCGTGCCATCGGCCCGACGACGGAAGGAATGTGCCCTGGGCTTACTTGAGGGGAAAGTCGAGTCACAATGCCACAGTACCTAGATAGCAAGAGCGTATTAAAAGTACTTTTATATACATTCTTCCATCAATCATGTTCCTTACGGAAGTGAATGGAGACAATACAACGGCTTCCTCAAAGCTAAGCAACATGGCTACCCACATCCAGCAAACTCCCGTCATCGGGTCCAGTAAACTTCTTCCTCCCTGTCATGATCCAGAAAATCAAACTGATAAACATGACCACCCCTGTTGCCGCAGAAGTGTAGTTCATGTTCTCGCTCGTCACAGGTGTGACGCTAGGTAGGTTGGATACAACACAGATGAATGCCAGGTACAAGAATCCGATAATATTGAGCACGATTCCCCAACGTCCAAGAGAGTATGGGCCTTCGAGACGAGTCTTTTTGCCGGAGAAGTGCGCCAGAATGCGGGAGAGGAGAGGCATCAGGTATGACAGATAAAACCCCTGCGTAGCGATGGCGATGATAGTATTGAAGCCAGTCGTTGTACCGAAGTAGATGGAATTGAACGCCATTTGTACGATGGCCGTCAACAGGATGGCGTATACCGGTACCGATCTTGTCGAGATCTTGCTCAGTACGTTCGAAAACGGAAGTCCGTTGTCTCGTGCGAACGCATACATGGCTCTCGATCCTTCTGCCATGAGCGAATTTGCGCATACTGTAGCGATGATAGCAATCATGGAAGCCAATGTAGATGTTCCTGCCACATTGCCTGTACTATTGAAGATGATCTCAATGACAGGCACTCCAGTTGGAGTGGCACCTGTTGCCTCAAGATCGCCAATGCAAAAGCATAGCGCAATCAGCCAGACGAAACCAGTGAAGAAGCCAATGTAAACCGACATGACTATCGCCCGAGGAGCTTGTTTCCGGGCGTTCTTGATCTCCTCAGTCATGTGCGAAGGCGCATCGTAACAGCACATTCCGAACGCGGACTGAAGTAGACCCAAGCATGTAGCATACGGCGCATTCCATCCGGTAAAGTTTTGAAAGTCGCTGAAAACATAGCTTGCTGATTGCTTGTGGTCGTTTGTAACTAGTATGGTAATTAGACACACGACGAACGATGCGAGATTCCAGATGAAGATCGCTTTTGAGAGTTTGTTGAGGATATGGGGCAGATAGATATTAGACGCTGCCGCGATAAAGGTGATGAGGTAGGCGACAAGGACTGTGTGCCAGCGTTCTATCGTGAACCCATAGTTGAGCTGGGCCACGCCTAGGATGAAGTTTGTAGCGACAAAGTTGTTGACAGCGCCCATACATATTATTCCGATAAGCATGAACCTGTTCAAATTAGCCTATCATTGAAGCCCGCATGCAGTGATGATACTCACCACCCACAAAGATAGCTCATTGAGCGAGCCCATCGCGTCGGAGCTAGGATAGCCACCCAACTATATTGTCCACCAGCAACAGGATACCTTGGGAAACGGTCAGCCAAGTCCTACAGTGAGAAGCCGATGTTCATACGCGCTACACATCTCAGCCATCGAGTATGCGACAGCAAGTGTGACTAGGCAGACACACAGCCAGCCCCATATCATAACTGGTGGACCTCCACTCTCAACGCCAATGATGAGAACACCGGAAAGTGCAGTCCACGAAGTTACAATACTGAACGAGAAGCCAACCATGCCAAGTAGGCCGAAACTGCGCTTGAGCTCTGAAAAGCACGTCAGTATATGATCAAAGATATCGTGTTAACAAAGCCTACCTTGGGTATAACCCAGTTGTGCGAGCACATCATCGTCGCTGTTGGTCTCGTCGACGACCTTCTTTTCTTCTGGGCTGATCGCCATGTCTACCAGTTCGATGTCCCGAAGACCAAAACGAAGAAGAAGCAAACACACTTATGAGCATGCAGATATCTCCAAACAAATGGCAAGAAGCTTTTCAAAGCGCCGTCCTTCCGTTTAGATATACCTTTACTGGTATCGCGTCAACCCATCTTCCCACAGCCGTTGAACGAGAGGGCCCCATCGACGGCCGAGCCCTGCGTCATCCAGATAACGGCGACTTCCCTTAGGCTATGCTCCCAATTCGGGCAGCCGTCATGCATCTCCCACATGTCTTATCGCGGATCGGGCGTGTGAAGTGGATTGGCCGAGATAGCAAGCGAAAGCGACACTATAAGAAACCGGGGTGCGGCTAGAAGTGGGGTACATGGAATGGAGATAGGTAGGTGGATGTGCGACGTGTAAAAGGCCGGGAATCCGAGTCGTTTCATTACCCTTGGCTTAAAAGCTCCATTCTTTCGAACACAATGCAGAAGCTTCATGAACAACGACGTCGGGGGTTGTATTGGCAAGAAGGCGGTAACAGGTACTCGCAGAGTGGAGACACGTACCTGCCGATCCCGAAAGCGGATACCACGACCCGAAGCGATAGGATCAAGCATGCTCGCGGAAGCTTGAATATTACCATGTATATGAACGTAATGGAGAACCGCGCGGAGACTCCATGTTAAGAATACATGAAGAGGCGACGCGTGCGCCAAAACACTCGAATGCGGACATAGCCGCTGTTCAAACACCCATGATACAACACCATAAAACATCCTCACACTACAACGTCGAGTCTCTACTATTAAGAACATGGCAACTCAAATCTCCACCACGAAACCATACGCTTGGCCACACGACTCTTCCCTACACCCCACATCGACCGCCCTCATAATCATAGATATGCAACGCGACTTCCTCTCACCAGGCGGCTACCTCTCCTCTCAAGGCTATTCCCTCGCACGTTTCGAGTCGTTAATCCCCCGAATCGTCTCCCTGCTATCTACGTTCCGGCGCGCAGGCTTCCCTGTCATACACACACGGGAGGGCCACAATGCTTCGCTAGCAACGGTGAGTAGTAGGGAAGCGCATCGCAGTCGCGTCAATGGCGCGGAAATAGGGAGTCAGGGTCCGTTGGGCCGTCTTCTAATACGAGGTCAAGAAGGGCATGAGATCGTTGAGGATCTGAAGCCTTCGGAGGGAGAATTGGTTATTGATAAACCTGGGCGAGGTGCATTTGCGCATACAGAACTTGATCTCATGTTGAGAGCAAAAGGCGTTAGTAATCTGGTAGTCTGCGGGGTTACGGCAGATGCGTGCGTTAGTAGTACTGTAAGAGAGGCGAGCGATAGGGGGTATGATGTGTTGGTTGTGGAGGATGGGGTAGAGAGTGTTAGTGAAGAGTTGAAAAGGTGGAGTTTGGAGAGCATCAAGGTTGAAGGAGGGCTATTCGGGGTGACGGGAAGCTGCAAAGAAGTGGATCAGGCGGTAGCAAGTTGGATCCAAGGTTAAGACGGCGCAGCTTGAGTCGACTTCACAACAGGGTATTTGGACAGCGATTTGCATGAATATGTATGCATTGACTAAACTAGCCGAATGAAGATCGAAGCTTCATATTGATCATTTCCAACCCACCCATGAACAGAACGCCGTGAAGACCGATAGCCGTGACCAGATCATATCCATAAACAATGTGTGACCATGCGGACTGCCCTCGACCAAGAATCTCCAAGATGGCGTCGATGTCGGGTGCCGATGTGTCGTAATGAGAAGACAAGATGTTTAACCACCGAAACCGTAGAGGGTACGGCCCTGGCGCTTGAGAGCGTAGACAACGTCGAGGGAGGTGACAGTCTTGCGCTTGGCGTGCTCAGTGTAGGTGACGGCGTCACGGATAACGCTCTCGAGGAAGGTCTTGAGGACACCACGGGTCTCTTCGTAGATCACTGCAGTCATGTTAGGATTTGTCCTAGATAGCGACGATGTTGGGCATGCTTACTGGCTGAAATACGCTTGACACCACCACGACGAGCGAGACGACGGATAGCGGGCTTAGTGATACCCTGGATGTTGTCACGAAGAATCTTGCGGTGACGCTTGGCGCCACCCTTGCCGAGACCCTTGCCACCTTTGCCGCCTAGAGAGGTATGTTAGCATTTTTGTCTTGTGTTGATGGTAGACGAGTGACATCGTCAAGATGTAAGAGTGGTTGTGGTAGACGTTGTCGTGATGCGCGGCACATTAGTGGGGCGACGCGTTGAGCCTCAACACCAAGCGCGCCTCACCGCCATGTGCAGCAGCGGCAGCAACGACAACAACATCGATGCAAGGCCAGGGAAAGAGTAACAAAGATGTACTTACGTCCAGTCATATTGCTAAGAGGTTAGTGAGATGGAGGTGATGGGTGTTGGTAATAGACGCGTTGATGCAGCGTCAGTGGTTGGATGAAGATAAAAGCTGGGGGTTGCGAAAAGAGAAGAAAGGGAAAACTCCAAAGACGTGGGCGAGCCGGTTATATAGACAAAGGGAGGCGGGCGCGGCTGCCTCCAGATCACACAAAGTGGCGCTAAGCCCGGGTGGGGCGCGCGAGAACATGAAATCAGAGGCCTTGCCTTCACATTTGGGGGGAAAATCAAAAGCGTGGAAAGCAGCACTTCGAAATGAGCGCTGAGCTTTGCAGGGCAGGCGCGCCCATCTGGCTGCTGCAATAGTCGGGCCTGGGTCCGTGCGCCAACTTCAATCGCGCATTGCCGACGCGACTACAACACCAACATCGACTTTGTCGCAGTCTGACTGCATGCGGCTGCAAAGTGCTGTAGTCTCTCGAAATTGACCGGAAAGGATCCTGGAATGATTATACGCTCTTTTGCTTACGTCTACTGCTTTGCGCGTGCAGCAGCATCATTAACGCCTGCACGACGCGTTCACCGTGTACATGAACTCTACGCCAGCCACCCGCAACCAGCAAAGACACGGCTTATATCCGACGTATTCCGCAACCTCGTTGAATCAAGAACTAAATGACTATCCATAGAACAGTAAATTTAGGTCTGCTTCTTTGGCATAGTTGCCAACTCGTCCTACTTAAACGTTCACGTGTCTTGGAAAGAGCAAGACAAGGTTATAAGCATGCGATGTATGGACCTGGGCAAGAGGCTCATGGATAGAAATAGCAGTACATATCACTTCGAACAATATGCACTTGTTCTCTGAACGTCGAGTACACAAAGAAATTCATTGCGCGGGCTAGCTAATCAATACGGGCCATAAACGAGCGTCATCTTGCAATCTATTCATCGAGTCCAAGGCGTGGCATGACCATATCCACTCGCCACTTGTACCGTTGTCCAAGGCTACAGCGCATCTTACTTTGACTCATCGGCCTCCTTCGCAGTCTCCTCAACAGTAGCCTCCTCGTATACAGGAGGGGCATCGTATGCAGGGAGCTCAGCATATTCCTCCTTCTCTCCGTGCTCTTCCGCATCCTCTACATCTTCCTCGTCAAGAGCAATCGGCTGGTAGCGCTGGCCACGGAACTTGGCGACAGTGATGGCAATGAGACATCCAAGGGCCATACCCACAAGGTATGTAAGGGTACCAGCGAAGATACCAATGAGAATGGGGACGAAGATAGTGAAGAAGGCGCGACGAACGAACATGGAGAAGCGGTGGTGGTGGCCATGATGGCTGTGGTGGCTCATGTGGTGAGGACGGTGGTGCGGGTGAGGCTTGCCAGGGCGGAAGCGGTGCGGAGGCTTTCCAACCATGGTCTCATGCTCCATGGGGTTGTTGGGACGAGCACCAGGGTGGGGTCGCTTGTGGCAGCCGGGGCGGGGCTTGCGCATATCCTTAATCTGATCGATGCGGTCTTCCATAATCTTCTTCCACTTGCAGTAGAGCGGCCACTCATTGCACTCCTTGTCTGTTGGTGTAGCCGGGCTAGGCTGGGCCTCGTTGAAAGATGCGATCATGAGGCGACCTTCGGAGTTCTTCAGTACGTTGATCTGGAGCGCGGGAGGGTTGACAGCGGTGCCTTCGACCGAGGTGATTTGGAAGGTCATCGGCAGGAGCTCGGTGCCCTCCTCTGAGATGGTCTCCGCACCATCGTAGCGGAACTCGTAGCTGGTGATGCGTAGGCGCATGCCGTCTCCGGAGGTAGGGTCAATTTGTACAACATGGTAGGGCTCAGAAGCGAAGCCAAACGATGGCGGGTATAGTTGAGAGTTGTCCAGGTTTAGGGCGTTGCCCTGAGGTCCAACGTCGAAGTCTAGGCGCTGTTGACTGTTAGCATATAAGGCTGTGATGCATATGGCCGACTACTTACAAAGGCATTTCCAGCGTCAGCCTTCCAGTTAAGAGTTTCTCCATCATATGTCGCAAAGGCGCAACCAGGACATTCTAACGCAACAGATCGTTGGCTGGGGTTGATGGCGAGAGATTCAAAAGCGTGGTCGTCCCCGAGCTCTTCCGCAGTTGTCATGGTAGAAGGGATGAGCACGGCGCTGGCGGCCAGCGCCAAATGGGCAAAAACGCCCAACTTGCTAGGAGACATTGTAGGTTGTATTCAGGAAGAAAGCCAAGTGATTGAAAACGAAGAGATGTTGCAGGTACAGAGTTTAGAGGTGGACGAAACAAAGGAAGGCGATGCCTCAGCCCATGCATTACGATTGCCGCCGCGTCATCTGTCACGTGAATGGGCCGGACCCTGAAGTTTAGCTGTCAATGTGTCGCACGCACTTCGTGAAACCATCGCTGAATCAGACAAGTCGACCAATAAAGCTAGCCTGTTGGCAGAGTGCTCTTCCAATTGCAAAAGTTCGCACTGCGGCTTTCTGCACAGTGTACGCATGGAATAATGCTGTACCGGAGCTTCTCCGACAGTCGTCCCCAGTCATTGTCATTTACACACAGAGCAAGATGTCGCATGCGGCATCTTCTGGAGACCCTAGCTTAATCTACAGCGCACAACGGCAATGTTGATGTTTTGGGGGCTTACAGCGATGGATGTAAGCATAGCCCCAACGGGCGTCCATAATCCCTCAAGAACCTCGCTAGTCATCATCAGCAGCAGCCTCGGGTCTTCATCGCAACTTCATCACAGTATACCCCATATTTATAGTTAGCTTCACTTTCCAGGCTCGCAGCGCCCGTAAGGATGAGACTCATTGATGCCGCTCGACTTGAGCTCTGTAGCTTTATGGATGAATCTCGGATACCACGATATGCCATCCTATCCCACACCTGGGGCCCGGATGAAATCACGCTGCAACAGTTCACAGACCTGTCATTGAGGGATGACCGCCATCTGAAAAAAAGTCACGGATACTGGAAGATAAAAAAAAAGCATGTCAACAAGCCCTCGAGCACGGGTACGAATACATATGGGTGGATACTTGCTGCACTATACAGACTCACCACCGAAGACAACGCCCTACGAAAAGGGTGGCATATGCCGCGGAAAATGGCGGCAGAACGTACATAGCTTTTCAATACACACCTATTAATATTTCCGTACCGTTTACCTGAGAGTACTTGACCAGCGCTCCAAACCGAGAACCTGCTCATGCAACAAGGCCTGGAATCAGGCCCCCGTTATATAGCGACTGAGCAAGATAAATCGACCCCGAGCAAACCCAACGGGCTCATATTTATACACGAGCTGGCTTGATTCATCTTAATTGTGCTTGATTTTGACTATGAGCAGGTCTTGACCATGAGCACATCTTGACCATTAGCAAGTCTTGCCATTTCAAACAGAACAAAACACCTTTATGGTTCTAGCCCTCGCGCTCACGTACACGGGGAAGAACATTGTTGTCCTTTGTAACTAGTGCTACATTTCCGTAAGCATTTCTGATGAAACTTGTAAAGGTCCGTGTCTAAGAAATTATAATTATAATTCAAGAACGCGACTAGATGCACCAAGAGCCTCGCCGCATGGAGTCGATCCACTAGGTCACTGTTCGAGTATTTGGTTAGTAAAGCCGATATTCATTTACTCTATCCATCTATCAGAAGGACAACAAAATGGTACTCACATGGCAAAGTAAAGTGCTAGAGGAAGTAATTAAGCCATATTAATAAGTTATATACAGTTCGTGAACAATTCAATGCTAATCGTATTCTCCCCGGAGCTCTTCTCTCCTTGGAGATGATCTCTTCTCGGAGGAAGTCTCTCCATGAAGCCTCTATCCCCACGAAGACACTCTCTACGAAGACACTCTCCACGAAGTCTCTCCACACGAAGAATCGCTCTCTATGAAGCATCTCTTTCCATAAAGAATCTCTCGCCACGAAGAATCTCTCCACGGACCTCCTACTTCCCTAGTGATCTATCGTAATCATTATTCTCACGAGTATACTTGATCTCTACGACAATGTTATACTTTCCTATATCTCCATATTTAAGTATAATGCGCCCGCACTTCAGCGCTTACTCGGGTCTTACGATTCAATTCTAACAGGAACGTGACTATTAACGCTTCTTCTGTCTTTTTCTTTCTATCTTTTTCTCGCTCCATATGTCATATACGTGAAAAGAATGTCAGGAGTTGTAGGTGTCAGGGACTCAAAATCGGCCCCATCTCAGAGATCTCAAATGGGACCTTCCCACTTCCGGAGATTCATCAGTTGGGCTTGAAATCAGGCTCATTATCAAGCCACAATGCACAAAGTCGATATGAATGAGGCCCTTCTAGAAAATGAGTTGCTCGTTCAAAACTTTTACGGATCGAAATCACTCAGATAAAGATTACTACTTAACATCATACCAGTCATTTCAATGTACAGAATCTCAAAAAAAAAGCGATCCTCGATACTTCAAAACAGCTTAATGGTCTTAATACAATATAATAGAAACTCGGTGCAAAGGAAAACTATGGCAGCGTTGTACAAATAAACATTGCCTAAGCTCACAACAGACTATCCAGCGCGAATGAGGAGGTCACATTCGAGGACATGGTAAAAGGCTCGTGGCGAGACAAAGCTGGGTATAAGAAGATCGAGTTCTGTGGGGAGCAAGCGAGCAAAGATGGCTTGAGATACTTCTGGGTCTATAGTTGTTGCATCTGGTAATGTCAACAAGACTAACAATGCCCTACAATATATGCGGTAGGTAACCCTAGCAATCGAGATATGCTTCCTTGACTATTTGACCGTTTCTCAAGTTGCCTGAAATTAGATCAGATTACTGGATGTTCTTCTTTGAGCGACTCCAGAGTATCGGTGGCCTAATTTTGGGCCATTGGATCCCGAGAGTCAGATTTAGGCTGTCATCTGTACTAATTTCACTGATGTGTGTCGTCTGATCCGGGTTGTTTGACATGATCGTTTGACCTGTGTGTTCGCCCCAGGTCATAAGCTCGCGAAATTAATGGATTGGCAAAGATTTGCCCGTTCGTGTTGCCTATTCAAGCTTCAGTGGTCTTGTCAAATCAGTGTGCGTATGATTGGGTGGAGGATCGGTTTTGGAAGGACTGTTTGGGATAGTGCGAGTGGTCCAACTCCATTCCTCTTGTCTCGTCTTCTCGTAGTAGACGTCTTTCTTCGTAACTACTTGTGTACTTATACTTCCAGGTAGTTTCGTGGCTAGTCTTCAGAACACAAAATGTGTCCGAAGTTGAGCAAAAGGACAAAGTCCAGTTGCTCTCACAACTAGACCCTATATAAAGCTTTGCCACGTCCTGACACCGGTGGCCGTAGATTCGGAGGTCGAAGGCAGCGAAGGTTAGCATCCCACGTGTAGTCACGTGGGAGCGACGTATAAAGTGATATACATAGTGGTCGAGGACGAGATTCGGCGATTTGAGGTAATCGCTACCTCTTTGCCGGTTAATAAAAGTACTTGGATGTTGATCTTTAGCTTTTGGTCCCTTGCGCGGTTAAAGTTCTATTTTTGACATCCGGGTCGAAAGTGAACGATGTTGCGTACGCTTTGAATACAAGTCATCTATACACTGTCACATTATTTTTTGTGGCTGTAAGGTATATCTACTCAAGCTCAACGATTATTATCTTCAAATAGGCACACGAGCCATGATATCATCCACTAAAGAGAGCATCCAAGCTTCAAGAACATCCAGTAACCTTTGACAGCATCCAACAGCATGGGAAGATCCAACAGCATGAGAAGATCCAACAGCATGGGAAGATCCAACAGCATGACCAAGCACCCAAGTACCTAAACATCCAAACATCCAGTTCCCCAAGTACCAAAGTATCAACAATGCCTCCGTGCCTCCATGTCTCCTCAATACTTCGAGGTCTCATGCTCCGATGCCTCAACAAGCTCTTTGCGCATTTCCCAAGACCAACATGGCCCTCACATCACCTAAAGGTGCAAAGTGTCCTCTCCTGGCCCAATTTTGACATATGAACTGAACGGCCGCGATGGCACCCAAGAAATTTGACTGAACAAGATCTAAGTCATATACGAAGCTGCTGTAGGTCGTACCCCAAGAATTTGTAGTGGCAAGACCGAAGGCGTGAATGGAGCAGCCCTAGGGCACGATGTTCGAGGAGTTTAGGTGAGAGAGATCAAAGGTGCAGATGGAGCCACCGAGTATCGTACCGCATGAGGATTGCTTGATAAGACCTAGAAGTGAGAAAGATCTCGGCGACGTTGTGAGCGAGGCTCTGGTCGAAGTAGCCGTGATGTCTTACTCGAGTGCGTTAGTTGACAGGCCATGAAAGACGAGGCAAATTCACTCCAGGCCAACGAGACCTGGAAGCTCGTCGAGCTGCCACCGGGACGGAAGGTGATCCAGGAAAACGAGTTCGAAAAGGACAAGAGCAGGTAAGAAGATGGTGGAGTGATGACGAGGATGGCCCGCGGGCTCGTCACGAAAGAAGCTGGGTATCATTGCGGCTTTCAAGACGTCCAAGGGAGCTGACGTCAAGTTTGACAAAGACTTTTCACTGAGATGACTGGCAAGGCCAGCACCGAGAATTCGGAGAGCCGCTCCGTGCCTCATAATGAAACAAGTCTTAAGTTGATGAAGCCGGTGGAATCAGAGTTGTAGCAACGAGCAAACTCGGAGTTCCATTCTCTGATGAGAGGAGGTGGCTTAAAGTTGTACGTCTTGTCGTTGTTGTCGAGTTACCGAGCTTCGATGATATGGTTGGCAAGGTTGGAGCATTGCTCCGTGTTCCAAAATTGAGGGCGTGAATGAGAATATGAACTAAGCAGCTGTAGAATAGCAGCCATAAAATGGCACCGCAGTAGTGAGTGTGATATCAAAGGCATACATGAAGTAACCGTAGAATAACATTCGAATGGCGTGTGACGTTCGAAGGCATGAATGAAGCAGCCGTATAATGACACTTGAACGAACTAGTTGATGGCCAAAGGAGTGAGCGAAGTAGTCATAGAATGGTACCTGAGCGGTGTGTGTGACGATCGAAGGCATGAGCGAAGCAGCCATGATATCGTACCAAAGGGTTTGGTTTGGCGATCAAAAGCATGATCGAAGCAGCCGTGATATCATACCCAAGGTTTTTGTTTGACGATCGAAGGAATGGTCGATTGTATGATCGAAGGAGCCGTGATATCGTTCCAAGGGCTTTTGGCGATGTGTTCGATCGATGGCACAGGAATGCTGTGATATCGTACCCAAGGGTTTCGAGTGGTGGGTCAATCGGAGGCGCAGAGGTCGAGCAGAAGCTTTCAGAAGCCGACGAAGCCTGTGATGTCGTGCTCAAGGGTTTCGGGCGACGAAGTCGATCGACAGCGCAGAGAGTCTTGTGATATCGTACCCAAGGGTTTTTTTTCTACAGAGTTAGGAATGGTAGAGAGATGATGGGAGGTATGAGCTCACTTTTTGATTTTTAAAAGGATGCTCCCCGGGCAGGGGCACGTCCGCACCGGCACACCTCGCCCACAAGCCGAAAGGAGGCTAAGGATCGAAGAAGGGGTCCCGCTCCCCACTGTGTGGCTGGGGCAGCCAACCTTCGAAAGGGGCAGCCTCTGTTGTCCAAGTTAGCGAAGAAACGCAGGCGACAATGGGCTGCTCCAGGAATGATACTTACTGCGGCTGACCCAATCGAAGGCTTTGCCCCAGAAGCTCCAGCCTGTCAAGGCAACTCCACCCAAGAGCAGAGCATCCAGGGCCTTTTGCAAGGCCCATTTTTTCACCTCACGAAGAGGCGAGATGGTGCTCTCAGGCTTCGAAGCCTCAACAGGCCGAAATTGACCAGTGGGGAGGGCCCTTGTCCTTCTCGTCACCGGGGTCCTCCGATACGCCCTGTGGGGTCGATGGTATGCGCGGATATTGGCACTATTGAGCGGACACATGTCAGCAATCACCGAGGCAAGGAGCTGAGGAGAAATGGGTTCAAGAAGAAATAGTGCAAGCAGACCGTGTTGTTCCCCGTACCCGGGGCTGCGCCGTAACAAATGTCCTAATTATATTAGACATAGCTACCACTAGTCAGCATCGACCACAGTTTTTCACGGCTTTCATGCGTTCAGGGGCACGAATTTGAGATAAGGAGCAAGAAAAAACTCCTCCAAGAAGCCATGATAGAAGAAATGGTGCAGAAGGAGTGGTATGTCATGAACTCGAGCGGCTTTGATTGACGGGAAACGTGGTAGAGGTATAGTGCAGCTTCGTTTGCAGAACTTTAGACGAAAGAAAACATGAGAGTGATAGAGGCAGTGCGATATGACATCGTCTGGAGCTGGAGTATGACAAAATGAACCGTACTGACCGAATGCTGCTGTAAAGATGTTCGTGAAGGGAAAGAAACATAGTATTCCGGGGGTGAACGAGTATATACCTACCTCTGGCGGCCGTACCTGCTCTTCACATTGGTCCACCATAACAGTTGCAGTAAACAAGGAAACTGGAAAGAGCAATACTCAACTACCCACCCACATCGCGACTGACATCTGATCTCTCAGACGAAGAGGTCGCGTTCAAGGAGAAAGGGACTGGAGCTCCTGTCGTAGAGGAGGGTATTGATTCTGGAGATGTGATAGGCGGTAATCTAGCTTAAAGGCCGAATCAAAGTATTTCTTCTACTTCACACAGATCTCCTATTGGGTGACGAAATTTGCGGGCTTTGTATTCGCCCTCAGGCTCCTTCCCGCCCGGTGGTTCTTCGCCTACGGAATCTGGAAGTAGGTGCTCTTAGCTGTTGGTAAACAAACATCGCGTACTTGCACTTGCAAGAAATGAAGCTAAACTGGAAGCACAATCTGTGAGATTGCGTAGAAAGCACGAAGGAAATCGTCGAACTGCAAAAGGCGGCAGAATCTTGCTTCTTTCAAGCCGCTTCGGGAAGCTTCATTCTCACGATGGTGGTAGTTGAGTTCATGGCTCCAAAGAGTAGCCAGTAGCGCAAAGGGCCCAAGCGTGAGTCTGCAATTCATTCAGAATCATTACTTGCAATCGTCGCGGTTGTGGGTCTTTTGAGGATGCGTGTCGAGCGGAGAACTACACAGGCGATCATGAAGCCCAGGTGCGTCACAATTTGACTGACAAGGAGGAGGATGCAAGTATGACATAGCCAGCAATAGTGGACGGAAACCGTAAGGGGTTATACTGTTGGCGCTGGGTGCGCTGACTTAGGATACATAAGCAGTAAAGTTTTAATTTTATTAGTTCTTAATACATTAATAGCAAGATAAAGCTAGCCTTTAATATTATACGTAGCTAGCGTTATTGTCTCTTTTAATAAGTAACGCGCTAAGTTAATCTTTTTTACCTCTTTATATTATATGAAGTCTAGCTATACTTCTCTAAGCTTAGTCTATAGCTGCTTACCCTACACTTAAACTCCTTATTTCCTAATCTTTGTTAAGATAGATTATGTCCTTCGCAAAAGACAAGTACCTATGTTAGACGTCTTGCGCATCTCTCTATTCGCTTTCTAGTTTTGTTTCAGTTTAGTGAAGCAAAGACGAACGGCGAGTCACAGCTTGTTCATTAGTCATGAATACCACCAAAGTTCCCTGCGGTACGAGCCCAGACCACCCCACACAGATATATATTAGGGGCCTCTGCAAGCGCCCTTCCCATTTCTTCTTCCTGTTATCACACTACTGGCATCGAAACCCATCTTCCATCTCAGTCACACGACCAAAAAACTACTAATATCCATCATCTTCACGACCGTGCCGACTATAACAACGTCGCCACTTCGAGCACTTCGAAATCCAGGTGAACATAAAGCATACCATTATTGCTTGTGATGTCCCTTGGGACCCTGACTTCGGTTCAACCCTCTCTACGTGGTGACCGACTTCTTCTGCGCCGATCCGCTAAAGCAACACCTCTTCTACCGTGAGAGCGCAATAGGTTGAAAGCAACATGTCTTCGTCTATCTTTTGCAAGGCACGTAGCTCGCTTGCCAGAAGAGTAGCACCTGTCACCCTGTTGGAAGCATCGAAGTTTAGTCAAGCAATTGAACAGCCGCTTCGTTCTGCGCTACCCCTAACACGGTATTTACACACTCAAATACCGGCGAACGAACCTTCCAATTGCACTCGTCGTCCGCAACGAAGACCAGAAGCAATGACTCGGTTGCGACGGTTACCAGGCTACGGAACGAAAGCGCACAACGGGCGATATGAACTCGACAACTCCCGTATACGACCAGTCGCTAGATGGAGGCATTGTCGAGAGCAGAGAGCCGATACGACCAACACCAGCCACTGCAAGGAGAGATTTCATCCAGTATGGGCCGGACTTCTAGGAGCCATTCTCATCGTGGAGAGTCTGAATCCAAATTCTCGTCCCATGTACACATCAACGGAAAGATTGTTCGACTGGCTCGGGTTGAATAGGTCGAATGAGCATGAAGCACAAGAAGACCATACAAAGTCAAATTCGTTCCACCATTGTTTGTCCGGGCTCCCTCACTGCGCCTACTGCGATGAGCATATAATACCGGTCGACAATGGGGCGAGAAGTATTCGCGATGGACGCGAATCAGATGAATCGGTGGCTAAGGATGCTAGCGAAGGACATGAAGCGGCCACTCCAATCGACAAGGCAGGCTCGGGGCTCCCTAGTTTATCTACCATTCGTCTTAGATGGGTTTATTGGCCAACTTCAGAAGACTAGAAAACGAGCTGTTTGTGTCAAATGATCGATAAATTCACGTAAAAATCCATGAATTAAGAAGCCATAAGTGTTAAATTGTAGGTTGGTGCCGCAGAAAACTGATGGGACAGCCTGGACTAGATACCGTACAAAATCTTATACAAAGGGGTCCGAGATGACCCATATGGCGTTTTATCTATTTGACACACCCCCTCTAGAGTTGAACTAAGCGTAGCGAGTGAGACTCCAGAATAGGAAATGTTGATACGCCGTGAAAGAGTGACTGTTTAATACTCTCTAGAAAATAACATCTTTGCGGGCGCTTTTAGACACCGTTGCACATTGTTTAACACGGTCCAATAATGCGCATATTTGACAAACTTCGCGACAGTCGCGCCATCGTTCTGTGTACTAACACTAGCTGCTATGCTGTTGCCTGATCTTAGTTATCTCTATATGACACCAATTCTGTATATGTCCTGAGCTCTTCGCAAAAGGATGATCCAGGTCAAGACCTTCTTTCTATCTTTCAATGTACTCCTCTATTAGCCCTGTCGTCTTCACCTTTTCTTTCCACGTGAACGAAAGGGTCCAGATATAGGATCTATCATAGTTGATCCGTTCCATGATACACAGCCACAAATCAAGAACAGCGTGGACATCATCCATCCAAGTGGGCCGATTTGATTGGGGGGTGGACCAGAAATGGTCCCTACTAAGTTCAAATATATCCATCGATAGAATGCTAAACGCGTTTAACAATTTTCTTTGCCGTGAACAAGTAACAGTGTAATAGAAAGATGCGTTAGAGCAATGTTGATCGTGATTATTAGAGAGTGTTATGCCGAGAGAAACTCTTAGAACACATTTATAAGTAAACAGAAAGAATTTATAGGATAATATAGCTAAAGTCCTTTAAGAAAACACCCTGAGAATTAATATACAGCTGTCTGAAGTCCGTCTAAGTCCTAGCCTAAATGATTAATACTATTAAAACTATTTTATATAAATTAGATGAAGATGCTTAAGAGAAGGGTAGAGAGTTCTCTTGAGCTTAATATAAAAAGGTGACAGGACATGCTTTAGTTACAAATCGACCCGCACGTCTTCAGGAGAATAAAATATGCACTGGAATGCTAATAGCATTACTATCACAACATCAGCAAAGAGACAGCGATGACACATCGCCTCCAGGCGTTCTTTGGAGAGTGCCCCGGAACAGGGAACCCCGTTTAGGTCGCGCACACTTGACATTTTCTGGTACCATGTTAGGAAGGTCCTAGAATCGGGATCGCGAGCAAGTCTGAGTGAGGTCATGAGCAGCTTGAGCCAATTAGATTGAGTTTGAGCGGCCATGATCGTGCTTGAAATGACGGCGAGCAAGCATAAGCAGAGCGCGAGTTGAGGTGGTGCAAGTATGAGCCCGGTTGAGCCGGGGTTAATTTTACTGAGTCAATGTGGCTGTATCAATAAGCCGAGTTGGGAAGCGGGCGCGGTCTATTTGTCCTTAATAATTGTGGTAATAATTCAAGAGGAGTACTAAGGACACCAAGAATTAGTTAAGTGGGAAGGCAGTTATTTTGTAGCTACGGGAAGGAGGCGTACTCATCTATTACTAGCAAATTATTTCACTTCTCTGACATGAGTGAGAAGCAAGAATGTGAGGGAGGGGGCCTCGTTTTCGGGGCCCCAAGCCTGAGCAGTATGATCACAGGGAATGTGCGTCTAATATAGACTATAGTAATAAGTGGTTTCAAAAATTAAAGGAAGGGTTCATACATGATTTATAGAATAAGCTAAGAAATAAAAATTACAGGTCGCGTAAGCGGTTGAATAAAGTCGATGTTGTCGCAAGTGCGGTATGAGTTTGTATCGACAAGACATCTTCCGCTGAGCTGAGCGAAGCAATCAACAGCATGTTTCGATGGTATAAAGACGCAACACTTTGCTATGCCTATCTCGACGATGTCAGCGTGTACGCCAGATCAGACGACTGGTTTAGTAACGATGAGCTAGCCAAGTCGCGATGGTTCACTCGCGGTTGGACACTACAAGAATTGATAGCACCAAAGAACATCGTGTTTTATGGCAAAGATTGGATATCTGTCGGCCAGAAGGCCTTATGTTGCGCGAAACAGGAACGCATAACTGGTATTAGCGCAAATGTGCTTGCGGGTACAGACGCCGTAGAGGATCAGAGTATCGCAAAGCGTATGAGCTGGATGTCCGGACGCACGACGACACGAACAGAAGACATGGCATATTCTCTCATGGGTATCTTTGACATCAACATGCCGCTGTTGTATGGTGAAGGAAATAAGGCTTTCGTTCGGCTACAGGAAGAGATCATGAAAGACTCCGCAGATCACAGCCTCTTCGCATGGAACGAGGAAGACCCCGTGGACGACGTCCTTACCCTTGAATGGCCCAGTTCGGTATTTGCAGCTCATCCTGGGCAGTTCAGAGATTCAAGGGAAATAGTCAATCGCAGATTTGACGACAAGGATAGGCTAGACGAGGAATTCTCAAGTACAAACCGTGGCGTTAAGATCAAGCTCCGCATCCGAGAGCCCACCAATGATTCTTCACATGCATTAGCACTCGGGTATGACCGTTTCCTGGCTGTGCTCGACTGCTGCTTTGAAGATCCGAAGTTTGAGAATTGCTGGCCTGGTATCACACTCAGACGGCTCACAGGGTCCAAATCACAGTATGTGCGCCTCCCCTGTTATCCCATTGTTCCTGTTATCTTTGGCCAGGTCAGCGACGCCCAGAAGTTATTAGGAGTCGTGTCTGTTGGCGAGACTGACAGCGGAGAGTGGATCTATCTCCGTAAGAAAATTCCAGACTGGGCTTTTCAAGACCTTCTTTAATCAAAACGCAAAGCTGGAAAAGCTACATCAAGGACATAGCATTCAGCTCGGATGTGATAGCCAGCAGGTTTCGAATGACATCGTCAAAAGATATGTCGATAATGCAATTGCAGACAAAACGTAGCTAGTCAACTCCAAAAATGCCTACACAACACCCCCATGGTATCTCTCGCTTTAAGACGTCCTAAAACAACAAAGATCTAATGTACAAAAACCCAGACACTGTAACTAACCAAACGCCATGCTAATCGTAACATCATGAGGCCTAAGCATCGCTACACTTACATTCGACTAACCTGCACCGGTACTCCCGGATGCATGTTGAGCAAGTACTGTGGACCCGGCATCGTCCCGCCACCATAGTGCGTGCGACTTTGGTTCCTCTGATGCTGCTGCGGTTGTGTTTGGCCATCCGCACCAAACTCCCCACTTCCACTTTGACTTGCACCATACCCATATGGCAAATTCCCATATCCAGGCACCTCCTCCATCTTACCCAGCATAACCATCTCATCGCTCTCTTCTCCCGAGCCGCGATTTTGTCGTTTTGCAGCGCGTGAGTACGCAGATCCACGTTTCCGAATGCACGACTGCAGTATGAAGATGAACACGCAAACGGCGATGGATACAGCGGTGTAGACGAGGATTATCGGGCGGGTCTGATCAGAGAGATGGAGACCCAGGCCGCCAGTTAGGACGAGCAGGAGAAAAGAGGTCGAAACGAGTGGTGTGTGGACAGCCTTTTGGAGGCGGGGGAGGTAGGGCTTCAGAGATGGGAGGGCACTGGTTAAGAGGAGAGGGAGGAGACATGTGAATGCGAGGATTTGGTGAGGTGTGTTGAAAGCTTTTGACTTTGGGTTGCGTTAGTATGGAGATGCTAATCTTGATGGTCACAGAGAACTTACGCGGTTGTACTCTGCACTGGTGATCCCACCCAATGTGTAGCTCACGATCAGGAAGATCATGATGATGACGCTGAGTATAACGTGTACCTTGATGTTCTTGAACAAGCACACGATGAGCATGTTGAGCGGCCAGAGTATAAAAAGCGCGAGACATCCGATTACAGCGTGTGCAAGATTCGCTCTATCATGGTCTCTTGTCATCTCACCCACCATGCTCACACCATTCAGCGCATTGCTCTTGACTGGCACACCGCCCGCACCTGTTGCTGTCGACATATCCATGGTGAAGTGACCAAAGCGGATATGCCGTTTGAGGTCTGCAGAAGGCGAGTTGGATTGCAGGTTCTGTGCTTGACCAAAGGCGAAAACCATCGGGTGGGCTGTCGCTTCAGTGTCGATGAAAGAACGACAGTTGCCACACCGCGCTCTCAAGATGAGCATATCGTCGTCGATCCGGGTTCCTGGAAGGATAGTAAGGGATATCGAGGAGTTGAATGTTGGCTCGGAAGCCTTGGAGCCGATGCGCGGTGAAATTGTTACGTCTGGTACCTGTTAATATCCATCTTCCAACTTGACTTGACGTCAACATGGAGTAGTGCGTACTATCACTCTTCGCATTGGGGTACATGATGAACATTAGGCTTCCTTCCATCTTCTCACCGAAACCAACGCCAACCCACGAATATGCCGGACTAGCATAGTAGATGAAGATGTCGTCCGAGTCATCCGCGATGTTAATTGAGAACTGGGTTTCCGTTCGATCCAGGTAGAAGGTTGATGCGGTTGTGGCGTTTGTTGTTGTGTTTTGACATGATATGAGCGCTGGGAAGACTGAGAGTCAAGTTAGCAACATGCGTTGACAGACGCGCAATCGTATTGCAGCTGAGGCTACTTAAAGAGCGACTTACAAGCTAGCAACGCAATCACTGCGCCAAACTTTTGCTTCACATCCATCATCGCAAACACAGGATCAGTACCCTCAAAAGCGCGCAAAGATCGACAGGACACTTCAGTTCCAAAGCAAACCAAAGAAAAACAAAGAGGGAAGGTAACAACAGCTCCAGCTCCAGTTTCAAAGTATCACAGCATAAACAACTAGCCCCAACGCCTCCCTTCGGGACCTTATACTCTGCGTACAAACGTCACTCAACCACGCCATACCGCATGCTACCCCATCGCTCACATGAAACAGCCAAAAAAGCGACCCCATCACCGCATCCAACCACTCGCCTTGCGGCAAAGTCAACTTAAAATGTCTTATCTTGGAAAGTACCTATGGGCACTGAGCCAGTCAGCGGCGCGAGACCAAGTGAGATTGAGCATGTGGAGTGGGCGCTTAGGGAGATGGCGCGCTCGCGACAGGGGTTTCATCGTGTTTGCGTGTCGTGTAACAGTCGTGGAAGCGCCCGTAAAGACAGGGGGGACGTGCCAAGCGGGGTAATCGGCGTCGTTAGTATTTTTAGTACACAGGCGCTTTCGTGCTGTATATAGGACACAATGAGAGACAGATGGATACTTGGAGATACATTGCATAATGTTGAATTCGGATGTCGCAGAGAAGTGATTACAATGGTGGTGGGTTGAAAGGGCAAGGGTTTCAATGAACTTGTGGTCTGACCTCGTGTACGTCCTTGCTTTTGCTGCATGCACACTGCCATCACTAAAAGCAGTTTTCTTCAACCCCACAGCACACCAGAATAGAGTTTATCGATAGTTTGCAAGTATCAGATCACACGGTGAACGCCAATGAACTCATAAATTTGATTGGGAACAGCAGAGAAAAGAGAATTATGTACCTCCCCAACACCTGCCACTTTGATCAATTCCCACATCCGAACAAGCATCAAAGAAAAACCGCAAAAACCACCTCTTCCTCACTCGCTCCGGGTATGCTAGTCATAATCGTCATATTCGTTAGTGCTACAGGCCGTATCCTCGTTGCAAGTCGTAGAGATCTTGTGAGTCGGTTCGTGTCATGTTGAGACTTTCTCCGACAAGCGCGCTGGAAGCCCGTGAGCGTTGGTCGGGGATGCAAAGACGCATCAGAACATGCTGGTCGAACCGAAAAATCTGCCCAACGAGATGTAATGATGCGGGTTGTCGCAGGCTCGATGATGATGCAAGACTTCTCTGAAGGGCTCTCGAGTCCAACCCGCAGGTCCGGCATCAAATGAAAACTGTACGAAGATTCTTGTTCACATCCAGAATCTAACGGTATCGGCTGCGACGGCTGTCGAACGATACCTCGTGCTCGTAGAAGCGGTCGTCGTAGGCTGACGCTGGGCGAGAATCGTGAATTGATTTGCGCTCAATCTCAATCTCCCGGATGCGACTCTTGCGCTTGCGACGGATCTCATCAGAAATCTCGACGAGATGCAACACATCCTCCTGGGTGGGGGTCAGCACACTGCATATCGCGAGTATGGTCATAAACTTACGTATCGCAGGTATTCCATGACGTAGAAGAAGTCGTCGGTCTCCTCGCACGAATAGCCCATTGAGTCGATGGCTTCACGGATCACCAGGTCCTTTGTGATCTCGGTCCACATGTCCTTCTTCTTTTGTTTCACCGATCCCTGGTTGTAAATGTCAGTGGTATGTTCGTCGTCACCGCTGATGAACTTTGATCTGCGAACGCCATTGTAGCGCTGCCAGGTGATCTCTTGGGCAGCACCACCGATGCCATCCATGCGCACGCGACTGGTGCCGGGCGGCACGTCGATGATGGACCAGTCTTTGGTTACTCCATTCCAAGCTTCACCCGGGTAGGCGCGCTCAAGTGCTTTGCGATTGTAGAAATCGGCTTCCAAATCAAAGTCCGAATCGGGCATAGGGGCTGTGTGCACACGCCTTGGGGGACTAAACGACCGCTCGCGGTGACGTACCTGGTCGCGGTTGAAGTTGATATCAATATCGAGCTCCTCGAAGTTGCTCCTGCCACGTCCACGGCTGTGGCTCCTGGGGATTTGTCAGATTGCGTTGTGTAGATGGCATCTAAAGTGGGTACTCACTCTCGTCGGTTGATCTCGATCTCGAGGGTCTCGTTGATTGGAGGGGGAGGAGACGGTGGCGCAGGTGGGGGAGGGGGTGTTGGCGAACGCGCCCTGACGACACCTGTACGACTGTCAGTATTGGATGTAGATGCTTTTAGCCAGACCACTCACCATGGTCAATGTGTCTGTGATGTGTGATGATCTCCTGGATGATGGGAGGGCGGATCTCTGGCTCAGGGGCTGGCGGTGGTGGTGGGGGAGGCGGGGATGGGGAGGGAGAGGGAGTGGGTGCTCGCTCCTCCTTGCGTCTGATGATGATTTCGTCTCTTATGACTTCTCGGTTGTTCGCAGGTGGAGACTCGGCGCGTGGGCGACGGATGACAAACTCCTCGCGCTCCCTAGCGACCAGGTCGCCGCGGTTGCGTGCTGGGGGAGGAAGACTCCTCTCGCGACCTCTAATAGTCAAGGAGCTCCTCTCTCTGCTTGTGTCCCTGCCATCGCGGCTGAACTCTCGGCGGTTGGCGCGAATCTCAAAGTTGCCGTCACGCTCCTGGAAGCGGATGGAGCCTCGCTCAGCAGAGACGTCCCTGCCGTGGCGGCTGACTTCGCTGCGAGAAGCGTGGAAGTCGATGTCGTTTCCACCGCGGCCCCGGAAGCGCACGTCGTCGTCATCCACCTGACGCGGGGCAGGTCGGCTGACGGACCTGACTGGGGGACCATCACCACGGCGGAAGACAATGTCGTCGCGCTCGGGCGGGCCTCGAGACTGCTCGCGGCGCTTGATTGTAATGTCTGTCTCGTCGATTTCGTCCCGGCCGCGGCGTGTTGGAGCCTCGCTATGGCGGATGCTGATGTCGTCACGCTCCATGCCCCGCATAGCAGACGGCGGAGGCGGGGGACGGCTTCGAGTTGAGCGCACATCATCGTCGAAACCACCACGGCTGCTGCGGGGTCCTGCTCGGGAGAAGTTGTCCTCGTCACGGCCTCTCAGCACCATGGGCCCGGCAGTCGGGCGGTTGTAGTCCTCGCGGAAGAAGTCGGGGGCGCTGCGACGGGGGTCAGGGCCTGCGCCACGCCGCAGCTCGAGGTCGAGCTCCTCATAGTTGCGCTCGCTGCGGTTTCCATTGCGGTAGAAATCGCGCTCACGCTCCTCGTACAGCTCAGCGGTTGGGTAGCGTCGCGACATTTGTGCGGCTAAGCGACAAGTGAGCGACGACGGGGGGGAATGGTAGTGGGGTGATGGGCCGCTCTCAGGAGACAGCAGATGGGGTGGAAGAAAGGGCACGGGCAAAGTACACGAAGAGGAAAGAAGAAGGGTTATCAAGGTAGCGAAGAATGAACTTGTGCCGTGGCCTGACGTTATCGAGAAGGCTGGCCCAGTTGACTCCCCGGCGAGAGTAGTGGGGTTGGTAGCAGGACCAAGGTCGGGCGCTGTCTCGCTCTTTTGCAATGACGTAACCTTCACGCTGCACTAAACCACCCACCCTGATCACCAGGATCCTTCCTGCCCAATGGCCGCCAAAGCCCCTGCACCTCTGGCCCAGTTCGCAGAAGCAATCGCCTGCAACCCTACTGCCGGTGAGTTTGACGACTCGATTTGGCTCCAGAGTGGACGTGGCTGGCCAGGCTGCTGGACATCTGTCGTTCTGTCATGTGTCACTGGGCACGCTCAGAACCATCCCCACGAGGCTCTCTGGGGCTGCTTGTGCCAGTCTTACCAGAGTACAGCCCCAGACGCAGACGCGCCGATTAATCCTGGATCTTCGCGACCCCAGGCTGAAACTTACCCAAATTCAAGGTCGGAGTCAGGTACAGTTCAGGCGGCCACATGGAGTCGCTACCTGATCGAACGACAGCCGCGGGAGCGCTATTACTACGGAACTTGGACCCAGCTGGGGCAGCCTGATCGGCGCACTCGACACTCTGTCGTTGGTGAATCTCATCAGATCTTCATGCCCAACACCGTGTGCGACGGCGCGAGACGACCCGCTCGTACCACATTGCAAATCTTCTTGTCTCGGCATCAGCTTTTTCTCGTGGATATCCCTTCAGTATGTAAACATCTCACGCGCAGCATCAAAACCTTCGGCTTGTGACTTGATTCTCGTGCTGGCTGCCCCTGGTAAGGTCCGTCTCTTGCCCAGCACCCCATGCAAGATGACGTTGTTCGGGCATACTACCTTGGACTGCAATTTCCCCAGCAAGCGATGGCATTCGAAGACATTCTGGTCATAGCCAATAAGCAAAAATTAATCTGCAAGACTTACGAGGCAGTATTCAGTGCCACATCGCGAGAGGTGACGAGAGGAAGAGCCCAGCGAGGCGGACGGGTAGTGCCACGTGGGGCTTTCCTGCAGTATTGCGACAACCCTCCAAAAAAGAAAAGCATTAAAACTTTCGCATATCATCTTCGCATCTTACTGCTTGTTCTATAATGTTCGAAACTTGTAGTAGTTCTTAAAGTCCCACATGCATGTGCGTAGGCTACACTAACAGTTCCCACGTCCAGGCGCCTGGTGCCCAGGTGGTGGCTGCCACGAGACAGTTACGCTAAGAACACGAGCCTCCACCCATCAAAAACCCAATGCCTTCTGACTTCTTATCACTACCTCCCCCTCATGGGGCGATTAAAAGTTCTTCATGTTGATCTGCGCTTTGTGTTTGTTCCTCATATACGGCCGTCTCCTTTACGCCATTCCTCAGAAGTGCCACAGCAGAGTCCGTTGGTTCACCCTTTCTCTCCATCTGCTACGACTTTTGCATGTCAAGTTCAAGCCCATATGCTTATTCACAATATTCGATATTTCTAGCAACTATGGTAGATACAATCACGTTGCTGGAAGGCAAAAACACATAGGATATTAGCAACTGAGTGTTAGGCTCAAGCACGCAGAGATCTTGAACAAGGTGCAATGTCGAGCCTTGCTTGTCTCGCTATTCTCGTCGTGAGCTCAAAGCTTCTATGTCTTACCTCCAGTCTCATTTCATTTTAGTTCATCTAATTCTTCAAATTTTTCCGATTGCTTTACCCAGTCGTACAAAGCTAGTCCTTAGCTTATTGGTGGCATCACCTCTACAGTAACATTTAATTGTCTTTATCACATTTCACAATCCTGCTTGTCTCAACTTGTGCGCGTCGTAGTAATTGCTTGATTGGTTGAGTAGTCCGTTTGCCGTGGCTAGACCACTCCTTCCTCACGGTGACTGCGTGTTTACAACTCACCGCGCGAACTTCACCTCGCGAGGCACGACAAAAATTCTTTCTGTTTTCTCTCATCTCCCATCGCTACTCGTCTCAGCACATATCACTTCTAAACGTCAGATACAATCGCAAGGCGAACATGGCGCGAGGCCCTCACAACAAGCCAAACCGGGCCAACAAGCGGGCAGGCGCCAGCACGACTTCCCACAGAGGCTCACAAGCACCACCATTCAACAATACATATGAGAGCCTAGAACAGCTGGATTGTGAATGTAAGTCTTGTCCTGTGTCTCGCATCAGCCCATGATATCTCGCCGTAGCAAAGAAGTCTCGTATTCCTTGCCTACGGAGCTGCAGAGCTTCTATCTTCACTTGGATTAGTAGGAATCGTTATGAAAATGGCTAACCTTTTGGCAGATGGAGAACTGAATGCCAATCTTACAGAGCGCTTCCGCAGCATGCCCTTCAACGCCTCCAGGAATGTCTCTGTTCCGCACGATGATATCCCCATGTCTGAACCATTCCGCGCCAACAACGACATCCGAGAGTACTTCGAACTAGCTAAGAAACCTGTCACTGGAGGGGCATGGCTGCATATGCCAGAGATCCCGAACCCTTCGGAGGTTCTGTGCGAAAAATCCGAATCTAAGAACGACGAGGCGCTCATTGAGGTTGACGAGAGAATTCGTCCACACAAGCCCAAAGGTGCATACGACGACAATGAAGACTATTTGAGGACCAAGTACGAGCTTCTACGTGAAGATGCTGTTCGACCGCTCCGTGAAGCTATCGACGAGGTTCGTGCCGATCCGTTCAAGAATGAAGCAGAGTACAGGAATCAGAGCATCGGAGTCTACGATCCAGTTTATATCACGTCACTCGTATTTTCGCCGCGAGGCTTAGCAACGCGGGTCGCCTTCTCCCTCGGCCGGGTCAAGAAGTACATCCGGTAAGCCGAGGTGTAGATGCAGATTTGACTCTAAATAACGAATCTAGATGGGAGCAGTCGAAGAGGCTGATCACTGGCACTCTTGTTGCCTTATCCCCTACCGATGATGCATTCCAGACCCAATGTGTGCTCGCTATAGTTGCGGCTCGTCCTCTCTCCGCACTAGAGCAGAACCCACCTGAGATTGATCTCTTCTTCGCGCGTCCAGAGGACCAGGAAATAGATCCTATGCGCAAGTGGATTATGGTAGAGTGTCGAAGCAGCTTTTTCGAAGCATCTAAACATACACTGCTCGCTCTCCAACACTTGATGAGGGAGCCATTTCCGATGTCCAAGTACCTGGTCCACGTCCAGAAAGAGGTAGACCCTCCGGCCTACATCAAACATAACCCTTACGTCAATCTGAGCTCACTCGTAAGTATCGAGGAGGGTAGAGATTACGAGAATGTGAATATACTGGAGGATTGGCCCACAAATTCCTCGCACTCGCTCGACAACTCTCAGAGCAGGGCATTGAAGCGTATACTAACAAGCGAATTGGCCATTATACAAGGACCTCCAGGAACGGGAAAGACGTTTGTGTCTGTTGTCGCGCTCCAAATTGCCTGCAACAATTTGCGCAAAGAGGATGCGCCTATCATTGTTACAGCTCAGACCAACCACGCTCTTGATCAATTGCTCCGCCATACGTCACAATTTGAACCCAATTACATTCGCTTGGGAGGCAGAAGCAAGGACAAGGAAATCAAGAAACGAACTTTATTCGAAGTTCGCTCAGAACTACCTCGACAAAAGCAGCCTGGCAGTCAGAAGGCGCAAGCCACTATTGCGATAAGGAAGTTGACTACTCAGCTTCAGGTTCTGCTTGCGCCTCTTGAAGTCAACAAGGTGCCGCTTGATCACAAGCTCCTACGAAGTCTTGGACTGATCACCCGGGATCAAGCCGAATCACTGGAGATGGAATCGCAATGCACGATGGGGGTTTCACCCTCTGATAGTCCAGGGATTCTAATGGAACAGTGGCTGGGTAGATGTCTCGCTCCATGTGATCGGCCAATCGGTCCAGAACAGTTCGACTGGGGATATGAAGAAGACGACTTCGAGGTCGAACAACTGAAAGAGCTTGAGGCTGAAGCCGTGGCTCAGGATGACGATGATATTGAGGCATTACCCGGACCACTGATCCAACTCAGTGACAACTGGAAGGGTACAGGAAATCTGCTGAGCAACGCCGACATCCAAGATATCTTACGAAAAACGAATGACTTGACGACAATTCGTGTCGCCGATCGCGGTACGATCTACAACTACTTCAAACGCGAAGCCAAGAAACTCATTGTTATCGAAATTCGCAGGCTCGCGAAACTTTATCAAGAAGCAGTTGTACAGCGCAAGGTGGGTATGTGGGAAGAAGATGTACGTGTTCTCAGCAAGGCACGCATCATCGGCTGCACAACGACCGGTCTCGCAAAGTATCGTGCTCTACTCTGCGCTCTCCGAACTCGGATTTGTGTTGTAGAAGAAGCAGCAGAAACACTCGAGGCTCCTGTCACCGCTGCTTGTTTCCCTAGTCTCGAGCACCTCGTCTTGGTCGGTGATCACCAACAGCTGCGCCCTCACACCCAGGTGCGTGCCTTTGAAGACAAACCATACTTCCTGAACTTGTCACTCTTCGAGCGTTTAGTCTGTAATGACGTCGCCTTCGATACGCTTACCCGACAACGTCGTATGATACCTGAGATACGACGACTGTTATATCCCATCTACCAGGATACACTCAAGGACCACAAGAGCGTAAAGGATCTTAGTAACCGCCCGCCAGTCGAAGGCATGGGTGGAAACAACAGTTTCTTCTTTTGTCACGACTGGCAAGAGACCCGCGATACTTACATGTCGGCGCTGAACCCAATGGAAGCACATATGATAGTCCAATTTTTCGACTACTTGGTTCTGAACGGTGTCGATGCTACCAAGATTACGGTATTGACCTTCTACAACGGTCAGCGCAAGGAGATCATGCGGAGGCTCCGGGCGCATCCGAATCTATGTGGCGGAGTGCACGATATCCAGGTAGTAACCGTGGACAGCTACCAAGGCGAGGAGAACGATATCGTCCTACTTTCTTTGGTACGATCAAACCACAAACATTCCATTGGGTTCCTGAACTCCGAGAACCGCGCCTGTGTCGCCCTTTCCCGAGCCAAACGAGGCTTCTACATCTTCGGAAATGCAGAGCTTCTTGCGTGCGAAAGCGGTACTTGGGCTTCAGTCATTGAGATAATGTGGAGGAATAAGAAGGTCAGGGTGACGACAGGCCAAGAGCGGCGGATAGGTTATCAGTTCCCGCTCGAATGCAGCAACCATGGACGCAAGATATGGTGCGAAGTGCCCGAAGACTTCGAACTTATCAAGGGTGGATGTGACATCAAGTGCCAAGGGTCGTTGCCATGCGGACATCGCTGCCCATACCCATGTAAGCGTACCAATATACGAACTATATGGGAGACGGATACTAAATCGCTTACTAGGTCATCCCTTTGAACATCACAGGATCAACTGCACGCAGAAATGCTCCAGGCGCCTTGAGACTTGTGGTCATCCTTGTATCGGTACGTGTTGCCTTCAAATGCAAGCAAGACCCCTTACTGACAATCTTTAGCGGAGTGTTGCGACCCGTGCAAGTGTCATGTGTGCGACCGTCGCAGTGGTGGCGTCAAATCGACTTTGAAACCAGTAAACGGGGCGGCACCGTTTCGCGGAGCCCGGCCAAACACGCAAAGCTTGATGCTCGAAGACACGTTACCCGGCCCTGGATCCTCTAAACGTGGTGTCCAGACCTATGCGCCCACTCAACGCATGACGACCCCGGGTCTATCAGATTGCACTACGGTACAGTGGGATGTCTACGCTAATGGCGGTGGTGTACAGGAAGACGATGCACGTGCATACGCGAAGATGCAGGTGGAAGCCCTATACTATGCACATCGAACATCTACTCCTGGGACCGAGACTACAGGCGGCAAGCTGATTGAGCTGTTGCCAGAGAAGGACGCAACTGTTTCCAAAAACATGGGCTTGCTTCTTGATCTTGACGTCGAACCATTGGTCCCAGAGAGTCATCCCCAAACGCCGCGGTCATATGCAAATGCTGCGAAGCCCTACGTCAACCTTTTGGATTGAATGACTATACGCAACAATGGAGTTTTGGCGTGATCAGTGCGTTCGTGCTTGAAGTGTACCGGTGGATAGTTATGTGCAATCATATCGACGTGAACTAGGAGAACATGCATCGATACAGGGCATTGGTAGAAGGTATGCATAGCAACTCTAGCGCAAAGGACTCGTGTCCGGGGTATATAGCTAAATCTTCAGATCGCTCAACATCTTTGCCATGCTCAATCTTTCCTGTCCCCATCCATCTGGACCTCGAACACTTCGCTAGCCAGCTTTGCGACATCACCACCAAGCCCCGCAAGTCCGGCCTTGATACTTTCAATTGTTTGCGACGTCAAGTTGCCTTTCCGCGAGTAGAAGTCTACACCCGCAGGGGTAAACAACGTCTTTGCAAAGTACGTCACGACCCAACTGTTGTCAGTGCCCTCCTCGTCGCCATAGCCTAGTATCTCCCATTTGCTCGTCGCAATCACCAACCACCCCTTGCCACGCCAGTTGTAGCCGAGACTCGCCACTTCTTCGCCCTCTGTACCTGACGCTGACGCTGTATTTGGTACATCAAACGGCTTGTCAACTCCATGCACAGTCTTGATCTTCTCGGCGCCCAGAGATTGGTACGTGACTACGTCGTCGATCTGAGCGGGCTGTGTGGAGGGAATGGCAGTGTATGTGATGCGCACGTTGCGCGATTTCTTCCACATGGGCAGCGTGGAGTGGGTTACATTCCAGGAGCCTGAAAGCCATGACAGGGCGGGTGGTGCGAGCGAGGGGGAGGGTTCGGTGGACGGCAGAGACGATGGAGCGCGGAGGGTTACCATGGTGAGGTGATTTTGTTTGGTGGGGTGAGGGCGGTTGGTGATTGGCGATGTATGTGTGGAGATGGACGCGTGGAATCTGGAGAGATTTTTGTGGGTATTAGATGATGATGACGATTGACAATTGTTGACGATGGGTGTTGATGAGGTTGGACGGACAACGAATTTTCGACGTGGCTGGGGGAGCGGTCTAACGTTTGTCAAGAGAGTCGCGAAGCTGTCGCGATGTCAGTCGTCTGGAGACGGATACTTCGAAGCTACTATATGCTTCATATTTGCTTTTGATCAGCTGTAGATCCCATCTACACTTAACACATCATCATTTCCATCACCACCGCGTCTCTCATTAGCACTCGATAACGCGACAGGGCTAACAGATCGACGCTACCGGGAGCCAACGCAGCCGGGGGCACGTGCCAAGCCACCAGCCGTATCCCGCCACTCCAACAATAGATCGTACTACCTACTTCCGAACTTCGCCTCAGCACCCCAGGGTCCATCAAAAATCGAATAACCTGACATCACCTTTCCCGCCTGCCCGCCTCCGACGCGTAACGCCCTGTCCATGGCCAGCGAAATTCGACTGTCTGTCCCACCATCTGCGGTCTTCCTAGAAGCCGATGTCGCCAGTTAATGCATCGTAACCCATGTTTCGACTGCGTCGCGGCGGCTCTCGGTTGGCCGGGGGCTGACGAGGCCTGAAACTCTTGCACCAGTTTGTCCACGTCGCTTCGTGGGCTGTGCAGTGAGTACGAGAACACCGTTTGCGAAGTGCTTGCCAGGCTCCACTCTTTGTGGCAGTTTGATGGTTGGTAGCGCGCCACTTTTTTCCTGCGCCCAGTCACCACCTGTTTCCATGATTACCGTATACAGGCTTGGGTGGCTAGGCTGAGACGACTGCTGCACAATAGTATAATAGCATTGTGATCCCCAGTCTTGATGATTGTAGAGTAACTACTTTTGCTTTTTCCAACGGGTTTACATCATTGAACGACGTTGTTCCTTTGACATTGTTTGGGGATATTGCATAGATTGCTTGATTGTTCTCCAGTACACGGCTTACGACCTCCGTTTGACGACGACCACGACCACGACCACGGAAAAGCGCTGCCAAGCTGACTATTCGAGAGGAACTATCCTACAAACTCAACGCACACATCAACATGTTTTCAAGAAGCATACTACTCCAAGCTTCGGCTCTTTTGCCCTTGCTATACGCACCCGCCTCCGCACAAAACGCTTGCAACAACTCGCCCGACCTATGTACCCGCCCATACAACAACATCACATACCTGGGTGCGCACAATTCTCCATTCCTAAGGAACAAAGAGACATCGTTCTCCACATCTGGAAACCACTACTACAACACCACAACACAACTCGATGCTGGCGTGCGCCTTCTCTCAGGACAAGTTCACAAGGCCAACGGCACCGGCAACGATGCATGGCATCTCTGCCATAGCAGCTGCGACCTGCTTGACGCTGGAACTCTGGAAAGCTGGCTCGGTGAGATAAAAACCTGGATGGACGCCAACACAAACGACGTTGTAACCCTCCTCCTCGTAAACTCCGACAACGCCTCCCCCGCAGATCTCGGCGGAGTTTTTTCCTCATCAGGACTCGACAAAATCGCCTACTCACCCCCAAGCTTGACAACCACACCGCAAACATGGCCCACGCTCGACACTCTAATCGGCAACAACACCCGCTTGATGTCTTTCGTCGCCAGCCTCCCGAACCCCTCGTCAGACTACCCATACCTCATGGACGAATTCGTGTACATGTTCGAAAACGACTATGAAAACGTCTCCCCTTCAAACTACTCCTGTAACCCATCGCGCCCGGAAGCCGTTGCTGGAAACCCCTCTACAGCTCTAGAGTCTGGTCGCATGTTCCTACAGAACCACTTCTTGTACGAGACGCAGCTCTTTGGTATCCAGTCTCCCAATGAGACCTATGCCAATGTCACCAATGCGGAGACCGGCTTTGGAAGCTTAGGCGAATCGATACAGGAGTGCGAGGGTATCTACGGAAAGCCGGCCAGTTTCGTCATGGTGGACTTCTTTAACGTCGGACCTGCGATTGCGAGTGTAGATCGCGCCAACGGCGTGAGTGGCGCACAGGGCAGAAAGAGTCTTAGCACAGAGGCGTTGGTGCAAAGTACCGGTGCTGGAGTCAGAGAGAGGGGAAGCCTACTGGCTGTGGTTTTGGCAGTCGGTGTCGCTGTTTTCTTTGGAGCGTAATAAGTGACAAGAGAGATTAGTATTGGATATTGCGGCAACTTTGGTTATTTGCATGGCGATGGCGTTTTGGTCTCTGGAACTCCTAGATTTTGGATGTTCGGATTAGGATATATTGGGTCAACGAACAAATGACGCGCCGCGTTTTCGCGCTTCGCTACGTCTGGATATGTAGCTTAAGTAGAGATAGATATGACGTTACGATGAAAGACGATCTCATCAATCAAGCAACTCGATTACTCTTCAATAGGTCTATTGCTTCATCATGCATACTCAACTACTCTTGGAAAGGCGTGAATTTCTCCAACACACTCTCAGCCTCCTTCAGATCATCCATCAGTACTCGCTTGTGCGCCTCACTCCTAACTCTGATTTCACATTCAAACTTCCGAGGCCGTATGTTGAAGCCCTCGGTATAGGCAAAAGTATCATACTTCACCCCTGCTTTGGGCTGAATATCAAAGGCCCACAGAATCTTCGCTAGCGCAATGTACAGACTATTCTCCGCAAGACTGGCACCAGGGCAGATGCGCCTTCCCCAGCCAAACGACGAGTGACCTGATTTTGCTGGATGGGGTTTGCCCGTGAGCGGTGTTGGTGCTTTGGAGCGTTCCACAAGCGCCTCATCGAGGAAGCGTGTGGGATCGAAGTGGTGTGGATTCGGATAGTACTCCTCGTTGAGGTTTATAGCCCATGAGTTTCCTAGAACAGTGGTGCCAGAAGGAATATAGTATCCTTCGTAACGATCATCCTCTGTGGAGGCGTGAGGTGTACCTCCGAGAACGGCAACAGGACGCCAGCGAAGAACTTCCTTTACCAGAGCGCGAATATATGGCAGGTTCGTTTCGTCTTCAAACGTAGGACTGCGGCCAGTGCCGATGATGGTGTCTAATTCGCGATGGGCGGCGTGTAGGGTCTCGGGATGCGTGACCAACGCTAGGAAGGCAGTGCAGAGCGTCGAGGCCGTAGTATCAGACCCAGCGCCGAAAAGCGATGCTGGGATGTAGGAGAAATTGCGATCCGACAAGGGGATATGCTCCGTCTCTCGCAATTCGAGCAGAAGCTTGCAGAGTGAATCTGGAATATCGCCGCCCTGGGTCTTTGCTCTCGCAAGATCCGAGCGTACGACATCCACCAAGGCCATGTTCGCAGCTGCTTCCTCACGACCACGCGCTTTTATATCAGCCTTCCAAGGCGCCAGAGCATCTGGGACATGCTTCAAGATGGGGAAGGACTCGACGAGGTACTTTCCAGGCACATTCAGCGATGCGGCGACATGCATGAACTTGAAGCGCTGGTGGATGACGTTGGCATTGAGCGAGTCGATGCGGTGTCCGTATGCGACACAGAAAACGATGCTGGAAGTGAATCGTTCGAGGAGTTTCTCCCAGTTGGCCGGGCTGTTGAGGAGCTGCTGGCAAAGCCGCGATGCCTCTGCTGTTTGAACGGGCTTGTACAACCTCAGCGCCCTGGGTGTCAAAGCCTGATGTAGCAGCTTCCTCCGCACACTCCATTCTTTGCCATATGGCTGTACCAGTATACTAGCATTGTCCCACAGTATCTCGCCCATAGCCACCATACGCGGACGCGACGAGTACTTTGTGCTCCGCTTCTCCATCAGCTCGACAGCGATGTTGGGGTCGGATATGATGACAGTAGGCTTGCGGCCGATCCATATCGTGAAGATGGGACCGTATATCTTGGACCATTCCTGGAACTGGATCCAGGGCTTTGATTTTGGGAGTTGAAGTTTGTTGCCGAGAAACGGGAGAGGCGTGGGACCTGGAGGCATTCGGAGCCACACCCAGACATCGTGGAGAAGCGTCGCGAGGGGTACCGCGAGGGCGATAGAAAGCCACAAGTAGGGTGGTAGGTAAAGGAGAGAATCTAGCGCCATGTCAACAAGGGTGCGTAGAGGATAGACGCTGATGCTATCCAGGGCTGTCGAGCACTTGGAAGGCGATATGTACTCGCGACATCGGACTTGAGCGCTTCTACAGCTTCCAACGTGATGCTCGGCAGTTGTACTTGCTCGCTACTGTTGCTCCGCGATGCATGGCGGGAGGAGGATGCGGGGTGCTTATTCGTTCACTCATCCCTTCATCATGCCAAAGAGCCGCCCCACCGTCTAGCGGTCGGCCTGCTCTCTCCACTCATGCATCGTTATGAGAATGGAACTAAGCCTGCCTTGGAAATTCTTCGAAACGGTATTTGCTCAAAGTCATGATTGCTGGCGAGAGACAGTGATGACATGTCGCGCTCGGGGTAATTTACCCGGACTAGCGCGTTGCGGGGAAGGTCCGGGACAGGAGAGGAGGATTGCGATTGCACCCGCAACTTTACACCTACGCACGTCGTCTCTGTGCGCTTATTCTGACTGACATGTCACTACTAAAACGCATGATATCATTTTCTGCGCCACATAGAACGCCGTCGGTAATCTCGAAGGTGCCCGCCTTCGAGAATGCGGGACGCGTATCCGTCATCGTGAAGGGCGATTCCGCTAAATCATTCATGACCATGGCATCGAAAGAGCTATCAAGACAATCATGTTGCTGACGTTTCGAATTTGTCCTATTCATCGTAACGGAAACTAGGTCAACTCCTATGGATATTACAAACTCAAAGGTCGCTGTTGTTTCCAAAAGAGTCTTGCTTATCTCACCCCATACAATTGAAGGTCCATGAATGTGCAATATTCGCATCGATCCTAGAGCAGACACCTAACCTAGAGATCTTCAAATTTAGAGAATCGGTTCCCTAGACACTATAGTTACGCGAGTCTACTAAGGTCACGCTCATCATCTAAGAAAGTACACCGCGGTGTCTTGAAGTTGAACGTACTAAAGCGATACTGTAGATTACTCCCTACATGATAAGGTTAGGAAGCAGCTTTCGGGCTCGACAATCACACGACGACGTCTGGCATTGAACCTGTCAATAAAGAATTGTGAGAACTGAGTCTACGCTGAGCTCCTTGACGATTCAGATTACAGCAACTCTACCAAGCTATATCACGTCGAGATCCCCGATTTCTTGCTTACAGGCGAATTTCTACGTTTACCAGAAGAACAGGCGGGCAACATCTTGCATCACACTCTGGAAGAAGCTCTACGCTGGTAAACGGGTCAGGGTTGGGTTGTGGTTGTGTAGGATTTGTAAGATCCTAATCCAACCACAACCATTAACCCGTGATTTTAGACTCTAGCATGGGTATAGGTTGGGTTGGGGTTGGGTATAGTATACCCAAGTATACCCAAGTATATACACCTGTGTCTAAAGCAATCATCACATATGATTATAGCTAACCCAGATGAAACCCTATATCCACGCTCCTCCCAACCCAACCAAACCTATACCCACGCTAGAGTCTACCCTGATCCAACCTATACCCGAGGCCCGTGCAACCACAACCAAACTAATGCCCATCACAGGGTATACTATACCCATTTACCAGCGTAGGAAGAACCACCCATTGCTCATGTTGATGGGACGATCAGCAATATCTGAGATGTCCAACGTAGTATTTTCTTTACATGTCATCAACACAGCGACCCCTCAAAGCTGTGCGAGGTTGAGCTTGATGCTGAGTGTCGTCCTATGGTTAAGTGCTACACCGGAGGTAGTTGCAGCAAACTGAAGCGGCATGGTATCGAAGTGGAGGCTCTGATAGATGATTCAGCCGTAGGGCTTCTGGTATATGCCTCAGAAGAGACTTATACTGACTGTAAATTTTAGACGTATAGGCAGCAAATCTGGGTCAGTAGTAAGCATTTCCTTTTGTCTGGACAGAGGAACGTAGCTTGCCAGTGTGTTATTTCATCTATATACCTGTGGTAGTGCCTCACAGAGAAGTGTGAGGATGTAATGAAAAGACATATAGTTTAATGACTCTTGTAATTGAGTTTGATTGTGAGAAGACTGAACTTCGATTCTTTGACGAGGTACATCAGAAGTGACGCCCGGCTATGCGGAGAGACTCGCGCCCGAACGTGCGTCAATTCTCCGATAGACAGGCTTCCACCACTGCGACCGGCCTCAAGTGGCTCCCGCTGTCAGATGTGAGCTTATCCATATGCAGTGGACATAGGCGAGCGCCAACTCATACGCATGGATACGATCGCCGAACTGCCATACAGTAAGCTAGCCACCCGAACGTTGTGCCTAACGTAACCCGAACGACGGGTCGCGCTTCCTGAAGACTATCCTGGTAGCGCATCTATGCTAGTAATACAGTGTTACCGAAGTTGCATACCAGGTTCGGCGCATAGTTCCTGCATGGGAGTGGTCCAAAAACCACGGCATTGCTCCATTGGCGAGAATTTAGTCCGTGGCTGGGTCAGATACTGAGCACTCTGTACGACAGTGACTCGGAGTAGCTACCACGCGTAGCTCACATGGCTGCCTTTGACAGTTGTAGCACCGGATCGGATCGCAAAGCGCAATTGAAGCGCCAATGCAACCGTTTCTTTGAGTACAAGCTTACTATAACGTTGACATAATGCTTCGTGCGCATGTCATTGACACTGAGATTATAGGGCTTCGATGAGCTTCTGCGATCATGAGGTGGAGCTGTGGAGGAGGTAGCTTACCAGGAATGGCTGCATAGTGCAAGCCGCCACACTAAGAGGACGTTGGGCAGTACATGCAAGGGCGTTAGTGGCATACCGCGATGACCACATGTCATCAGATGGAGCTAGACAAAATCCTTCACCGCCACTATACATGCTCTTACCTTATGGTGGAATTGTAATTGGAACGTCTACGGATGCGTGTGAGGTGTCGTGCGTGGTTACGCAGTGCAGGGATTGCACATCGGCTTCAGGCATCAAAGAGCCAAGTCTGTCCTGCAGCCAGGCGTTGTCTTCGCGTCCACAGCCAATTGCCGGTGAAAAGGCCTGTCTTTGTTGCTGCTCGCAAGGATGACGCACCGACCCAAGGAGGGGCACGAGCAGGCGGGGCGCTGCTAGGACCCGAATATTCCTCCACGACCTTCCATGGCCGTGACCATGACAAAGTCCAGGAAATGTCGTCCTCCCATTGCGCTGCATGTCGGCGCGCGCAATCTTTCTCCTACAATCTCGTGCAAACAATTCCCGCCACTGGTGTCATGCACTATCTGATCCTCCGCATCCCGTTCCAGATTGCATGCTCAAAGGCGCTGGCAGCTGTCGAGCCAGCGCATCAACTTGACAACACTTAGCATGTCCGTCCGGCAGACTACCCATGCATGTACATAGCTCCACCGGCGCTGCTTTTGCATGACATTGGTGTCCGCGTCTGCTGCGCTTACTCTGCCTCGCTGCCTTTAGCACGCACTGATGCCGGTCATTGACGGCACTGCTTCTACAGTCGTAACCGTTTGCCATTGCACGCCAATTCGCTCCGCTGAACCTTCTATACTGATACGAGCTGAGCTTTTATTCACTAGTCTCTTGTCCTGACCAATTGGCACTTTGAGTATCCAGTATCGCTCCGAGGCATCGTTGATCGGCTGCGGCCTACGGCCAAGGGCATTCATCCAGCCCAGTCTAGATGACGCTTTCAAGACCGGCTCTAGCGGAAAGAGACCTCAATGGACGTAAGACTATGCACCTTTATCACCACCAGGGCGGGGTTAGGAGCCTGAGTCGGCATGAAGGGGTCAAAGCCAGTCCCCGTTGATCAGCATGCTCCTAGCATGTCTATGGCTGAATGGTATAAAAAGAGGCCTTTTCACAGGCTCAACGAAATTCCCTTCTGCTTCTCTTTCACTCACCCCTCTAGATATCGTTACACTACATCACATTTGCCTCTTGTCTAAGCATTACAAGCTTCAGTGCTCCTAGCAATCACTCAAAACATCAAAACATTTGAGCTTCGTGCCATCACACCACTCAATACCCTTTGACACCTATCCTGAATACAACGGATATTCAAAATGGCTTCTACCCACTCTTTCTACCACTACCCCCAGTCCTCTTACCCGATCAGCATGCCACAGAAGCCAGGCTTCTACTATCCGCAGCAACAACATGGTTACGGACGTGTGGCAGGATCACCACCTGAGGCCAACGATAGTGTCACAACATCTGGAGTTCCATCGTACGAGCCATCGGCAACTTCCAGCAACTACGCCGGATCTGCCAGTGATTACGAGTCAACTAGCGGCGCCGCCAGCGTGGATCTCCTCGATTACATGGGCAGCCGTGTGAACGGTTCATTCAATCCGATGCCGCTAGATCGCAGCTTGGCGAGACAGGCACAAACGTAAGTTCAAAGACCTCCTGCTGCGAGGCCGATCAAAAGGTTTCGATTGTGGTTGCAGAGCTGACATGACAACCAGATCTGGTGAACTTAACGCTAAGCACCGAGAACTCCTTGAATTACAGCAACTTGCTCAGCGCCGATTGGCTGGTGCTCGCATGAACTTTGCCGATGGCATGAAAGCTGCGAAAGAAGTGCAGAGAGATTTGCAATGGACGCAGAAGCGAGTAGAGTAAGAATAGTGTAATTCCAGAGTGAACAGTATAACTGACATTTTCGATAGCTCACTCAACGAGCGAGCGGCACGCAAATACCCAGATCAATTCCGCACTGCCCAAGGCAAATACCCGTCACCAGTGGACTACTAGTACCACGGATTCTTACAAAACTGCCTTACGGCCTCTGTGGATGATTCAAACATACAACTTTCGGTTTCTTCAAAAATCCGGGCGGCACACGGTTATTTTACAACTTTCTGGGCTCTACAGGTTTTTCTGTTTCTGTTATATATCACGACGTTACCACAAACAATGTGGTATGCGTCAAGTTACGAACTGTCGTTCACGGTTTCCTGCTCCACTCCGCTCCACTCTCGGCCTCGCTGCTTTAGCGAAACCCACACGCCGGCATTTTACTTTTTCCAGCAAATGTGACGCGGTCCGGCCCGCTGCCTGATGCAAGTGCTACGCGCTTGTTTATAGCTAGCGAACGAATGGCGGCAGTCAATCGACTTGCGGGACCTGATAGTGCGGCACTGGCGTGATCCCTTGTCAGCCGTCGATGGGCCGGAGGCGAACTGCAAGCTGGTAAGCATCTTCATTCGTCAAACGTTGACGAATAGACGGTGGGACTCGACGGGTGGTACTGAGGCGTTGGATCCGGCTGGGTGTTCTCCTTTCGTCTCCTTAGTTTGGGAATTGGTCTGCTTTTGGGTCGACGTCATGATAGTACTATACCATGAGGCTGGAGAAGGATTGGTCTTTTTTGCAAAGGGCTCTTTGGTGTGACTTCTCTATTATTACTCACATGTTGATGTAACGGCTTGTATGACCGTTGCGGCCGTCTCCCAGCGGAGCGGTCCACCCACAAGCACTTGAATGCTATATATTTTAACCGAGTCGCAGTGTGGGGGATGTGAAGCCATTCTAGTTCTCATCCTGCTTAAACGTGCCATTCCAGTGGATCCGCAAGGTCCACTCGTAAGCCAACTGATTGCACAAGCCCGCTCCATGTTCCAATGTAGTGGCAACATCATGTGACGGTTCATCCTTAAACCTAGCCAGTGGGCATCAACTCGCGCTAGGCCAACTGAAACATGAAACCTGTGTCTCTGCAAGTTACCTGCATTGAACATAATTGCACTAACCCCAAAGACAAGTTCCCCCACTGTTCCCCCATAAGCAAGCCACACCCCGACGAACGAAGAAGACCGGTTTAGAGTTTCAACTCAAAACCCCTACTGTACATCTCAGGCCATCACTTTCATGACTTGCCAATGATGCAAGCTCATGCCGTACATCCCTAAGCCACAGTATGTCGTGCATCTACCCCCGCCTAAACGCCACGCACCATTTCGTATCCACCTAATCGGAAGCAAGGCGGCCCAAGTACGACTCGGGAGAAGAAAAGGAAAGCAGCGGGGAGCTCCGAAATAATCGCGTAACTAACTCCACTGCAGGGATCTGACCTGATGAAGCAGTGTCTGCCTGCTGCGTTGTGAGACCAAGGGTACCGACAGGTGTCAGATGTGAGGTTATTGAAAAGCGGCCTGACAAGTGACTAACAGTTGTGCAGCAATTTGAGGAGACGAAGACATGTTGTGGAATGGGTAAGATTCCGGACGAGAACCGGAGATGTTGCTTTTGATGGGAGTGGGCAGGGATACGAGTAGAAGTGAGGCGAATGGTGTACAGACTTTGAGGTGAGGTTGAGTGCAAGTTTAACGGAGGTATCAGAAGACGACATTTCAGCATGATATCCTTTCTCAATAATTATTCTATGTTCCCACAATAGATGCTGTCATTACAGTGGTTGCATAAGACATCTACAGGTAGTCTAGCTAATTCAATTCGATGGTCCGACGAGTAGTTCGTTGATGTTGAACCCTTGCCAGCCTAAATCGAACCCCGGTTCGCAGCAATAGCACGAGACATGACGCGAGCGAAACGGCCAGGTACATCCTGGTCTTGCTTCGCGGTCTCGATACCGGTGAGGATCTTCTTGATACCGACCCCGATTTCAGTGTTACCTGTCATCTCCTGTATCTCACTGATGGCACGCTGTTGATCGGAATCAGAGAAGGCACCAGATTCTTGCAGGACATTGGCGAGCTCCTTTTGTGTGTTCACGTTTGGGACTGCGATTTCGGCATCGAATCTGGCGAAGAGGTCGAGCTGTGTGAGTACCGATCGTTCGGTTGTTGTCGCGAAAATAAGTAAGCGACGGTCCTAGGTCTGTTAGAGGATTTCATGGATGATGTGATACAGGGATTCTGCATACCTTTGGTGGCTCCTTGCCAAGCAGGACCTTCAGAGCAGCCAGAACCGTGTTACTGAACCTGGGACCAATTGGTACCCAATCCAACAAAAGCTCAATTGAGTCAATGACGATAACGCTTAATGGACTCTTGTATGCATCTCGGAACACCTTGTCGAGCTGCCCAACCTTTTGCATCTCACTGTAGCCAATCATGTCTTCAGCTGAAATCAACTTGATGAACGGGTAGCCTGAATCAATGGCCATTTTGGCAGCCAAAGCTGTCTTTCCAGAACCTGGTGGTCCGTGTAGTGCAACAGAGAGTAGCGGCGATGATTCTGGTTTCCTGACTTGATTGATATACAGGCGTCCGTCCTCCAGTATATCGTTGATGAATGACGAGTAGTGGATGATACCGTGTCGTAGTCGCTTGCTGAGTTCCTCTTCAGCGACACCGAAAAGCGGTTTGACGTCATCAAGTGCCGTCATGAAATCTTGTCGCATAACTTTGATGTCTTCCACGTCTGCCTTAACAGTGGTGCCGTCTTTGATATGTCGATTGGAGGCGTATGATGTGGCAGCCCTCACCAAACCATTGATTTCAGCACCAGAAAAGTTCTTCGTCAGCTTAGCCAACTCTTCGACATCGACATCGGGCGCAAGAACGTCGTTCTTGCGCATCTTCGCAGTGTGGATCTTGAGGATCTGGGCTCGACCAGACTCATCAGGCAGGGAAATCTCCAGATGCACCTCGAGACGACCGGGACGCAAGAGGGCCTCATCGATCATGTCCATGCGGTTCGTCATACCAATGAGTAGGATGTTGTGCAGCTGATCGACACCATCGAGCTTGGATAGCAGCTGGTTGACAACACTGTCGCCTACGCCAGTACCGCTGCCCGCACCAGAACCTCTCTGCTTGCAGACAGCGTCAAGTTCGTCGAAGATGATGATATGAAGGCCACTCTCATCGCCCTTCTCTTTTTGCTCTTTCTCTGCATCGGCGAACATTTTTCGGATGTTTTCTTCCGAAGCTCCGACGTACTTGTTTAGTACTTCAGGGCCGTTGATGACCTTGGGCTCCCGGGCGTTCAGCATCTTTCCGATTTGCCTAGCAATCAAAGTTTTACCAGTACCAGGGGGTCCGTATAGAAGCATACCACGGACGTGATCGATACCCATTCTCTCGCGAATGCCCGGAGGCAGAATACGGGAGGCGAAAGCTCGTCGAAAGATGGCACCAAACTCTTTATCCAAGCCACCAATACCCATATCTTCGAACTTGAAACCTGGCTGGATGATGGAGTTTGCCGCTGCGCGTCGCGCTGATGCTTTTAGTTTAATGTCTGTTCGAGCGTCCTTGAAGAAATCGACCTGAGTATGTCTGGTGAGGATTCCACGAGCACGCGGATCGGTGAGGGAGGGCGCGTTCGTGTCGTCCTTCTCCATGGACAGATCCGCAAGTGTGACAGTTCGTATGGATAGCCTGAGTGGTATACTCTTGATATCCATCAAGAGTTGCTGGCCTGGCGCAAGGATCTGATTCTCGAAACTCTTCTTGAGCATGGTAGCGAGCTCGTCCTGGTCGTACGGCGTCTCGGTGGTCTTCCTCCCTGCAAATCCGACTTCGACGTCAACTGCGCCCAGGTATGACTTTCCGCCGCTCTGAGCAAAGTGGTCGTAAGGTGCTGCCATGACAACCTCCTGAGGCCCAAGTGATATACTAGCCCATGTTCGTTGTGCATCTGTGAGACCAATCTCGCCTGGGTTGCATCCTTGTGTAGGTCGAGCAGAGAGGGCGAAGTTTCCGTTGATGAGGATGTAGACATCGGAGCCGTCGGGGTTTGGTGGGAAGTCTTGAGGCGAGACTGCAACACTTTGAGGTGTTAGCAGAGGCGTTGGAACGGGGTGATTGTGGGCTGAACGTACATGTTGCCGAAAGCATAGGCGTTGCCTCCTGGGCTCTTGATGGGCCGCAACTGTCTTGCAGGCCCGGCCCCTCCACCGCCTCCTGGTGGGCCTCTTGCGGGCATACGCTGTCCACCAGGTGGTGGAGCACCATAGGCTTGTGGTTGTCGGTCATCGTAGCCGCCCATTCTTGTGTCTTGTCCGCGCGGAGGCCCTTGTGGTGGTTGCTGTTGCGGTGGCCGTCCGTAACCGTCGTTGCGTGGTGCTGGCCGAGGGGAGCTTCCAGGAAGGCCTGGGAGTCGGTCGCGGTTGAACATGTTTGGCGGTTGGAAGTCGTTATCGAACTCGAGAATGTAGGGAGTGGTGTATGCCACGTATGGTCTTGGAGGAGGCAGAAGTAATGAGGCCTCACGGGGTCGCAAAGGTGTCTAGGCTGTAGTATGGGGACAAATTTGGTCCGCTCTCACTGCAATAACTATTCGATGATCTGTCCGGTCCAAATGCCGCCACTAAGCAAGCCAAAGCAGAAACAAGCGTGATACAACTTGACCGTCAGGGTCTGAGATGCCGTGTGGGGAGCTTCAGGAACGCGCTTGGACCAAGCCACAAGCCACACGTCATCCCCGCCGCTCCGCACCTGCCGCCACTGCCCAACGTCGCGTCTGGAAGCTGCATGCTACTTGATCCAAAGGGTGGCCATACACACTGGTTGCAATATCTCCACGACGCATGATGAAGATTCAGATTAATTATTGAACTGGTCCCTTACTGTTCCTGGGCAACAGCGTCTCCTGCGATGGAGGATGGCGGGACGCTACTAGTACCGTACCGCCGTAATGGCGAGCGCCCCGTTGATACTGACCACATCATCATACGGACAAGACTGATGTTTGCCGCTCAATAGCCTTTCCCAAGATGCACTGCCTTGCCTCCGCCATACCACAAAGTACCTGTCCTGCAGTGCAGACCTGTTTCTTGTCCCACGTTGAACTCTCCACCAGTAGGTATCTTGCCTTCGTTGTGTTCGGGCCAATACTCTTTCTCGAGCCAAGCATTAATCTTTTCGATTTTATCGATCAAAGCTTTCGTCTTTTGAGCATCAGGCGAGCCAGTCCCGTCTTCAAAGTCCTTGGTATGGATAAAGCGGCCAATGGTGAGATGGCTTGAGGGCACAACGTACCGTGACTCAACTTGAAGGCCTGCATCACGGCACATGGAGAAGAGGTCCCGGCGGAGATGATGGTAAGTGAGTTTATCGTCCTCTGGTGTGCGACCCGAATGTAGGCCTTCGCTGGCTGCAGGTACAAAGCTCAATGCTATGGCTGAAGCGTCGTACCCGATGAGCGGTTTGATAAGGCGCGTGCGGTGGTCGTGGGTGAAGTCAGTTATGGCAGGTATCTTGTCTCGTACTCCATCTACTAGCTTCTGAATCTCCGGTGCCGTCTTCGAATGCGTTATTTCCAATGCCGTGATGTGGAGGTTGTCCCGTGGCATGAGCCAAAGATCTATTCGTGTTAGAATTAGACTTTAACAACAACGACATATTACGTACTAGGTGCCACCGTCAGCAGTTCCTGTTGCACTCGGTTGATCATATCCTTGACTTGCTGTGTCGGTCTTCCCCAAAAGACCTGTTCGTGTACAGAGTCAGTTTTCGTCTCATATCCGGCTCGTACATCGGGATTCTCACAAAGCAGTTGCGGGGATCTTTGTATCCAGGCTCGACAGTGGTATCATGGACTCTTAACAGTATTGGATCTATGTTGACGCCTTGGAAGTTGGCGTCGAGCATCTTCGCCTTTTGCTGCTGGTTCCTTGTGGTGCGATGCAGCTCATACTTTTCTTGGATTCGCGTCTGCAAAAACGTGCTCAGTAAGTGTGAATACAGAATACAGAAGCATCTTACCGGATCGTCTTCGCATGCCGCAATCAGTGCGTCGTAGGGATTGCTGAATGAGGAAGTTGAGACACCTGTGAGGTCCTCAAAAGTGTTGACCGCCTGATTAGACATGATATTCCTTCGTTAACAGTCGTGAGACAGGGAAAAACCAGATAATTTGTATGTTTCTTTTTGACCTTGCTGCAGAGGACGAGACAGGTACCATACCAAGGCCGCGGGAATACACGAGCTGCGACTTCGCTGCATGGAATGTCACCTTTCCCAACGTGGTAGCCTATCCGCCATGACTACACGTACTTCAAATGTTCTCGTACAAGTCTTCTGTACCTTCACTCGCTAAACTGCCTATCTGATTTGTAGCCATCCTTCCTAGGGCATATCGCTCAATGGCAAGAGACGGCATGCGGGGTATATGCCGTGGTGGAGGCTAACACGTGCTTTCGATCCACCAGCGCGGGACGCGTCGCGCTATGTACCTGCCATGTCCAGGGCTACTACATGCCACATGAAACTCGATGCACCCCACCCCGAATTGCATGCCGTGAGCATGCTCAGCAACCTCACTATTACATAGCCTTATTTCTTATCGTCTCAATGCTGAATTCCGCGTCTCGCAGAGAAGAACAAGAAGCGGCCTGACAACCCACGCAGGCGAAGCGTCATCATTCTACAATCTGAAGACGTCACACCAGAGAAGCCCACCAGAGGTCGAAAGACCAGGCATAGCAACTACGATGACGCACAGCCCACTACAGAAAATGTGTATGAGAAGCCCAAACGCAGCATTATACGCAGCGGCACGGCTAGATTGAAGCGCAGAAAGCTTTTTCCTGACAGCAAACCTAATGAGCATACTCAAGTTGCTAGCCCAAGGTCAAGCCCAACAGGGTCAAGTTTGCGCGAAAGCACGAGGACATCAGAGCAACTTGTAGACGCAAACGACCAGACACAAGATGCCGACGATGGACTACCTTCGCCTATAACTTCGAATGATCTCAGATTAGGGGATGATCTCGAGCTCGACACAGCATCTGGTGAGGATCTCCTGATGGAGGAAGCCGATACTGATCAAAGCAAAGGCAGCGGCACATCGAGCCTTCATCTTGGCGGACGCTCCATCAGAGCTCGGCCAAGGGTATCTTACGTTGAGCAGTTCCCCGATGACCCGTCGGATCTCACAGCTGAAGACGAATCCGAATCCGATGTTTACGTGTCCTCCGCAACGGATGAAGAGAGCGAAGCCGACATTGAGCTTGTCTCTTCCGAAGACGAAGACAAAGTATCAGCCATAAGCGACCCTGGGTCGCTAGACATCATGCTGGACGAAGAGAGCATCGCTGTTGAAGATGACAACCCCAAACCGAAACCACGCAGACAGCACAAGCCTGGCGAATCTACTCGAGCCGACAAGGGCATTGACCTAAGCCTTCCGCCGCTTTTCAAGCATTCAGGAATGTATGTCTGACATGACTACCAAAGCTGTGCAACTCGGTCTTTGCGAAGCCTTGAAAACTCTAGGAGAAAGACCTATCAGGGTTGCCACAATGTGTTCTGGCACAGAATCTCCTTTGCTTGCGCTTGATGAGATCTCGAAAGCCTTGGTGGCAACAGGACGTACTCCGATGCAAATTCAGCAAGAGTTCTCTGCCGAAATCGAAGTATTCAAGCAGGGCTACATAGAGAGAAACTTCGCCCCAAAACGGTTGTTCAGAGATGTCCGTGACTTCATTCGCGAGTCCGCCACCACGGCAGTGACAGCATATGGCGCAGAATTGGATATCCCCACAGATGTGGACATCCTTATTGCGGGCTCCGTCTACAAAGATCTTTCTAGGTTGAACACCAGGGGAAAGACATTGGATGATGGTGGCGAGTCAGGCGACACATTCCAGGGAATGTATGCATATACGGATCGCTTCCGCCCAAGCATAGTGTTGCTTGAGAACGTCAAGAACGAGAAGAAGACGTGGGATGACGTTATGCGCAGATTTGACAGAATCGGATACGAAGCCCAGTGGATTTATTGCGACACGAAAAACTACTACCTACCTCAAACGAGAGAGCGCATGTATATGATTGCGATCGAACGTACTCTTTTCGGCAAAGGTGTCAAGAGCGCGACAAGCCAGTGGAAAGACTTGATGCGAAATCTGGAGAGACAGTGCAGTAGTCCGTACGAAGCGTTCCTCCCAGAATCGCTGAAAGAGTCAAGCGGTCATAGCTTATTGAAGAATGAGCCAGATTAGGCTCTATGTAGATTACGAAACGATCACATTCGCTCCGAGAAGAGGCTGGGAATACTAAGCCCCATCAGCCGACGCAGCGATAACGGCACCGTTCTGTAAGTTCACGTAATCCTGCTGTCGTCAATGACACCCAAACTAACAGTTGTGCAGACCCCCTGATTTCGCCGACAGGAAGTCTTACATCTCGCAGTCCTCAAGAGTACACGATGCGATAGACATTGCTCATCTGGAAGCTGCAGCGAAAGGTTACGATTCTCTTTACAAGATGGCGTTGTGGGACGTCAGCCAGAACGTGGATCGGTTCAAAGCAGATTTGGGAATCGCGCCGTGTATTACCCCAGGTGGACAAGATTTTGCGAGCAACCGGCAACACGCCCTCAACGGTAGCCAGCTTTTGATGCTTCAGGGCATGCCTCTTGATAGGTTGCTGTTCGCCAACGAAACCCAAAAGGACTTGCAGAATCTTGCCGGCAATGCCATGTCCACGACGGTGATCGGGGCCTCTCTTATCTCTGCTCTCATTGTTGGATGCAAAGCCTTCCGCCCCTATCAGGCAAAGTCAGGTGGCAAAACATTATCTGCTCCACCTGACAGTAACATGATCACAGAGCCTAGCATGCTGAAGCGTACTTTCCTTCAGCCTAGCACTTACGAGGATCTCAACCTTGTCAAGCTCCAGCAAGAAGCCAAGTCGAGTGCGCGTATGTGTAATTGCGAAGGCAAACAGGCCATAAGCAAGTCCGCAATTCAGATCTGCTCAGCGTGCGGACACTTAGCCTGCTCATCATGCGCGGGTAACCCCAAGCACGTCTACAGGACAATCGTACCAACCAGTCACCGGATAACGCCACCCGACGAACTCATCAGGCGATGGAGGCAACTTATGCCTTCACGGTTGAAGTTCGACGTTTTTCCTGACATCAGTCATCTGGCTTCCAAGCTAGGCGCGAAGGACCCAATACTAGATGGGTATCTGGCTACTGTTTCGGAAGCGCAGCTGGGCTCTCAGTATTTCTGCATGGGCGGATTCTCCCGAGACTACAACCAGTGGAAGATCACCTACAGCTCGCACCAGGCTACAGTTGAGCTAGTGGTGGGTGACCATATACAGTGGTCCTTATTTGTCAAATGTCCAACACATCTTCCTGGCAACAGTACCTTGCGGAAATTCCTCAGTAATCCGATCGCGCAAGCTACCGTTGCAGATACACTTCTCAACGTTGAATGGAGAGTGCGCATACCCTCTACCAAGGATCTTGTCGTTGATGTGAGCGGCTCATTCGAGAAGATTAGCTCATGCAGGAGCAGACTTGGCCTCTCGGACTACAAAGAAGAAACCGTGCCAAAGAGAATCAAGATTAAAAGCGACAGTCTGACGGCCACTGTCGGCGATTATGAGCACCTACCACATTGCGGGACTGCTTTTACAAGTTTATACAAGCGATCAATGGCAGTGCACGACATGTACATGTTTCTAGATCCCGACCCCATTGGCTGGCCAGAGCACGACAGCTTCGTGTTCAGTCGCGACCATACCCGGAAACACTATGGTGAGAGCCGTAGTTCCCTTGCTCGCGTACATCCATCTTGGCGACCATGGCATATGGAGGACGGGCGTGTACACGCCATCACAACCACAGTTGTTGACGTTTGGGCTCCTGCTGCGATGACACTAGTACCAGCGGCTGTATCTTTGCACGCGGACTTTCTTGAGGAAGGACGTCTGGTTGACAGTGTTATGCCAGATTGCTCACAAACGCTTACCTGCTTAGACGTCTTTCTCCACGATGAACTCTCCGTCCAAACTTTCGCAGACTACTCGTGGGCATTGAAGAGTGCCAAAACGCTGCCGCAATGCCTATCCTGGCAAGTAGTGCACTTGGACTGGCAGAGCGAGTGCTCTTGCGCGCCAATCTATCCAGAGATACTTTGGAGCGTGGAAAACGGTGTAGCGACGGCACACGAGGATCGTCGAGCCGCTGCCACATTCGAACGTGCCATCAAGCAACGCCCTACCATAGTCCAACTAGAGGCTTCAAGTGATGCATCAGGAACACGAATTCGGGTGGGCGTCGATATCATGTCTTTGGTCCATCGTGCTCAAGGGAGACTTCCCGAGGCGGACTCTGCAACCACTTCCTGGAGGCTAGTCACGGACCACGCTGATTTACCTTCACAGCCATTCCCGAAATTCCGGTTGCAAAGCAATTCGAACGACCTTCGTGATGCTCTGTTTACGCTACCAGGGTGCCTACGCGGTGCACAGAAGTCTGTTACATGGATGGCAGAGCAAGAGATAGGAAGACCAATAACTATCTGTGAGACAGAAGAGTCTGTTTTTCCAGGTTTGGGTTGGAGAGCAGAAGCTCAGGTCAAGACAGAAGATCGTTCGGGGTGGTGTGTTGGCCGATCAACCTTCGTTCGGCAAGACTGTTGCAAGTATAGGACTAATCCAGAGTAAACTCCATCAGGTCACACCCGAGGAACTCATCAAGCGCAACCAGCCCTTGGCAGCTAAACAACCCCGACGTTTAGACTCTGCTGCAACATTAGTCGTTTGTCCTCCACATATTACTCATCAATGGAGCACAGAGCTCCAAGAATTCCTAGGTTCAGAGGAATTCGACAACTACAACGTCCTTATCATAGAGAACTACAGTCAGCTGAAGAGTCTTACCATCGAAGATTTCCTACAAAGCAGGATTGTCATCGTTTCTTGGACGCTATTCTCTGAGGAAGGTTACATTTCGGAACTGGCAAAATTCACGGCCTTGCCTGAGCCTCTCAAGACCAGTCGCCGTGCATTCAGTTGCTGGCTGGCTAAAGCAGTCAGCGAGATCCCAAGTCAGTTGGCAGTGTACCAGCGTCATGACTATAAGCATTTCAAACGGCTGACGGAGCAACTCCTGGACGAGCGGCTACTGAAGCCTGAATTCCAAGTGACACTACCTGTTAAGATTCTCCATGGTGCTGCGTATGAGTCGTTCAGCACTCAGCTGCCGTCAAGACCTTCAAAACGAGTCAAGACGAAAGCCAACTCTGAAGCAGATAGCTCGTCAAACTTGGCGCCACTGTTGCATCTCTTTCAGTTCAACCGGATCATCGTCGATGAGTACCATTACCTTAACGACAACAACAAGATTGGGAGTAACTTTGTGGCCACGAGTATCAAGAAGATAGCTGCACACAAACGCTGGTGCCTCTCGGGAACACCAGCCTTGGCCAACTTCTCTGATGTCAATCAATTGGCGTCCTTTCTTGGTGTGAAACTTGGTCGATATTTCTGTGGCGACGGCACTGTTCACGACTTCGGCGGAAAAGACATCGAGACTGGATCAGACAGATGTTGAGAGCTTCTTGTCGCAAACCGAAGTCATGTCACGACAGTGGCATGAAGGCAGGCATCAACGCGCACAAGAGTTTCTCGATAACTTCGTGAGACAGAATGAAGCCGAGCTCCGCCATATCCAATGCTCAGAAAAGCTCTTGTCGGTAGATCTAGATGTCGCTCACCACGCGCTCTATCTGGAGCTTTCGCAATACCTCATCTCCCAAAAGATGCAAATCAAGAAGCTCAACAAGAAGTCAGGCTCAGACAGGAGCAGCAGGTTGAATGACAGCCTAGAGGGCTCTGCAAGTGCTGAAGAAGCGCTGCTAAGGTGTGCGTTGATCTTTGAGACCGAAGAGGGCAGGTCAGCGCTCGAAGTCTTGATTGAGAAGCGCTCGCGTCAGCTCCGCAGCACTGAGAAAGAACTGTTGAGACTGCTATCTGAGTTCGAGGGCTCAATGGAACAGATTTCAAACACCGAATCGGGCATCAAGGAGCTGTATGGTCATTACAAGAAGGACGTCTCGCAATACAATTGGCTTGGAGATGATGAATCCAGCCAACGTGTTCGCGCGATGTTGAAAACAGCCCAGAAGACGCCAAGGAGAGATACTACTGCTCTTGAAGAGACATCGAAGGTTCAACGCGAGCGAATGATTAAACAGCAGCTCTCGCAACTCCGCGACATTTCTCTTGAACTCGCGCATAGGACAAGATCGAAACGATTTGTCGTATCTATCCGCGATCATCTACAACTTGCAGCTCTTGACAAGATTCAGCCTCTTCGCTGCAGTTCTCCTAGTTGCAAAGGCACTGTCGACCTTCGACTGCTCTTCTCTATACCACACTGCGGACATACTGCATGCAAAGAGTGTCTTGAACTACGGACTGATGACGAGACCTGCGTTCATCCTGGCTGCAACTCTCATGCGAGCGAGGGTAACCTGATCCGAATGGCCGATCTTGGTTCGAACGAAGGTCAGGATACTGTGCAAGGCTTTGGCAACAAACTTGAGACCGTGGTTCAAATCAATCACCGAATGCCGGCTTCCGACCAGGGCATAGTCTTTGCGCCGAACGAAGAGATTATTAGCATTCTCGAAACTGTGTTTGATCATTACGACATTTCGTACCATTCGCCAGGTCGAGGTCGACACACTGCTTCAGCTAAGCCCATGGAGGAGTTTAAAACAAACAAAGATCCAAAGACAAGAAAGACGCTTATCATACTCAATCTTGGGAGTGAATCTGCAGCTGGCGTGTAGGTCCTCTTTGTTCCTATAGAAACTCTCCTCTTACTGACCATTCGCAGCAATCTTACAATCGCCAACCACGTCGTCTTTGTGTCACCCTTCCTAGCAAAGACACAATATGATTACGATTCCGCTATGGCACAGGCGATCGCCCGAAGTCGCCGTTATGGCCAGAAAAAGAAAGTGTACATTTACCATGTGGTTGCGCTACGAACGATTGATGTTGATATCCTTGAGCATCGCCTCAGACGGAGTGATGCCCTCACTGCTACTGATTCTACGGCCAAGTCATTAAAATCATTAACTACGAAGAAAGAAAAAACACGACTCGCCAGGAATAACAAGAGCGAGATCATGCTAATACCGCATACGTGGTTAGCTGACAAGGCCAAGCGAGAGATCCTGGGTATTGAGGAGTCACCGGATAGGCTCACCTCCCTGATCAACTTCTCTGAGACATTTGAGCAGGAAGACGACGAGTCCTAAGGCAGGCATACAGCAGGCTTGTCGACTGCGATTCACCTTTCAATTTCGTCATTAATCATTTCCGCATTCTGCTTTCATGTTATATACCTTATCGATGTCTTGGTCTCGTGTACGATTACTGTTTTCCGCATAGTCAAGGCGCAAAGTGTAGTTAGCATGATACCCGCAGTCGGGCACAATGCATCTTTGTCTATTACAATTACACTCGTACTGTCATCGTGATGTATTCGAGACAAGCACAATTGACATTCCAGCACTACCAACTACCTAATCTGGCCTGTTGCATACGAACTAGATTAGTATCTCAGCCCCAGCCCACTCTGCTTAGCATAAGCACCACTACCAACCCCCACCAGGGCTCACCGGTAATTCCACCCATCATCATCACCATTACCAGCTCTCCGACCAGTTCAACACCACATACCCCTCTCGAACCACTGCCAAGCCAGGTCGGCTCCACATGCCGCACTCCGCTGAACGGTGAAGGAACGGTACAAAGGTACTTAAGCGCCCCGCGTTAACCGTGTTTCTAGTTAGCAGATGCCCGAATAGGATATTGCTTCTTTGAATGGATGATGGGTGTATTTGACCGATCAGGGCAATGCTGGGTTACAGCTTTCCATGGTTTTTGAAGAGAGTTACTTGGATGGGAAGGTTGGAGTGGGTATAATTCGTAGGTGAACCAAGGGTTGCGAGATATGCAGCTATAGCGTGGTTCGGGGAGACGGCGCAGGCGACATGGATGGGTAGGATGTGATTTCGTGGTTCATCTGTTTCATTGGTGGCATGGAGGATACAGGGTGTCGCATGTGCTATAGCATTTCGGGTTGTCAGTTCACGAGCTCGAGTCGCCCTAGGGTATTGCACTTGGCCAAGCTGAAGACTTAGAACTTTGATTCGCGCGTCCTCGCCTCTCCTCTCAGATAGTACAAAAGTGATGTGTCAAAAACCAAGTCCTTTTCCATCGCCAAACGCCTCGCCGAATGCTACATCAGTCTCGATGCCTGCTCCAATCTGAGTGCCTATGCACGGTTGGAGGAATTACGCATGCGCGCTTTAGCTTGCACGGTACGCTGTACGCAAACAATGATCTCCTGTTGCACTGCATCTTGTCCATGCCTCGAATGCTTATATGACCCATCGGTAACTGGCGTATCGACCGGCTGTCTCGGATTTTCGGATAATCTTGACAACAGAGCCTCTCCTCAGGCCTAGGTACTTGGCGACCGGGTCGGTGGACTGGATTCTGGGCAGCTGTGTCTGCTTCAAACGGTATCGCTGGAGCAGTTGCTGCTTCTCCTCGTCGCTCAGCAGGACATGCTTGGGCACCAACTCGTGCTTTGTGATGTTGACGAGCAAATCTTGCTCAACAAAGACCTCTACACCGCCCTTGGGACCATCGGTGATGCTTGTCGCGCCGCGCAGGAGTCGAATGGCCATACCCGTCATGGGCTTTACGGTGACCATGATACCGGAGTGGAAGGAACCGTTGACAAGATGGGACATGTAGTCGCGCAGTTGCTTCATTCCGACGTTCTCGTCTGCGTTGAACTCGATCCAGATGGTACCGATATTGGGCTGGGGGTTCGGGTTCTTCTTTGTCGGGGCGTCGGTGTACTTTGCGAGCATATCTTCGGAGGGCTGGCAGGAGAAGTTGAGGCGCGAACGGCTGGTAAAAGGTCAGTACTGGGGCCTAGAGATGGGCATGGTTTGGCGCATACTCAGGCTCGCCGTCCTCGCGCGCATATTTCCTGGCGAACTCTTCGAGCGACATGGTCATGTCGTCTTCGACAATCATGTAGCCCTTTATGTACAGTCAGCGCGCAGTCCATGGTGTTCCAAAGCGCATGCGCAACCCACCCGGTCGTTCATCATCTCCTTGGTTGTCCGCCAGACTCTCCACAGGCGAATAAGAGACGCGCCGTACTTTTCGCCTTCCATGTTTGCCGTCGCTAACGTTGATTGTGGAGTAAGGATGTAGGGTTGGGGTGTCGGCGCAACAGGTGAGTGAAGTCGGTCGCGTCAAAGAAATCTCCAGAAGTCCCAAAGGGCAGGCCGGGCGTCGGCTTGGCATGCAGCGCTAGCGCGGAACCTGGAGCTGGACCCCCACCAATTCCGCCCATCTCGAACCTGAACATGGCCTCTTCAAACGAAATCCCCAATCTACGAACACTTCTCGGACAAGGCCGTGGCGGATCATCACGAGGCAGAGGACGTGGAAGAGGCGGCCTTGGTACTTCTAGCGAGGGACGGGCACAAGTTCTCGACAATGCCGTCAAGGCTACGGATCAAGATGCGGCGGGGAGCAGGGTGAGCTGTGTAGAGCTTGGCTATCTTCACGACCCGTATGCGAAGCTGTTTGCGACACAGCAGACGACAAGGAAACTGCCATTGCTCAACCGGGGCACTTATGTTCGCACCTCGGCCATCGACCTCTTAGTCGCCAAGTTCCTCACTACCCACCCGTCGTCGGCGAAGCAGATCGTCTCCCTCGGTGCTGGCACTGACACGCGATTCTTCCGCCTTCTCGACCTATACCCTCAGACGCGCCTCGTATACCATGAGATCGACTTCCCTACCAACACACAGGCCAAGATAGCCGCCATACAGAGGCAACCGCTACTGCATCGGAAGCTCTTACACATGCCGTCAACTTTGGACTCGTACTATTCGGATACCTACAACATTCATGCGCTTGACTTACGGTCTCTGGCGAGTTCGTCAGAAGAGGCGCCCCTACCTCAGATACCCAACCTGGACCCGAGCATACCTACATTGATCTTGTCCGAGATGTGCCTGGTTTACTTGCAGCCTTCGACAGTAAAATCGATAGTGTCATCATTATTGACGCATTACCTACACCCTGCAACGCCCGCCTCTCTCATACTCTACGAGCCTATCCTACCCCAAGATGCCTTTGGCCGGACCATGATATCGAACCTCCAGAGCCGAAACATCCACCTTCACACATTGACGGCATATCCCGAGTTGGGCGACCAACGCGCACGCTTACAGGGCTATGGCTTGACAGACGGAGCCAAGGTCGCAGATACAAACACTATCTGGCGAAGATGGACTAGTGATGAGGAGAAGGAGCGCATCGCTGGTTTGGAATTCCTAGACGAGCTGGAGGAACTGGAAATGTTACTCCGGCATTACTGCGTCGCATGGGGCTGGAGAGACGGCAAAAGCGATGTCTTTTCGAAGGCTTGGGCGGATGTAAGGGAGTAGGGATCGGTAGGCCCTCACTTGAGATGCAGCCGTGAGCATATTGATAATTATCCTGTATCTGAGAACGAACAAGGAATCTATGTCTGCGGCATACCCGAGAGTTGTGACATGACCTGTGTAAAGTGAAAGCCACGTGCCTGCGCGCCGAATGCACCTCACACGCTAGGCCCAAGGCGGCTTTGTCCGGGCGGCGCCTTGAACCCCAGACACGATGCTTGCGACAACAAGAACAACGTTTATTTACCCACCACTCGCCCGAACTCGACGCCACTGCTGGAAAGAGCAAAAATTACCCGACGATACACAATGGCATAGTTGCTGCCTCAGCGTACCGACAGCGATTGCACACGCCCCCAACACAGTTTCTCCATAACAAACAAAACAACAAGGAGTCGCTGCCGCCATGGCAGTGCGCAACACCACACAGCCGTCCTTCAACTTCCTCACTGGCGAGGAAGAGGAGCCAACGCCTGCGCCTGCCACCGCCAAACGAGAACCTCTCCGCGAAACGTTCCGAACCACATTGCGAGCCTCGCAGAATGCGCCGCACACGGTTGTCCCCTCGGACCCCATCAATGAGGATCTCCGCGCCCAACTCAATACCCTGCGATATGAGCTCGAAACAGCGAAGCAGGAGAAGGAGATGATGAAGTTGGAACATGCGCAAGAACTCCGCGATGCCCAAAACCGCGCCGATGCCGACTTTCGTAAAGCGCAGCAGGTCGAGGCATCCAACACCCTTACCGCGAAGAAACACGATGCGCTGACCAAGGAAATGGCCGAGGTACAAACACGGGCTGCCAACGAGCGACAGGCGCTGGAAAGGCGATTGCGCGAGTCTCAAGAAAGAGCGCAATCACTACAAGAAGAATACGATGAGGTCAAAGAGGAGTTGTCGACATCGCAGCGGCAGAATGAGCACCAATATAACACACTACAAACCGAACACAAGGCGCTCAAGGAGAGTGTCGAGGAGGTGCAGGCAGATCTACAAGCCAAGGTCAACGCTTTGCAGATGGCACAGAAGAAGCTCGCGCAGAAGGAGGAGGAAGTCGATCAGATGGAGGCTGAGGTGTTGCGCCTCAAGGCAATTACGGGAGATGCTGAGACGCTGGCAGTCATCAAGAGGGAGCTTTCTGACCAGGTCGCACACATTAAGAAGCTCGAGACCCTGACGAGGGAGCAGAATACCGAGCTCAAGCAGTATCGGAAACAACACAAGGCGATTGAGGTAGTCGAGGAGGAGAAGAGGTCGCTACAGGCGAAGCTGCGTACCATGGATGACTTGGAACGGCAATTGGGAGAGGCTGAGCTGAGAAAGCAGGTTCTAGAAGAAGAGCGCCATTCATGGACGTCGTACCTCGAGGCAGAAGCAGAGATACACGGCGAAGTGCTCTTTGAAACACCTCAAGACCTCGCGAGAGCTTTCATCCAAGAGCGCATAGAAAGGACTGATCTCATCAACAAACTTGGCGAGATCAAGCCCGAGCTCATTGTCAAAGAGGCCAACATACAAGCACTCGAAGAGGAGAAGGCCAAATTACAGGCTGAGATTCAGCAACTTAAGGCAGCTGGAAACACTGCCGCAGGGAATGGTGCCGACGCAAAGGTACGGGCCAGGTTTGAACGACAGAAAGCGTTAGCGACTAAAGAAGTCGACTTCTTACGTGCCCAAGTCAAAGCTTTCGACGACGAAGAGCGCGAGATGCAGCCTGACACATTCGATGCTGCAAAGTCTGAACGGATAAAGGAGCTCGAAGATCTCGTCGACCAATATCGTAAAGAAGTTGATACTCTGCAAAAAGAGTTCAACAGTTTAGAGAAGCCTGTTGCTGCCACCACAGGCCAAAAGCGTGCTCTTGATACGGACGAGAATGAGGAACGCGTAGGCGAGCTGCGCCGAAAGAACCGCCAGTTACAAGATGACCTCGGCGCCCTGCAGAAGAAGATGAAGCTCGTCGAGGCCGAATACAAAGCTCAGCACTCACAGCTTAAGAAGCTAAAGGAGTCTTCTCGAACACGAGTCCTAGAGCTAAAATCTAACCCTACCGCCGACGCGGAAGCCCTCAAACTAAGCACCGTACGCAACCTCCGCGAAGCCAACGCTCAGCTCCTGGACCAGCTCGAGAACCAAAAGACACCGCCATCCACGGTCCCACTGGCCACGCTCGATGCGGCTAGAGACGAGCTCGAAGAACTGAAAGCTCAGCTCGCTTCTTCGTCTAAGAAGATTGTACGTCTGAAACAAATCTGGACGGCGAAATCCCTCGAGTTCAGGGAAGCTGTTGCATCCATTCTGGGCTGGAAGCTGGACTTTATGCCTAACGGACGGGTCAAGGTCACCAGTATGTTTAAGCCTGCCGATGAGGAAGGGGAGAACAGCATAGTGTTTGATGGTGAGAACGGGACGATGAAGGTCTCTGGTGGAGAGCAAAGTGAGTTTGCAGGCGAGATACGCGATCAGATCGTGTATTGGGTCGAGGGGAGGAAGGAGATACCATGTTTCCTTAGCGCGCTGACATTGGAGTTTTGGGAGAGGGGCCCGGGTGGACAGACGATGCATGGTTAGCTAGGAAGAGTTGCGGTATGTAATGAATCTGGTGGATCCGGATGTAATGAACAATTTCTGCAGCAACGGATAGCTGATTAGCAGGATGAAGAGCTTTTAAAAACAGAATTCATCCGTCCGTGTCCAATTGTCATTTCTTTCCAAGATCAAACCATGCCCAACCTCCGCATCTCCCTCTCAAACTCCTCGTTCACTACTAGCCTTCGTCTCCATTCCTCCGTCTCTCTTACCCTCTGCACATCCCTCCTATCGATTTTCTTCCACCACCAAAACCAGCCCATGACCCAACACCACGCAAACGCCGCAATGACAACGAAATCATAACACAGTAGTGATATAGTCGCAGGTTGAATCCACAAAGGGTGTCTCGATGTGCTGTGAGTGGACATTTCGATATCGGGATGGCAAGTCGGTTCTGTTGTAGTTGTGGATGGCGTGGGTGGGGAAATCGGAGTAGGTTGAGCGGTTTGGTATAGTACTGCGATGGTTGTCGAGATAGGTTGTGCCGTAGCGGTAAACATTCTTGGTGATATTGCCGAAGTCGTAGTGGTTGGTAAATGAGTAAGGCATTCAAAGACGGGTAAAGTGAGCGTGGAGGTGTACGTGGCGGTGATGTCCTGGGCGAGCACCAATGCGGTCCCGGTGTAGTTGGCAAAAAGACGGAGCGCAATAATAGTACGCATAGTCGTAATGGTGTAATCTCTTCTCCACAACATGTCGAGCTGCGTCTGCTTCTCCGTGATGAATGGTATTGGTAATGACTGGGGGTGCGTATTGAGCAGTGAGAGAATCATAAAAAGACAAAGGAGAGAGGGAATGGCATCGTGTTGGAATTGATATCCAATAAACAAGAGGAAACTCGCAAATGGACATGAAACGATGGTGAGTATGAATTGGGGTGGAGGCAAACATGCTATTGTCCTTTAGCAGTGGAAAGAAGCCTATCATATGTACATGGAATTTCCCCTTCACCTCCAACGCCAAAACCCCGCTACAGCGCATATGTTTTCATTATGTTGTTCGTCATCATTGTGCCTTGTCCCACGGCAGGGCGAATGTAGATACCCAATCTTCAACCTCCTTCTTGAGCTCGATGATCTCGGTGATGTCCTCACCCTCGCCAACGTACTCCTTGAATGCAGCCACGCTAGTGGGGTTCTTGCGACCAGTGTCTTCGGCCTTCTTCTTAGCATCCTTGTCCAACTTTTGGGTGATTCCAACTGCGCGGTGCACGACGTCGGCCACACGCTTGAAGTCTTCGGTCTGGAAGCCACGAGTTGTCATGGCGGGAGTTCCAAGACGAATACCACCGGGCTTCATGGCAGACTTGTCACCAGGAACAGTGTTCTTGTTCGATGCGACACCGACGAGCTCCAGAACACGCTCGACCCGTGCGCCGTCCACGCCGCGGTCCTTGAGGTCGACAAGGACAAGATGGTTGTCAGTGCCGCCTGAAACAATGTTGTAGCCGAGACCGCCGTTCTCCTTGGAGTCACCAAGACGCTGAGCAAGAGCCTTGGCGTTTTCCAAAACCTGCTGCTGGTAGTCCTTGAACTCTTTGGTTGAGGCTTGCTGCAGGGCTACAGCCAAAGCAGTGATGGTGTGGTTGTGAGGTCCTCCCTGATGGCCTGGGAACACAGATGCGTTGATTGGGCCTTCCAAATCATACATCTCCTTGTTGCCCTTCTTGTCGACCTTTCGTACACCCTTGCGGTAGAAGATCATGGCACCTCGCGGGCCTCGAAGCGACTTGTGTGTTGTAGTTGTGACGATATCGGAGTGGGGGAATGGAGAGGGGATGACGCCAGCGGCAACCAGACCTGAGATGTGAGCCATATCAGAGAGAAGGTACGCGCCAACGTCGTCTGCCAGCTTTCGCATGCGCTCGTACTCGATCAACCGACTGTATGCCGATGTACCTGCAACGATGACCTTGGGCCTGTACAGATGTGCCAATTCCGACATCTTTGCGTAGTCAATGATACCGGTCTTCTCATCGAGCCTGTATGGGAGGGTTTCGTAGTATTTGGATACGGCGGAGATCTTCTTGGTAGGTGTTTGGTAGCCGTGCGACAAGTGGCCGCCATGGGGAAGGTCGAGACTGAGGATACGGTCGTGGGTGTTGAGAACGGCAGAGTAGGCGTAGAGGTTTGCGGGCGATCCGGAGAGGGCTAGAGTTGTGTTAGAGGACGGTGATAGCATTTTTGTCGACTGACTCACGCTGGACGTTGACACCCCACTCCTCCGGGCTCAAACCGAATGCCTTGAGCGCTCTCTGTTGGCATAGACGCTCGGCCTCGTCAATGTGCTCGTTTCCTCCGTAGTATCGCGCGCCCGGGTATCCTTCCGAGTACTTGTCTATGGTGCCATGTCAGCTTAGAATTGTGGTGTGAGAATGCGCAGAACGCACTTTGCATAACACTGCCGAGCGCATCGAGCACAGCTTGTGATGTGAAGTTTTCAGAAGGAATCAGGTTTATGAAGTGCTTCTGGCGGTTCTTCTCCTGTAGTAAAAGTATCGTGAGCTTCGTCTTCGCATGTACAGCTTCAACATGTGGCAACGAACCCTGTTGATGATCTGGTAGACGGTAGGATCGGCCTGCTCAAGATCCTGGGTGAGAATCTAGGACTTGTTAGCATTGCTAGTCGTGAATTTCTGTCATGGCGAAGCATACCTTCTGCTGTGCATCCATACTCGTCGCATAGCCCCGCCATTGTTGCCTCTGTATTCTTGCATGGTTGGTGGCAATTGAAGCTGTGGAGTGGGAAGTGAGCTGGCGCAAAGGCGCTCTGCAGGCTGCTCTGAGGTTCGCCATAGTCTCTCGGTCTGGTAGGCAGGGCAGAAGCGTGGCGCGACCTTATAAACGTACTTGATACCAGCCGGACTCGTAGTCTCAATGAGGCAACGAAACGATGCGCCCGCTTAATCACGGAGCTACGGCGGCATTGCAGGGGTCATGGCCTCGGCGCCGATTCTCCGTTCTCCGGCGGTAAAATATGAACGCTTCCGTCGCGCGTCTTCTCTTCTTTTCTTCACGTAACTAAACCCGAGATGATATGAATGCTTTCAACTCAGCTGCATCCTCACTTGGCTGGCGCAAGCTGGCCGATGTGGGAGCTGTTGACACGCCCCGGCACCCACCACCTAGGGGGACGAAAAAATCTATGATCGGCTACGTTGCGTAGGAAGCATCTGTTGATGTTTCTGTCCTCTGTTCAGCGTCGCATTGGAATGGAACACGAAATGTTAGTGTCCCTATTTCAATGCCGCTGTCGGAGTCCGTCGCCATGTATGTAGCATTCCAATGTAATCGTCAGTGTCAGAAACCATTCTTGTCGCTCTGCGTGAAGGGCGTTCTATAACGTCATAGCTACATCCCAGCATGATTATAATTGACAATATCTTTGTGCATCCGGAACGAACAGGCGAACGATGCCACCACAACGAGTCGAAGGCACTATACACAAGCTTGCGACATAGATCCGGAATGGCACGGCTGCATCCACACACTCCAGGTACTGCGACTCCGTCCCAGACAATGTGTCCATCACGATAAGAGCACGACACAGGGCCACCTGAAGCCTCTTTGGAACTTGGGTTGCAACCAGATCATCAGAAGCTCTCGGAGCTTGCGATCCTAGGTCTCGTCTACGGGATGTTGGTGACAGTCTACAAGCGGCTGGATCTTTCGTAGTCATGGAAATTCACGAGCTATGAGATGGACCACACTATCGCTCCTCCTCCTTCAACTAGCCGCCAAGGCTACTAGTGATAGCCTCTGGAGCATTGAACCAGGAAAGCGCGCGTCGCAATGGCCGTCACTTCCTTGAACGCGCTTCTCTGTTTATCGACCCCGCGTCTACTCACCTACACCATATCCTGACCGCAACCTCTGCCTTTACACGCATGCACTCATTACACCGCCATCAACTGATTGTTCGCATACAAAAACTTCCATCATGGCACCCAAACTCAAGACATCGAACCCACCTCCTCCAGCGTCATCAGCATCACCTCACAGTCGCGATACCAGCCCGGAACTAGGCAGCCCTTCCAAGTTAACGCAATACAACCAAAAGACAGGCCGTCCTGTTCGTAAAAGCGCGGGCAAGATCAAGAGGATTGCAGGTTACGTCGACTTTGAGGACGCCGAGTTTGACGCCTTAACCGACAGCGAGTTGAGCGAGCTGAGCGAGCCAGACGACGAAGACGACATGGATCCACTCAGTCTTTCGGGCAAGAAAAAGAAGAACAAGAAGGGCGCACTGAAGCGTAAACGCAGTCCCTCGCCTCCATCCCCTCACCTAGAGCCTGTCATCAACAACCAAGAGCTTGATGACCTGACCGACAACGAAGAAGGCGGCGCCTTTCATCGAAACGGCCCTAAGAAGCCACCAATGACCTTGCAGTTCAACGTGCCGCTAGGTTTTCACGGTCCACTCTTCGTCAAGCTCGATAGCACCCTCCTACACATCAACCAGCAAGGCAAATTGCATGAGATGCAGCCAGGCAAGTCGAAGAAGCTATGTACTGTGAGCCCAGAGCAGGTGGGAACAACTGCAGTGCGTCTCAAAGGCTTCACAGATCTACCAGGCGAGCTCCGAAACACTATATATCGCCATCTTTTCGCCCGCAAGGACAAGGATTCAAGGCTTAGAATTCCCTTGAGAAGCATTGATCCCAGGAACAGCCTGACGAAGTCCGCCCAGTTTCTCAGAAGCTGTAAGCTAGTGCACAATGAAGCCTGTTCCATCCTTTATGGTGAGAATACGTTCTCTTTCCATCGTCATTACGATACACGTGGACCGTACTGGGAGCCGGTACCCAAAGAGATCGGTTATCAGGATGTTTTGCATTTCTTAAGAACAATCGGACCCGAGAACATCCAATACTTACGCGATGTCGACTTCGTCTTCGATGATGCACGCCCCAAAGATACACCCTACGTCACCTCCAACGAGCAGCGTCGCTATCTGAACGATGATTACCTAATGAACTGCCTGCGAATTCTCCGTGACGCCAAACTCCGTAAGATCTCGATGTATTTTGGTGGGCGTCGACAACTGGGCCGCACCGATGTCAGGTTCCTAGGCTACTTGGAGCAGGTCAAGGCAGACGAGGTGTCGCGGAAAAGCGAGAAGTACTACCACAGCGCTGACAGATACATGAGCCACGTCGCTTGGAACCATCTGAAGGGTAAGTGTCCCTGTATGGACTGCATGTGAGATACAAGCTGACTTTGAACCCCTACATTTAGACATGATGACACGCAAAAAGAAGCTTTACGAGAACGAGTAGCTCGGCGCTCACAGCTGTCTTGGTCCAATTCACGGTAGACTATCATCACCTATACCTTCTGATACAGTTTCGTTGGGGACAACGGCTATTAAGTTCTCTCACTTTCCACCACCGGCACGTTACCGGTGCTTATCCCTCAGACCAGAATGTTTCGACATACATCATACAGATCTAGCGTTCATCCACACCTGTCTCGACGGGCAAGCCATACGGAGACTAGGCGTTAAGGACCATCATTTATGCTGAAGGCTGATCTTGTACAATTCACACCCGGGTTCATGTTTGTTAACCGTTAGCGGGTGACATTGTCAACCCTTGTATTGGCTTTTATGGTAGTTCCACTTCATGCAGCATATCACACCAATGTATTTCTCCCAACATAAAAGTCTTAGAGATAGATGAAAATTGTTCCCAACAACTATAGTGATTGGTCCGACCCCTCAGTGACATTGTTCTATATTACCACCAATGGAATGCTTCTAGGCCACCAATATTGCCCAACGGCTAAAATGGTATGGCCCTAGCCCCCACCCCACCAGCTATCGCTCAGCCAGCGGCGCAACGTGTGAACCATGGAACACGGAATGTACCTTGCATATGCATAAGCGAGCCGTGCGAACGACTTTTCCCTGGTACGCGAACTGAACTGGTAGCTGCAGGGCAAAATGCATCCTGGAAAGTAGGAGCGGGAATAATTTCTACGTGAAACATTGCTGCACGTAGCCGCTGCCAGGTTTTCTTTTGTATGCAGACAATATACCTTGAATGCCGCATTTGCATGTGTCCCGTTACCAGGCATCGGGAACGCGATCTGGACAGGCAGGTGGTCAAATACCAGAAGGGATGTTGATTCCTATTTAGCCTCTGTGTACTATTTGAGCAAGTCCGCGTTCGAGGTTCATAAGACTGGTGTGATATAGCCGGTTAACCCGATGAGCTTCCCAGCCGGGGTGATGCAGTGGGGATACGCGATGCACGTTGAAATGGTCGGTGCGGCGAATACGTCAGCGATCATATACGGAGATTTTGCGAACTTGCTAATGAGCGATGGGTGAGGCGCGCTGTGGACGCGTTGCGCCTGTAGCTTGCGTGTTTTTGTTCATTCATTCATCGATTCATCTAGACATCGTCATCGTTCGGCCCGAGGAGCAGTCGGGTCAGACGCGCTGTTGTGCCATGGCCCTTGGCCAACTTATGCCGTTTTCCCTTTTCGCTTCTTGAACTCTTCTATCCAACCAGCAGCCTTGTCTTTCGGCACCACGCTTATCGTCACCAATCCGTCGACGATCTCCGGCTTCCCGCTTCCCAGTACCTTGCCTAGGCTCATCTTTTTTCCAACTTTGATCAAACCACCCGCTGCGGTCTCCATGTATGATTCGACATTGTCGATTGTGTACTCGTGTTGCTCATCCCATGGGAGTGGGAAGATATAGTCGAGATGTTCATCTAGCTTCTCCTTCTCAGAGAACGCCTTGATAAAATCCGATTGCGAGTGCATTGGGTAAAGCAGAATAACCGGTACTGTGAGTGTTGAAGAGGGGTCCAAGCTGTTTTCCAGCTTGACCGTGGCGTCTTCCAGATCTGGGGGCTTCTCCGTGCTCCGCGTCAAGATATTCCGGCTTCGCAATGCAAGTTTCATTGTTGCTCGCTCTGATGCAGCCTTCTCCTCTCGTTCGCGGCGTGCCTTTTCGACGGAATCTATGTACTGCTTTCGAGCATCAATCTTGGTTTTGAGGGCCTTGAGAGGGGCGTTGGAAGCATCTAGAGCTAATCCTCGGTCGCAGGCCCAGGCTGCTTCCTTCAACTTGTCTAGTGCAAGACCAGCAGTGCCTGATCTGTAGAAAGCCTTGATGTTGGCGGGATTGATCTTGAGTGTCGCTATGCAGTCCTGAATGCAAGAGCGGTAGTTCTCTGCTGCATGTTAGCATTCTGCAGTCGAATTGGTGTTGTGAAGAGGCCGCCATGCATGTTTGTGGATCGTGCCTTCGTTCCCGTACTCACTCTTCTCGAGATTGCATAATGCGCGGTTGACATAGACGGCCTCGCCAATCACTCTTTCCTTCTCTGCTTCCTCCTTTTCATCGAGCTCGACAGGGATGACATCTGGTCCTTCTGCATCGGGGTCCGGGTTGGTTTGTGGGCCTTTGAGCGCTGCTATCGCCTTGTCGTAGAACTCTTTCGCGTCTGTCCACTGCTTTGCCCGTGCGCATTCATTGCCTTGTTGTCGGAAGTTTTCAGCAATTTCGGCACGGGTTCCTTCGTACGCCATGGCTTTCAACGCCTCCAGCGCCATGTTCTCACCTCCCTCGCCGTCTGTTTCATCTAAACTTGTCATGAAAATTGGCATGCGGTTCATCTCTTTCATCAAGTCGTCCACACTCTGCGACTTGACCTCTGCCATCGCTGGCGGCAGTTCGGCGGACACCGCCTGTGGTCCATTCTGATCTGATTGCGCCATGTTTGCCTGTTTCGATCCGTCTATATGCGCTGTCTGCAATTTCACGATATGCTTGTTATGACTGTATGGTCGAATTTTCGGTGATGGTCGCTTAGTCAGGCGTGGGCGGGGCTGTCGAACCCTGACCCACGGATTCGGCCATCACTGGCTGCCAGCGACCTGAGCAGGTGAACCACTGAGAACACGGCAGCCCAGCAAAGCCAGGAGGGATGGCGCAGACAACGAGAGGGGCACGCTAAAGTGAGATGGGCCGGCACCGGCGCTTCCGCGTCATGCTATACTGTCTAAGCTTTCCGTCGACGCCGAAAGTTCAGGGAGCGGTAGCCGATTACGACGCAAATCTCCTATTTGCTTTTCTGAGACGACAACACCTCAATAGCGCCGAGCAATACCGAAACAACACCTGATGTGGCATACAATCGTCGGCTGTTGGATCGTGAGCTGCTATGTCGCGCATCAGTGGGCATCATGGAATGTTCTGCTGATTGCCAGACCCTCGTGTAGCGTCCTGCAGCTGTCCGCACATCAGGTCCACTCTCCGCTGGTGGACCACATTGCCCTTGTGATTCTCGCAGCCTGCATACCGAATCGATACTTTGCCCGATGGGATTCACGAATAATGGATCCCCAGTATCTCCACCACCCGGCAAGTCTGTTTATTACGAGGCGCTCAACAGGACGTCACTTCATCACGTCTCCAACGCGCTTCCGAACTGTATCTATCCCGTCTGTGGGGGATAACTCAATCAACAAGCTCAACCTGGTCAAACGTCATGGTAGGTGCCGACTCCGCTCTTCATTTTGTCGGGGTAGCTGGACGGCCTCGATGATGCTGGGATCCTCAACTTTCACATGTACCGATATCTCCGCCTAGATCCCTTGGCGGGTCATGACTGATAACCATCACGTCTCTGCTCTGGCATTGTGATCAGACAACCTTGCAAAAAAGAATGATGAGGCTGGAGTCATTTGGCATTTCCAGCTTGGAGAATTGCGTCGTCGATCTGGACTCGAGTTCGGCTCCTTTGCACCGCCAAGAGTGCACGGATAAATCCTTTCGTCTCGAAGTAGGAAATCCTCTTCTCACACCTGACTCGGCAGTACAGGATCAGGCTGCTCATTCATGCAATCGCCTACCTTTTTGGTAGTCTACATATGTCTCCTTTTTGAGACACCTCGGAGACACTACAGAGACACCAAAATTGTCAGGCCGAAACAGGATCAAAGTATGAAGATCAAAGTTCTAATTGCAGGCTACAGCACAACGGCACCGCACCGGCGCACCCGATCGTTGGGCGCCATCGCGAGCTTGATAGCTCGGACCGGGACATGATCGTGCCACTTTGTCCAATGCTTTCCTCGGTGGGCCAAGTGTGCGGCGTGGTCAAGAGGCTGAAACTCCCAGTCACGGCTCATCATCAACGCCAAAGGTAGTCCAGAGTTACTGATAGGGCGAGGCTTTTGTGGACCTTTGGACGGCGACAATAATCATCATGCAAATTACCGTGGCCGCGACGTCTGTTTGAAGCCAGCTGCCCCCAAGGATATGGTAAGAACTTGCGCCTCACATCTACTAATGCTGCTGAGGCGTATCATCACACCCCCTTCATCAACGCCGTTACCACCCGCATTCGTTACCACCTGCCCCTTGTCGGGTCATTTCCTTCACCTCGCTAAGGCATTGGCCATCGTCGCGGGACGCATTTAAGGGAACGTTGGACCTAAATGCACAGCCAATGAAGCTTGCCTGGAAAGCGGAAGGCGGGTGGGCTCGAGCCAATAGTGTGGTCGTAGTACAGGGGTCCCTCGGCTCAGCTGCATGCAGGGATACTTGTGCTCGCTAGTGCGGAGACGTGCATAAGCAAATGGACTCGGACATCGAAACAAATTTAACAGGCACAGATGGGGTTTGATTGATCCTATGAATCCTATTCGTGTCTTTGGGCATAGTTCCGCCTCTCCAGTGGACTGTGCGGACTTGTGCCTGCGTTCCGGGATCCCAGCTGATGCATGGGCGATCACAGCGATTTCATGCTCAAGTTGTGCCTTGTCCCTCCCTCTCCTCCTTACGCTCCGTGCCGTTGACGACACACGGCTATCTTTCTCGTAGGGCCCGCTGCCCGTTGCTTGACAGTTCTTTTCTTACCATCAAAAGTGTTTTAGCCCGCGCCGTTAGTCGCTTTCCTCATCTCGTTCGCATCGCATGTATCAATGAATTGAGCAACGTTTCTGAATCTGTCGACCATCACCAACTCATAACGTCATTCCTTCGGTTGTAAGTGTCTATTTCTAATCGTGATTCGATTGCTGTCTCTGGACGTCTCTTGCTTCAAGTCACACCGGACTGACCTTCGCTCCAGAACAGAGACCATCCGAACGCTGCTTTCTCGTCGATATACTTGCCCCACGTAATACGGTCCGACGCTTTATACTTTTATATACCACGACTCGTCCTTTCTTAAGTGGCTGGAATTCCAATACCCGATTGTAGTACAAAGGGCTCGACCGGTACGTCGCTCACCGTCACGTATGCTTGGAGGTTGATATTGTCTTGAATGGTACATCTTCGTTGTGAAGACGCGCCGCCGAAGGGCTCGTGAAGACAATCCTGATCATAGCACCGACGGCAACCGACCCGGTCTCGATTAAATGCTGATCGCGTTACAGGCATGTGTTAGACTCCATTTACATACAGCACCACTTTACTGTGGTTCTGAACATTTGAGTGTGTAATAAACCGACCGACATCTAAGCTACGCGCTCAATATCATGTCTACCGATTACTTTTCGGATCAGGAGACCTTCCTTACCAACCACCCTCTCCCCACACCCGTTGGAACGCCATACAGCTCCTTGTCCCGGACGACGTCGAGATACGACACCACTCCAGGAAGCGACATTCCTAGTTCACCGCCTCCTTTCCCGCCAGATCATAGTTTCAGTTCCGAAGATGCTGCCAACGACGAGAACATCTCGGTGTTGGACCCACGCCGCTTTACTCCAACCTTGCATGCGAACCTGGTTTCAGAGATCTTGAACCTCCGTCGGGAGCTAGATTCGAAACATAAGTTCATCGACGACCTAGAGACCAGTCTGCATACGGCGCGCACCGACAACGACGCTCTTGCAAAACAGCTATCATCAACCACCAAGGAAAGCAAGACAGCCAAACGCCAGCTTCAGCACTTTGAGACCGAAACACTCGCTGCACTAGAAGAGATTGCAGGTGAAAGAGACAAGTTCAAGGAAACCAACGCCGACCTACGGGAGAAGCTAGCAGCAGCAGAAAAGAGAACACGAAGCCAAGATGATGACTCTACCAAGGTGCACGATATGTGGGCTCGGGAAAAAGAAGAGTGGGCGGGGGAAAAACGAATGCTGGAGCGACGTGTTCATGTGTCAGAAACCCGGTTAAAGATGCTTTTGGATGAGATCGCTATACACGAGGCTGCCAATGAGGACGCTGGTGCCGAGAGCGAGGCAGACGATCCAAGCCGGGATACTGGAATACCAGAGAGTGACGCAGGAAGCGTACAATCGTCACCTCGGCGAAGACCATCCACTCGCCTTGCACGCCATTCAAGAAATCGAAGCAGCAGCAGCTACAAGAGTATTGGACGCAACTACCGGATGTCTTTGATGAGCTCTGATGGACACTTCCGAGGCAATGGTATGAGCCTAGCAGACGAGCTTATATTCGACGAAGAGGAGGAGGAGCTGGACGAACTAGAGCTCGATTCGGATGATTTCCCTGAAAATGAAATGCGGGCAAGAAGAGCACGCGAATCCCGAATGTCGATGTTACCAGACGAAAAAGCAAAGCGCATCCTAGGATTGAGTAATGATACCCAACAGGGTATCCGGGATAGCCCTGTCATGACAGCCGATGATACCGAGCCGCGGAAGTCGTCGTATGAAACAGTACAGTCATCTGTAACACTGACGCCTCGCGATATCACTCTAGTATTCCCGCCAACACGTCCTATCTATGTTGACACCGGTGTACAACCATCGCCACCGCCTTCGCCTACGAAGCTTGTCATGGTCGAAGCGGCATCGCAGACGATTGAGCCATCCGTGCCGATGAAGTCGGGTGAATTCTCGTCTACCGCTGCTGAGATTGAGGCGAACCAGAGCCGAAAGCGTGTTTCAGTGCCCTTGGCTTCTAGTCCACCACGCCAAATCAGTCCTGAAATTTACACTACGACGTCAAGCTCGGTACAAACCGTTGAGCCGCTTAGCCCGCCGCCTACTCCCAGGATTCCTATGCCTGCAGAAAAAGCAACTCTGTCACCGGTCGTACAGACCGAGGTCGTATCTACAGCCACACAAACAGACTCTATGGTCGAGCCTGAGGCCGTGGCTGAGACGCCTAAGAAGTCTCCGCTACCGACCCCGATTACAATCCCTTCGATTGCCATCCATGCTCCTACATCCGCTCCTTCATCGCCGAAAGCCCCTATCCTTCCTCCAGGCACTAAGACCATATCAACTCAGACAAGCGGCGATCTTGTAGCTCCAATGCGCTCAACTTCGATGCAGACTGAACCAATCAGAATCGACCAGAGAGCTATCAAGCTTCCTGCGCATCTTCTTCCTTCTGCCATCTCTTCCAAGCCTGGAACGCCTGAGGCTGACAGCAAGGTCGTCAAGAAGGACTTTTCGAGCGATACAGAGCACTCTGCTCTCAAGTCGACCACTCGTCAAGATTTCATTGCTCGTCTCGAGAAGGCCGGTGAGAAGAAGATTGAGAACCGTTACCCCGGAAACAATGACAATGGACCTTTGTCGCGCCAGCTTCATTCAGACATACTGAGTCGACCTTTCCGAACAAGCAGTCTCTTCGCTGGGTTCGATGGTCCATCATCTGACGAAGAGGACGATGATGCTGATCTGAGTGACGATGACTACAGGAGCCTACAGTACTCTACTCCGATGCTGTCGTCACGTAATGCAAAGAGTGGACGACCAGTGAACCCGCCCACGCCTGTTCCAGAAGACAAGGAGACTACACCTATGTCCAGGCCATCTGTTGACTCTGTTAACAGCGTTTCATTGGCGTCCAAGCGTAGCTCGATGGAGAAGCCTTCGAGGGTTGGAAAAGCACAGCGCAACTCGATCAGTCGCCAGCCCAGCATCCGACGATCTGCCATGATCCAGAGTGGCACCGCAGCTCACAGCCGCTCTCGTAGCCCCAGTATTGGAAGTCTAGGTTCTGGTAATCACATCCCGAAGCCACCCTTTCCAGTGCCTACTCGATCCAGCTCGCGCAACAAGCCATTGAGCAAGAGCGAAGGCTCGCAGAGCCCAACCCCTCGCAACAGTGGCTCGTATGCCGGCCGCCGTCCGTATGGCGTGAAGCATCAGCGGAAAGACAGTCTACGCAAGGTACGATCTGCTGCTCCTGTAGCAAAGGGCGCACGCTCTCGCAGCAGATCGCCCACAATGCCTGCGACTCCAAGCAACGCCGACACAGATTCAATTCCTCCGCTACCCAGCGACATTGTGAGCGCGAGCGGCTTCCGCCACCGACACCAACTATCGACAGCCACTGCAGCAACTGGTTTCACAGCCAATGGGTCCGCCAACGGGTCCACCAACAGCGCAGTATCGCACACTAGTGTGGTCGATGCGATTGCTGCAGCCATGATTGGAGAATTCATGTGGAAATACGTTCGTAAGAGGAAGGCATTTGGTGGCCCTGACACGCCTGCAGACGTCAGTCGCGCCGCAGAAGAGGCTTCATTGGCCAACCATGGTGTAAGGCATAAGCGCTGGGTCTGGATTTCGCCATACGAAAGAGCCATTCTGTGGAGTAGTAAGCAGCCAACCACTGGCTCTGCGTTGATGGGGAAGAGTGGTCGCAAACGTGAGTTTCAAGACTGGTCACAAATTTGTCTATACTAACATATCTCCAGTCGTCATTCAGTCTGTTCTCGATGTCGCCGACAACTGCCCTCCTCCCAAGAACGAAACACTCTTCAACCGCTCCATTCTTATCCTTACCCCTGCTCGTGCACTCAAGTTCACTACCTCCACACGCGAAAGGCACTACCTGTGGCTGACAGCACTTTCCTTCCTCGCTCACTCGAGCGCACCGATGCCAGATCTTGGCTCTCTGCCACCTGTACCACCGCCAGTCGATGAACCACAACGCCAGCAGGGCGCAACACTCCGCCGCAGCCGCGTTCAGGATTCTGTGCGCCTTGCTAAGGGTAGGACCAATCCGGTCATGGCTCGCTATGCATCTCAGGATGAACCAATGCCTAGTCTACCTTCTCTTGCTGGGTTTGAAAGCGCTATGCCAGACGCTGCTAGCCCTCCGGTCATTCCCCGTGGTCCTCAACACGGTAGGAAGAGAAGCTCTACTGGACCCAGCGCACCTCCACCAAGTGTCCCGTTCCGCAGTTTCTCACATCAGCACGTACCCTCCGTATACTCAAACGGCTCTTCCGACATGTACAGCGCTGGCGTACCACCGTCCGTGCCTTCTTCGGTCTACAACCCCAACAGCGGTGCTATGAGTTCTCGAACATCAGAGGCCAGCACGTCTACTCGTCAACACTTTTTTGACACCATGGGCACCGTTCGCATGGAAGCTTTCATCGACAACGCTCTTGGTGACCCAAAGCAATTGAGCAGCTACGGCGGGCGAGCACCGCACATGCAGCACCGTCGTCGTCGTGGCAGCAGCCAGTGGAGCGCCAGCACACGTGACCAGTCTAATCGTGGCGGCGGTCTCTTCGACTTCGACTCGAACGATCCTTTCCGTGGCTTCTAAAGCAATTCACTGCGCTTACGACTCGCTCATGTGTGACGGGTATGCTTTACGGTCGATCGGTTGTCTTCTGTCGTGCGTTGCTCTGTTTGTCTTCGGGTTGTTTCCCATCGCTCACTTGTATCTTCTCACATCTTTCCTACCACTAGGGCTACGACCCATACGACCACACGTCATCACTGCGGAGGCACACTGGCCTCGACTGCATTTTTCCTTGCTGTCACTTTATTTCTCAGTCTTCTGTTCTCCCACTCGCTCAACATACCCTAGGGGCGTGCCTGCAAGGCTAGAAAGCGGTCGTGCTCGCGCACAACATATCATCTATACCGCCTATTTGTAATGTTTCTTCTCCAAGCCGGCTTTCGCAGCTGCGCACCCTTGATACCCCTCTCGCTACCTTTACCACATGGTTTTTGAGCGCCTTTTGTCTCCTTTTTGTGTCTTTTCCTTGCATGAGAGTTCCACGCCCACTCTGTCTTCGTAGGGCGTTGAGTCTGGGCGCATCTCGCACTCACTCGCTACTTGGTTGTGGATGTTGTTGGTTGGGAAGAAGTTAGCTGGTTAAAGTTGATAGTTTGCAAAGAATGCTACAATCAATACCGCTATCGGCCATTGTCTATTCATCTTCGTGCAATGTCGTGACGTTAATATGTCCATTCTATTCGTCCCCTGATCTCTCGGAGTGGGGATAGTGCCACCGAGCTATCCGCATCCCATCAGAGCTATATTCACTCGAGGTTTGTTCTTGCGAGCCTCGCCGAGCGTTTCTAACAACATCATATTGTTTGTAATTTGGCTGTTAGTCATCAATGCGGGCTCGGTGGTGTAGTTGGTTATCACGTCAGTCTAACAACAACAGTTGTTTCTTGGACACTGAAGGTCCCGAGTTCAAACCTCGGCTGAGTCATCTGCAATATCTACTACACGTTGTGTAGTAGCTTGCTTTTTGTTGGCTGGGAGAGCTTGGTGAAGTTGAATTTTTTGGACTTGGAGTTCTGCACAATAACGATCATGAAAAAGATTACAATCATTGAATAGAGATGCGTTTGGCAATGCAACAATGTAGAGTTGTTATTCCTCATGAGACATGTTGGCTTTTTTGCTTCTGCGATAAATTGTGTGGTGTCTAGGGTGGAGACGAAAATGGCGAAACTTCGGCACCCGAACCTTCAGAACGTGACGCAGCAAGCCTAAGCATGCATAGTGTATATGGGGAGGGTGAAGGCGGATATCCGTCTGTAGCATGTATGCAAATACATTTATTATTTTACATGCGTTGTCATGATGTTCAGGTTTCTGCAAGTTGAAATGGCAAAAAATCTTCCAAGTCCACCACCACCCAACTCACACCAACTATACCCCCTTCACTTCTCTACGTACCCACAACCTCTACGCTTGCAAAAAGAAGCTCTTGCCGGAATCGAACACTCGGCAAAAAGAGAGTTCTGAAGGTCTTGCCCGGAATCTGAATTATTATTAGCAGATGACCAGAATTAACTGGGGGCTGAATTGGCTTACCGAACCGGGGTTGCCGGAAGACACTGATTATGAGATCAGAATCCGGAGTGATAACCGCTACACTACAAAACCGATTGTAACCGATTTGTTTGGTTGATTGATGGTGCAAAAGAAAAACTATACCGTATATATCGACGGTTTGTCCATAGCTAGAGGGAGATGGTCGCCGAAAAGTGGCGGGGTTCGTCAAAAATCTGCTTCAGGGGTGGAGCTGGGTTGCGTTAGTATGGGCGCAACGCCGATATACACCGGGTCAAATGGAACAGACGCGTTAATATCACGACGTTTCACGAGGGAATCAAACAAGTGCGGAGAAGATGAACCGCTGCAGCCTACGACAGTCTCACGAACGGGGTTGCACGGAGCCTAGTAGCAAGGTAGACTTTGAAGCTATGCATCTACACAAACAGTATATTATTGCGTGTTGTTCTCTTACAGCTTGCTGCCTGCTTGTCTCCTCTTTTCCTTCTCCTTGTCTCTCAGTAGCCGCCGTAGAATCTTTCCTGATGGCGACTTCGGTATCTCGTCGATGAACTCAATACCACCACTGATCCACTTGTATCGCGCCTTGTGTTCTTCAACGTGCTTCTGAATCTCGCGCGCGAGGATACGGTCATTTTCTTCCAAGCCGACTGATGGCGATTTGACGATAAAGGCTTTTGGTACCTCTCCAGTCTTCTCATTAGGGATCTGGATGACGGCGCAGTCATTCACAGCAGGATGCGTCAGGAGATGTGCTTCAAGCTCCGCAGGTGCAACTTGGTGGCCCTAGGGGTTTGTCAGCATATGTCGCCATGAAATGGTTTGTGCCCGTACTTGAACCTTGATGAGCTCCTTGATGCGATCGACGATGAAGACATGTTCGTGACCGTTTGGTCCCTTCTTGAAAACAGCCTCATCTCCGGTACGCATATACCCATCTTGGAAAGTCTCTTTGTTGGCTTTGTCATTGTTCAGATAACCTAGCACGACTGAAGGCGACTTGACCAGCAGCTCGCCAGGCTGGTCATAACCGGTGATCTCAGCACCTTCGATGGTGACAATCTTACACTCGATGCTGGGGAGTAGGGAGCCAGAAGATCCGAACCAGATGTCGTCAGGGGAAGACGAAGAAACAACGGTACACGTCTCTGTGAGGCCGTATCCTTGTCTAATCTTCCAGGTGGGGAATATCTTCGCTAGATCCTCTGCCGTCTCTTGTCCTAAGGGTGCGGCACCAGTAAAGATCGACCACACGGAGCTGAGATCGTATTTGTCTAGTAGGGGCTTGTTCTTGGTCATCAAGATGATGATAGGTGGAACCAAAAACAACGAGTTGATCTTGTAGTCTTGAATCGCCTGGAGAGTCGATGCAAACTCGAACTTGGGGAGAACCACCACACCATCTCCACGGTAGACGTTCGCATGGCAGATGACAACCAAGCCATAGATATGTGACATGGGCAAAAGACCGAGGGCGATCTCAGTATAGTCTGACTGGTTGCGCACATCGTTGATGATGGTATCTCTGAATGGCTTCTCGTAAGTGCAAATTTGCACTATTTGTGGTTAGCTACTGCATGATGCGGATTCGGGGCGTCTTACTTGTGTTGGCAATGACATTTCTGTGTGAGATCATGACACCTTTCTGCACAGGATGTCAGTGTGGACTTGCGTGTACACGAAGATGTTCGCTACTTACGGGTAGACCAGAGGTACCGCTGGAATAGCAAAGGAACGCCGTTCGCAGAGCACCATCGCCCTTCTCCCAATTTAACTTTGGCAGACGATCAAGCTTCTGGCCCTCACGAATGAGGTCGTCTACTGTCTTAAGCCCTTGTGGTGTCTTCTTTCCAGCGAACGATTCCGGCACTTCCAATATGTAGATGCGATTCTCGGGGATGCCACTCTTCTTCGCTGCTAGTCGCGCAGTCTCCAATAGGGGAACACAGGTGAAGAGGGCTTTTGCGCCTGAGTTCTTCAATTGGTACTCGAGTTCGGCGGCGCTGTATGCGGCATTGGCGGGTGATTGGATGCCGCCCAAACGATGCGTGGCCCATGCCAACGGGAGCGTATCGATCTGCCGGTTGTCAGTATCCTCGTGGATGTGTCGATCAAAATATGCTTACCGTGTTGACGGAGAAGACAGCAATGACTTTGTCCCACTCGGTTGCCTCGTTTGGATGGAAGCCAAGCTCTTTTGACAGACCCCGGGCAAGATAGTCAACACGGTCGCGCATGTCCAAACATGTGTAAGCCTTTCCGGTCAGTCCGCAGATGAAGGGTTTATTCGAGTAGCCAAGCGGATGACGGCCATAATGCTCATCTAGCATAAAGTCGCAGATGGGAATCGAATCTGGCGGGTCGAAGGGAAGCTGCGGCACCCATGAAGGAGGATGGAAAGGCATATTGGATCGTGTCTAACGGTACGTCAGCTATGCGCGGAGCTTTGAGAGAGATGCAGGTGCGCACATATGGTAAGCCGCGAATTGGCGATGCAGGCAGAGGTTAAAGGAGGAATCATCGCTCCAGCTTTAACGCATGCGCCCATCTTCCTCAATGACGTTAGTATCGTCGGATGCCGTCTCTTTCGCAGCCGACAGCTTATGCCAGCCCCCAATTGTGGGGAAAGCTGGGGTAGTACCGAGGTCATGGACTAATGCGGCTACTCCGTCCTTAATTCCGGCCTTGGGTCGGCGACAGCAAGACACGACTCACAATCCCGACATAAGCACCTAGAATGTAAAGTTTCATACTTGCGATCAAATATTGTCTAGAGGCGTGAGGCTCGTCATACCTTTCAGCCATGGTTCTCGGGTGCGCTCGAAGGTGCTATCACCGAGTATGGTACGGTACAGCAAGAGCGACCCCCGATGACAGCTCTTCACTTCCATAACCTCACACGTTTGCTCACTCCCATCATGTCGCTCAGGTGAGAGAGGCACCGCAGGTCTCAGCGTTTCCTTACCGCTGTCTTTCAATTGTCGCACAAGCTCAATTGAGGTTGTATTGTCCGCATGACAGACATGACACCATCCTTTTCACTACCTCTGATTTCACTCCGTTGTTTCTAGACTCATTTTGTCTTTCTCGTCCCTTTAACTATCGCTTGTAAGCAATCGAGACTTCTTCTATCAACCTGCAACTACCATTCTCACTCATCTCGCCATGGCATCCTCGAAGCGCAAGTTTGATGACGGCGACTCCAACTGGGAGGTTACACAAGTAGTGAAACCGCCCAAAGTCACTGCAGAAACAGCGGCAGCCGAATTGCAAGAAGATCGCGGTAACTATGGAAGTAGGGCTTCTCAGCGCCCCAGGCGAGAAAGGAAACGCCCAGAAAGGTTCGCCGATCAATTGTATCAACCTGTCTCAAAGAAAAAAGAGACGCCAAAACGAGTCACGAAACCGCTGATAAAACCTTCTTCGAAACGGTCATTGGCTACGAAGAATTCTACAAGCCGGCGATCGTGGATTGAGCCTCATGCGGTAACTGATACTGTCGTTAACATCGTCGATGACTCGCCGGGACTACCAGCAAGGTTGTCCAAGATAGTCCACCTGAAGATTCCGCTTACAGGCTCGACACTCGCTATACCTACAAATCAACCGAGGCAACAATACAGCGACGAGTCCGAGAGTGAGCTGTCGTCCCCACCAGCATCGTTGCCCTCGAGTCCTGTTTGTAGAGCTAATCCAAGTTCCTAGCGGTAAAACTAACATGCAAACAGGTCTTTTCCTACAAGAATATACAGAACTCGCCTCCGCTGGACAGACGAGGCCAATGTGCTCAGCGTACACCAGAACCTGTACCTGCATCTAGTCAAGATGTTGCAACCCCATCTACTGCACCAGAAAATCCTCTCACTAGCCAAGCGACTGTATCACAACATCGTGAGCCGAAGACACCCGAAGAAAGTATCCGTGGTACCCCAGCGTTTGTCCATCATACGCAAACTCAATCTTCGCCGGGTTCGCCCGAGATCCACGATCGCTTCACCTACCTGACACCCGACTCGGCATTCTACCGCGACGCGAATACTGTATACAGCAAGTTGGACGTTGGGCTTGAAGATGGCCAAGTGCACAACCAGATTGAGACGTCATGTCGTGGTAAGACCGAGCCACTTCCGAGTTTGTATGCGGCATCGGAAGCAACAACGGAGTGCGAAGAACTGAGTGGCCCTCTCGTTGGAGAACAAGTCTATACATCCGACACCGACTACCTCCGTGATATAACCGAGCGGCTCCTTGTCCAACAGAACAAAGGTCCAAACAAGCCAGAGCCATACGGACAACCGGAAGTATGGGCAGATGGACGACAAGAGCTTTGCGAGACACTACATTACTATCGCGCATATCAAAGTGCCTGCTACTCTACCGGTGGTTTTGCGAGAGGCTTTATGTTCGATAAGGTTGCGCATAATCGAGACTACATGGACAGTAATGTCGTCCTCTCCAGAGCAGGTGGTGGTCTCATGAAAGACATAGACTCTGGTGAGATGAAGTCGAAAAGGGATCAATCAGAAGATTCTGCTGCTTTGGGATTGAGGAATTGCATGATCCACCGCAACCCAGTCGTTATTATTACTGGAGTTGACAACCCAAATATCCCATCGAAGCCACCGCACCAGTACTGTGTTCTGGATTACTTCAAACCCACCCACGTCTGGGCTGAAAAGAGTGGTGACAGCAAGATTGTGCGGTACCGATTCGAGAAGTTGAACACGAAGAAAGAGTCTTGGTGGCGGGCGAAGGATGCGCAGGAAGTGATAGAGCTCGGCTCACTGCCATCTCCAGTCGAGAAGGTATGTGGAAGCTGCAATCTTCAGTCTCCACAGGTGTATCTAAATGGGTGGATGTGTCTACAGTCGGCATGCACCGCTTTTTGGAAAATTTACACTAACACAGCCGAACCTGGAAGAAGTATGCCAGCACAGGAGCCCAAAGAAGCGTCCTTGGTATACGATCCGCGCTTCCTCAAGCAGAAGACACCTTGGCACAATGACGATCATGACTACCCTCTAGCATCCAATGCCGCTGAACTGTCTAGGCACGCTGTTCCAGGTGAGAATACATCAGTCGCATTTTGGTCTGGCATGGTCTGCCCGGACTGTGGACGCTGTACGTCCCGTTTGAACTGGACAAACTGGGAGTGCTCCAATACCGCATGTCGATATACAAGAACACCTCCACATACGCTCATCCCTGCACTCTCCCTTCGTGACCCACTCTGGCCAATCACTAGTAGCTACACGTTATCCAGAGATACGATGTCACCTAGGCTTGAGTTGAAAGTGTCCTTTGAGCATGGGTATCGCATCAACCGTTACGAGATACCTGGAGTAAACGGTTTCATAGCGCACATGGTTGCTAACAAGACTGTTCTTGAAGAAGACGGCGGACCAGACGCGATGTTTGAGGAACTCCAACAAACAGATATTGGGCTACAGCGCCGATCTATGCCTAATGGCCAGCTGAAGGGACCCAACTACTGCCGTCACTTCGCTGTCAACTACGGTATGCCGTACAAGTTCATCGCAGCTACAGCATCTCGCCCCTTTGATGGAGCAGCTCGCCCAATAACAAGCACCCGTAGTCGACTGAACTGGGCCGCTAAACTGCTTCTAGCAGAGGAGAATGGCAAGAGCATGGACGAAGTTTGCCAAGAGTGGCAAGAGAAGGAGTTCAATGAGGTCCTGGCGTTAGGGTACTTCGAAGAGCAGAAGATCAATTACCATGATGACGGCGAGTTCGGTCTCGGCCCGACTATTGCGACATTAAGTTTGGGGGCACCAGGGACAATGCGGATCCGAATGAAAGCACGTCACTATCATGGCGTGTCTTCTGTCGCAAGTCTGTACGACGACGCTGCTCCAATCCCAGGGTGCCAACAATACGAGGCTCGTCTCGCGCTACAACCTGCTCTTGACGTCCTCAAAAGATCAGACACCAAGGCATGGAATACGAGGAGGAAGCAGATTCCCAAGCAATTGGGGCTCACTCACAGAGGCACTGCGAGAGATGTGCTGACCATGCAGCTCGGACATGGCGATATCGTCGTCATGCACGGTGCGGATGTACAGAAATACTATGAGCATGCTGTTGAACATGCGGGTAAGCTGCGGTTTGCGCTTACATGCCGGTACATTGATCCCGAGTCGCTGAAGCCCGAGGACCAACCGAAGTACGCGGTTGGATCCGATGCAGAAGGATACGATGGGTCAGGATTGATGTGAGTGATGGGCAGTGTTGGGAAAGGAAGATCATGATTGCGGGTTGCACGCGGACTAGAACAAAGTAAGAGTTAGAGAGGACTTTTGATAGATGATCGTATCTGACGGACACCATGTCATTGTAATCATATCGAGGCGTGTATGATTTGCATTTCTATACACAATTCATACCGGGTATTTAACTTTTGTTTTGATGCGCATCACTTCGTCATTGTGTTGGTCTTCATATCTCTTGCTTCCACTCCTTGTTGAACGCTCGTCCGATGACCATTCTCCTCACTTCACTTGTTCCAGCACCAATCTCGTACAACTTGGCGTCCCTGAGTATCCTTCCTACAGGAACTTCATTCATGTATCCCATACCGCCCATCAGTTGGACCGCATCAGCCGCAACCTCGCTTGCCCTTTCTGCGGCATATAGAATCGCTCCCGCACAGTCCTGTGTCTTGATATCAGGGCTGGCATGCGACTCATCGACGGCGCGTGCCACGCTGTATGTGAAGGCCTGACTAGCGCGGTACTTTGTGTACATATCCGCCAACTTGCCCTGTACAAGCTGGTTGTGTGCAATTGGTGTGCCAAACTGCTTTCTTTGGTGTGTGTAGGGCAGGACGTTGTCGAGCGAGGCTTGCATGAGGCCGAGTGGTCCTGCGGAGAGGACAAGGCGCTCGAGATCTAAGCCCTCCATCAGGACGCGGACGCCGCGGTTTATCTCGCCAAGGACGTTCTCCTTGGGGACGAAGACGTCTTCAAAGACCAGTTCGCCTGTGTTGGAGCCGCGCATGCCGAGTTTGTCTAGTTTGTTGGCGACGCTGAAACCCTTTGTGGAGGTCTCGACGATGAAGGCTGTGATGCCTTTGGAAGCGGCGTTGGGTTCAGTCTTGGCGTATACGACTATTACGTGCGCGTCTGGGCCCTGTGAAGTTTGTATTAGTATGCGTGTTCCTCTTCAGAAGACTTGTGACGAGAGACTCTTACATTCGTGATCCACATCTTGGTTCCATTGAGCAGATAGCCACCATCCACCTCCTTGGCCGTCGTCTTCATGCTGACTACATCACTCCCCGCGCTGTGCTCACTCATAGCCAATCCTCCGATGTTCTCTCCACTGATCAAGGCTGGCAAGTATTTCTTCTTCTGCTCCGCATTCCCGTTCAGCATCAACTGGTTGACACACAACTGGCTGTGCGCCGCATAACTCAGTCCTATGCTGCCGCTCGCCCGTGACAACTCCTCCATGACGACGCAGTGTGCTTGGTATCCCATGGCCAGTCCGCCAAACTCCTCGTCGGCTGTTATGCCCAGGAAGCCGGCCTCGCCAAACTTCTGCCACATGTCGTTGGGGAATTCATTCTGCTTGTCGGTACGCGCGGCGACTTCTTCGGGGATCTCTCGCTGGGCAAAGTCACGGACTGAATCGCGGAGTTCGTCGAGGTCGGATTGCGTGGGTGGTGTGAAGGCTTTTGGATGCTTTGTCGATGCGTACCGCGCGGTGGTGGAGAGGACGGCGGCGGGACGGACGCGTGTTTGACGGATGCTGCGCGTGAAGAGGCGGGGGGCTAGGGACGTCATTGTGATTGCTATTTACTATGAAGATTGAGGAACTGAAAAAAAAAAGAGTTCATGAACGAAGAAAGTGGTGGCATGTTTCGACAATACCCGTTCGGTTTGCGACGGCTGATGGACCGAGGCACCTTCCTAACTCATGGTATTGCGGAGAGGCTAGCGTCTGGGGAAGATGAAGCGGCCCAGTTCCGCTCTCCCGTCACACGCATCGACGAACATGTACATTTTCGACAACCCTTCAGAGCTCATCAACCTTCTTCATGCCCCGGTCATTGCACTCTCCTACATCCAAGGCTACCAAAAACCTGCTCACGGCATTATACCCTGCGACCGTCGCTGTCAACTCGACAACCATGGTATCCTCCAGCACTGACTTAACCATCTCCGCAACCCCATCTTCCACCTGCACACCCACAGTCATCTGATCCGTGTATACCATGACCGCGTACTCCTCCTTGCTGAATCCCAATAGACCTTCCCTCTCCACTTCTCCGTGTCTCGTAACGGGTAAATCGAACACAGTTTGTAGCACTTGTTTGGAAACGCCCGCTTTCAATGCTAGAGCGGCATGTACATCCCACTCATGAACTGCATGGTTCAGCACGGCAATACGGCTTATGGCCAGCTCCTTGAGATTGGCAGGTAAGCTGGTCTTGGTGCGTATCGCGCCGATGAACGAGTTCCAGCCGTCCGCTACGGCGGGGTTGTGTAGGAGGGCGAGGTCGAGAGGGATGAGGGGGCGGGGCTTTCGTCGCTCGGCGATGCGCTCGTAGATGGGGCGAGCTTCTTCATTTGGGGGCTCGTTTGGGGCGTAAGGGACGCGCATCTTTGGTGAGGTTGTTGAAGCCAAGGTTCATACGTGGAGGCCGGATGGTATGGTACGAGGTTGAGGACGTACGAGGTTTGACAGAAATAGGCGGAGGAACATTGGAAGTTGGGAAACACAGGACAATCGAGAGATTTATATATCCACTCTATGCACATGCAGGGACTGTGACGGATATGCTTTCCGGTATCTGGAATAGCTAGATGCGCAGTACCTAAACTATGCGAAATATGAAATCGGAGATAGCCATTGTCCCAATCTCGTGAGAGTCAAGTCGTCAAAAGAGCACTTGATTATAGATTCATTCATGCCAAATTTTCCGCAAATCCCACTGTGAAATATTTACATATGCAACGCCGCCAAAAATTATCTATCTTACAGCCTGCTCTGCTCGTCGAACACGTTCGGTAGCCTGGGAATACCCTCCAACCTGGTCGTCTTCTTGCCTGCTGGTGCAAGGGTAACATTGTATGTCAAGTCGAGCTTCGCCTTGGGGTCTTTGCTGGGCTCGAAGTCTAGCAGCAGGTCGTCCTTGACCGCAAAGACGGTGTCATTGGTGACCCATTGGTCATCGCGGGGGTATAGTTGTGTGATGAGTGGCTTGTAGTTCTCGGCGGAAACCATGAGATGGATGTGTGCGGGACGGAAAGGGTGGCGGTCGAGGGTCTTGAAAAGTTGACCAGCAGCGCCTGTTGAGTGTCAGTTGTGCTCGTGCAAGGTCTTTGGAATTGAACATACCATCAGTAGGTAGCGAGTACGCTGTTGGCTTGTAGCAGTAGTACCAGTACTCGCCATTCTCGTTTGTAGTGAACTTTCCTCTCAGGTTGTTTGGCTCTTGGTTCTCCGGATCTTGGAAATCGTACTTTCCGTTGGCGCTTGCTTGCCAGATGTCGATGACTGCGTTGGGGATGCCCTTCTTGGTGTCAAGATCCCTGACTACACCATGCATGAGAGTTGTCTGGCCATCGGGGTGTGGGTTGCGAATGATGGTGTCGCCAAGGTCGCGGAATGGCGAGTGTGGTGACCAGAAGGGGCCGAGGATTGTGGATGAAGTAGGTGTCTCTCCAGACTCGTTAATGTGCCTGTGTGCAATCTCGTCGACCAATCTATGGCGGAGTCAGTATGTTGATTGTGCTTGCTCGAGCTTGAAGACTTACGATTCTACGCCCAGAACATCTGAGATACGATGCGCCTCGTTCCTGGTGGAAGTTGTGGTCTTGCCAATAGAGTTGACGAATCGTACACCCTCGAACCACTCCTCGTTGGTAAGCTCGACCTCACGGATGAAGTCGTGGAGATGCCTGATCAGCTTTCCCATGACGAATCGTGTCCGCTCTGGCACATTTGGGCCAATGGCGTTGATGACGGCGTCGGTGAAGTTAGGATCGAAGCGATGCTGGCCATTCTCCTGAGGCTCAGGCGCTGTCTGTGTGTTTGGGTCCATCTTGAGTATGTAGAGGATAGGGAAGATCAAACAACAAAAGGTATCAAGAAGGTGTTAGAGATGGAGTAGTGCAGTTAGACATCAAAGTCCGGGGCACGAGCAGCTTAATAAATAGTAGCTGAAATCCAGCCGGCCGTAGCCAACCGAACTGGTGCCGTTTGCAATGGCCGTCCCTCTAGCTGCGCATCAGGCGAGAGCTTGTCCAAATCGTCTGGCGGCATGCTGTACCGGCTTTCAAGCGTGCTGTGAGCGCGAACAGCCACAGTGCCGAAGGTTGCGCCATGTCGCGACGATTGCCCCGCCTTGACCTGAGCGGATTGGCGAATCAAAAGGCAGCCGATGTGGAAGAAGACTTATCCGCCCTTTTTCCCTCAGATTTAGCGTCATCTGCACTAATGCCCCGCCCTCGGAGGGGGACCCCGGAAGTTTGACGACGCGACGCGATGGCCGACTTACTGAGAGGTGGAGGGCAGGTCCGGCAGACATTTCGTCCTGTAGTTTCCCACGCAACTTGTTCGCCAACGGGGAAGACACGTCCTGTAAAAAGAAGGAACCGCCAACATGGTCAAGCATCATCTCATGATCGGCACTTGGACGCCGCCGGGTGTGATAATCACGGTCGCGTTTGACGATGAGACACTTAAGCTGGAGCTGGTGAAGAAGACGGAGATTCCAGAGGATGAGCCCATAAGCTGGATGGCTTTCGACGTATGCGCGCAACTCCCGAACATCGATGCAACCAACAATGGCTGATCACCAGAAACACAGCACAAGAGGAAGAACATCTACGGTGCTTCGATGAAGAAATGGAGTTCGCATGAAGTCAAGAGCCCGAGCGAGATTGTACATACTGGAAGCTTTCCCATGGGCGGACACCGTAAGCCACACAGCATGAGCATCGCATATCACTACTGACAACCTTCGCAGCCAGAGCAAATGATGCTGACACGAAGACACGTGCCATCTTTCTCCTTCCCGCCCAGAAGCCCCCATACGCTGTATACTGCAACCCGTTCTACGACTTCGCTGGCTACGGCAACATCTTCTCCGTCAACCCTTCAGGACACATCAAAGAGAACATCCAGAATTTCGAGTACTGCGAGAAGACTGCGATCCATGGCATGGTCTTCGATCCCTCCGAGACCTACCTCTACAGCGCGGACATGTGGGCGAACCGAGTATGGTGTCACAAGAAGATAGACGACGAGGGTAGACTGGAAACAGTAGGCTTCACTGAGGCTCCGGCGCCGAAAGACCATCCAAGATGGGTAGAGATGCATCCATCTGGAAACTACCTCTATGCCTTGATGGAGGCAGGAAATCGGTTGTGCGAGTATGTGATTGACCCGCAGACGAAGTTGCCCGTCTACACACACAAGACGTACCCGTTGATCCCGCCTGGTAAGCTGTTTCTCTACTCATGATCACCCCAAAAGCTAATGAACATCTCAGGTATCCCCAATGCAAACACTATGTACCGCTCGGACGTTTGTTTCCTCACCAAATCCTCAAACTACCTGTTCGCGACTTCCCGATCCAACTCCTTCTCTCTCACTGGTTACATTGCCGCCTTCAAGATCGCTCCATCAGGCGCCATTGAGCGACAAATCTGCCTTAACCCTACACCGACCTCTGGTGGCCACTCGAACGCTGTATCACCATGTCCGTGGTCGGATGAGTGGTTAGCGCTTACAGACGATGAGAAGGGTGGGGTGGAGATATATAGATGGCACGACGAATTTTTGGCACGCGTCGCGAGATTAGAGATTGGCGAGAAGGGCTTTGGCATGAATGCGATTTGGTACGACTAAGTTGATGTAGGCAAGAAACACATTTTCCAATAAAAGATGTTTTTGGATAGAATTAAATGCGCCAGCAGCTCAAGTTCCTCAAGGTCATGCACTCGGAATAGCTCTGGTGGGAGTAGGTACTGATAATCCTCCACGTCCCGAAACATAGCGTGGAAGGGGCGGGTCTATGTTCAGCCTCGGAAGAATGAGGGGCAGCGGTACCGCCGTCGCCCGAACTAACGCCAGCCGGCAAATGTCATCGGGGGACCTCTTCTTTCCCCAACTTCGTCATGGTTCGCACGAGGGATTTGGAGTAGCATAGTTGCATTAATCGAATCCATATACCTTCCATCCTCTTGCGTTTCTTCACCTGTTTACCTACTGCTTGCAACACTCATACTGAAGTCACAGCTACCCCACTGCAACAGACACCATGGCATCCAAATCAACACCAGGCATTTTGTACGTGACGATGCAACCCAAGGAGGGCTTGCCTGAAGCACAGTTCCATGATTGGTAAGTTGACCCTCCATAGTCGCATTCTTGCTTCTTCGCGATCCCACCTGACGCTCTTCCCGCCAAGGTACCAAAACGAACACGGCCCTAACCGTCTCCGCCTGCCCTTCTGCAACAACGGTTTCCGCTACCGCGCAACCGACCTCGAGAATGCGTCCGGCTCCAAAGATAAACCAGAATGGATGGCCATTTACGATTTCGACGAGCTCGAATGGCTCACGAGGGAACCGTACACGAAGCTTCGGAGCGCACCGGTGCAGACGCAACGTGAACGAGATACCATGAAGCAGATATTCGTGGACAGACGGTCGTACGACTTACTCGGCGAGTGGAAAGGCGAGGACTTCAAGGACCTGCAGAAAGTAGAAAACGAGGGGGAGAAGAACGTGATGATAGCCGTAAGCTTTGCGCTGCAAGACGGCGCGGACAAGGAAGAAGAGCTGAAGAAATGGTATCACGAGGAGCATGTACCGCTCCTGCAGAAGGTCCCAGGCTGGAGGCGGACTAGGAGGTTTGTCACATCTTACCTAGATCTCGAAAGCGGACACAAGTCAGAGAAAGAGTTCCTTGCGCTGCATGAGTATGCGCCGCAGAATGGACTAGGAGGGCCCGAGTTTAAGGCTGCTACCACAACAGATTGGTGCGACAAGATCTACAAAGATGTTGTGAAAGAACGGAAGAGGAGGGTTTATGACTTGTACTATACGTTTGGGGCTGCGCAGCGCGACCTACAAAGTTTGACAAGCAAAGACACGGCACCAGTGGAAAGCACAGAAGGCAAGGTCAAGACATATCCAGCGCACACGACATCAGACAAGCGACCGGTGATTGAGAGCTTCATCACAACGAAAGACGGTGTGGAACTCCAGTACCGCCTCGAAGGCTCTAGCGATCCCAATGCGCCTTTACTTGTTCTCTCGAACAGTATCCTCGTCGATTATGGTATTTGGGACGACTTCGTCGCCGAGTTTTCAAAAGCTACAAACGACAAATACCGCATCCTCCGCTATAGCACTCGTGGACGTCATACGCTTCCGTCAAGTTCTACATCACCCATCTCAGTTCACACCCTCACAGACGACGTCATCGCACTGCTCGACGCCCTCCGCGTTAAGAAAGCATCTATCGTCGGTGTCTCTCTTGGCGGCGCAACAGCACTCAACGCAGGTCTCTCTTACCCAGACCGTATCTCAGCGTTTGTAGGCTGCGACACCAATGCCTTCGCCCCACCTTCCAATGCCAATGCCTGGAACGAGCGTGTCGGCGTCGCTGAGAAAGAAGGCCTAAAGGCCGCATCCGGCGAACCCATTGTTGGCGAAGAACTCGCAGAGGTGACAGTCCGTCGCTGGTTCGCCAAGGAATCTTACGACGATGCGGAGCTAGCGAAGAAGGTTCAACGTGTCAAGGACATGGTCAAGACGAATTCTTTACCTGGTTTCCGTGATTCCGTCAAGGCGCTGCATCAGTATGATATCAGGGAGAAGATGGCTGGGTACAAGGGTAAGGGCGCGTTCTTGGTAGGTGCTGGCGATGGCGTGCTGCCTAAAACCATGAAGGAGAACATGGCGGATAAGCTTGGTAGTGGTGTTGAACTGAAGATTGTTGATGGTGCGGGACATTTGCCCATGGTAGAGCGGCCTACAGAGGTTGCGCAATTTGTTGCGAAGTTTCTAGAGGGTTAGGATCATGTTGTTCTGTGCTCCGAGGTAGTTTGTTATTAAGAACGGCCTTCCTTGCGAGACAAGGGGCCTCGTTGAGATGAGCGATAGAAAGTTTCTCAATTGAGTAAATTTTGCGGGGTCGGTTTGATGACTGCAGATGTTGTACTCCAATGCAGACTACCTAGGTACAGTACATGCAGTGCGTCAGGAGTGGTTACACAGCATTGGGTGATAAGCAATCGATGGTCAATGTAGAACTTACTAGATATGGTGTTTTCCGTCTGCAACAAAACATCCGTCAATCCAGATTGGTTGGATCCGCGGCTCTTTGAGTGACGAAGAAAACCGCGAAGCTGTACATGATTCTTCCTAGGGATATCGAAGCACCAGTGGTCAAAAGAAGTATCCATTGGGAGGTATCATCCTAGTTCATAAAAATTTATGGCATGGATTCAACTGGAAGTACGGTAAGTTGCCGGACGCGCGGTGGAAGGTGTTTCCTTATTATCGCGTCTTTGAATGGTATTTATCGTATCATCTTTTGCATAACATGCTTAGTACAATTGTTGGATGATCCCAAAGACCGATCATGCTTAGGTACCTTCTTCAGCTTTCAGTAAACCACTTACTCTCCCCAACTACATCCTACCCCCGGTCCTCTCTCCCATCCACCCAACTGGTACAGTTAACACACCTCTTAGCCTTCTCACTAATGTACTTTCTACAGAACTTGCACTTGACCTGCTTCTTCACAATATTGTCCCCGCTACCCCTCGAATATGCCAGCGCGATGACCCAAAGCGCCAGTGCGATCGCCAGAAACCTAATAATTTTATCTAGGAAATCTCCATAAGCCAGTACCACAGCACCGTCGTCGATGGCTTGTTTAGGCGTGTTGTAGCCGTTGGAGATGGAGACATTGTAGTTGGGCCCAGATTGCAGTATGGCGAATTTGGAGTCGAGGTTGCGAGAGATGAAAGGGAGCAGGGAGATTATGGGTAGTATTATGGAGGAGACGAGGGAGTTTGCACAGGCTGTGAAGGAAGCTGCGAGACTGGTTGTTTGGATTAGTACAGTAGAAGTATACGTATTTTTGTAGGAGCGTGGTACATTAATCCTACAGCTACTTCGAGCACGTTGTCGCGTAGGGCGAAGTTGCTGAAACTGTCCCAGGCACCCGCTGTTCGCCTCTTGATTCCTTGTTCTGCATCGCGGAGTGTTTGCTGGGTATTTTCGTCTAGGCGCGGCATTGTGATGCTTCAGGGGGGTTCAGATGGTAAGGGTAGGTGTGGGTGCGAATGCATGTGGTGCATGGTTCATCAACGCTGGAGTCGCGTCGCAAATAACGACGTCATCAAGACGCGTTAGGTCCGGGCATATCACGCGCGTGAGTATTGCAGGTACGGGTTCTTCGTCCACGGAGCAACGGCTCCCATTGGAAACGCAGTCTATGTTGTGTGTTTCGCAGCGACGGCTGTTTCCAGCGCAGTGATCATGTTCCTTTAATCAATAACTACCGCGAACTCTTCTCCACTGTCTTCCAAAGCATCCCGAAACCCAGCCTACTCCACGCGTAAGCTTCCCCAGCCTGTGGTCGGTCCACTTAGCGAGACGCCAGATAGATCGACTTTCCTTACTGTCATTGCCCTGCGTCGACCATGAGGCCAAGCGGCTGCAGCGCTGCAGCGCTGCACAACGCACAACATATACTGCAACATGACGAACTCTTGCGCATCATCTTACTCGTTCGCGGTTTAACATGCCATATACCAAGCCCTCTACGATCGCATCGAGAATGATCATCACGCCTTCGGATACACATCCCATATCTCCTGATCCTCCGCCAATGTAAGACATGGGCGTACACACAACGACCCCACAGTTCGGCCCGTCTGCGCAGAAAGCCACTCTTTTCCCGAAACACAGGCCACATGCCCAACCCACACCCCACCCCACCGTCGTAACGAGAAACATCAAAAAGAGACCCCGCCTGAGCGCAATCACGCCAGCCAGCCTCATGATTCAGCACTATCGTCAACTTTGCCGACCCCGGATCAAAGCCCACCACAGGGCTTGCTCGCGCCGCGTGACCCTTTGCGGCAGTCGGCAGTCTAAGATCGCCCGCCTAGATGAAAGGGTGAAAGAGAAAACCCAAGACGTAGGGTCTGCCGTCCGAAGCAGATAGAACAACATGGACATGACAAGTGGTCAGGTTATGTCAGGTCAGATCGTGTCAAGTTCGGGATAGGTAAGCCAAGTAGATCACCGTCTCGCTCCATTTCGCGTAAAGATGCGCAGCAGGAAATGCTGCTTTTCTGCAAGAATTTCGGCACGCTGCGCTTCGTGAATGGAGGAAGTGAGGGGTACTCATGGATACATTCATGCCGGTAAATGTTTTTTCGGCACGCTCTCATGCGAGAGGCTGCATACAAGAACAGAACAAAGCGGTATAGCCAAGCCTCATTGTGGTAACTGAAAAGGAAAATCTCGACCCCTCTACTGCATGCAGGCAATCGTGAGGCTGAATTGACGAAGAAAAAAAAAAGAGTAGGCTGGTTGATAAGACAATCTTCGCCTTTTCTCGCAACACACTTGCGATACAGCGGTGCCGATAGACCCGATATTTTTTGTGAGAGCCACCGCGGAGGGTTTTCGGGTGGTTCAGGGTTGAGCGGCGGTAAGCGCGCGAAGAGGGATGTTCGCTGTTAGGGTGTGGAGGGGTAGATTTGGGTACTTGGTTGTTTTCGCTATCGTGGGTTATGCGGCGTGAGGTCACGGTACCGCACGCTTACTCTAGCGTGCAGTAGTCACGTTTGGTGTGGGGGACTGGTTGCGTGTGCTTGACAGTATACGCGCTTCCAAGGGCTGATGAGAAGAAGTTGTGCTGGGGGAAGCCTTCTTGATGACGAACTCGCAATTGATGTACATGGAACGTGTGAGGATGTGCATTAAGATATTATGAAGTGGAATTTGTTTGTTCGATCGATCTCATACTGGCGCCATGCGCGAACAGTAAATGTAAATGCTCAGTAAAACTCCGCCCAATGCGTATAACGTTGAAATATGCAAACCCGTGGTATACCAAAGACGCCTCCCAATGCTGTATGCGTAAAGTCAAAAAGCCACCAACGCCGCGGAATGCTGTGTAGCCGGCCCCAACCCCACTACACCTTTTCTCCTCGTGATTACAAAATTGACTCTCCTGTCACCGAGTCCACTCTCGCTCTTGACTTTGATCGTGTCGACGACCTCCGTCGTTCTGCGCCCTCCTTGGGCTTCCTTGTTTTTGCGCGTCGTAGCGCAGGAACATCCTCCTCTTCAGATTCGTCTACAGTGAATAGATCCGGGCTGGGTTCCCGCCATGAGTGACGATGACCAGATAGTGTGCGCGAGTAGCGGCGACGATTTTGCTGCTTGCGAGTTGCAAGATCCTGTGCGCGACCTCGAGATGGTTCAGTGATCCTAATTCGTGGTGGGCTGAGTTGAGACACGACATGTGGTGTGTCGTTCAGTCGGTCGTCATCAAGACCCATGAAAGACTCTTCCTCCTCTTCTTCATAGATGGTAGGTGCATGGTACTGGTTGTGGAGCTGGCTGTGGTTGTGCTTGACGTATCGGGCCCATTTGTTGGCGACGTTGGACTTGAACTTGGAAGACTTAGTTGCGCGTGGTCCTTCCTGGAAGTCAATGCCAGCGCTGAGAGACAGTTCGTACGGGTCATCAGCTTCAGTGATTGGTGGTGAGATGAAGTGCGAGAAGGGGTCTTCGTCGATGTCTGGAAGGTCGTTCTCATGTGTGTCCTCGTTGCCGTTCTCGACCCAGGGTGGGAAGGAGTAGGAACGGGGGGCGCTTCGTAGATAGGAAGGCATGATTAATAGAATATCCTTGAACTTTCGAAGGAGTGATGAACGTCGAACGGGTAGCGACGGTTTAGCGCTTGATTCAACCTTGACCAAGGCGATGTGACCGAGAATGGTGTTCAGCTCCGGCTCCTGGCCGGTCCTTCCTTAAACAACAGCTTGCGAACACTCGGTAACGAGAGCTCACAAGTGGTGGAGGAGGAAGGTTGTTTTTGTAGTTTAGCCAGTGGTGAGTGGCGCACGCAAGATATATGCGTGACTTGGGCGTAAGCTTCTGATAGAGTCACAGGAAGGCGGAGTGGATGAGGCGGCGATGATGAGACAATGGTAGTGCTGCCTAGGAAGTGTTTTGTTTGCCTGGTAGGGGACGAGTCAAGAAGCGACCGTTAGTAGGAAACCGTGGCTTATCCTCCTCGAGATATCCTGATACCGAATGTGTATTCTGGAGGATTCCCTTGGGTACTTATGTTTGCAGGCGAGAGATGCAGCCGGAAGAGGTGCCCTGCATGTGCAGTGCATACGCATTAGCGTGCGGTGTGGATGAGAAGCTTAGTGCAGCGTGAACAGAATAGGGTAGGGATCCCAGGGCGCAAGGGACTGGGTGACAGGCAGAGTGATGGCTGGCGGACCACATGAGATGGTTGGCGGCACACCATCTCGGTGTAGGATGACCTGCAGCAGGCTGCACGCGCGCATTGGCCACTAGGTGTTGCGGACTCGACGGCCGTTAATGCAGGACTGTCGATCGATGTATTACCGCTAAATGTCAAACTATGGCCAGAGACTGACCAGCGCGATCGTGCAAATTGCAGCGAGGCGTCAAGAGGAAAGGTGGACTAAGGAGTGGGTTGCGGTGGAGCCAAAGGCCCGAAGACACTACGTAGTCACGATTCTGCGCTAGCGGCGGGGCAGATCACACAGCATACCATCACCTTCTCTCCATTCCCACTCAGCCTCATTCTAAGCTTTCCCTCTTCGGTCCACCTCACACCCTCTTCTGCTCACACGCCGCCTCGCTTGTGTCTCCGAGAGGTCATGACTGAACTGCTTAGAGTCCCGCTATATCCGCCCTACGATACCTATCGTGAGCATGACGAGGCTGCTTGCGTGAACCTTTGTTCTGTGCCTGCAGCCGACGGTGTACTACACCGAACCGGGCGGCGTTCCTCTCAGAAGGTTCCATCAACAGGCCATGGCTGGAGTTTCAGCTGAGTGTCTGATTCAGCTGATGCGACTCCAATACACCACAAGCGACATTTGACCTTGGATCATCGTGACTTTTGCTCACCATTCGAAGTTTGATAAATTGGTCGACCAGGGAGGACTACCATATCATTTGACAACCTGGGATAACGCGGCATAATCACTTGGCTCCACTGTGCAGTTTTCCAGTACTGCGAGATTGCTACTGTTTCCAAGATTCCTCTCCTCACGACTCCGTTACGGCCCGACTCCGCTTGGGCTTTACAAGAGATGGACTGACGTAGTCTGCATACACGCAACCTGTCTGTTGGGCCTTTGGTTATTACAGTCACAGTTCTATGACGTCCCGCGGTCAACGACGACAATGTTCAGATGGAGGTCAGTACCGCGGTTCCCGGCGCCAAAATGGGCGTGCGCCTCAATACCTGACTAAGAACTCTATCTCACCCACCGCGGTGTCACCTGAACCCTGAGCCGCCTGATGAGTCGGACTCGCCTGAAATGCTTGGACTTTGATGCGTTCCGCTCGCTTAAACGCCCCAAAAGAGACCTCAACTGCTCAGCATCAGCTCTCGAAACGACTATGTGAACGCCTCAGTGGCTTATAATGTCCTGACTGATGTTCGGCGTGCACGAATGCGACACATCCTATTGCTCGAGATACTACCCACCCTGTTAGTTGACTGCGCATACACATGTCAATCTCGGCTCCTCTCTCCAGAACTACTAGAAATCGCTTACGCCATCAACAAGAGGCGTTCGAGCAGGAGATTGGACAGCCCTACTGTTATTTTTTTAATGCGAACCAAATAACGTCTACGAATAGAAACTTGTCGTTCTTTGACGCGCATAATCAACGTGCAAGTTTTGATTTGATCAGTCCTCTCTCAGTTTGGTACAGTATACGAAGCGCATAATCTTCCCTGTCATACTGGCTTCCACGCTACGCAGGCGTCGCTGTTGCAGCGCTTCTCATCTTGACAGCCTTGACAGCACCGCGTCTTACTGCTTCTGGTGGACTACAACTCTGCATGTCGCAGTAGCGCTCTCTACACAATTTGCTTTTTTCAAATCATTGGGTCCTTAGTCTACACAAATCGACCGATGCAGTGGCACGCGTACCGTGATCTACCACTCACCGCTGGGACCACCCTAGAAAGACTAGAAGTTTTCCCACCCGACATCTACATCCTCGTCGCGTAGTCCCTCAACGTCCTTCAAGTCGCATATCCCAATGCCTTTCACCGCTCTACACCGCCATTTCCGCCATTCCTTTCCGCGATACGATCTACGAGGCGCGAGCGCACGGGAGCTAACTCCATCGCTAGCCTACAAATCACAAGCAGGGATTCCCCAAACCGTCTGCCTGCATTTGTACCAAGGAAGAAACACCATACCTGTGGGTCTTTGACACTTCGGACTCTTTTGTTCCAGGTTTCTTGAAACACAAATCGGACCAGCATCGGCCCACCTCGGACTTTTATGACGCGCGCGTTCGGTTTCGGGCGAGCAGATGGTCATTGGTCAACCATCTCTCGTTTCGTTTCGTCTCCGTTCGTACATACAAGGCGCTCACCGCTGGTATCCCTCCACCAAACGCCGACACATCGTGACGATGGCGACATGCAATGCCGGCATACCAACCTGTTAGGTACTTGACTTGTGCCGATGTCAACGCCAGGGGTGGTGTCCGCGGGGTGCATGTTGGAAAGGGCCCCACTGCCATTCTAATTCTGCAACACCACGGACTCAGATCGCCCCTCTCTATCCGAGAATTATTTGACTTGCGCGCGCGCGCGTACTGGCTACCCGACTCTTGTGCCCAATGCTTCTCCTTGCTACGACGAGGCTCTCACCGACTACGTCATTTCTCTTTACTCTCTTCCTTCCGCAATGTTCCTATCGTCTCGGGCTATGGGGGATGGTAAGCGCTTCTGGAAAAGATTTGATCAATCTTACCCCGCATCTCCGGTGTCGCAAAATCATGCTGGACGCGTGTTCCGCGTGACATAATCGACGCGGTACGAAAGTGCCGAGTCTCCTAGGTAGTCGATCAGCTGCAATGGCAGAATAAACGAAATGGTTGCAACAAGCACAAGAGAGAGGAAAAAGAAAAGAAGAATAAGCTTCAACCTAACGGCTTCGTCGTAATTTCTCGACATCAGCACTTGCGTATATCTCAACGTCACCAAGCACACGCGTTGCAGTCACGATCCTTACACATTAAACTCTCAACTCTTGACTTTTTACTCTTATTGCCCAATCACAAAAGTCCACGCAAACCACCTTGTCAAGGAACGCCATTCCAAACGCCGCGAACAATGGGTATAGTATCAGAACGCTTCCATGCTAAGATCCGATGCCGATCTCGTAGCCAAGCATCACCTCGGTGGATGCTCCCTCCCAGCCTCTGTTTCCACCTGTTGAGATGAGGAAGTTGCAGGTTGGGTCGAGGTATAATTGTGATATGACGCCGGTGCGATGTCCGGGGACAATGAAGAAGGGGGTTGCGGCCGCGCCGGCTTTCGGGCCTGCCTCGTCGTGTGTGAGATCGTAGAGGCGCAGGATGTCGTATGACGCGCTGGTGTACGTTAGCACTTGTCTCACGATGCACGTGTATCTGTGCGCATATGAAGGGGGGTGTGGTCAACTTACCAAATGAGATGTCGTCCATTGGGCATAGCCCGGACGGCACTTACAGTGCCACTTACGCTGGGGAATCTAAATGTTCGTCGCGGTTCTCGTAGGCTTTTGTGTAGACTGTACTCGTCCACTGTGCCGTTTCGCCGGCCAGCGTAGATGAAGTTGCCGTCTGGTGACCAGCATGCATTCATGCACCACGGGGGTGTATTTCGTGGTGGTGTTATGCGTGCGACCGGGTTTGGTTGCCGGCGGTCCCAGATACGTAATGTGCCGTCCATTGACGCGTCGACAAAGGTTGTCTCGGAGGAAGCTGGCTGTTCGGTTTGGTTTGCGGACGTGGCAGCAGGTTTCTCGGTATCCTCTGCATGCGGCAGGCCGTTGGAAGTGCCATTGAGTTGAGCGTCTGCAGTTCCATTTGCTGTTGATTGTGTCTCAGCGGCTGCCGGGGGTTCTTTCGCTTCCTCTGCAGCTGGCTCCTCGGGTGCTTGTACAGGGCCGCCCATGTCCATCATGTCCATATCGGCATTGGCATCTTCGTCGGCTTGTTGTATGCCATTCGCAATGGCTCTCGAGAACTCGTCGTCATCGTCCCCAAACGAAGGGAGAGTGGCTGAAAGGTTGTTCTCCTGGCCGTCGCCGAACAACGAGTCCTGATCCTTGTCTCCGAACAACGAGTCGTCTGGAGATCCTTGAGCATCTTCTGTGCCCTCCTCCTTTGGTATGACGGGCTTTGTATCGACGCCGTTGGAGAGGATGCCGTTGGGTCGGGGTCGGGCGGCATTGTTGGAAGAGAAAGTGCCGTTGGAGAGCGGGAGGGTTTCTGTGTCCTGCGGTATAGGGAGTGTAGATAGTGGCCGTTGCTCGATTGCGGAGATCTGACCGCCGCTAGTCTCGAACTTCCTCTTGACTTGGCCGGTATTCAAGTCCCAGTCGTTGATGGTCTTATCCCAACTACCGCTCAATACTGATGTCTCGTCCTGCGACAACGTCAAGACGGAAACGGCCGAGGTGTGGTTCTTGAGCGTATGTATGCGTGTTCCTTCCTGATGGCGTACAGATTGCAGGTTTATGCCTCCCGAGTCCAGACCCGACAGCAGCCATAGGGCTTGGTGGTGGACTGCGAGCGAGTATACGGGAGATAAGGTCTCGGCCGCGGCACTGTCTTCGTTCTCCCAGTATGACAAGAGCACTCCCGCCTTTGTAACAGAGTCGACGAAAGGATGCCGCTGGGCCACGGTCAGGGCAAGCTTTCCATTGGCTGTGTCTACCCAATTGAACTTGCGTATGTAGCCGTCCGCTCCGCCGCTAAAGACCCACCGCATGTCCGGTGTTGCCGTAATGGCATTGATCGAGGTACTGTGTGGGGCGGCGATGGTGGGTATTATATCGTACATGGGCGCGTTCAAGGCCTCTTGTCGCACGCTGGGACGGAAGGGCAGGTTGCCGAGCACGCCTGAAGCCGCTGCACGAGGGCTGGGCGATGTGAAGGTGACGGCAGGGTTTGGGTCTGATTGCCCAGGCGTACCTCCGTTGGGTATGCTACCGCGAGGTCGCTGTGAAGGGCTGTCGGGCTCGTCCTGGTCTTGATCTTGGTCCTGGTCCTCATCGTCGTTGTCGTTGTCGTTGTCCCCTTCTGCGTCGTCGTCATCGTTGTCGCCGTCATCCCCGTCGTCGCCCTCTTCTTCCTCGTCTACGTCCATAGCGTCTGCCTCCTCCTGCTCATCTTCCTCCTCGGCGGAACCTGTTGCGCGCCGTCAGTCGACAGCTATGTGGAGAGGGCTGGGTATTCTCACTGTTGCCATTCTCGTAGTCGTCCTCTTCATTCATGCTGGGCCCATGCGCATCAACCAATATCGCATGCGCGCAGCTGTTAAACTGCTGTGTCGCCGTGGAACCAATGCGCCGATGTTCGCGTTTGGGGGGACATGGATGAGGCTCGGCCTAGCGTCATCCGCTGCTGCGCTAATCCATCTTGGACCTAGACCGACTCTCCACTCCAGCCTTCCTTTCGCGACATCTTGCTTTGCACAGATTCACATGCTATCATGTTAGCCGTTTGAGTTTTCTGCCTCACAATGAGAGCGTCAAAGTCAAAGAGTTCCGGTTGCACAGGTTGCATTGGAGACGACGTGGATACCACATGGCAATGTTGATAAATCGTGAATGATTAGCTATCTAGCTCCGTCTTCTGAACAGTTGCTACTACAGACGGCTGCTTAACAACTGACTCGCCTTGAAGGTTATTTTAGACACCGACAGAAGTATCTTTATTGAGACAAGCTTTGTATACTAGGTAGACACGTCAAAGTATGAGGCCGCTTCCAAACTGAGGTTCAGGCTGCCAGCGAGGCTGAGCGATTTGAGATCCCCGCGACCCCGAGGCAGCCTAGCAGCATGATGCTTGCCGTCAAACCCGTGGCTGACAGCGGGAAAGCCGAGCTTGTGGCAATTCATGTTTCCGGGGATAGGGCGGTGGAGAAAACAAAGTTTTGTTCCATGGCAGGACAGAGTCGCAGGGTTGGGCAGGATGTGGTTTGAAGGTGCTCGCTTAGCGCCAGGCTTTGCCCTACATCGAATAAACCACTCACGGCTACAGAGAAGACTGGTGCGAAGCGACATAGACAACCTGAGTATAAACGTTCAATTGATGAAAGCATTGTATCCGTGGTTGCTCAGGCTTCATGCTCAGAAGGCAGACGATGACGTGACGCCTTGTTACGCAACCACGCTTACGGTGCCGCAACACCAGCATTCAGCCTCATGCCCCTTACATCTTACCGGCCCCAGTTCCTCTCCACCACGCGAGAACTATCGTGATACCCATCACAGAGGCTTATGCCGCGTTCCATGTCTGTTGCACTGCCCCTACGCGCCGGGGCTTGGTTGGTCCAGAGCAGCGTGTTCACCCCCAGTCTCATGAGCTGTAGCCGCCGAAGCCACCTCTGGCATGGTTTTGTTGCTAGGCTGGTGCGGCGATCATGCAGGCTTCACAACTGCGCCGCAATATATGCCCCGACCATGTACTGCATATGCCCGAGAGCCGCACTCTGCAATGAAGCATTAAACTTTTCCTCTGTCCACGTCTCATGCATATGCGAAGCTTCAAGTGAATCTTGCGACGTTCGCACCATCGCCCACTATGAGACCTTCGAACCTGACGACGACAACTGAGGCAGAAACTGCTCTGGAAACTGATTTGGCACTCCCTGGTATCAAGCGTGGTATTGCCATTGGAGTAGCGTGTTCCGTGTCGGTCGTCGTTATTGCCATTCTCGCTTTCTTTGCCATCAGACGGAGAAACCGAGTACTAGCTCGAAGAGCACAACTCCATACAACAAAGGCAGAGATCATGGATGCCGAAGCCGGACCGCAAGAGAAGGCTTGGTGGGCCGCCACGCCTGCGTCTTCACCATCATTACCTCCACCACCGCCACCACCTGTCGAAGTAGATGCTCAGATCATCTACGAGCTGGATGCAGGTCAGATACCTGAATTGCACGGCGATACCGCTGCACAAGAAGTGGACGGAAATGACAACCACCACGACAAGTCGAAAGAAGCGGAAGAGTTGTACGCCCAGAAACTCGAGCAATGGAGAACGTGGAGTATGGCACTTGAGCCGGAACCTTCAGGCCCTACCCTTGAGGCCGTATATTCGCGCCTACCACTGCTCACAGTCTCACCACCTGAAGCCTCTTCTGGCGAGGTTTCACCATTACTACGCTCATCATGGTGTTATTCCTCGCAAGACGCCTCACCAATTTCGCCGCCTCCAAATGCGCATTTCCCATTGAGTCATCGCGAGAACACAAACACTTGAGCGACAACCTTGTGGGACTTTCCACAAACAAAGCAAACATGACAGAACCGTCGACGTTCTCAGCCGCACACAAGGAGGTCTATCGGATCTCGGACACTGCCAGCCATAACGGATGGATTAATATGGGTATATTCCGATGACGCCTATAACGGATAAACGAGACACTAGCATACAACATGTCTGTTATCACAATGGTGGTTTCTTCTCGTCGATTGGTCTCAAATCCTTCTCGAACCGGCCTTCTTCTTCATCAATTGGCGAATCTAGAAACAGCCGCTCCTTACTTCCCTTCCTCACGCCTGCCGGGGGAACTTCGGAGCCTGGCAATTCTGCAGCAAAACTTCGAGTCCCAGCAGCCTCCACAGGGACAACAGGACTGGCGAGTTCAGAAGGGCGCCTCTGACTTGCATTTCCAGCCTCCATCTCCGCCGGGCCAAGCGCTCCATGTTCTATAATCTCTGGGCTCATTCCCATCCCGGATTTCTCTAGGTCGTGCGTAGTGCCGCCGCTGACGGCGGATATTTTCGATAGACGGCGCAACAATCCAGAACGTCTTCTCCGTACAAGGAACCAGCCTGCTAGCAATAGTAGAATTATCCCAACAGCAGCTCCCACACCAATGCCCGCGCTGGCACCAGCGCTAAGTCCGCCGTTTCCGGACGTGGCAGCTGGGCCTGAGGAAATTGGGGCATCAGTCGAATTTGGAGTGGGGACGCCCGTTAGAGATGACAGCGGTGACGATGATGTTGCTGTTGCTGATGCTGATGCTGATGCTGGTGTTGTAGAGGCGTTCGGTGTTGGGCCTGGTGGTCCAGGTGGTCCAGGTGCGAGAGAAGTCACATCATCGTCATCATCGTCATTGTCGGTCGTGGTGGGGAGCGGCACAGTCGGGTCTGTTGATGTGGCCATTGTGATTCTAATTGAAAGAGTCGAGCAAGGCCGGGGATGCCAGAGTGTAATTCAACAACAAATTGTATATCAGCTACCGATTGTAGATAAGTTCGGGGATACCTTAGAAACAAGATCACGCTTCTTAAAGCAAGAATACCTTACCCCGCCTCCACATATATACCAATGTCTCACAATAGCGCACGTCAAAGACGACATTCCCGCCCATGGCTCCGGGTTCAAGCATCGGCGTTGTCGCGGCACCTATCGCTCATTCGAACTCGGCATCATTAGGGCGTCTTGTCGGCGACTCAGCCTCCTTCTATCCCATATACTTGGGCAGTTGTCAACTTGGCCTTACTTGTTACAGGCCTCAGTCTGCCACTCTTTTTGTTGAGTCTCCGCTGGCCAAGCTCCCCACGTGCAGTGGGAGACGCGTCTTCCGGGGCTCCGCTGTTGTCGAGGTCGCCAAGATGCGGAAGCCACCACCGCCGGGGGTACGTAGCCATGCATCTCTTGTTCCTGAGGTGTAGTTATACCTATGCATTGATTATATCGTCCGCGTGGCAGGCATGGTTTAGCCCGGTTGGGCAGCATATGACGCAATGAACTACATATGAGTATACCGAGGATGAAGGTATGCGGGGGCTCTTGGAAGGCTCTTGGGAGGCACTTAAGAACGCAGGAACAACCAGTTCGGATATGAGGTGAGTTCTAGGACGTTGAACTTTGGTGAGGAAGACTCGGGGAAAGGTTATGTCACCCATGGATAATTTGCTGGGCGAACATGTCGACTAGTGAGCGCCGCGGAGATGAGAAGATTTAGCTCAACACAAAAGGTATGTAACAGTGCGCGATACATTTGTGGAAATGAGCGCATGCATGGAGATGTTCGCGATTCATGGAGGTTTGCGCCAAATCGATGGAGATGCACGGGTACCTTAAGAGATGGATGATTGCGACCTTGGTGGGAAGAAGAGGCGTTGAAGTCCGTGCCGTGGAGCCCACAGGATCAGCATCCCGGACACGAACCCGACCCGTCAGGATGCGTTCCGTCAGGACGCTTCTCTCCCCATCCCGCACTCATCGTCGCACGCCGTCAACGTAGTCCGGCGCCATGGTCTGCTTGTCAGGCACCTGCCCGCACATTCAGATTTCTCATCGAAACATATCGCTGCCACCGCGTGGCTATCGGAATGGTGAATATGCGCTTCTCAGCCAAATCACATCACCACCTGCTGTGTGCGACCTACCTTGGTACCCTATCAAATTTCTAACCACCTGGACGCGTGGCGAGAAGGAGAGAGCAGCTATTGAAGAGCTACAACTATCTTAGTGACTGTAGCCAACAAATGGGATCACCTACCGTCGTAGAACGCGGAAAGGAGCGATCGCGGATCAAATGACGCCACAGGAGATCCATCTGCAATAGACTTTCACCATGCCCAAGTCAGCCAGCGATACTACAGACCATTTGACCTCGGCCCTTCACAGAGCGCTACTAGTTCAATGACACGGTTATTGTACCCATCTAGGATCGACAATGCATGGCCGCCCGAAACGTTTGGGTCACTATGTCTTAGGTATATGTCCTGTCAGTCTCTTTATCATGGCCAATCACGTAGATGGTTGGTTGTGAAAGCAACGGTGCGGTTTGCCCTGAACCTGTCATCGACTCTACTGGTGCCTGCATAAGGTGATGTGGGCTCGTTCTTCTCTAGAAGGGTGTGGGAATCAAGGAGGTTGGCACCTAGCCGCACAGCGCAGGCCCGCACACCCTCGATAGCTCGAACCTCGGGACCTAACATCGGTAGACAATTCATCTATCATTGCATCGTAGAGGCCCTGCCGTCCGATGATACGAGAGCACGAGAGCACGAGTTCAGCTTGAAAGGCATCAAAAGTCTGTTCAGCACACTACCCAGTATAGAGTTCCAAGCATCTGGGTCACATCTTGCTTTTCATCCGGGGAACAGCTTCGCCACGTTCTGGACTAGCCTCTAGTGTTGCGTTCACCGGCGGTAGTCGGCCGATAATAGTATGGTCTCACCCAAAGTTATGAAAGACGCCACATACCGGACGTGGTCTTAGGTGACACTAAGGACGATCAAAGTTACAACCCGTCTATTACGCATCTATTGCAGACGGTTCGCCTCTCTAACAATGCGCCGGTCGCGGCCCAGTTCTTCGGCGACTCAAGTCCCCATGGGATTCTTCATTTCATACATCTTGACGCGGACCGTACTCTTTCTGAACACCTTGTCAGAAAATACCAAGTCCCTGCAGGATGGCGAGCCAGTCGGGTCCTAATCTGGACCCCGTTTACTTCGGTGGCATCGAAGTCGATATCAGCCAGTTCGATTTCAGCGACCACTCATCACGACTTGGTGCTGTTACAATAACTTGCACCGTTTTTATCGCCCTGGTCGTCTTGACTGTCGCTCTACGAATCTTCTCTAGAGCAAGATACGTTCGGCATATCTTTCTAGACGATGGTACGTGTTAAACAGAAAACAAAAGATTATAACTAATGGATAACAGTCCTCATCATCTTCGCCGCGGTCTTCACGGTCGCTCTAGCGGGAATGTGCATCGCAGGTAAGCAGCAACCGTTTGGTATATTGATTCGGGTTAATGGTACCGTAGCAACTCACCATGGTCTTGGGCGACATATTTGGCTATTGCCTATACCGACGCTGTTTGACACACTGAAGAACTGTATACTGGTAAGTACAAGCACACTTTCGAGGGCCACGTTCCAAGCTAGCGTTCGGTAGCCAGAAAGTTTGACATTCCGAAGTCAAAGAGCAGCGACTAATGCACTGCAGTATCTCTTCGTCTGCCAGGTGCTATACTGCTTCGCTATTGCGTTAACGAAACTCGCCATCATATCACAGTACCTTCGCTTCATCCCCGACAAATCATTCCGCGCGGCGTTGTACGCGATATCTGTGATCATTCTAGGCCTGTTCATTACGGGTAAGACACAATGCCTCCCGCATGTTCACACATGCTAAAGCATCTACAGGAATTTTTGTCACCATCTTCCAGTGCCGTCCTGTCCGAGGAGCGTGGAACTTCACTATTGAACCAGTATGCGTGGATTACGTGAGCTATCTCTATGCTAGTTCCGCCGTCAATGTCGCGACGGATCTCCTCCTCTTTGTGCTACCCTTATCCCATCTTTGGAAGTTGAATCTACCAAGAAAGCAACGAGTCATTCTCTGTGTGCTTTTAGCAGGAGGTGCAAGGTATGTCAAAAGCGTATATGGCATGCTGTCGAACCATGCTGACCCACCGCAGCGCATGCATTGTAGGCATTGTCCGCATTGCCTATCTACACCAGTTACGCGTTTTGGATATTACCTGTAAGTAAGCTTCTACTTCAAGCGTCAGCAGTAGGGCCTTCTCAGATCTAGCAACCAAAGAAACATACATCGTATTGGTTAGCCGCAGGACTTGCGTGGATGGTGTTCATGTAGTTCGGAGATACCAGCTAACAAACGTCTAGATCAAAGCGTCGTCTGTCTTATCCTGACAGTAGGAGAATGCAGCTTAGGAATCATCTTCGTTAGCATTGCTGCTCTTCGTCCGATGGCACGGCAGTTTTTTCCCAAGGCGATGCGAAACTCTCCTTCTTCATCAGCTAAACCACGTGCATGGCCCGTTCGCCTCCAGCATATACCTGCCAGTCAGGACAAGGACCAGTATACTTCAGAGAGCAAGCAGAACCTATCGGGGTCATACGGGACGCGCTCGGGAACGTCTTGCTAGTTGTTCGTACACAACCAACTCCCCGCTCGCGAAGGCCCCATCAGCCACAGCCTTGAATGGCTCAAACTACCAGGACATGGACGATCCCTCCGCTCATCTTCACTAGCCGCATAGCTGGCAAGATGCAACACTATACCAGGGTACACGTATCCCTCAAGGCTGTCATTTGTTAAGAAGGTCGACTGGTTGGAAGCCGAACGAGTTACACACACGACGCGATACCCAACTCGGGTTCTACAAGCTCTGTCAACAGGCAACCGAAGGCGGGACAGGACGCTTGTTCAGCTGACCGCCAAGAAAGCCAAGTCGTCAGCCAATTTCGCTGCTGACTACGATTGGTCGCATAGAGCTGTCGCTATTGGTGTAAACTTCACCAACGTCACAGACCACTACAGGTGTCGCGACAGGTTAGAAGCAGGCTGTGTTGGCGATCTCACAGGCTGTGTGTAAGGCGTCCATGGTGTGCATCATAGGGCACACCGCTTGTGGTTACAATACATAAATGCAACACATGCCGCTGTTCTTGTACATTCCTACAAAACATTCGCAGTACGCTTTAAGTAATACGAAAGTATCTTTCTAACGACTTATCTATCAAACAAGCAATCTTGATAAAGTGGTCAATCTACAAAACTCCGAGCTCTGTACCGCTGCCCCTGCAATCTTCTTCTTCAAAACCTTCTTCAATCATTATCCATAATGAAGTTTACCGCGGCAACAACTCTGCTTTTTGCGACTCTCGCGCTCGCCAGCCCGGCTCCCGTCGCCAACCCAGACGCGGTGGCCGAGCCCGTCACCATCGAGACTCGTGAACAATTCCGCAACGCACTATCAGCACGCGATGTGCTTACAGCACCAGAAATTCAGCTCGAAGAACGAGCATCCAGCGGTGGTAAAGGAGGAAAAGGAGGCAAGGGAAGCGGGGGAAACTCCAGCAGCGTTGCGTCGGACATGCTATCGCCAAGCCGCGTCTTACAGGTAGCTGCGCTGGGACTGGGTGTTGTAGAAGTTGTGAGGCTGTGGTCTTAGAAGAGGGAAGACGAGGTATCTCAGGTGATTGTGAGTGGTAGCCAGCGGTCAGCGCGTAATGAGGCGAGGACCTAGTTTTGAGTTGATCACGATGTTTTTACTTAGCGACGGAGTTATGTTTGGATTGTACGACAATGTAGCATGATACCACAACATGAGAATATGAATTTGAGGTTTCAAAACAGTACGATCTTCGACTTGCAGGCTTGGCTTAAGACGCCCACCACGTCACTCTGCGCGTGTCGTACCTCAGTCAAGTTTCAGTGATCAACCCAACCTGTTTTCCTACCGATGGACATTAGACGAACATCGCAATACCGGCGTACAATGATGGACTTGATACCTAGTAGCCTAGCATGTTGTATGGGCGATCGCGATGGTGGATGAACATGGCCACATAGCCACAGTGTGGCGGTGTAGATCAACAGACTGAAGATGATCAAGATGATCATTGCACAGCCACACAGCTGAATAAACACAAGAGAAGTTATGATGATTCGAATCGAAGGACTAGACACAAACGACCAGGGAGTGAAGTGTGAAGTGAGTAAACATTAACATTGGTATCTGCAACCTAAACGCTAGAAATCAAAACGCCATGCAATGCTCTAAACGCTGCGCTATGCCATCGGATTGAATCCAAAACACTTTTCGTTGCAAAGGTCTAAGCATGGAGCAATGCCTATAAGAACTTGTTCATCATTTTCTTCCATCCTGAGGCAGATGACTCTTCCCAAGTCTCGCTCATCTCATCCTCGAACTTTCCAGTAAGAAGATCGGCTTCGGCAGGGTTGATGAATTTACTCCTGGTAACAATCTTGTGGCCAAGGTAAAGGACGGCGAAAAGGATCAAGCTGATGTACGCAATGAAGAAGTCTTCAGTGCTCCACGGGACGAACGCGGTGAAACCTTGGGTGATGGTGATGATGGCGGTGAAAGTAACACCGTAGATGGCGAGAGGACGGCCGCCCCATGACTTGAAGGGGAGGGTGTCGCGGTCAATGTTTTGAGCCTTAAGTGCGCGCATAAAGCTAATGTGGCAGACCAGTACACAAGTCCAGGCAATGAAACCCGCGACTGACACGATGTTGAGGAGCCAGTTGAACGCCTCTCCACCGTTGGCGCTGAGGTTCATGTAGGCCAACAGACCCATGGCACCAGTGACTGCAGTTGCCCAGTATGGGACACCTCGCTTGCTTGTGACCTTGAGGAACGCAGGGGCACACCTCTCTTCCGCAAGACCGACAAGGATACGAGAGCCGGAGTAGACATTGGAGCTGGCGGCTGAAAGCACCACGGTAAGCAGAATGGCGTTGAAGATATCAGGAAGGGCGGAAACACCGGCGAGTTGGAAAGCAATGACCATGGGCGATGAGCCAGCGTTTGTGTCACCAATTTGGAGAGCCTCGTTGTCGTATGGGACCAGGATACCGACAAAGAAGATGGTGAAAACGAAAAGGGTGAAGATGCTCCAGAAAGTCTTGCGAATGGCTTGAGGCATGGTAACACGGGGGTTTGCGGACTCTCCAGCACCGATAGCACAGAGCTCAGTACCCTGGTACGCGAAACCGGCCTGGATGAGAACGGCCCAGAAACCGACAAACTTGGCAACAGGTCCTTCGGCCAGGTAAGGGGCGAAAGCACCGGGGGAGTCCCAGTACTTGAAGCCGATGTAGCCTTGCGCACCAACACCTGCGTTCATGCAGATGGCGTAGATCCAGAAGCCAACAAGGGCGACGACCTTGATCAGCGCGAACCAGAATTCGAATTCTCCGAAGATATCGACAGGCAAAAAGTTAACAGCCGTGATCGGTACCCAGAAGATGGTGATGAAGATGCCGATGCTGAGGTCCGAGTCCCACCATTGGATGATAAGACCGGCGGCTGTGAGTTCGAGCGCATATGTGATAGACCAGGAGAACCAGTAAATCCATCCCATAGAGAAACCTAGCGAAGGGTCGACGAAACGAGCAGCATACTGTGTGAATGCACCAGAGATGGGTAGGTAGGTAGCCATCTCAGCCAAACTGAGCATGACAGAGTAGACCAGGGTACCAACGAAAACGTAAGCCAAAAGTGCTCCAGCAGGACCAGCAGTAGCGATGGAGCCACCACTGGCGATGAAGACACCAGTTCCTACTGTGCCACCGATAGCTACGAACTGCAAGTGTCGGGACGAAAGCTTGCGCTGTAGCTCATCTTTGGGGGGAGCGGCCTGCTTCTCAACGTCGCTCGCTGAGTGCGAGACCGATTTGTCCGACCGCTGGTCCATCTTGGGCGTAATTTCCTCAGAGGCGGATGCCATGTTGGTGGTGGTGTCGGCAAAGAACCCGAAGACAGGGCTTGAGCTTCAAAAGGTGCACAACAACAACGAAGTCGTGATGGTTGATGTCAAAGGCGCAAGAGCCAGGGACAAAATCGATATTTCAATCAAACACACGGTCACAGGAAGTGGAGTCATCGCGCAATACTCCATGAGCCATCATGTTAGCCGTCGGCGTACTCCACGCTCTGGAAAGCCAGTCGACCGTCCAAATTTTCATCGTCGCTCCACTTGGCGGGCAACACACTCGTTTCGCCGCGCAAGATGCAGAAGTTGAACCGTGACGGTAGGGTGATCGAAATTTTCGAGCCGGGATTAGGTCGGCTACGTGCGGGTTGGCGCCGCCAGTTCGCGTCCCCTTGATCGCGAAGGTACAAGCGGCAATGCTTATCGCGGGATTACCGTGTGGAATGTGTAGCTTGGCCGTTCCTTGCGTTCCCAGCAGGAAAAATCTGCAGCTTAGTTGTATCATTTTCGGGGAACTTCGTGGCGGCAACATTTTTTTAGGTATAGTGTGAGGGCCGGCCCTTCATCGGGTGACGGCCTTGGCGTTGTGCGAATCAGACTTCACCCATCGGAAAACCCCATCAGGCCTATCATGACTCCGTCGCATGTCACCGCATTCTCCATCCTACCCCATTCTCCAGCCGGCGGTTAGAGAGCTCTTCATCCGTTGTACCCAGGAGACTAGAAGACCGAGGTAATGCTGAAGTTGTGTTCCGTACGTACCCAGCTTGAGAGCCTATCGTGACTTCTGGCCATCGCAACATTCCCGCAATCATCGTGAAGGACAAACTTCAGCATTGTGGCTACACAGTACATGCCGAGTAAACCAACCAGACCAACAAGATACCATTGGCGTAACAATGTAGAGGGACTACAACCGTCCTTTACAGCCCAACACCTTCCACAGGCAAGAGAGCGTACATGTACCACATTCGCATGTAGCTTCGCACCATATTTCCTCTCCTTTCCTTCGACGTTGAAAGCTGGACTTACTCTTAGTCATGCCCAGACGTAGCACAGAGACTAGTCCCCAGATATCTCAGCCCTATGCACTCCAGGACGTGCCTAAGTGTGGTGCTACCGTCGCGCTGAGACATGGGATCCAGCCGAACGCTCGCCGGATCGTTCAAGCCTAGCTCTGGGGATATTTAGATGCTTTCGAGTGATCTGGGGTAGATCCGCCCGTTACGAACGGTTGGAGTATCTGAGCGGAGGCTAGTATCTCATTTCGTTGCTACGATGTCTTTCTGTCAGAGCCCTGTCCAGCGTTAGCATCTGCACTGGGATAAGCGCCATGCACTCGTTTGCCGTAGCCTTCTCCCCAATCAGGACGCAGGCGATTTTGTCTTTGTCAAGATTGTTCGAGCTTACGCAATAAATGAAGATGTTGTTCGCATTGGTTTTTTGTATCCTTCTGTTTGTCCACTTAGTCCTACCGACACTGATAATCTTGATACTAGTACTGCATGTTCTCAACGAGATTTTTTGAGGAAATCTGCAACATTGCCTGATTTCCCGTACACGATACCGTCGTTGTCGTCAGTCTAGACTTTGCGTCTCGCCTTCCAGCCAACAAGGCATGTCGCGCAATCATTGCAAGCACGCACTCAGCAAACGATCCGATCTAAAATCCAGCCCGTGAATTTCTAGGAGGCTGTCGCTGGCACACAGATCAACCGTATAGTCATCGTTGCTGGGACTGTACATGTCTTTCTGAATGAGACAGCAGCTTGATGACGGCTTTCATGGTTTTGTACAACTAGACTGTCAGTGAGACAGTAGCTGGTCCATAACATTCTTGGCCGTTGCGGGTTTACATAGCAGTCTCAATCTTGCTATGACGCCGATGATCGAAAACACTCCCTATATGTCGCTTCGTGACGCGGACGTGAGTGCCTCTTTGGTCAGCACTAGACAGTTCGACGCACCGATCAACACTGGCTATGACCCGTTCATTGCGTTTCCTCTTCTATCAATGAACAAAGTCTTGAGCCACGGACAGATCTAATATCGCCCGGTGGTTAAACAAGTTCCAGGTATTTTCATGCTCTCTACCTTACCTTTTACATGGTCAAGCGAACTCCAGAAGAGGACGGAGGAGCTGAATCTGATATTGACTTCATGCAACCATCAGTCGAGAGTGGCTAAGGAGGCGTCTTGGCTTACGCACTGTTGCGAGATCCTTGAATTGTTGCACTCTCCTGCAGTGAACACGGTCAGTTAGGTGCCTGATCCGCTGACATTCTTCAGGCTTTTCGAGACACTCAATGTGTCGCTCAATACTGCCGTTGCGTCTCGATAATTCTCATCATCTCACGACTGTTTAGCGCCGAACGTACTTGGCCTTGTAGTCTTGATGCATACAGTGTGAAGGTAAGTTGGTCAAGTTCGCATTGAACAGTGGACAAGTTCGAATTAGCATCTCAAGATATGGACGTGCCAAAAATGAGGCTTGTTGCCATGTGTTTCAGTGAAATTTATCAACAAAGGAGGAGCGTAAAGCATGGGCTGCTGCCGAGGAGCTTCGGGTATGGTGACAAAACCCTTATGTGTGTTGAACTTTGCTTGCGCATAACCACAACCCATCATGACGCGGAAGCATGCTCCCCAGCATTTCCCATCGCGTCGCGTCGCGTCAAGTTTGCCGACTGTCCGCTACATAGACTACACTTACCGCCTTCAGCTGCCGAGGGACCGCTCGCGGTTTCGCCTCTGCGCCACTGCTGCCAGGACGCCATTGTTGCGTTGACAGGATCGCGTGGAAGAATGCAATTCGCCTGAAAGAATTGACTTCAGATACATTGAGCGCTCTGTGCTATTGGCTCTCCAGATGGTAATGATGTAAATCCTTCTGCACGACTTGTTTAGATCTTGTTGCGCTGTCAGGAACCGGTCCTGCTGTGACGTAGATCCATGTAAGCGAGGTCGGGTTGTCACGCCTGAATGAGTTAAGGCGTGGACGTGTGGGGCTTAACGGCCGCCTGGGCATGCACCTGCAACGTTCCGTTCCAAGCGTTTTCACAACGTCCCCTGAGTTGAAGACGTTCTTTTCGACGATTTAGGACCGAATAAATCGACCGTTGTGCCTACCGGATGACTACGGATTGCCTTACCTGAACTTTAATAGAGTTTTCGGATATAACGGCCAGCCCTGCGAGAACTGCAGAATCCGATATACTTCTTTGTTTGTACATGCCTATACATTCTCATCCTTGTGCTATATCACCCGCTAACCGAACCATCACCAGGTTTTCATCGTGTTACAGGGTTTTCCTTGGAAGCTGGCTCTAGATTTCCATTCGTCATTGCACCCTGTCAGACCCCTTAGCCCCACGTTTCGATTGTTTTTCTAGACCTCGTCACACACCCTCCTTGTATGCGAGCACGCCTCAGCGACGCGTTGGCGGTTGAGAGCTTTTTGCCACTGTTCGCTGTAGCTCATCAGTTACTGGAGATCTACCGGTTGCTAAAGAAAGATTTGAGATAAACGCATGATGTGGGTAACATCAGGGCTTCGCCTCCACCAAGTCGATCATTGAGAGATGGCGAAGCTGTGACCAGAATGTCGGGGAGCATTCCCATGCTTGCATTGATACAATTCCCATCGTGAATGCCGTGTAAATGGACCACATAAAACAACTTGGCTATGCAGGAGTTGACTATGAACTTAACGCTCGGAGATGAGCATCATGCAAGGTCTGTGAGCGAGTGCTCCGTTAGCCGGCACCCCAGCTCTATGTACGTCACTGGCGCTGAAGCCTCAGATCTTAGGTGGTGTCTGAGTGCCCTATGACAATATTCGGGGCAGTCGCAAGCCCCTATGAGCGGCTCGATAATAATATTGTGCCACCACCGGTCGTACAGCTAGGACGCCCTGCCGCAAAACTACGCGCCAGGGGCAGCCAAAAGATGCCCAGTCTGTAAACACCTCGCATTCAGTATCTGATCCCTACCACGAACAGTTAAACCTCCGGTATCGATCTACATTTAACAGTATCCATTCCTCATGCGACAGCAACTCCAGCCGTGCACGTTTCGAGATCAACAGCCCTAACAGATGCTCCACCCTCGGTACCAACCAGTCAACAGGATCAGCCAGGAACATTAAAGCTGAACCCGCTTCGATCGACGTCACTCTTTACCGGGTACAGACTCGCCATGAAGAAGTTGGGGACGCCAGGTGGACCCCGTCACCGTTATGTTGACCGTTATGGACGTGCATTCCCGTTCTGACCTGATCCCCTGGCGGCGATGACGATCGTACTCTGGGAATGCTGGTGTTTGATGACGATGTCAATGCGATCAAGTGTGGTGTACTTGAAATGAACCTTGAACAAATTGAGGGTTGAGAACATATAAAGAGGGCAATGAGACCTCGACAACTGGAACATCATCACACACCATCAATCCACATCAACAACTCTACAACACACTTCCAAACCAATACCTCCTTCTTTTCAAGAACCAACCAACCAACCTTCAAAATGCAGTTCACCATCACCGCCGTTCTCGCCTTCGCTGCCACCGCTGCCTTCGCCGCTCCCCTCGATGAGCGCCAGGCTGGGCTCTGCGCTTCCGGCACTCCTGTCTGCTGCGCTACCGACGTCTTGAACCTTGCCAACTTGGACTGCGCTCCTCGTATGACTTTCCCATCCTCTATCTCTTAAACAATCAGATTATTAACATTCCCCTAGCTGCCGTCACCCCCACCACCATCAACGCCTTCATCGATGGATGCGCCTCTTCAGGTCAGCAGGCCAAGTGCTGCCTCATCCCCATCCTCGGCCAGGCTCTCATCTGCTCCGACGTCAACCCTACCGCTGCTTAGGTCGACTAAGCGCGTTTTGTCGCCTTATCCAACACGGCGCGAATAATGTATCTCGTCAAGAGACGATCGTGCCTGGATTGCTTGGATACATGTACACTACTTTTGTTTCGAATATCTAGTTAGGGATTGTTTCTTAATACAAGATTTCACAAGAAATACCTCGCTTCAATGATGTGACATTGAAATCTTCTATCTATACAAACGCGGGTGCGAATGCGCTGACCCGATATTGACTGCTAAGAACAAGAACGCTAGAAACAAAGGTCATACTGTGAGTATGACTTGGGTATCTTCGCTGGAACGCAAGGTATACAAAGGAGAAATCAAAAATAGACCTCGAAGTATACGGCTGTTATGCACGTTGATCAAAACGCCAGTCATTTGAGGCCGGGACGCGTCTAGAAGCTGCAGATATGTCAATGCGATAAAGAGCGCGTACCAGAGATGCATATGTACTCTTGGCGGTAGCACGTAAAGGACTCAGTTGTCCATCCACCTCATTCTGTTCTTCTCCCATGTCCTCTCGAGACGAGGCCATACGCCATCGTCATAGTGTCGATCGAGTATGTCGCCAACCTCCTTGTCCTCGCAGTACACGGCGTTGTGGAAGAAAACGCATGCATTTTTCCAATTTCTCAGGGATGCGTCGTTCTTCGCGAGACCACCACAAGCATCTGTCATTTGTGCCGCCCGTTTGATCAGTACTGTGATATCACTGATGGTAGGCTGAGACGTATCGCTGTATTTGCTGTAGTCTCCGAGTTTCGCCTGTAGTCGGAGGACGACAGCTGCGCGTTTAAAGCTCAACGCTACCTTCTCCAAACTGGCCTTCACAGAATCAGGAGTTCTTTGTTTGGGCGCTTTACCATTCAAGATCTCATGGAAGTCAACAGAAGCAGTGAATTTCCAAAATGTATTTCCAGCGACCATATCCGTTTTGAACCCAAAAGAACTCGGTACGAGCTGCTCCAGCTGTTTATGATTCAGCCCAGACCATGTGTTGATATCTTTGAAGTCCACTGGCGGTGGCGTCTGGCTTTGTACTGATGAGGGGTCGGGGTTGTTCGGCGTATTTTGCGGCTGCGATGTGATGGGGTCCGCAGTAGTCGGGTTGTATCCAGTAGCCATGGCGTTGTGGAACTGCGTCTACATGTTGGATGCTAGCGGAAGTTGCGAATTCGATGGAGGAGGTTGGGGCAGGTGTTGTTGAACTACTGGCTGATACGACGGCAGTTGATTAGAGATGGTTGGCGCTACATTACGCTGCGGCGTCGACCACGAGGGCACTTGTGCCACCTGCGGCGGGTGATCACGGGGCGTTTGAGTTGACTGTACCACGATTTGGAGAGCTTGTGGTGATGGTAGGGGCTCAGTACAATCCAAGTCTTGGATCATCTCCTCCAAACCCAGATAGTTTGCGAACTCACGATATAGCTCGAGGAAGGTTACAAGCTCTGGGCCCCAATACCTTTGAATGTACCAGCCTACAGGAACTAAGAACATCCAGAACTCAATTATGGAGGCGTTCCAATGAAGACCGGAGGACTGTTCCGCAGTCATCCCATTCTCGAAGTAGGGCTTCAGGTCATTCGCCGCACTCGATATCAAGCTAAAGATCTGACCTGCCGAAGACCTGCATTCGGTTTTGGTATCGGCGGCGATAAGGAAAGCCTTCATCGCAGCCTGAAGAACAGGCGCTTGTCTTGCGTGGTACTCGATCGTCATTCTTGCCGAATTCGCTGTTTGTAGACAGTTGTAAACAGTTGCCGGAGTGAACGTTGTAGTTGTTTGAGGTTCACATGAAGGCGCCAACGTGTAAGCAGACGGCTTTGGTGTCGTCGTGGGAGCAGATCGGACAGATAGTTCAACGGCCTTATGAGCAGGCGTGACAACTACATCATCCTTCATGTTGTTCGTCGCAGACTCCGTAACGTGCTGAGGCTTCGACGTAGTATCTTCCGTGTCGACGTTCTTGTCGTCTGTAGACATATATGCTTCTGGCATATACATGAACATAGCCATCCACTTGCGGTCAGCGCAGCGTAGTTGTCCCCAAATCTTTGGATACTGCATCGATCTGTTCCGATCAAGATGCGCGAATGACTCGCCGGTTCCACGAAAGTTTTTGAAGGGGAATTGGGAGGGTGGCGGATATGCGGGGGGAGCTGGTATTTCTTGCGCTAGTGTTGGAGATGCTGGTATAACGGAGGTGGAGGCGGGAGTAGAAGCCTTCTTCGTGTTCTGCGATTCTCCTCTTTCGGCAAGTTCACGGAGGTTGTTCTTGGGGACGACGGAAAAGACGCCTAACTTGAAAAGGAACTCGGCGAGCACACGTGGTGTACATACACCAACCGTGAGGAGGCCAAGGACGCGGAGCCAGGTTGGGATTCCGTTGTTGCTACATTCATAGCAGATGTTCCAGTAAAGATAGTTTACTTCCCAGTATAGTTCATCGAAACTCTCGCTAAGACAGTCGATGACCTTGGGAACAACTCCAGAGGACACGATGGTGTGGCCGATTCCGAGAGTTACTAGGAGTAGGCAGAAAAGAATAGCGATAGTGTCAGGATGCATCTTGGTAGCAAAACGTGCGACACACGAGCTCGGGAAGAGGGGCATGACGGGCTCTGAGGATCAAACAATGCCTTGCGGATGTTCTGATAGTCGTGGTACCGGAGTTGGAGCGTTTAGACGTACGGTTGCGCGCAGTCGAGCGAAGGTTGGGCGATGAGGAAATGTGTTGTACTGTGCGTGGGCAAAAAGATATTTCGGCTGCGACTGTGGCTGGGTCCGCTTCAGATAACAATTCACTTCGGAAACAATAACACTGATATCGCAAGGCAGAAGCGAGTCGCAAATTGCGGTGCTGGACAAACGGAGGGCTTGGCGCGATATCGGTGGCCGAGTGGGGAGTGAATGGGACGATGACCAGAGATGGAACTTATCGAAGTCAAATCATCAGATCCTAAATGATATCTGCGTGTAGAGGAGCACGCCCTTTCAAAGGATGGTGCTATGAAGGCATCGTTGACGAGGGACTCGCTGGACTTGTGCATAGAACAGATGATAAACATCCACAACCAAGTAAGACAATTGGGGTGAAACGGAGATTAACCCACATGCACGGTTCCTAAATTAAACCGACTTTCACTTTCTTCGTCCAATCTGAATATCCAAAGCTTTTGCGAGGATGTAGAGCATTTCCAACCGCACACATGCCACACCCTTCTCTTTACCCATCCGGACCGGGTTACCTACAATAGCCTCTACTTCGATTCTCCGATCCGACTGAACATCTTGAAGCATACTGGGTTCGATACCGGACTTATTCGGAATCCTGGCCTGCGCCCGCCCGAGCTGAACGTTTACCTCTTCCAATGTGATTTCGTATCCGTGAGCAGCTGCAATATCGCGAATCTCCAGCATCACAGCTAGAACCACACCGTTCGCTTCTTCCGAAGCAGTGAGTACATCCGTGTCTTTGCTTAGAGCAAGAGCACATATAGGGTTCCAGGACGCATTTACAAGTAGCTTGAACCATCGTTTTTGCTGAACATCGTCATAGAATTCCGCTGTAGCACCGGCAGAAGTGACAAGCTCTGTGAATTTTTTCGCATGCGTTCCTTCGGCAGATGATGGATAGGCTCCGACTTGGAGTTGCTCGACTTCGCCGTGTTTAATGACACCGGCTGGCCGCTGGGTTGCAGGTAAATACACAACGGCACTAATGATCGAATTGTCCGGATATGCCCTTAGATATTCTTCTTCGATACCAACGCCATTCTGAATAAGTACGATAGCCGTATGTCCAGGTGTTACAGCAGGAGCGATAAGCTTCGGTACCGTATCCGGGATAGCCTTGCTGCAAACGATGATGTAGTCGAATGGCTCCGACGATTGAGATGCTGCTTCTTCACAATCCCGTACGACGTTGGGTTTGAAGTGCAGATTCTGGCCAAATATCGACGAATTAATGGTGAAGCCGTCTTTCTTTACGACTTCGTAGTTCGAGCGGCAGACGGCAGTAGTTGAAGCTACCTTGCTGAGAAGGTACAGATATACTGTTCCCACGCTACCGGCACCGAAAAGAAGAATCCTTGGCTGCGACTCAGAAGACATGGCAAAACTTCGGTATTGAGAAGGGTGTTATGCTGGTTTTGCTGCAGTGCGATGTGAAGATTGCATGGATGTTAGAGTCTTAGCCTCGAGGCGATAGCCGTACACGTACCCCCCAATCCTTCGCCCCGGCATTAGGACCCGTATCCTCTCAAAATCGTTTAGGCACTCCATTACCCACGATCAGTAAGCCACCCGCGGTAACGGCCAATACTTCATTTTATGCTCAATCAGCAAGCTAATTTGACTGGCAGGACAGTTTTACTCACGAGCTTAGTCTTTTTAGTACATGCTTCCACAATAACATTATCATTCAGGATGCAACATCGCACAAACAATTATACGCCATTCACTGACATGCGGAAGTTCAGCTAGCAGCATCAAAACTGAAACAAGGATCTCAGCCGCACACGGATCCTGCAAAGACGATTCGTGGCTTTTCATGCAATCTAAACGATCGTCTCCATTCGCTGCCCCTCGTTACCCATGCCGCACCCTGCATGCTGGGGCAAGGAAAAGAGTGGTCAATCCTGTAAGGCTATAATCGATACGTCTCCCAAGAGCTGGGCAGATAAATCCAAGTCGCTCGGAATGACTAGTGATTCTGGCCCCATTCGCCAGCTGTAGGTATAACAGCCACGAGCTGATCCGGCGCTCTCGTATTCTGGTAGTCTGTTTAGCCTCATCGCGATACGCAATCTGCCGGTAGAGTAGCGCGCACCATCGCGACGATGAACAACCTCTTTTTCGTCCTTCTTAGCGCGTTCGTAGCGCATGTTATCGCGACGAGTCAGATCGCACTCTTCTCCGATGATAACTGTCAAGAATCATTGAGAGGTATCGAAGGACCAAATGGCTACCCCAACGGCACCTGTACAGATCTCAGGCGCAATGGCGCGTACGGGAGCTTCCAGGTCGTGGGACTGGACCCAGGCTGCGCTGGTATGTGCTTTGCGAGAATGAGGACGCGATAGTCCGGACGGCTATGCTAACAATCTGTATAGTCACCATTTACATGAACGACACGACGGTCGACATTTGTTCCGGCTACCAAGAAGAAATCCAACCGATCGATTGCTACAATTCAACTTTCGTATACTACAGCATCGACTTCTGTGACGCTGGTGCCATCGGTCCCTCGCCGTCTACAACATCTACGCCTAGTTCCACAACGTCGCCGTCGCCATCCCCACCTCCCCCAGCCTCCTCGGGCCCGTCGACAGGCGCAATAGTGGGGGCGGCAGTCGGTGGAGGAATAGCGCTGGGCATCATAGTCGGACTGGCAGTGTTTTTCTTCATGAAGAAGCGAAACTCAGCACGTCTGCAGGGGGCACGAGGTTTTGCAGAGCTTACAGGCGTGACAACCGTCACACCAGTCGAGGTGCACGCAAAGCACATCCAGGAGCTAGGTCCAGGAGCGGTGGCGTACAAACATTATCCTGTGGAGATTGAGCAGCCTCCTGTTGAACTCGCGGGGATGGAGATGAGGCGCGATGAGGGGAAAACACTGCATTAAGATTAGATGACTCGGGTACATGTATTCGAGCTATCAAATGCATATGCATATTATGAACAACGGGGAGTTCACGGAAGCAGTACATCGTAACTCTACTCAGAGTCCACCCGAACATAACCATCATACTGGATTCTGGAAATACAAGCTCAAGGAAATGTCTGTATAGGCCGGCTTCCCTCTAGCGTCGAAGAGGCTCTCACAAGTCTGCCGATACTTCAGCAAACACCCAATCACCATCTCGATAGACGATATCTCCTTCCAATGCCGCTTCACCAACATCAAACGCGACCTTGTAAAGATATACTCCGCCTGCTTTACTCGTAATCCTATAGCCCATAATCGTTGTTTTCGGCTGGCTGCGCATGGCACTAAGAGCAAGTCCCACCTGCCCCGGGTCGACGAGGTGCAAGACGTTATCGTCCTGGTCCGGGTTCCAGTACCTAACAGCCCACGATGTATGTGGGTAGGGTAGTTTCTCGAGAAGTCTGGAGAGCCACAGGCACTCAATCCGAGGCATTGTCTCGATGATCTGTAATGGTTCGATCCAATCTCCTTGCGGAAAGCCTATGGATGAGCATGATATATGTTTCAAAGTCGCAGCATGTAGTCGTAGGAAGTTTGTCCACTCATTGTGTGAAAGAAACATATCTTCGAGATGAATATGCGAGAAGCCAGGCCAGTGGAATTGGAATGATCCAGCTGGCTGGTAAGATAGCTCTAAGAAAGTATTGTCGCCGTGACACTCGAACTTGCGCAAATCTGAGGCCATGCTGAGCAACTTTTGAAGCCATGTATAACTGACTTGACCGCAGACCGAAACCTGAAGTACTCCTTTTGAGAAATGTTTTTTCCAGACTGCGGAGTCGAGGTCGAAAAATGTGATCCTGTCGTCGTTGGAATACTCTGCGTTCCAGAATTGGAAACCCAGCCCTATCCTGTCGTGTAAATCGGCTTCCTGAAGAGTCTGCAGAACCAAGTCGTATACTCGATTTACGCCACTGTCTCCACGCCTCCTTGTTGGCCTGCGTTGCGCCCGTGCCTTTTTTGAAAGTATATGAGTTTGTCCGCACCGGATACCATCGTCGTCGGGCTCGGGGACGTGATAATGGAAACTCGTCACATCGATTTGAACAATCTCTAGGTTTTCAAGCTTGCGGAATACCTGTTTGAGGATCGACGAATCCATGCCGGAGCGCTGAACACTGACTTGGAGATCTTTTTGGATTCTTTCTTCTTTGGCATTCTTATATATGCTGTGTCCAACGCGTTCGCCGCTTACGGTGATCTGACGGACATACTTGGATAATACAGGATGATGGCAGATTTCAAATAGTATGGTAAGACTGGTAGGGTGCAGGATGACGATGAGGTGACGGAAAAAGCGTCGTCCAAAGGCATTTGCCGAATTGGCGTTGAGCGCTCGACATACGTAGCGTATACGGATAAGTTCTTCATCCTCAAGATAATCGAAGATGCCGCCCACGATGTCAACCGGCAAGTCGAGTAGTCGAAAAGGTATTTGCAACGCTCTAACAGGAGCCGCCTTTTCTCTGTCACGAGCAGTAATCATGTCGTTAGTGTAATACTGGCAGCGGTGGAGAAAGTGGGTGAGGGGTTTGAGTCGATTGCCGGTGAGAGAAGATTGTTATCGTGGTTGAGACGTTCTTGCCCTTTTGTTTACACTAGGGTCGTCGTCCGCTTCTGATGATCAGGCAAACTATCACTTTAAGAAGCCACCACTGAGATCTTGGACAGCGGGAGGTTTGCTCTTGACTCATCAAGGGATACAACATCACTGTTCTTACGAGGTAAGAGAGACTGATCAAAGGTAATGATAAATGTACAAACGTGAAGAGAGGTCTATGGTCATATGCCAAAAGTACGGAGATACCAAAAGTGAAACGCCGCCGAATGAGTTTCCAAACTCCACAAACCAATTTATCGAATTCAACTCCAGAAAGTAGATGCTACTGAAACCACAAACCGAATGTGGTCAGCCCTATGTTGGGTCATCCAGGTGACCCGTATCAAGAAGCCCGATTATACGTGTAGCTCTTATACACACGTCATGCCACTACTAGCCCCATTAACGCCTTACATCTTCTTCTTCTTTGTGTGAAACATGTTATATTCTGGCCTTTTCCTCTTCAGAGTCGGGTCAGGCGCTGACTGTCCGTTTGGCGCTCTTGGCTTGGGTGCGCTGAACGACATCCCGGGCGGTAACGACGTCCGCGTGGGTGGTGGAGGATTGCGCTGCTGTGGTGCTGGCCTTTGTGTAATATTCGGGCGGTTTGCGGATAACGACGGCGTTGGGCGAGATTCGGGTTTGTTGTTGATAGATGCCGAAGCTTGTCTGGACACTACCATGCTTCGTGGAGCTTCGTTTTCCGCCATTCTAACCATCCTTGCCGGTGCTTGCCTAACGGTGGTCTTCCTCTGCTCTAGAAGATGTTGTGGTATGTGGCTAGCCTTCGGGCGTTCACGACCGTGATCGAACATGCCACGCTTCAGCTTATCGAAGGCGGCTTTGCCAGTCTTCGCAGGTGCACCCGAGGGTTGGCCCCAGCTGCTGGTAGTCCGGCCAGTGAACATCTTACTGGCGCCAGCACCGTATCCAAATCTGGTTTCCACAATCAGTGTCTTATTCTGTGCGCGATCTTTCTGCAGCGCCTGCATCTGCTGCTTGAGGGCCTCTTTGTCGGCCTCTTTCTCCAGTTCCGCATCTTTCTTCAATTTGCGGTAAACTTTGCTCCAATTTCGAGGATCGCGCGGCTCGTGCGGCTTCTTCTCCCAGTCCGGAATGTCGCGCTTGATGAAGCGGAGCCAAATCTCGCCCGTCTCTCCCAGTAATTGTGGGCAGTTTGCCTCGAGCTCCAGGAGCTGGTCTGGGCTTTGTACGAATCGGAGGACTGGTTGCAGGAAGGAGTAGGGTAGATCGCCAACATCTCGGAGCATGTCGATGTTCTTAATCAGGCGCTGTCGAGCCAGCTCGAAGAGGCTTGCGACGGGCATGGTGATGGGACGGTTTATTACGGGGTCTATCCAAAAGCGAAGGGTACGGAATGTTGCGAGGCGAAAGTCGAGGGTTGAACGATGCGGAGATTCAAGAGCCGCTGGTTGTATAAATATAGTTTGCCGTGAAATCTCGTTGGTAGGGTGACTGCTACGTGACGTGAATCATGAATAGGCGGATTGATGGCAGCGTGGACCGTAGGATGGGGCTGAGGACCCCACGGAACTCACGACAGCATCTCGGTAGGCTAGCTCGGAAGGAGAGGTTTACTGGATAGATGGCGCTTGCCAGAACAATGTTAAGCGACTTAGTGAAAAGTGAACCAAGGGAGGTGAAGGCGAAAGTGATGAGGAAGGTGTTGGGGACTTGTCGCTGACGTCTGGTAGCGGTGCTGGACGCTAACAGAGACCCTTGTCGTACGCGTTCATCAACCCGCGGAACTTCAATATCGCGACTTCAACAACGGCAACGACCCACCCTATACCAATAACCTCATTACGCCAGTAGCCTAAACGGGAAAGAATGGCGATCAAGGATTGGGGCCTCTTATCCCAGGCGGACGAAGGTAGGCCATCTAACATCCGGCACGTAGCTTCTACTAATTCCAGCAGATGCGCTTCATAATGTATCCCGCCTACTAGCTGTCGAAGCTCGTCCGTACACAAACACCGCCGGTCGCATACTCAAGCCAGACTTCTTCGAGGATGCGCGCCCCAGACAACTCCCCTCTCCGCCCCCAGATGCCTCTGCCGCAGAGGAGGAAGCAGCAGCAGCCACTGTCGAGCGCGAGCAACAAGCACACAATATCGAGATATGGCGGAAAGACATCATGAATGAGCTGTCGCTACTAGACTTTGCGATACTGCGATCTGAGTTCACTACGAATAGCAATCACACTGAGCGCGAGCGTTACGCTGTTGAGAAGACGGCCATCGAGGCAAAGCAAGAGCACGTGCGCAAGACGATAGAAGATCTGCGCATCAGACTAGTCGAGGCGAAAGAGACGCTCGCCGTACGTAAGACGTATGACGAGCTCACAGAGAAGATCACCAGCAGTAAGATGCTGAAGCCGCGGGACGAGCAAGCACATGCCCACGAGAAGCTGGACCAGGAGATAGAAGAACTCAGAAACGAAGTGCAATCGGCGAAGAATACATGGAGTGAGCGCCGCACGCAATTCGGACGGATCGAGGAAGAGGCACGCGGCATGTTACGCATGATCAAGGACGAGAAAGAGGAAGCTGAGCGCAAGGAGGGCATGATGAAGGATGGAGACGAGGATGGTGAGGGCGAGGGCAGCACTTCCAGAGGAGATGTCAGCCATGCTGGCACCCCGAGGCCGGACGGTGGTATGACTCCAGGGCATGCCAGTCAGAGTGGAGAAGGTTCGTCTCTGAGGGTACCACCACAGGATCGCTTGAAGCCTCTATCGCGGGACGTCAGCGCTGCGCCATCGCCTACCAGATCTGGTGCTGCGGATGATACGGAAATGGCAGATATGGGGGCGAACTCAGGAGATGGAAATGATGGTGACTCCTCCGGTCTTGAAGAGGGCGAAGACCTTGAAGATGGAGAGGAAGATGGCGAAGATCGCTCAGAGATCAAGATGGACGAGTCGTGATTGTGCTTGGACAGCAGTCTGCTTGATGATTTGATTGCATAGCGCGGTGTTCAGGGTATCATTCCATCTTCTTTACAGCGGTGCCATGTCCAACTGCAGTATCAACTATCTATCTCTCCAGTGGTCATGAGTCTAAGCGGCCTCACGCATGGCTGCCTTGCCCTTTTCAACAGCCTCTTTCGCCTTGGTGACTTCCTCTGGTGATGCCTGGCCGCCGCCTTCCTTGTTGTTCTCCTACAAGTTATCAGTACTAGGTACTCAGCTCAACTATATCGTCAACTTACCAGCTCCTCCTCCAGCTTCTCCACTGCCTGCTCGATCTTGATCTTCATGCCAGGCAGAACATTCTTAGTTTCTTGGAGGGCTTGACGCTGTGTTATTGTTAGACCCGGCGTGCCAGATATCCTTCTTGGTGGCCACGCATACCTCTTGCCTCAAAGTGTACTCAGCATTATCGTCGCCCTCACTGGTCTCGGCCTTCTTGATGCGCGCCTCTTGCTGCTCGATCTCCTTGTGGTAGCTTGCTTCTTCCTTGACAAGGCGGGTCACGACGCCAGTTGCAATAGCGAGCTTGGACGGAGGAGCCATGTTTGAATGGGAATTGAAGTAGACGGGTTTATAATTTGGAGAGACAGAAGAACAAAGATCTCAGTTGATATATGTCGGTTTATGTGGTTGCCTGCTTGTAAACATTTGTTCACGGCGGGGCTAGCTGCCGCCCCACTACCTAGGAATTAGTTTACAGCGTGTGGACATATGGACCAGCGGAACGTTGCGGTGTTGAACTACGACAATCTTGCATCTGTTTCCAGTCTTTCATGAAAATTTAGTTGACTGTTAGTTGTCTTTCAGCCTCCAAGCTGCGGCTTCGATTGAGGTGCCAAGACCACTTACGTCCATTTGTAGACTAGACTGAACGCGTCCCAGTGCCCACGCGTCGAAAGGAGAGCGCGCGACAAGCCCACCATCCCTAGCAACCCCTCTAAAACAACATCAACACATTCACTGTTGCTGCTGCATAGAGTGCCACAACCATGGACTCTTCTCCAGCGAAGCGCCGCTCCGAGCGCACTTCTGCATCGGCGACTCCAAGACGAAGCGCCCGTGGTCAAAATTCTCAGATACCTGACAGCAGTCCAGCGCCGGCAGGTCCAGATGAGCAGTTGCAGTCTGAGGCTTCGCAGGCCTCACAACGTGGATCGCTAGCAACTCCACGCAACGCAAGGTTCCAGACCACTTCGACACAATCCCCGCTCTTCTTCCGCTCATCGCCTGCCAACCCCTCCGGCGCAGGACAAGCTAATGGCGAGGATGAGAGCGATGGTGGTGCGACACCAAAAGCGTCTGCACAGACGATGGGGGGTACGGAGTACTCGATATCAAGTGTTAGAAATGTCATTGACAAACTTAGATTCGTCGCCCATTCACTACGCATCTAGCTCTAGCCCTGGCCGTGCCCGCAATGCCCAAAGCAACGTCCCTGGAAGCAGCAGCAGTGCCCTTTTCGTACGTGGCTCCGAATCCGCGGCTCGCAATCGACGAAGCGACATACACTCAGACGTCTTTGGCACAAGCTCTACCAATCGCCGACGCAGGTTATTTGTCGATGAAAATGGCATGCCTGTACAGGAACCTTCAGACGCACCAACCTTCTCCAATATCAACCCTGATACTTCAGATGCGGAGGTCTTGGGCGGAAACTCCTCTCGAGTCATTTGGGGAACCAACGTATCGCTCGTAGACGCCAGACATGCCATGAGAGACTTCTTGATGAACTTCCGAAGAAAGTATCGCATGATCCAGGACGGCGAGCTGAACGAGGGCATGAATCTCCCAGATAATCATCCGGCCATGGCTAGGGAATATGTCGATATCATGAAGATGATGCTGGAGCTTGGTGTTACGCCTTTGAATTTGGACGCGCGCAATCTCAAGGCTTACCCACCGACCAGAAAGCTTTGGCACCAACTGCAGGCCTACCCTAACGAAATCATTCCCATCATGGATGTTGCAATCAAGGACACCATGCTCGAACTTGCTGAGAAGCGCATGGCAGAGATGCGAACTCAGATGTCACAAGCACAGCGTGCTGCTCAACCTAGGGCTCGCGATTCAAGCTCGCTCCCGCCCATGTTGAGCTCTGATGCGCCTACTCCCGGCGCCCCGTCTCCTGCTCCGTTCGCGGAAATCCCGAATCTGGTCAGCGAAGTTGACCAGAAAACATACAACGTAAGGCCATTCGGTCTAGATCATACAATCAACTTACGCGAGCTCAACCCTGGCGACATGGACAAGCTTGTCAGTGTGAAGGGTCTGGTGATTAGAACTACACCTATCATCCCAGACATGAAGGACGGTAAGTTCACAAGAACATTGTCAAAGTCATTGGCTAATTTGGCTAGCTTTCTTCCGCTGCTCTGTATGTAATCATACCGTCAGGGTCGACATTGACCGTGGCAAGATCACCGAGCCCACCAAGTGCCCGCGCGCCGTATGCGAGTCGCCAAACTCGATGCAGATCGTGCACAACCGCTCAGGCTTTGCAAACAAACAGGTCATCAAGCTACAAGAGACACCAGATGACATGCCGGACGGTCAGACACCGCATTCAGTGTCCCTGTGCGCATATGACGAGCTCGTCGATGTATGCAAAGCCGGTGACCGTGTTGAGATCACTGGTATCTTCAAGTGTAACCAGGTCCGCATCAATCCTCGTCAGCGATCGGTAAAGAACATCTTCAAGACATATGTCGATGCGCTTCACATTCAGAAAGTTGACAAGAAGCGACTCGGTATTGACGTATCGACAATCGAAGAAGAGCTCGCTGAGCACGCAGCTGGTGATCTGGAAGAAACCCGCAAGGTCTCCGAAGAGGAAGAGGAGAAGATCAAGGCTACTGGTGCTCGTTCTGACGTTTACGAACTCCTTTCTCGCTCGCTGGCGCCCAGTATCTACGAGATGGACGATGTCAAGAAGGGCATTCTGCTCCAGCTCTTTGGTGGCACTAACAAGCAGTTCGAAAAAGGAGGTAGCCCGAAGTACCGTGGCGACATCAACGTTCTGCTCTGTGGTGATCCTTCCACAGCCAAATCTCAGATTCTGCAGTACGTACACAGAATTGCGCCACGAGGTGTGTACACTTCTGGAAAGGGTTCCTCTGCTGTCGGTTTGACTGCGTACGTTACCCGCGATCCTGAGACACGACAGCTGGTGCTTGAGTCTGGTGCGCTAGTCTTGTCCGATGGTGGTGTGTGCTGCATCGATGAGTTCGACAAGATGTCTGAGGCAACTCGATCCGTTCTCCACGAAGTTATGGAACAGCAAACAGTTTCCATCGCCAAAGCTGGTATCATCACAACCCTCAATGCCCGTACTTCGATTCTTGCATCCGCCAATCCTATCGGATCGAAATACAACGTCAACCTTCCCGTCCCTCAAAACATCGACCTCCCACCCACACTCCTCTCACGTTTCGATCTTGTGTATCTTGTCCTGGATCGTATTGACGAGCAAAACGATCGTCGCATGGCTCGTCATTTGGTCGGCATGTATCTCGAAGATACGCCTGAGAATGCTTCCAAGAGCGAAGTAATGCCTATCGAATTTTTGACCGCATACATCTCCTATGCGCGCTCAAATATCCACCCAAAGATCACCGAGCCTGCATCGAAAGCTCTTGTGGATGCTTACGTTGCGATGCGTGGTCTCGGTGCTGACATTCGCTCGCAAGAGCGAAGAATTACAGCAACTACACGTCAATTAGAATCAATGATCCGTCTCTCTGAAGCCCACGCCAAGATGCGCTTGTCAGAAGAAGTTACGGCTGACGACGTTCACGAAGCCGTCCGTCTCATCAAGTCAGCGCTCAAGCAGGCAGCTACGGATGCACGTACAGGTCTTATCGACATGTCGCTTCTCACTGAAGGCACTTCGACCAGCGATCGCCGCAAGAAAGAAGACCTCAAGCGCGCGGTGCTTGCCTCGCTCGACGAGCTTGGTTCTGCTGGCCAGAGCGTGCGCATGAACGACCTGGTCAAGAAGGTCAGGGAAGGCGCTAGTGAACAAGTGGAAAATCAGGAGTTCCTTGAGGTATTGCGCAGTGCCGAGCTTGAGGGTGCTGTCCAAATTAGTGGTGAGGGTATGAGGAGAATGGTCAAGAGGGTTGTTGGTAACTTCTAGATCAACTATTGTAGGCATGGCGTTCCAGGGGTTATGGGATAAGCATACCTTTATGAGGCGATGATATGATGTGGTGGATGGATAGCTGCAAGCATTTCAGTAGTCGCGTTGCATTTGTATAGACATCGTGTTCTGCCATTGTCCTTTGAAGATATCTACTGTCCTCCACATTGTATAAACGTCTGATGTCCAATCAACCACAAGGCGGAAGTGCTCCAGAACAGGGGCTGACTCAGCGGCAAGCCTCGGCACGAACTGTCAACACCAGCTGCTCTTACACAACGTCCGCAACAGCTCGCGGTCATGTTCACGCTATATCCTTACGATGCTCAACTTGTGTAGTGAAATTTCCGTGGAAGCTCGATGCATTCTAAGCGATAAATATTACCGCCCCTTGGTGCTTCTCAATTAATAGGTAGTTAATTGCTTGACGGCTACTCAGTTCCATAGCTTGATCTCGATATCCACCCCGACCGAGACGACACCAATCACGGCTATAATGAAGACCTCCAAATTTGCACCGAAGACGCCCGCAGAGAGGCTAGCGCAATCAAAAGCCGATAAGCTCAAGCAGGACAAAGATCGAGTTACGCGACTGTTAGGACGCGTCCGGTGGAAAGCAGAAATGCTCATGGTGTCTTACTTTCGAACCATGGAGATTGTACAGGCAGCTGCTCAGCAAAATGGGGATCACCAGTCCCAGCATGCAATGGGTAGCGGCGCGTCGAGTGTAAGTGGTTACGAGCCTCAACAGCCTGGACGCCGTGAGACTGACATTGCGCAGAAGCAAGCCGAATCCATGTTCAAGGTAGACTTCTTCGAGTTTTACACGCTACTAGAGCGTTACATCACAGACTGTCTCGCTATATTCGGCGTTTTTGTTTCTACCTCTGCGCCGCGCATAAACTTCAATGCCCTCCGTTACGAGACCAACCCCGAGCTTCACCGAACGCGACCGATGGCTTCGCATGCATTCCACGCCAACCTTCTAGAAGCATTGGATGACGATAAGTGTCCGTTGGCAGGATCACTAGGTCTACAGGAGGTCCGTGTACAACTAGGCATCGCAAAAGAATACCGTAATGCTTGGAAAGATGCGGATAGCAAGGCAAACGTATCCGACAGCGACGAGCGCGCACATATAGCGCTACAAAACTTGCAGCTAGAAGACATGTTGCGCAATATCATTGGCGGATGTGACCTTGCTCACGAAGCAGTGCAGCAGCATTCCGACGATACTACAAATGGGCGTGCACTGACTAGCCAAGACTTTGAACCGAAGAATATGTACGGACATATGAGCATGGAGATTGAGGATACACCATTTGAATACATGGACGACGCGATGGAGCTGGATTGAATGTGATCTATAGAGTGTTATCCATGGAGGAAAAGACTTTCCACTACTCACGCCCCATGACCCAGTGTACCGAACAATACACGCACGCCCTGGCTTCACTTTTCCGACGAAAAAAGCACACAACGAGCGCAGTACCTGAGTGGCACCCCTCAAACTACGCTGACATCTTCAATCCACACCGATGAAGAACGTTTTGGGAATAGCGAGAGCATATAACCGCGAGAAATCTGTAGTAATGCATAACAAGACAAGGTCAGTTGACTACGTACTTTTGATTTGCATCTACTCCTACTCGCCCCCTCCCTTTCTGTCTGCCTCGTCACAAGCACAGAGACTGAGCCGCAGCGCTCATCTGCCCAGTGCACATGACTGGATTCATTCTGCGTTCCCCTACCTCTGGAGCTCGCATCACGTTACTTCTGTCTCAAGCGACCACCGTCCTACTTTCTAGTCTTTCTTCAATTCCACCTATTGCCTCGATCGGGCTCATCGACCGTTCTTGCTCAATACCAATCTTTTGCATCATATGCTCTTCTTCTGGCTCTTCGTCTTGCAAGACACTGTCCGCGCGATATCTGTTGCCATCCGCCTTGGCTGCTGTCTCTTCATGAACAAGCTGCTCTTGTTCCAGTTCCCACTTGCACCTCTCTTTGCAATCCCAGCATACACTTCTCTTACATACGCGCATGTCGTACTTCCACTCATGTCGGTTCAACATCTCCTGACAGTGTGCACAGTTCATCGGAATGACAATCGTCTCCATATCGCCGCGTCGACGTGCAATGCTGAGACCTTTGCTAGTGCGGGTGTGGATCTTCATGTCTCCCTCGCTGTCAGCGTCAACACCGTCGAACACAACGAGCTTGTCGACCTTGCACCACCACGCAGGTCGACCTTCAGTTTCTGTCCGCGCACGAACTGATGTGCTGGTGAAAGCGTCCACCTGAGCACCTGGACCTGGCAGCCAGCAGCCATTTGTCGTCTGCCTCGGTGGTGTAAACACGCGCGTCTTCTCTTCCTCGACCTTTTCTTTCTTCGTCGACATGTTCAGTCGTTCCTGCAGTAGTGCTGTGGGTGATCTCAGTGCGGCTTTCGATTGTGTCTTTGAATTACGAATTAAATCGTAACGCTTCTCGAGCTCGGAGCGTGGCTTGGATGAGTCAGATACCGTGTTTGCTCCTAGATTCAGCTCTGCGGGTCGCTTCAGACGTGCGATTGAATCTGTGCGTTGCCGAGGCGAAGACGTCGATGTTGAAGCAGTGTGCTTTGAAGAGACGGATGCGTTTCTTGATCGCTGGTTGAAGTCGCTGAGCGCAAGAGATGCGGGCCGCGATTGTGGTGGTAGATTTTCGTCATCTGAGACGTACACACCGGAGTCTCGGTCGTGGGATTGAGGCGAGGTTTTGTCCATTGCGGATGGTACTGGTCTTTTGAGGGAGTTTTCGTGGTTGGGGGACTGCTCAAGAGAGGAAGACAAAGGTTCCAGCTGTTTTGGAAGTTTTTCTTGAGCCTGTTGGGAAGGTTCCGATCGCTCTTCGTTGATGATGGCGCGCGAATCATCCGCTGCAGTAGCACATTGGAGTTGCCCTGATGGCGATGATTTGGGTGGTGGTACTGGCGGATCATCATTGTCGGTGGAAATCAACTTCTTCGAGTAATTTTTGACTTTGGAGTGGACTTCTTGCTCCGACTCCCTCGTTGAAAGATCTCGTTCAGCAGCAGATGGCGATGCAATGAGCGGCTCGGTCTCTGATACTAGGTCAGGTCGTGGTGATTGTAGTGGCATGGCGTCATCGTCAAAAAGGAAGACACCGGAATCTTCGCCATCTGGATTCAGGTCCAAGTCCTTTGCTACCAAAGGAATGAGGATACTGGGTTGCTCAGTCGCAACATTCTCAGTAAGCAGTGGTGTCTTGGTAGGATCGGCTTTGGAGCTCTTCCAGAAAGCGAGTGACGGCATGGTGAATCGGAAAAGACTGTGAATACGATAAGAATCGATATTAAGTAAGATGGAAGACTTTATCTTGCATATGTGTTGCTGGCGAGTTGTTCTTTACATATCTTGAGTCGCTACACATTCAGCATGGGTTCCAGGCTCAGCCCCCGCATCACACACGTACTCGACCGACGTCGCCGTTTCCTCTTGATTCACGAAGCAGTACTTTGTTTAATCTCTCTTGCCTTTCTAGTAGGTCGCTCAGCTTCCGAGATACCATGTGCTGTGGAGTCGGTCGATTCGAAACACTGACAGCTGGGATCTGGTTGGTGGCATGTTTGACACATCCCAGCTCGGACCTGTATCAGATGGGATTACGACGTTTATGCGCACTTTACACAGGCTTACAAGGACTAGGATCATGCTGTTGTCTATCGATAAGAGGATGTGCGACGGGGATGAGCTTCATGCGTGATGATGGTGGTTGTTGGATATATATGATCTACGTGGTTTTCCATGGACGTTTTGAAACAATCACACGGGGAATTGTCTATGCACGTACACTTCTTCTGCTATTGCCTTCATGCTTCCGTGCGGAAAAGCATGATGGCCTCTTTACTCGTATCTGGATACCGCTCAGACGACGCGTCCCTTGACCTGCTTGATGTTCTTGACGTTGATATCGCGCCAGAACGCAGCCGCAATGAGAGCGCATGACAGCATGCAAATACTCGTGATCAACATGAGTCGCTGCGAGTCGGCGTAAGACTGCGCGATACCAGTCCTCTCCGGCGATCCCCACTTGTATGATAGCTGGTTCGGTAATGAAGCGTAGATGTCCGCAACATTGACACCAGCCGGAACGTTCTTGACAAGATTGTTGTAAAAGGTCCCAGTCCAGATAGCAGCGGAGACAGTACTTCCAACCGCGCTACCAATAGAGCAGAAGAGGTTGAGAACGGCGATAATGACAGCCATGTGCTGATGATCCGAAGGCGCCATCATGGCCAGCTCGCCAGCGATAACGATAGTGCCTCCAGCCACTGCCGTGAAGATCTGCGTCATGACAATGTACCCCACTGATGTTCCAGGCTGACGGAAGTGGATCATTAGTCCCAGCGCTAGGATATCAATCGGCAGTGCAAAGAAGACAGCAACCCACTTGAACCTTCCTGTAATCCTAATTGCTGGTCCCACGGCTGCCAAGCACCAGAAGCAGGAGACAACGCGGTAGATGCTCTGGACATAGCTGGCCGTAGTGACGTTGAGGTTCCAAACCACTTGCAACATGGAGCCGAAGTATGATCCCCAAACCGCGCTGTTGAAGTAAACAAAGACGAACATGACGCCGGCAAGGAAGACGGTTCGATCCAGGAGCAATTTATACGGGATGAACGTAACGGGCGCGAAGAACCTTTCCCAGATGGGAAAGGCGATGAGAAGGACGAAGCCAGCGACGATCATACCGATGATCATGGGACTCTTCCACTTCTCCGCTTGGTAGCTGTATAGACTGAATGGTAGCAAGAACAACGCCATGCCTGCTACCAAAATCAGTATTCCCACGGCATCAATATCGATGCAGAACTTCTTGATGGCTGCCGGGCTCCAGTCAATGCGGCGTGGCTCGAGTAGACCTTGTTTACGGGCTTTGCGATCGTTGAAGAGAACCAAGGCTGCAAGAGGAACGACGACGACGGGGATGACGATTGTGAAGATGCCAAACGCCCAGCGCCAGCCGGGGCCAGCGAGAACGGATTGAGCGACAGGACCGCCGATCCAAGTTGTGATTACGTAGGGCGAGGTTGCGAAGGAGAGCATGAGGGCGCGATTCTTGAGGGTCGAGGTATCGGCGATGAAGACGGTAAGGATGTACGATACTGCTTGAGATCTGGATATCATCGTGTCAGCGTTAACATCTTCTTATTTTGATCGGTAATGAACAAGAATTACATACCCTGTAGACGAGAATACTTGCGCCGCAGCATATGTCTCTACATTCTGGCACGAAGCCATCATGATGTATCCAACCATCCATACAAATAGTGAGAGCAAGAGCCCCTGAGGTCGACCCCACATGTCGAGTAGCTTGGCCAAGGGAATCTTGGACAGCCCACCGATGATGGATGACATGATCCCAGTAGCAGCAGTGAGAGAGTGTAGACGGAAGGCACTGGTGACATAGGGATTCATGGCGCGGACGACGACTTCTTGGAGGGCGGTGACGAAGTAGATCCACCAGATGCTGGGTGGGTGTCAGTGAACATACTGGACGAAGATTTGAACGAAAGGGGGTAACAAACATAACATAGGCGCCGATAAGATGGTATTTTGTCCATACTGATGCTGCAGCTTGGACGGCCTTGACACCTGCCTGAGCGTTGCTGGAGAGACTTTCTTCGTCGCTGACCGCGTCGTGGGGGCCATTTGTCTGGGCGCCTTTTTCCGCATCGCTGGTTTGACGAGAAGACTCAACGGGCTCGACCGAGTCAGTGGCCCTGTCTTTGAAACGATCAAAGAAGTGCATAATTGAAGAGAGCGGAGTGATCAGTGTGACCAGAGAACGAGGCGGAAGAGATCAGCAACGAGAGATGCCACGTTCAAGCAGTACAAGTTTTCACAGCATACTCTTATACCACCCTCAAGCTTCTAGAGCCCTAATACACCCGTTCAACACTCGTATAAGACCCAGGAACGCACTCCTTCAGACCACCATCGATCCACCATTGGCCCCTCCCAAACCACATCACTGGAAGCACCTTCGATTTTTGCACCGGTTATATGACTATACAACAGTCTCGAGGACTTGGCATAGCTTGGTATGAGAAAATCGATACCTAGAGTAGTAATAAGGATGAGTAGGGTGGAGTGAAGGCGTTCGTGAAGGAGACTAGCGTGGAAAATTCGATCTGATTAGATGTAAAGATGATCTTATCACGGACGGTCGGAGTCGGAAAAGCCCGGTGCAAGCTCGGATCTAGGATTGATGAGGAAGAACATGCGACGTGTTGTTTGCATGTGAATTTGATATTTAAATGAGACTGTTATATTGTCCCTTGGTCGCCTTCTGGGGCTGGCAAGTCTCCTCGGCGTTTCCAAAGAAGTTGAAAGTGCATGCTGTCGACGCCGTCGGTTGTGCATGAGAGATGTCACTCCGTTGCGCGGGCCCAAACGGAGTCGAAATTGGACCATGGTCGATGACCATCCATCATGTCACACGGGAAAGTGCTGCGCCTCTTGAACATGGCATGTATGGCAATGCGCTCCCGTGGTTACAGTGTCTCAATGGTGTTTCGGCCGGCTAAAGGGCAGCAGCCGGCACACAGTGGGATCCTCCAGGGGGCTATTGGATAGACTCATACCCGTCTGAGGTGAGAGCGTGCCGACCCACGAGTGACAGACAGGAAACTACGTGAGCAGGTGTGGGATGGTTGCTGAAGTACGTGGGGTGCTGCTCACTTGCCTGTTGTGTTGTGCATGGGATTTGCTTCTGCTCGAGTGCCGACATGGCGCGAAACCCTGAAGGGAACCTAGTTTCTGGCTATCGCTATCACGGTGTTGGTTGTACAGGCCACGGGTAATTCTGAAGCGTCTGCCATAAGACGGGCAGGCCGCAGCTGACAAGGCGAAGTTGTGTTATTCGTCTCATTCCGGGTACGTCTTTGTGATGCGCTGTCAAATTGTGCCTGCAGCCTGAAAGCGCCTCGTCAGCGTTCCCGCCCAGGGCTGGCCCGACAATGGCATCCTGCCTTGGATCGATCCTACACTACCCTACATCATCGACCTGCAGCGCTTCAGCACGACGTTAAACCGTCTACATCGTCGCCTATTGCCAACCCCCCTGTTCCGACAGCGACAACTCAGTCCCCACGCTACCCAACAACCGTTTGACGCGTAGTCGTACTCATTACAGCAGCCTCATCGCTTTGACCGCCTATTCGTACCGGGCCGCGCTGTTGTCCAGGCCCGAACCCGCACGAGATGCCACGAGTGCTTTGGCCCATTGAAGCAAAAGCACGTCCATGATGGCTTCGTCCAGATCCACCGCCGCTGACGAACTCAACGCCTTTGAGTCCTTCACAGGCGTCGAGGAGAGTGCAGAGCCCACTACGTCAACCACCCGCGACGACTCCACAGCAGACATGGCCAGAGACACGTCTGCTCCGCCCATGGGCCAAAACTCGGCTGGCCAGCGCCTGTTCCATGCGACCAACTCCCCCTCGCCGCTGTCGTCGCGAGAGGCTTCTCCTCGCCCGCACAAGCGCAATGCCACCCCGTCGGGCGCAGGCACGACTGCCAGGCCTTCCTTCAGAACACGCAAGAGCAGCGCCGATGCCAGCCCAAGTCGAGGTTCCAGCCTGTCCAACTCGACGACCGCCGCCGCCGCCCCAGGCCATGCCTCCCCGACGGTGCAGCGAGCTCTGTCCTCCACCAGCATACCTGAGCTCACGCCTACCTCATCGACCGACACTGTACGAGCCCCGCGCCCTTCCAAGCCATCTTCAAAGTCGAATTCTGGCGAGACGACTCCCCATTGGCCCCTCTCGCCGCGCCTCAAATCACCACCACCGGGCGATGACGGCCGCTCACGTTCGCGCACAAACTCGCTGCGTGCGCAAATTAGGAAGCCCGAAGCTCAATCTGCGCCCTCAATTGTCGTCCAGAGCTCATCGCCCGCCTCGCTCTCTCGCTTCCCAGTGAGAGAAGAGGCGCCCGCAAGCGACCCCGACGAGCCTCAGCCACCGCCTGCGCCCAAAGCAACCTCGCGGAGTTCCGGCGGCGTGGCTCCCAAGCTGGCAACGGTGCAAGAATCTAGCTTGCCTGCCACACCCGGATTTGATGGTCTAGAGCCGCAAAGGTACGCTTTCCCCGCAACGGCCCCACTGTTTGTCATCGCGACGCACGTTAGACTAACCACGGAGCCAATTTCCGTTCCCATCCGCAAACTTTGTTAACCTCGTTCTTAGCTTTGTTCCCTCAGCGACTGCCCACAAAACCGATCAGGACCGAAATGACGTCAATTCGTCCAAAGTCACTGAAGACCTCAGCACCAAGCACGACAACACCAAGCACACGGAGAGTGGTAGCGACAGCGCGACCAAGAGCGCCAAGAAGGGCAAGATGCAGGAGCAGCGCAACACGTACACCCATCGCCCACACACCGTCTCCGCAAAGCCCTCCCTCTCTTCAATGTCGACGCGATCGCGAGACCCGCCCCTCCGCAACATGACGGTCGAAACTGAGACCGTGCCCTCTGTCGCGCAGCCATCCATTGTGAACCAGGACCGGTCCGCGTCTGGTCGCGTAGATGGTGGAATACGACTAAAGGCCAGCAACGAGACGATTCGACCCAAGAAGGAAAGGAAAGCCCCCAAGCGCAAAGCCGCGTCCATCAATGCAGGCACTGGTAGGTTGGAACACATTTCGTACCACTATTACACCCCGAGCCGGCCGGACCCCGGTTCTCGCTCAAGCATGAACCCGTCATTCGGCAGCCCCGTCTCATACCGTTCGTATGACGACCGGCGCTCGTTATTGACCATGTCGCCCCCGAGTTCAGAGCTTCGCATGGCTCCTCTTCGCCCCCCTCTCAAATATTTTTATTCAAGCACTAACACAAGTACCCGTACAGCTTCGTCCAAAGCCGATGTATTCGAACAAAAGGTGGCCAGCGCGGTTGATGAGGCCGACTCCTCTGACTCCGATGCGACCTTCATCTATGAGTCGAACCCTCCCGAACAGCCGCACCGCAGCCGCCAACATCACTCACGAACGCCAAGCATGACGTCGCTAGCCAGCCTCACGGACCCACGACTCCAGATACGCGACACGCACAAGCACCCAAGTAAGAAGAGCAGCATAAAGTTCACGAACCCGTACAACAACCCGAGCATTGACGGCGATGATCGAGGCGAGGGCACCATCCGGATAGGCTCCGGGCGAGCGGGTGGAGGCAGTCATCACCACCACATTGGACGACATAGCCAGGGTCGCGGCGCACTCAGCCACCTTGCTATGGAGAGTGACACATCGGTACCACAGTCTTCGCGCGCACGTGGCCCGTCATCAAGAAATGCGTCGCAACCCAACAGCCCTCGCTTCCACACCTTCAATGTTGGGAACGGTCACAGCAATGGCAGCAAGAAAAATGGAGAATATTCTGCAGCATACGATATCGACGCCGAAAACATTGCCGATGATGAGCGCACACCGCTGATTCAATCTGGACGAAGTCCACGTTCTACACGAACCTCCCGCCAGCGCAATACCACCACCATACGCCAGCTAGAGCGCCGGCATCATCGCGATGGCGGATGGTGTCGCCGTTTCGCGGGCTGCCTCGTCCTTACGATTCTGCTGCTCGTCGTTGTGTTCTGCGCTATTGGCCTTGTTTTTGCTACCACGAAGCCTCTCACTAGTCTCGTGGTGCGAGACATACAGAATGTTGTAGCGAGTCAAGAGGAGGTTATGCTGGATCTCATAGTCAACGCGGTAAACCCTAACATCATCGGCGTTACCGTCTCTGACATGGAGGTCTCGCTGTTTGCTAAGAGCAAGCACGTCGGGTCAGATGCTTGGTGGCGCGAGCACGGGAACGGTCCACAAGATGACGTAGAACACTGGACACCCATCGAAGAAGAAGCAACTACAGAGATCTCGATTACTGGTGTAGATGAAGGGACCGATCCCATTGAGGGCGAACCTCGTACCATGCTTCTAGGACGCATTGCCCACTTCGACTCACCACTAAACTTTGAAGGTTCCTTTTTCCAGCGGAAACGCGCCGAATCTATTGGTGAGATTCGACTTTTGCACCCCGGAAACAAGACAGAAGCCGGAGGCAGCGAGCGATGGGAGGAAGTCCTGCAATATCCTTTCGAGTTGATCGTGAGGGGTAACTTTAAGTACACACTGCCTCTCAGTACGCAGGAATTCAAGGTCCCTGTTACGGCATCCCATTACTACGACCCAGATATCGAGCGCAAAAAGGAACTCGACAACGTAGAGAGCAAAGAAAAGAGGAGGAATATATCACATGTATCAACAAAACCACGGGGACGATACGACCGTAGAGCCTTACCGTTCTGGAGTCCCCGATAGCATACTGTTCATTTTTGTAACACAACGTTCCAGAACCAGAGGGGTCTGCACAACCGTGCGGCCCCAGCAACATCGCCCAAAAGAAACTGATACCCACTAAACACGAGTTCACGACACAATAGACTTGTCCGGCCCGGCATCTGCGACATCAGCAAACGCGTTGCCTTTTTTTCCGGCTCCACAGCCGTTCACGAATTTCTTTTTCGATCCGCAAACTACCACACCGCCTCATCTGAACCGGCCCTTCGCGTTCCCTCATAGCGAATGTTTTTAAATAAGCGTTCTCAACCTTGCGCTTCAGCGATGGTGTTTGTATCATGAAATTTTCTGCATTTTCAAACTTTAGGTGGACTCGGCCTCGGTCCCCTCAAACCTTTTTAGCGCGTTTCTGGTTTTACGCTTGGAGGTGGATTGCTTTTTTATGCATCCAAATTACACTCGCTTTGATCTTTCTTCCATGTATCCATAATTTAGCCTTGTTTTTTTCGTTTTGATTGAACTTCTGTTTGTTCAATAGCGGCTAGGGTGGGTGCATAGGTTAGGCATGGCATGGCATGGTAGGGACTGGAAAGGCACTTGCATCGCACTGGGAGCAAGGGACTATAGGAATGATACTAAGTCACTCGTACTGATCTTCCACCTCGTGAAATGTGCTTTGTGTGTGTATGGCTGTGAGCTTTTACGGTCGGATTATAAAGGTAGCTGGTCAAGACTGGAGCGAGTCATAAGTCTGGTCCGTTCATGGAGTTATGTTGGATTGTCTGCTAAAGGCCGATCAATCTGTCTGCGACTGTACATGAGGATATACTCTGCAACAAGCCTGAAGAGCAGGTAGGCAGCTTCGCAACTCCACCAGGAGACCTTGGAAATCCGCTTAACCTTGTCAACCTTACCCTTTGATGCAGAGTCAGCGACAACTTTGCACTTCTTCTACTTGATATCACCAATAATCTTAGCTTCCAGAACTTCCTCACGCTTCTTCTGTGAGTAAGTCTTATTAATCTCGATTTCAGTCGCATTCTTCCTCCTCAATAACCCCTCGAGCTTTCATTCGTATCTCACTCTTTCTAGCCCACCTTTTCCTTATGAACGTTTGTCTTCACATGGCCTGTGAGCTCCTCCAGCTACTCTCAGTGCCCCACCAACTTGGCGTTCTTGCCCCGTGTGTAGCGATTGCAATCGTGAAGGTGACATTGTAGTCGAAGTTGGTTGACGAACTGGCGGAGAATGGGGATATCATAGGGCTCAGTACAATTAATGCGACGTGATGAAAGCCTGTTGCGTCAAGGGTCGCGTAGATGGAAGTGAAAGGAGGTGGATGGAAATGCATCTGACCGCTAATGGCTTATTAAGGATAGTTTACAGACCCTCTATTAGCGGGAAGTCTTCGTTGATAAGCTCTCGTATATTTGCTGGCTTGTTCACATCAAATCGAGGTCCGTAAGGGGATGATTCCCGTTGGATGTCTTAATCTTTCTGTCGCAAGGCGTGATAGTTCATGAAGAACATGTCCACCCAACAAGCATACTTGCTCTGTTCCTTATCGAGCTAAGCTTTCACCACAGTGAAAGTGATAAATCCGACGCTGTAGCCTAAAGAATGACGAAACAGCTTGGTCGTATGACCCGCAAGTTCACCATTCACTATCAAAACTTAGCTCGGCCCAAGCTCAGGTCTAGCGTCGTTCATTATCTATCGCATGTCGCTTCTCCACCTTGTCTCTCTTCCATTCTCTTAACTCGCACTCAAATCGCTAGATGCGGTGCACTTCGCAACCTTTTGGTATCTCGGTTCGCGCCGCCGCTCGATCGACTATATTCCCCGACACTTCTACTTCTGCTATCAAGGTAACGCACAATTCATCATTTATCGACTATAACTCAATCTGACTTGATATGCGTACAGATTGTTGGGTTCTGGCGAACTCTTTGTTCGCACTTTTACAGAACCGAGAATACTAGTCGATTGGCGAACGCGACTGAGTGACACCAACAGGTTTGCTGGACCCCCACAGCAGCTGATAGCTCGAACTATCAACCGGCTGGCCTCCAGTCTTCTTGGGTGGAGGTTCTGCAGGGTCTATGCTGAGTCTAGGAAAGGAGTGGTTTCTCTGACAAGACATAGATCGGAGCATTCAGCGTTCTTGCAACACAACCACTGACTCCGACACCTCACTGAATCTCTCGGAGATAGAGGGGTGCCCAGGCAGATCGATCGGCTTCATGCTTTAGGGTCCGTCGTCTGGTTCAGATAGGTGATGGTCTCTGCATGTATGTCAGGTCGAGAACCGTAAAGAGACGGGCTGCCCCAGCTGTCTTCTTGGTGGCCTTGTTACACACCACAACGATGGTGGTTCGATTCCACTTCCGATTCGACCCGCCGCCAGTGTGCCCTTTCGGGTTATGCGTGCGGAAGATATCTGCGATAAGATGTTCTCTTCGGAGGACTTCTGACAGGTCAAGTGGCCCATGATATATGGCATACACGTACGAGGATCTCCTATCGACGACAGAGAGACACAGGGATCGTCTGAGGTTGTCACAAACCTGAGATGCGAATGTGTTTCTCGAACCGCGGCACTTGAACGGGATACGGTAAAACGTCAATGTTCAAGACTGTCGACAATCGGGTGGCGGTAAAACGCCCTCGGTAGATCCTGTGTCACCATAGTTTCCTTGTGTGTTATGGCTGGGCGAGACTTCAACATCTCGACATCTCCAAGTGTGCGCTAGCATCAGCAGCGATACTCTCACACTTTACAGACCAAGTGTCAAGCCACACGACGCATGTCGTCCATTGGCAGGTCTCTACTGGAATTCAACTTCCAGTATCTTTTTCATTGAGTCATGAGCCTTTAGGGCGGGTCTCGAGGAAGAAGACAGCACAGCTCGTCACACCAGAGCTGACTGCTAGATATATGAATTGGCATGACCGATTTCACTTTGCAATCTAGGTGTTGTTAGCAATTTCAAAGTGTGTACCGACACGGCGCGTCACACCCGTGCTCTTTCTGAGTCTGGCGAGCGTATGACGTTTGCGCCCAGAACAACGCTAGCCTATCCAAGCCACATACGTCGGCGACTGCGCAGAACAAGGAAACTTGCGGCCTCGTCACTGAGATCATATTGCCAGAACGAGAATGGATAATGTGCCTTTGGGTCTGCTGGAGGCCTGATTTCTAGGGCAACGGTCATTGGATTATACTTGCAAAACGCGCACAGTCTGTACATTTATTGAGCCTGCACATTCACAAATTGAGTTCAGTTTGGATTGAATTAAACACAGTAGTAGTACATGTGTTGCATATCATTCATTATACTATCTATACCTGATCCAAGACCAAGCTATCCCAGAGCCATCCTCTCCATTGCGTAGTCCTAGTAACCTTGATGTCTAGGCGGTTACCCTCGCTCTTCAACGCCCCATCCGCGATCGGGAATTCGAGTAATCTCCACTCGCCCGCTCGTGTAGCACCACGATACGTGTCTTGGCTGTTCAATAGACTGGCGCTCGTGATGTTTCCCACCTTGACATCGTTAAGCAAAATGTCGCAGCTTGAGCCTTGTGAGAAGCCGGCGAGTGACACCGTCAATTTTGCGGCGGATGTGCTCTTGGATGGGAAGAGAACAGACCATGTGCCGAGTGCAGATTGACCAAAGCACCAGTCAAGAGCAGAGCTGGTCCCGACAGTGTAGGTAAGGTTTCCTGGGCATTTGGAGATGCGACCGTGTTCAAATGGGTGAGCTGGGTCAGCAAGTTTGAACCCGTCAGTCGTACGATCGAAGTCGCCAATCTGGAAGATGCGCTTCTTGCTGTCGGTGACCTTCCACGTCAATTCCTTGAGATTTGTGTTCTTGCCCTCGCGGATCTCGACATCGTTTTGGGTAAAGTTTGTTGTAACATCGCCAATCGCGCCGCCGTTGCCCCAAGCGTAGAGCGCATATGTGCCGGTGCGGATGTCGTGGATGTCAAACTTGCCATCTTCGTCGGCATAGGTGGTGTAGTAGTAATTCTGCCCTTGATCAAGAGTTGAAACCGTAGTGTTGCGGTTGTCTCCGAGGAAGACGGCAGCGCCAGCAGCTGGGCGTCCGTCACTCAGGAGGAGCTTGCCCTGCATCTTGCCGCGAGATTGGTAGGGCTTGTTGTCGAACCACTTGTAAGGCCAGGCCGCTTCTTCCTTTCCCCAGCGAGCTGCAGCATCATCTTTGCTTCCGTCGTTGAGGTACCAAAGCCACGGGCCCCAGATCTTGCCATCAGCGAAGGAATCGCGCGCAATGGCTTGGTAATGTGTGCCGTGGATCATGTTCAGCTGAACTGCGTCTCCAGTTTGGGATTCGCGATGAGTCTTTCATCAGTCAGTCTGACATCATCTACTAGCAAGACAGAATCGGACATACCATAAGCTCTTGCTTGAGATGATCACCATTGTAGTAGTCTTTTCCAGGGTTGAGGTACCAGCTTCCCACCTCGTCGCCATAGACACCATAGTATGTCTGGTCTCGGACGAAGCCGCTCCAGTCGTACTTTGTCAAGTATGACCCGTCAGCCTTTTGCCAGGTTTCATCCTGGACGTTGGTAGCTTGACGATATTCCTCTAATGCAGGAAGTACACCGTCTTTTACGTTGTTGTGGCTGCGAGGAAACGAGACGTTATCGAGACGCCACAAAGTACGGAACTCGCCCAGTGTAGGCAGGGCGTGGTTAACGAAGTACTGGTATGCGCCTGGGAGATCGTCGTAGATTACCCAATGGAAGTCGCCTTCCTTCGCCGTAAACTTGACATTGATGTAGTCGGTGTCAGAATCGACAATCGCGGCGGACGTCCAGTTCAGATCAGATGCGGCGCCATCTACGAATTGGTTAGCGACGTGATGCCTTTATTTCGTCCAGCGCTCTGCTTGCACGTACTGTAGCTAACATAATGCCCAACAGCATTCCCGACGCGATCTTTCCCGTTGTACCACAACTTATTAGCATACTGGCGGTTCTGTGTAACGTTCCAGATTTCGTTGCCAATAACCCAAGTTGAGTTTCCAAGGTCTTTCAGAAAACTCTTGGGCTTCTTTGCGCGCTCCTCTACTGGCGCCGCAGCAGCCAGGGCAGCAAGACCGAGTAACTTGAATGCGCTCATCCTGAACACAATGATGCGCGAGTATTCTTGGCGAGGATGGAAATAAATCCATAGTTTCTCTGGGTATTATATATCGCTGCAGACATGCGCGTTGCTAGACAAGAGCACCCTTGCCTCTCGGCGCAGATGCCCCGAAGCTATTACCGGGTAAGCACTGGGGTCGCGGGGTACCTGGATTCTACCCCGGACAATTAACATTGTTCCTGCAATCGCAGTTCTTCGCTCTTCAGTAGCGTATTTTTAGAGCGGTGTCCGCATTCTGGAAATAGGAAGGCGTTCGTCGTCGCATGCATCGTACAGGGTCCGCGGCATGAGGCTCGCTGCACAACGTGGTTAACGGCCACATCGTTGGGCGAAGAAGCACCGAAATCATCTTGGAAGCGTTAGACGAAGCCATAATCGATATCACGAGGTACCAGTAACCGGGTCGATGCTTGTGGTGATGTAAAGTTCAGAAGGCGTGGAAAGACACCGAGCGGGACGCTTACCTTTTGTGGACAGCTTCCATCGATCCGCCATTGTCGCACCGCGAACACTGGACTCCCAAAGATCTCAATGTTATAGAGATTGGACTCCCAAAAGATTATGAGGATAGGTACAGGATATAAAATAACCTGGTAGTAGTACAGAGCGGTGTGGATGATCTTCGACTACATGTAACGCTTACTCCTCCAATGCCTTCGCGTCAGCCTCCTTTGGCGTGTGCGTGCCTGATTCAGCCGTCTTTTCGCCTTCGACCACTGTGACCGGCCCTCCGCGACGACCACCCTTTCCGGTGATGTCGCGCCACATGCCACCAAAGTTCCTTGCCAAACTCTCACGGCCTTCCCATAGAGGATACACACCTACAGCCATAGTACTGCACATCAACCAGATGATGCCGACGATGACCCAACCCGAGAAGAATGATTGGCTGAAGATATAACCTGAGCCATAAAGCGGCATCGGCCAAAGTATGAGCAGGACGAGTGTCATGGTTGCAGTGGTGATCTTTGCGATCTTGGAGGCGCGGAATAGTTTGGCTTGCTCGGCGGCTTCGGCTTCTGGTGAGAGGGCAGCATGACGGCCGTGCACAGCTTCGAGGTCCATGTGCGCGGCTGCTGTGACATCCGAATCGTCCACAAGGCGAATATTCTTCATTGATACCCAATCGTAGTTGTCTTGGTCTTCGTTAGCATGCGCTCAGCCGAGGGGATTACAAACTCACCGACTCCGAATATCAACGTCAAGACTGGAATGAAAATGACAGGCGATAGCAACGCAACAACATTACCAGCCAGCATGGGGTTGTTGGCGCCGGACGTAGCGACGGTGATGACACCATCATTCAACTTAGAGGTGGTGACAAGCCAAGTGATAATGCTGCAGCACAAGCCCAGTACTGGGGACAAAGTTGCTGCCCACTTGTTCTGACCCTTCCACATCAACGTGAGAGTTGCGGGAATTACCGCAGACGAGATAATTACACCCATGAAGACGTACAGCCAGCCCATGCTAATGCCAGCATACCAGAGTCCCGTTGAAAAAGCGGCCATGACCAGCCCAAAGCCGCACACGCATACATGTGACGTGTAAACAAGACGTCGGCCGCTTGCGCCTGGGTTGATGTAGGTCGCGTAAATGTCGTACGTCAGGATACTAGAGACGGCAATGAGCTGCGCACTAAAAGCGGATGTGACAGCCATGAAGACGACGAGAAGTGTAGCTACTGCTCCTCCGGATCCAAGAAGCGCAACTGCAGCATATGGAAGCGTGAGACCGGCACTGATCGAAGCTTCGTCCATGACGTTGGGATATGTGGGAAAGTACTCGGTGCTCTGTAGTGCAAGCGCGGCGAGACCCATGGTGGTCGCGCAAAGCCACTGATAATAGCATTAGCACCAGACTTGGGTATGGACTATCGAGAGTTTTACCGGAATAGCGAACCAGGACAACCCGCCAATGATGTATCCGGGAAGAGCGTGAACCGGGGATGCGGCAATAGCCTTGTTGTAGTCTTGGAACGGTCAGTTTTCGGTTTCCTCTAGCAGCAGATAACTTACATCCGTTGTCCATGAAGACAGTTCCGAAGTTTCCAATGATGTTGATGACGAAGAATATGGCGCCGTCCTTGCTCCGCATTGTGAGATAACTTCCTCCAGCGTTACCGGGAACAGGTGCCGTCGCTGAAAGCTCTTGTAGACGCTCGTAGACCGCTTTAGTCGAACCAAGCCGGTCGCCAGTGGCGTACGTGGTGAAGGCAAAGGTCAGAAGGATTACAAGAAGAATGACAGTGTGGACGTAATCCGTCAGGAAGGTGGCCTTGATTCCACCAAACATCGTATAGATGACGACACCCAGAGGAAGTAGGAAACAAGCCGCTGCCGTAGGCACGCCAGTCAAAGAGCTGATGACGGCTGATCCTCCAGTCAACAACATAGCTGTAACGAGTATGTTGGTGAAAAGGCCGAAAGTGATGTATACGAAATGAGTGGCCTTTCCATAACGAGCGCGCACAGCTTCGAGGAACGTCTATCATATGGTCAGACTTAATACCAGGCTGAGGAACATATTGCACCTACATGAGCGTGAGGAGCTCGCCTCTTCAGTTCGATCGCAACGGTAGCAAATAGCAAAATCTGAACAGTGGCACCGGCAGCATACCAAAGCGGTCCAGAGACACCTATGAATGGTCAATACTTGACCTTAGGGCGATTCAGGTCTAAACATACCATAGCGGAAAGCGACTGATGAACTTTGCAAAAGTGTAGCGGCCCATGTCCAGGATGATACTACAGCTGATGCGACAAGACCAGATTTGACCGTACGACCAGCAGTCGAGAACATCTCAGACGTTTGGAGCTCATTGTTGTAGCGTTTTAGAACCCATGTGGTGAACACCTTGAAATTGTCAGCCCTTGATGTTTCTACTAATCAAATCTCCCGTACCATGCCCAGTGCGAAGAGAAATCCGACGCCCAATACGATGCCATAACCCCAAGCTTGACCAAGAGGTGAGGCCGAAGGCCCAATGGGAGTACCACCACCAGCCATGTGGAAAGATGGAGCGTGCTTCGAGGTTAAGCTTCAGAACAAAGCGTTGGCTGTCAAACCATCTCGCCGGGGCAGACGATGTATCTATACCTCAATGCATCCCCACGATTACCGTCCCCCAGCTTCCGGCTTCAGCTCGGTCCCAAGACTGCTATCTCGAGCATTTCCAACGGCACATACCAACCACTTTCACTTTGCAATTCAGCTGGCGCATGATTGGTTGAAGATAGGCACATTGCAAGACTAGGGAACGTGGAATGAGAGCCAAGCCCAGAGACTTCTTGTCTGCTACGCAACTTTGAAGCTTGTGTTAGCGACGAAGTCTTGTTGTAGGACAGTTTGAAGCTCTTAGCCGACTGGGCAATGCAGGATGGCTCGCCTATGCTGATAAGGAACATGTGCTTGCAAACGGATATGCATTACGCTTGTCTCATAGTGGCGGGCAGGACCGAACGGTGCAGCGGAACTTTTCTTGCTGCATTATGAATGGCCGACGGGTAAGGGTATTTGCTTGGGCAGGAAAACTTGGGTCTGGGCGTGGAGATGGTGGTCATATTGGAGGCATGTTGGAGTTGGTGGTTTCGATGAGGTAAACAGGAGATTGAAGATAAGCGATGGCTTGGTAGCCAATGAGACGGCGCTGGCGGTGGGGTCCGAAGTCGGCTTGCAGGAGCTGACCCCTGTGTCCCAGCTTTCTCCACGGTGATGATCGACGTGCATCTTTGTAATGTTGCTGTTACTCGATCACTTCGACAAATGCCAGCCACTCTTACCATAAGTCGTCCGCAGGGAAAATGTGAAGAGCTGGAACACTTCGGTACGAGGGAAGGCGTTGGTCGAGTGGCATCCATGATTGCTAAGGACTTCTTTTCGCATCGTACTAGGGACGTGATTTTTGTGTTGCGCTTCGATGAACGAAGCGACGAAGTTTTTCATAGTTTGGTGTTGTTCTAAACACCTATCCTTCCGCTCATTCACTTTTCATCTCCATGGTCTTGTTGTCGGTCGCCTCAGTGTAGCCCTTCCTCCAAAGACTGTCCAACGTCAGCTCGCTGACTTTGGCGGCCACCTTTGCGAGACTCCAGTGTTCCCCAATCATGCATCTGCTCCGCATCCGAGTCGTTAAGTAGCTTTTGTCGTGTAGCTCGCGGCTTTTGTTGGCTTTCGCACTCTGCCTGGTACATCTGGGATAGCCAAGGGTTCGTAGATCGAAGCATTTATCCATCTTGTCGAAAGTAGGCTTACCCCGAAGTTTTCTGGGTCTATGGTATTCGTTGAAGTCATGCGTTCATGGTACTGGTCTTTTTACTGTATCGCTTCACGTGCTTTGCGATTCGAGTTCCCTGACCCTTTGTCTGTTCCTTCCAATCAACTTCGACAGCATACTCACATCAGACAGAGACGCTGTCCGATTTCCACAGTATGAGACGTCCACTTTCCGTTTCGATCCTCATGGTTTGATATCCAATCAGGTTTGGTTGTCACCGCTACTCGACAACAGCCTCTCTTGCGCACAAAAACAACCCTGTTCCAGTTCCAGTCATGCACCATGATTCATCCGCACTAGCCGTTGAGGAGTAGCAGCTGAGGCCTCGAGCCGCGACCACCCTGTATGCATTAGTTGTACCTCGAGCTCCAGGCATTGTTAAGAACACAAGCAGACGATGACACGATCGAAGGCAAGAGACGGGCTGACCCTGTCTTCGACTTTGGAGGTGCCACGAGTAGTTCACTAGCATGCGTGTCTAAGCGTGCAGAATTGACAGGTACGATTGCGAGCGATCATTGCACGAATGACATTGACATCCAACGCAGGAGGTGTGTGTGCTGGCGTCGCGCCACAGAAAAACAATCAACGGTTACGGCCTCACCCGGCTTACTCATGGTGTCACAACCCTCTCGGTTGCAAGAAGCCTGTATAAGAGTTCATCTCCCGGTTCCAGCAAGATCCCAGCCATTGCTGGAGGCAACATCACGGTTGGGGCGAGGTCTGCGTCTGCATCTGTGGCTTTGTAGCTGTCAGTGCCTTCCTACGCTAGGGGCTCTCGTATGGTCATGATATTAGAGTCGATGTCGAAGCAGTCCGGGCGCCCAATCAGGAAGGTGTAGTAAAGGACGCCAGGGTTGTACGGATCTCGCTTTGTGTAATGTGGTGGCGTCTATGCCCCTGCGGAGCTTGTCCATCTCGCCGAAGTGCGACCGCCGTAAGCAACTGCTCCAGGCCTCTTTCCTGATCTGGTAAATTATCTGATGTGATATTGGAGTACCCAGGTATATAGAAGGGTATCGATCCCCGTCAGTCTTCTGAATAGCCACCGGTATGATGTTGTCGCTTTTGATACTCCTCGCAATTGGGGTCCGTGCCCTTGCTTACACCACCCAAGATGGATGTCCACGGGAACTCGGCGCGGAAGGCGTGCGGGCTCGCATACCACCTACCTTCAACACTACGGATCATGGCCACCATCATGGCAGAGCATGGCCGGCGCCACCCGTTGGCTTCTACTTCAAGCCGTGGTCCATGATCCTTGCGTCGAATCCTCAATACGCTGCCATGCGGAATGTGCAATACGACCCGACGCCAATCGATCCCTCGGATCCCACCGGACTTGTGAATGATCTCTTCTCGTTCCAGTTCCCAGGCAATGACAGCATCATAACAACCTATGGTGTCGATACACCTCACCCCTACTTCCCAGCGGTGCTCGATTACGCAGGAACAGGGATACTAGTGGGCGCTACTAGCCAGTACAGTATTCTAGTCTGGGGATGCGATATTAACAAAGTTCCATACTATGCCAGCTATTCGACAGCAGTGGAGTTCACAGACACGCCCGCAGGTATCGACCTGATGAGTACGAGCGATAAAGGACCTGATCAGGATACTATCGATGCTGTTATTGAGGCGTTGAAGAGGCTGGGCAGCGACGAGATTACGAAGTACGTTGAGGCGTTGGAAAGGATGGTGCAGGACGGCGGGAGAAGGGGCATGCCCAGAGTAGGTATATGTGATGTGTTGAAGGATACAAGCTGACATAAGATCGCAGGCTACGTGTGACGATTACTGTAAGACGAATCAGGGCTTGATTGGAATCGTAGGTTGAGGTCCGGCTGGAGGGAGATTAGTATGTCATGCTCGAGGATTTAAATAGTGATGGTGGAGGATGCTGCTCGCATCTTTCGTTTCGTGCTGGCTTCCTAGCAAGTGTATGGCCAGAATCTAGTCTGCGAGAGGTTGTATCTGTATCGTAATGCTGTGCATCCCATGTGGTACCAATGCGCTTCACGGACCGCAGCTCTCCAGAGCAAACGTTATGAATAAACAGCTCAATCGCAACGGGGTGTGTGGGGTGAAGGAGCTTCGAGACCGGAGTTCAGCAGGCGCTCCTCCGCTGTGGGTCCTGCCAAGTCCCTGCCGCATTAGCGTCAAAAAAGTTCAGAAGTTCTGTAGAGAATCTATGGATAACGCAAACTTCAACGAGACAACATCGCAACACTTGTCGTAGTTTGACATCACATCCAGACACAATGGCGAAGCGCAAACTTAACGAGCACGACGTGCCAGAGGAGACATCGAGCGACGAGTCGCATTCCGAGCCCCGCAGCTCGCCCGAACCTTCGACACCTGCCGAGACTGCGACTGCGACTGCGACTGCTGCCACAACGACAGTAACACCAACCAAAAAAGCGAAGAACAAGAAAAAGGCTAAAACAGCGACTGCCGCCGTTCCTGAAGTGCCCATCGCTGCTTCCTTCGCCGAACTCCAACTCGAACCGCGTCTATTAAGAGCGATCCGCGACCTGAAATGGGCATCACCGACGGCAGTACAATCGCAGGCGATACCATTAGCTCTAGAGGGACGCGACATCCTTGCGCGCTCTGGAACTGGCACAGGCAAGACGGGCGCCTACCTGCTTCCCATCCTGCACAAGACCTTGCAGCAGAAGGGCCAATCCCTCATCCTGGCACCCACACGAGAGCTATGCTTGCAAATCGCGACAGTCGCCAAGTCGCTTGCACAACACTGCGGACAAGAAATTCGGGTTCGCAACATCGCGGGCAAGGAGTCAGAAGTCGTCACAAAGGCAGCCCTTGCCGACAAGCCAGAGATCATCGTCGCGACACCTGCTAGAGCATGGACAAACATCAACAGCTCCAACCTCGCGGTCAGCGACATCAGGACACTCGTCGTCGATGAGGGTGACCTGATCAATGGTTACGGATTCGCTGAGGACATGGAGAACATCGCACGCGAAATCCCTGTTGGTGTCCAGAAGATCGTCCTCTCCGCTACCCTCTCAACCGATGTCGAGTCGCTCGGCAGCCTGCTCTGCACCGATCCTGTTGTACTCAAGCTTGCAGACCTGGATAAGGATTCACAGAAAGTAAAGCAATACGTACTGAAGGTGGCAGAGGACGAGAAATTCCTCTTAATCTACGCAATGTGAGTTTTGTCGCACGAACAGAACGTGTCACATATACTGACTACCAACCTCTAGGTTCAAGCTCAACTTAATCAAAGGCAAGACAATCATATTCGTCGGCGATGTGGACAGGTCATACCGGGTCAAGCTCTTCTTGGAACAATTTGCGGTCAAAGCCATCGTGCTCAATTCCGAGCTCCCATTGGCTTCTCGCACGCACATTGTTGAGTCATTCAACACGAACATGTACAACATCCTGATTGCGAGCGACGAGACAGACGTTGTGGGCGTACAGGATGAAGGATCGCGGCCGAAGAAGAAGGCGAAGAAGGACAAAGAGAGCAAGGACTCTGGTGTGTCCCGTGGAATCGACTTCCTCAACGTCAGCTGTATCATCAACTTCGACTTTCCTGGAAACTACAAGTCATACTTCCACCGCATAGGACGAACAGCAAGAGCTGGCAAGTCTGGAACTGCCATCTCGTTCATCATCCCCAAGGACAAGTACCGCAAGCACAAGCCGACCACTTTCGCTGGGTGCGAACATGACGAGAAAGTACTGGCAAGTGTAGAGAAGCACCAACAGGAAGGCCAGAAGCTGGAAAACTACAACTTCGATATGAAGCGCCTAGAACCGTTCAGATACAGATTCGCAGATGCGTTGAAGTCGGTGACCAGGATCGCCATCCGCGAGGCCCGAATCAAGGAAATTCACATGGAGCTGGCCAAGTCGCAGAAGCTCTCGCGATACTTCGAAGAGAACCCCGAAGCGCTTGCCCATCTCCGCCATGATCAGACTCTAAACCATCCCGCGAGGATACAACCACATCTCAAGCACGTCCCAGACTATCTGCTGCCAGGTGGAAAGAAGCCTGAGGATGTTGGCTTCGTGGGTCTAAACATACCGAAGGTGAGGAAACAATATAACAAGGGCAAGGGTAGGAGGGTAGTACGAAGGAACGGCAAGGTTGACCCGCTGAAGACATTCAACGCGAGGGGTAAGGGAAAGAAATAGTTAGTCAGAAATTTGGGAGAAATTCGCAAAAGAGATGCCGCACTGGAGTAATTTGTCAACTCGGTCGCCGTTCTCATTTCGTGCTACAACTTGCCAGAATCAGCCTGTCTCTACGAAAACTTGGAGACCGTCAGCTGTCGATGATTGGTTGCTAGGTGATAATACACCTCTCTGCAGCCGGCTTCGACAATCCGCGATTGGTGTAGACATTGAGCACCAATCATGTCATGTATGGACAGCGCCACCATATGCACCCCAAGCTCACCGGTACTTGGCCCGCATAACTGTCAGCATACCCCGACAAGTCTTTCTTCACCCATATTTACATTTACAGGACACTTTGATATTTCAGATAAGCTCATGTGCGGCTTTCGTTGTTTGTGACTAGCGATGAACGACTAGAGTCACAGGAGACTTGTCCATCAGGGCTCCTAAAAGCCAGGCCAGGCTGGCGACAGTAAGTGCCCCGCTATTGAATATGGGAAGGCTCTTCACTTAAAAAGCCCTTAGAACCATCGTGTTATTCTTGCTGTTACCTATGCTGCTCGGACTGCATCATCTCACACATCCTATACACCATGAAAGAGGATGATATTACTATTGCTAGCGAAAAGCCAGTCGCAGGGTCGCTCAGTGTCTTGTCATTGAACGATGATATCCCGATCGATGAAAACGGCGACTACAGAATCGAACAAGACCGCCACTACAAAATCGAGAACGAAAAGTGCCTACCATTCGAGTACAAAAGCGTGCTTGGCAACGGCTGGAGCGCGGTCGTGGAAGAAGTGGAGCATAAGCGAACAAAGGAAAGATTCGCAAAGAAAGTGATTAAGTTCCCTCGAAATAAAGGCAAAGTCAGGGAACAGGCTGAGGAACGATACTATAACGAGGCTGCTATAATTCGTAGCTTGAAAACTCATTCTCATGTCATTCGGTTGTTCGCTACATACACCACACCGCGATCTGGTGCATTGATCTTACAGCCTGCTGCAGACGAAGGCGACCTGCAGGACTATCTTGACAGATACGCCGATCTAGTTGAGCAGCCTGTAGAAAGATCTGCCGATCTGAAGAAGATGACCAAAGTCCTTGAACACGCTTTCGGTTGTTTGTCAAGTGGACTTGCGTACATGCACAGCAAAGGGATACGTCATAAAGATATCAAACCTGGCAATATCTTGATGCATCAAGGCATGGTTGTCTACACCGACTTTGGCGCGTCGAGAGACACCACCAAAGACGGACAATGTACAACAGAAGGCGCACCCGAATCCTTGACTCGAAGGTACTGCGCGCCAGAGGTGCTGGAATTCGACAAAAGAAATTTCACCGCGGATATATTCTCTTTAGGCTGCGTGTTTATTGAGATGATGTTGCGTTTGAGCCACCTGTCAGAACCTGAAGGGCTGGAAGCGGATGGGTATTCCGGTATTATGAACGCCCTCCATATCCTACTTCAATCCGCCCAGATCCCGTCAAAGTTGTCATTTCTCAAGAGAATCGTTACAGTTATGACTGCGAGAGACTCCTTGGGACGTTCCGCTGCTGATGAAGTCTCCAAAACTATTTGCCGTAACAAGCACTTTTCTTGCTCCGACTGCCGCCAAATCCATCCGGACACACATACAACGCAACAATCCCAACCAGAGTGGAGTGAGAGCTACGCAACGTATCTTTACAAGCGATGGGACCAGGAGTATCAGCTTTATTACTGGGTCCACTACGTAGAAGGTATCATTCCTGCAGGCCTGTTATCCTCCGACTTCTTGCTGAAACAGTGTAGGGGAGGGTTGGAGTTTCTTCGATTGGGTTCCAAGAGAGTATGATCGTACAAATCTGACCCCTAGTGCTACAGCTCAACCAGGCTCAGCTTTTGGGAGACATAGAGGCTATGATATACGTGGCAATAACGATCGCGTCCATCCAATGTCGAATAGCCGCTTTGAGCAATTGGATCCATGTAAGTCTGCCTAATGATCTTATCGCATACCAGGCTGATCCTGTGCAGCTTTCTATGTGAGGGACCAAAGCTTCTTCCAGCCTGGAAAAGTATGTCTTCACGACCTTGCTGTTGAGTCAATACTGATGACATCTAGGTTTTCAGTCTTCTTTTCAGTGAAGGGTCATCTGTAATAACACAGTACGATGAATCTGTTTCTCTAATCAGGTACGGAGAGTACGTGTGTAGCCAGATCCGACGCTTTATCGTTGTCTGGAGGAAGAAAGGGTTCGCCTACTGCGTGTATGTTGCAAGATGATAGAATCCAAGCCAAATCGCTAACACCGCATAGCCCTATCTCTACCTATAATGGCCAAGGAACCAGGATGCATGGTGTTGTGCCCAGTGAGCATGCTATAGCGTTCTCGTACGGATCCCAACCCATGCTCATATCCGGCGAAGCAGAACTTGAGAAAGAGCCTGTCTGCATAATCATGAGCCCGGAGCAACAACCTCTCAATATCGATTCTCGGATCTTCTTTGGAATGCAACATCCCATACAATACAACGTGAAAGTAAAGGACCTAGGTTCCGTTCACCCCGACCATCTTACCAGATTTCTAGGCTACTGGGCGATGGAGCATCATATCGGTACTATGCAAGATATGCAGAAATTTGGTCAAGAAGAGACATCGGCAATTATAGTAGATTTGTAAAAGGGTCGAAGCCCTCGGTGAAGAGACCTGCTGCCAAAAGTCCATTGAAACATGGCATTATCTTTCTTCGTCTATTGGCTTCGAACGGAGTGACAGGGGGTTGAACAAAGTCTAGTGAATTCGAAAATTGTTAAGGCCCGGCGTTCCAGTTCGGCTATGTAAAGAACACAGAGTGCGGATAGTTTATATGGCTTCGTCATTCACGAAGTGCTCGAACCAGTGTGGACAGCCTTGCATTGCCTGGTATCGATGTCATCGCATAGTGGTGGTGGGGCTTGTGCAAGTCCGGCCCGCTAGAACGTGCCTGCCCAGGTGCGCTCCCACTGTCGCCTTGCGCTGCGCGTCAGTAACACCACACATGCACAACTTTAAAGATTTACGACCGCTATCAACCATCATCCTGCAGAACTCACCAACGCGACATCAAGCTACTGATGCGATCGGCATCTGACTCCGAATGAAAACACTGTAGCTCAGGTAGCGCATCTCTGCCTGCCAGCGTAGGTTTGCAATCGCGCTCGACGCCCGCAACACATCCGAGGATCATATCCCATCCTCTGTAAAGAGCAGGTGCATCAGTGCCTATGGAGCGCGAGGCACAATCGTGTGTTGCGACATGTGAACCTTCACCACGACGTGACCAAACGTATCGCATACCACATACCTCCCGCCTGCGCCTCGATCGAACACACCCACTCGTGGGAAGACTCTCGGTATACAAGGTCTTGACGCATACTATAATAGAAGGCAATCCCAGCAGCCTGTTCTGCTTTGGCGGCACGATGAGCATGATACTTCGGGTCGCGCAATGACATAAGGGATTGGCCGTGGACGAGACAATGATCTGGCTTTTTCATACAACGTATTTGATTGGAAAGGAAAGAAGCTATGACATCTGTCCGAAATGTAGCGACCGTCTCAGTACTAGCTCTCGGAGCTCGCGACCCTCCAAACGACCTTAAGTTCATAATCTCGTAACATAGACTAAAGAGTCTGACAGCAAACGTATTCGATGAAGCAAAGAGAGTCGTGGGTCGCTGGAAATCTCAGCAGAGTTCGCATGCTGTGTTGCTGGGGGCTAGCTTTGATCAGTCCAGTACTGAACAAGCTTGCCTGTATGACTCGGATGGACCTGACCAATGTCTTTGACCTTCACATTCTTTTCGATAGGGTACGTCTTTCCGAAACGGATGCGAGAGTCGTATCGAAGCGTGATCGAGGCGTCGACAGGTACAACCTCTATAGGTTCCTTGACCATACCACTTTGGTACTCTCCACGAAGATAACAGGATCCGGGATCTGTTCCAGAAAGGTAAACGATGGTGTGTTCCTCTGGCACGCAACCTTCTTTGAGAGTCCCACGACCAGAATAAGTACCAATGCCACTTGGCTAGATCAGCTAGGACCCTTGTATCATACCCGGGTAAATCTCACCAAGCGTATACGAAACCATGCTTGTCCTCGACAACCACGAATCGACGAATGTTAGTATGTACCACTTCATTGAAGCGCACTAGGGTGTATGCGTCATCGTTTGGTTGTGCTTGTGCAGTTCCACCTGCGGCCTCAGAGTACAGCATAGCAAAGACTCTACCGACAACGAAGAAATCACGGGCTTCGGTCCCAGTCCTCATTCGGTAGCCTAAGATCAACAGGGTCAATTAGGAGAATCTGTGTCTCAGGATATGCTTACTCAAGTCCAGTAGATCGTACCATCCGGTTTGCGGCGTGCCTTGGATAGCGCCTCTCAAAGAACGAAATTGCGGCGGAGCTGTAACATACAATCTCAGTAGCACTCATTTGAATTGTTAGGTCACTGCGTCGTACCTGGGTCAGGCATCAGTGCCACGTTTGAGCCATAGTCCTGTTGTGGGCCCGAGTCTTGCCTAGGAAGTGCTGTGGCAGTTTGTTTGGACCAGTGGTAAACTGGGCGGTCTAGTGGAATCAGCGGACGTTCGTTCCCATCAATACTGACCTGAAACGTGGCATTACTCACTGTACTCGTCGTACGTGACACAGTAGTAGTCATTATACTGCGCGCTCCAGATCCAGTTGGTGCTCGACATGTCGCACAGTGGTACTGGGCAGGAGTGCTTGCGTTCAATCACTTTTCACACAATAATGGCTGCCCACCCTGCACAGCTGGTAATACGCACGTTGATTTGGCAGGTATGGGCTGTGCGATGGTCTAGAAGTACCGTCATATTATCGGCGATTGAGCCTGGATTTATGCAAGCAAGAGCTGGAAAGATGTTGCGCGGTGCGGCTCTGCTGTTTTGTCACGACGAGCCGAAGATGGCGCGGTGCATGCCATGAGAAATTGATCGACATCCACACTTACACGCATATGCGCTCCATCTCCTCTTTCTCGCGCATTGAGCATGGGCGCGATGGATATGTGAGTGTTTTTCGGATCGTACCGATTGTTCCCGCATTAGACAGGTTTCGCCGTAATGAAATGCGCTACAAAGCAGCCAGCTTAGTCCAATCATAATGAGGGTGTGCCAGCCCGACACCTAGCAGCCCGGACAGATCAGCCGTGCCACGAAAGACCGGGTGACGACATGCACCTGCGTTCCGATTTGCTTATTCTGCAATAGATTCATCTCAACGCATATATGAGTGGTCGGGTAACTTCAGCTCTTCTCCGTGTTCGGGCCTCCAGATGGCTGACGTCTATCTTGTGTTGCCCCTTATCTAGTACGCAACGCCATATGGTGACCACGTATGCCTACATTCTAATTTCAGTGTCAGAATCCAGCTGATGTCTTCAAAGCCATAAGCTGAGTGTTTCGAGGGATTCTTTGTTGATGAAGAGATACTACCGCCAAAGCAATGCAAGGAGGCATTTCATGTCAAAAGCTATTCTTACAGCAGTTATTGCACATGCAATTTCATGAGTTACTCATCGCAACGCGATGGAAAACCCACGCCAAGTCAAGACTGGTGAACGACCGACTGCGCAACTCGACACGCTGGCTCCTCTGATCCGTCAGTGTTTGGAAGAGATGTCAAACACACAAACCCTACTATCTTCTACTAGGAAAGAACTGCTGATAGAACGCGAAAGAATAAAGACAGCTGGCCGCGAAGTTCGGCAAAAACGAGATGAGGCTGGTAATGCCGAAGTCGGATTTATGAATTGTGTACGAGATTTTGTCAATAGTCATTTGGAACAGCTGCCGACTACTCTCCTCAATGCTTACGAGAAGGTCGAACGAACACGTGATAACCTAGGGGTAGCGGAGGAGAACTATTTGCAAGCCGAAAGAACTCTAGCTGGCGCCGAATGGACATTCATGAATCAGGAAGATCGATTTTACCAATTCGACATCAACAGAATCCTGTTTGAGACACACTCTGAACGCTCTATTCCCCTCTACAGTCAACCATCTGAGGCTACATCCCATCCGCCGATACATCATCTTCCCCCTTGTCCGGTAGGATCGCTGTCTCCAGATCAAGTCTCAAAATTACCGCCTCCGCCACCACCTCCGCTTACTGCGGTTCTTCCGCCAACTCGTTTGTCTCTTTATCCCTGTGCTCCGATGATTCTACCCTCCTCAGCTTCTATCAACGGAAGACATGTCGCAGTGCTAGAAGGGGTAAGCGCCTTGAAGAAAGAACTTGGTCAATTATGGCAAAGGGAGAGCGATGAGTCGGTATGGGCCCAGGGAGATGAAGCGCTGTTTGCTGAAGGAACTGGGATCCTCGACACAGACATGACAGCGTCTAGAAGCGAACACAGTGACATTCTTCTTGATGTTCTCAGGAGAGGAGAAAAGGCAGAACCACTCGATACTGAGGACATGGGTCTGGCCTTAGAGGCTCCAGCTCTGGCTAGAAGATTTTCGGATTCGACATACTCTTCCAGAGCTGTACCAAGACTACCAGTTCCAATGAGGCGAGCCCAAACGGAAAGCGCTGCTCTATTCAATCGCTGTAGTTCCGACATAACGAAGAAGATAGAGGAATGGTCTTTGACGCACCTCAAAGGAAGTGTTATTCAGAAACGTCTATACTTGAACACACTTCAAGACAATGGATTAGAAGGTTCGATTGGAAGTGGGCTAGAAGATTTAGCGACGGAGTTTTGGAGCAAAGATAGTCTCAACCACACCAGAGACAGCAACGAGCTTCACGCGGCTTTCGCCAACGGAACAGAATACGAGACTCAGTCTTTGCGTGATCAAAGCGTCACGCGAAGTATAGCTCCCTCCCTCTTGATGCAACATCGACTAGAAGGCAATCTACAGTCTACCGAACAGATGAAGGCGGAGTTGAGATCTATCAGGCTACAAGAGATGATGGAAAAGAGTGGTCAGGATACTTCGCAAACAGTGCCTCTGTCGTCATCACCGTCACCGTCACTGGATGATCAGACGTCGGACGAACTAGGATGCAACGACAGGAACAAAACACCGGATCCAGCCGTGGGCGTCTTGTGTGATCAGCGAAACTTACTCAAGGATAGCCACTCGTCCGATGTTGTCGTAAACCAGCCAAAATGTACTTGCCTGGCTGAATTCGGCGATGCAGCGCAACGAAAAGATAGTGTCCAAAGCACCCATCACCCCGAATGCGAGATGGCGGCCAAGCATGGTGGTCATATCACGGCATATCGCTCGTCACGAGAGCGAATTGACGTCGAGAGCATTACAAAAGCAACAACGTTAGATGGTCGTTGCAGCCGTACACGTCCAAATCACTCAGTCGACCTAAAGGTACAACATGCTTCGAAATCTGACTACGGATCAAATACACGTACTCAGCCGGACTTCGATATCTATGCGCAGGCATCTTCAGTGCTACCCACAACCATCACCAAAGAGAATGTGCAGTTTACAGCAAGTCCAACCATGGCCCATTCTAAACCAGTCCCTGGAGCTCGTAGGAATTCGATTGCTTGGGTCCGACGCCTTTTCCCTCAATTCAAGTACAAGCGAAGTAAGAGTTCTCCTTCTATTGGGGACTATCATTCAGCTGCTCATGCATGAAGGCAGCCGGTGGCGTAGCAACGTTGTCTGCCTTCGTGGTGAGATGTCATTCGTATCATTTCTCGGACATTTTTCCCGTTCTCCTCGTCGATACATGTCATCTATTATTGTTTCAATATTGTAACATTTAACGAATCACGACGGTAATTTTACGTTTTCGTTCTACAGCCGCACTTTCGGAACGACTTTACCGGGCACGAAATTCGCTTTGGGGTGGTGATTGGTTCATATATATACACTTCAAATCCTTCAATGCATCTGTCGGCCCACCAGTACTGTATACCAGTTGATCCAAGACCTCCTGAAACTTCGGGTCAAGCATGATGATAAGCAGGTAAGAGAGGCGGGTGGACAAACGCTCTACTATTGGCAAGTCTCATGCGGGCTTACACTCAGCCTACGTTGTGACCATTCTGTCGGGTTGAGCTTACTATATCCCACGCGTTCGGTGATCAGCAGGACGTCGGCTTACATTCTTGTGACCTTGGCTGACCAGAGGTCATCATATCGGAGCCCGAGGAATGTACATTCATTGTTCTTTCGGCCCGATAGAATGATGAGTGCCGGTCGTACAGACCCGGCGGGTACACAACAGCCGGTATCGATGATCGCTAGCCGCGCGGTAGGCTGAATATGGAAGGAGTTTGCTAAAGCTCACGAATACTGTATTGATGGGTGTCATGTCTTAACATGGTTCCGTAAGTGACGTCTGGATGGCATTAGCTGCATCATACAAATCGCTGGTACGAGTCTGCATCTCAGTTTGTCACTCGCTCGCTTTCCCACTCCCTGGAAAGAGGCAGAGGAGGATATGACAAAGCGTTGCTCGTTTGTTCTTTCATGCACGACGCTCATTGAGTGTCAACGGCCCGCCGTGACCCCACTCGACCCACTATGGATGCAAGTGGGTGCCTAGCTCCCGTCTCACACGCCGCTCTAACGATTTCCCAGAGGCTAGGATCAAAGCAGTACATGCGCCTTACAAGGCTGGAGATGCAGTCCGCCCCACTCATGCCATGAACCTGTCGATATCATAGACCTGAAGGCCAGATACAACCCAGCAACAGAGAACGGGCGCGTGACCCACCCATGTCCTGCAGCCTACGTAAGTCGATGACTGCCCGCCACGCTGTCGTTCTACCAATTGTCGCGCTATTACCCCGCTCAACGTGGACAACAATGTGCCTTCATGCCTTGTTTTTCGGTTTGACGATGCAGCTTCTCGAAATAACAAACCACAGACAAGTCTTAGGACAAGGTGCTTGCTTATTCTCATGCCTCTGATACTACAGCGTGGGCGGACGATACGTTTCGTGACAAACGACCGAGGAAGTGAGGCAGGTTTCCAGCGATACGATCAAGGTGATACATGTGCCCTTCCGTCCGGTTATTGGATGTCATTTGGTGGCGATAAGTCCGTCTGGACCTACCAATGAGCTGTGCGCCGTCTTCCACATCGGTGAGCGAATGCGGCACGGCTGAAGGAACGGCTGAATAAATCCCGAAGCCTAATTGCCAATCGTAAAGTGACCAACATCAAGAATTTGGTAGCTAACAGTTGGATAAAACCCACGAAAAATATGGACATTGGAATGTGATGAGGGTAAATGGGTGAATTCCAAATCGAGAAAATGGTCTGAGCACGGCCGAAAGGCATGCGGCTCTGCTACTGATCATCAATTGGTGGACGAATATGGCCGGAGTGTATGCGCGCCGTGCATTTATGACTCATGGATAGATGTACTTGCAGGAGGCTTGCAGGATACATGCATATCGCTAAGGTAACGCGCATTGATGCGCTTGATATCGTCTACAAGCATTCTGTTGTGACTGAAGCGATATATAGGAAGACTCACGCTTCCTTAGCAGGAGTATCACGGATTTAATCCAATGATATGGATTCAGTGATGGGAAGCTATTTGACATCAACAAATGCGTCTGACACACTATCAGTAGTATGGGGCGAGGTTATCCAGCACATCGTTATGAGCAAATGCAGGTCCATACATATCCTGAAACTCTCAAATCATCGCTGAACTTCAGTTCCTTCGACAGTTGCGAGATCAATCTATCGTGAATCATGACGCTGCAGGCTGGGCCTCGGTCGACGTTCAACGGTGTTCAATCGTGATCGTCATATAGCGCCGTCAATAATTCGTGGGGTTTTGGCTTGTAAAATGTCTCTCGAAGTTGAGATGACGGCTTTGGTAGTATGTCCGGAGTAGAGAATGTGGAAGACTGAGGCGCCCACCACGAGTGATCATATGCACACCCTGGAGGACACGCGCCATGATACCTGACACGCTGAGGGTTGTCCTTGTTCTCTTCAAACTCGATTGAGCCTTGATAGTATGAGTGGTTGTGGCCAAGACTATCATGCGGCCATTCCTCGAGTACCGATGTCGCCCAGTGCCGCGTTACGGACAGCTCTTCGACCTTGGTGACATATCTTCGTAGGGTGTAGATTTCGTGAGGTGAAACACGAAGTTGGTGAAGCATCCAACGGTTCACTCGATCGGGAGTGCTTTCGAAGTTCATAAGATAGTCGCCGAGGATAGCTCGAGTTTCCTCACCCTCGTCAAGTAGTAACAAAGGGTTCCCTTCCTCCAGACCCGGGTTGACTGGAAGGTCATCTACCAGATCCGATATAGTATCGGATGTTTCGAGTTGGATACTTTGGGCAAACGGAACGGTATCAGCAGACCAATCTTCAAATATTGTCTTCATGCCAACAGCATCTGTTGCACCAATAGCCCAGATCCCAATCAAGCTAAGTGCTCCAGTCCAGTCACTAGGCTTAACACCTTTATCTGGAAAACTGGCACTACGAGACTTTGCACGATCGACTGACTCCAACGACGCGGTTCTGTTATGGGAAGCCGGAGACTTCTGGGAATTATGAGGGCTCAACATGCCTTTAGACTCCTCCGTGTGTCTGGGCAGTTCGCCGATGCCAACATTCTCATCGATCAAGGTGCCGTGGAGTCGGTCAGTGCCATAGAGACGAGCATTATCCTCAGGAACAGAAGCTACAGAAGACGACTCGTATTCGATCTCGGGTGGTTCTTGCTCCTCTACTTTGGTGATCGAGGCTACATCGAGCCTAAAAAACCTATCGAAGCGCTCTTCAATCTTTGAATACTGTTCTACGAGCTTGTGTTCCTCTGCACCGAGTAATATCTCGAGTGGCTCGTAATCTGACTCAACAGGTCCAACATGATCTCTTGCCGCTTGTGCTGCCTCGAAGAGGACAAGTACAGCGCGCTCATCGGCCGTAGCATCATTGCTCATCTGCTTGCGTAAACAGTCGAAGAGTAGCATATCACATTGTGAAACATGCTCTCGTAATCTATTGAGTTCTTTTCGTCTTTCTTGAACCGCAAGACGCATCGCAATGACATCTCCTTGTTGTGCAACAAAGTCAGATAACTCATCGATAAAGTCTGTGTAGAGCCGTGAGGCAGCTGCATTAAGGTACTCATCCGCTTCGATACTTTTGTTGAACAAGGTGGGAGGCCGTGGAGCTCGCCTCGGAGGTGGCGGAGGTGGCGGAGGTGGCGGAGGTGGCGGAGGTGGCGGAGGTGGAGGTGGTGGTGGAGGGGGTGCGGGCAATGATGAAAGAGAAGAATCTAACTGAAGATTATTAGATTGATGTTTGCTTTCATCATATATGTCGTATGCCATATGAGGCACGAGCGGTCGTGGCACACGCGCTGTCGGCTCTTGCAGATCCGCTTCTCTTATAGGACCAAGTTCTTCAGGAAAGCGCACTTTTTTGATGATCCCTCGTTTGGCTGCACATAATGCGCATGGAGTTGATGAAACTGGGATTGGGTTATTTGATGCGACGTCGCTCTTCCGTTCCACTTGTCTAGCTACAGATACATTGACTATCGCTTCATGAATAGGGTTAGGTCCGTCGGAGTCCATGGAACTTCTTAGTTCGTTAGACTGACTAGAATGACCCTTCGAGAGTCAGCCTCCGATTTTCGTTGTGAGAGATCTATGGTATACCACGGATTTGACTCTGAGATCGGAGCGGTCCGACATTGTGGTTGTACAGCTAATGCGCCTTTCGTACATCAACTGATCGCAGCGACATTCAGCAGTACCTTCGGATCTGGAGCTGTAGTTTGACCAAAACTTTTCGTTGATTATCTCCCAAGGAGAGCAGAGGAAGTATTGTAGTACATTGATAGAACTGATGTGATGTTATGGCGCGACCAAGCGAGGCCCGTGCCAGCCCAGAAACGACCATGCAGCCAAACTTTAGTTTCCCCACCTAGCCCACCATCGTTGTCTTGTGCAGGTGGGCTAGGCAGCGCTCTCAGGTGCTTTCAAAGCTAATTGGATATGCTTTATGTTCGGATGGACATGATCACATGTCTGCACCCACTGCAGGATAACCATACCGAGGTTGGCATAGCCTGCTTCGGCGAAGAGCCTCTGCCTCGATCTGCCATGCCCCGCTTTACACATCACAAGCTCTTAAACTACTACGACCCTCCTGGGTTGCGCTCTGGTCAACAAGCCGCCAACATGTAGTCATGTCCAGCTATTATGGGCCTTGGATATGGTCACCAGAACATGGAAGTCATTATGCTTATCTTTATGCCGCTGATGGTCGCATATTAGACACCTTATGGGAAGGACCACTTGCGAATTCTAGAACTACCGAATCAACAACAGTTACGCAGGTCGCTACGCCGGTCGAGAGGTACATATCATATAACCTCATCTTTAGAGCCGAGGATGTTTCCTAATAGAGCAATAGTATACCGCGTAACATACCCCCGACGTCCGTGTCATCTTATCAATACCCAGACCCTAACTCTCCTCAAAGACACTATGTAGCTACATCACAACCACCGACTGGTTATGGTTTCTCTCGAGTAAACTATGCAGACAGACCGTCGTCAGCCTCGTACAATCTTCCCCCTGTTCACGGGTCAGCATCGTCCAGGGCGTCGCACAATATAGCCACTGAACGTGATTACAATTCAGCAGGAGTAGGGTCACACGGTCACCAAAGATATCAAACAGGCTTTGGAAGCGGACAACAAGGACAGGCAAATCACACCGTCTCGGGATCAAATCAAAACACATCTTTATACAGTCCGTCAGGCACTCATTCCATTGTATCGGCGCACGCTTCAATGACAACTGCATCAGGATCGCCATACCCATACCAGCATCCGCAAATTCAGAATGGCTTCCCTTTCATTCCATCATCACGACAACCGCAGCAAGCATCATCCAACATGGCAACAGGGCAGCCATCGCAATATCCTGGACCTCGCCGACCAGTAACATCTCTTCCATACGACGTACAATCTACTATACGAAGTCTTGACCGAAGATACATTCAGACAGATCCAAATGCAGAAACAAATCAGGAGACGCTGGATCCACGTAAGCATCGTAATACAGCCACGATGGATGCCAGCTGACGATCTCAGGCTATCGTCGTGTAGCCAAGCATCACCATGCTACTTTCTTTGTTCTTGGTCGAGTATGATGACCACTCTCTTTATTTACAAAGATAGCTGACTAGATAACTAGGTTTTTAAGATGCTCTGGACAGAACCTGTAGGTCAAGCCAATCCCGGCAAGACCCGAAACTCTACACACTTCAGTACTGTTCTCTACGGCCAAACGGCTTTCAGTGAGATACGTCGATTTGTTGTCGTACGGAACAAAGGCGACTTCAGCCAATGCATGTAGGCAAATTCAACAACCGACTCTTTACATTTACCGTGCTTACCTACTTCGCAGCCCGATCCAAACTTACAAAGGTCAAGGTGCCACTAAGCAAGGCCTAATCGTGGATGACCATGGGGTTATACACACAACAGCTTCAGCACCCGACCTACTCCCCGGGGAGAAACTCACAAAGTACTCGGTACAAGTTCAACCCTACAAGGACGAAAGGCTGGAGCCAGAGAGCCGTGTCAACTATGGCAAAGCATATGCCGTGGAACACAACGTCAAGGTACTCGAGGTAGGAATGGTACTAGAAGGTCACCGGTACCTGATCCAGCAATATTTCGATAGCGCGATGAGGAGTCAGTAGTAACAGTGTGGACGCTGTTCGCATACGTAGATCACCGTGATTTCTTCTTCCCCATTTGGTCATTGGTCAGGAAGTACTGCAACATACGCAGGCTTCTACGATTGCTTCTCGATTGCCGCTACTGATTTTTTCCAGCACTTTCCTTATCGTTTCCAGTGAGATTGCTACGCAACGCGCGACTACACCTGTCGTGCTACCAAGCGTTGCTCATTCACAACTGTCTCAATCAGTTTCTTTCTAGTATATCAAATCACGACATATTTCATTGAACCCAAGACAGCGCGACGTTCTTCAATCTTTGAACCTTTATTGTAGCTTGAACTTTATTCATACATGCTTGACCTGCGTTACTGTGTCTTTATCATTATTCTCAACCTTGCATGGATACGCACAGCTTTTTCGGCCACTATCGTATATTCGAACCATTCAAGATACCCGACTGAAGTTCTAGCGACCAGAAAACATCATGGTTCGAGCACGCAGGCCTGCCACGTGCAGCGACTGACTTCCCCGCGCCTCGACACGGTGTGTTTACTTGGCGTAAGCATACTCATGAGACCGATAGGATAGGGTGCTTTGTACTTGCGCTAATGCACACGTGCTGTTCATGTGGGCCGCTCACGGAGGACCCAACACCACGGAACGAGAGCTAATGTATGGCCATGATTAATCAGCGAGAAACGAGACGCATGTGCGAAAATCGTGGTCTTTGATTAACGATTTACGCACGAGCAAGAAGCCATGAAGTGCACATGTATGTTCCACGATATTGTAGTCGACGATAATACAGAAAAGATATTTAATGACCATAGGTAAGTACTTAGAACCAATATACTAACTTTAAGTATCTTTTGCTTTCCTGCTACAGGCTTCTGTAGACTGCAGAGTAGAGGTTCTTGTCTAGGTCCAGAAGCAACCTATAACAAGCAGCGCACCTGTCAACGTGCATAGCTGAACTCGTACGATGTCACGCCAGTGAGACTTATGACATGAATGTGCCCTTGAGGTACTTGCTGTGGCTGACGCTTACATGCTAGTAAAATGAACGGCTACGAATCCCCTTAGAATGCAACCTAGTAGGTGTGAGCTCAATGCTGCCGAGAGCCTGTACACTTCAGGCTGGTTTGCGTAGGTTTAAGCACATCCTCGCAAGCCATGCCCGCTTGTTCTTTATTCGCCACAAGTCTGGGTTCTAGGGCTTCCACATCGTGTTGATCGATAGCAGATGATTGGATACTATGTATTCGTTATCTTATTGCTTTAGTCTTGGGTATGCATAGTAAGGAGCCTGTATTGGAACTAACGCGGCGGCAAGCGCGGTGAAGGTATTGTGAAGTCCGTGGGTGCGGCTGGAAATGTTTGGAAATGCCTGAAAACAGGCAATCAGCATTCGGAGAAGCCACAGACATGGGAGATCGCGATGCGCAGGTAACGGACATGATCTCATAGGTCCAACCACAACAGCTAGGCATACCCTGACATGCACATTTCCGGCATGACGAATACTTCTTACCCATAATCATACGACTTCGTCATCGTTACCTTTCGGCCCCCACAGGTCGTGATTTCTAGAGAGTGCATAGTGCTATCACGTTGGCACTCGGATAATCATGTAACGGGGCTGCATGCATCCGCCGGGTACAAGCGCGGGACGTTCGTTCCGCACTGGGTCTCGGCTGGTCCCCCCTACTAAGATGCGGCCCGCCATCGCAGGTTCACCGGAATTCTTGAGCAATGAAGGACCTCTACATAACGAGAATAGCTAGATAAGATCGCATTTCGCTACTGAGCTAGAGGCAACTCTATTTCAACGTCGCAACTGTGTTGAGAGGTAAAGATTCCATTTGTTTTGATGGCAGGATGATGGAGCTGAAATGCAGACTAGGCATGTGAAAGTCTCAAGTGGCCGGCTCCGCTGTCACCAGCCTCCGTGCAGCTAATTGGGTTTATTTATTCTCGGCTCACAATCTCGTCGCCCTGTCAGGTCCTCGCCCGATTGCCTTCTTGCGTAAGATCACCGGTACCTGCAAAACCTGGCTAGCGTTTCATCTCTAGAATCTGAGTTCGAATGGCACGAAACAGTCCACTGCACCGAGTGTGCTATCTTCCAAAGACATGGATTGTGTGGCTACTGAAGTTAATCGCTGAGGCTAAAGCTTGCGAGTGCGGGGTACGACCGCGATCCTCGAGCAGCCGATAAGATATTGTATGCTGCAGACTGCAGGTCATCTCCGCATACACATAACTCTGTCAAAGCGGCGCTGTGTTTCCTCTGATGGTGACGCATAGCAGACGCCCATGTGTCGCAACTATACGTCAGGACTGCGGCATGCCTAGGCAGCCCGGCTGAGCGCATTTGAAGGCTGCCTGCTAGACCCGTGCCTGCAATCGATCGGCTATGGTTGCGATTGCGGCTCTTAATCCAGAGATGACTCCGCTGGAGACTCACTCTTAGAATGGGATCCATATGTTGAATGACAGCTTGGTCATACGCATCTTCAGTGCAGCTACTCGTTCATTGGCCCTGCGCCTTCCAAGCGAGAGTTGAAACGTGAGTGGACGCAGAGAGAGTGAAGGATGCTAGGTCCTCAAACAGGTGAATCAGATCTGAGCGCACCTGGGTTCAGATACAATGGCTCGATAAACGTGTAGATGTAAAGAGGATATGCGGGACATTTTATGTTGCGAAGGTCATGGGTATTCTACGACTCTTGGAAAGAGTCCTAATTGTCCAAACATGTCCTATGAATCGCTTAGCTGTACGGTCGCTCTCTGCCGATGTCTGTCAAGTTTAGTAGTCGACGTACCAGGATTTAGCGGGAAGAATCCCCTCAATGAAGACTGGATCCAGTATAACTGTTTACAAGTACAAACTAGAAATGGAATGAACGCCGAGAGAGATACAAGAGGGATTGAAAATATGCAGACCCAACTCCAAAGCACACGAAAAGAGAACCTCTATCAAGCGGGAATGTGATGATACTCCGTGACAAAAAAATCTGTACTGGAAATCCATGTCGAAAATGATAGACCTAGTGGCCTCAAGTCATCGCAGCGCGCCACATCAGAGTCCCCCTGTAAGTTATATATAGTATCGTATGGTGAGCATAAACGGCTCGAACAGACTTAGAAAAGCATAATGAACATAAGAAACAGGAAGAAAGCAAGCAACACACTTCAACACTAAGTAGACTACATGACAAGACATGACTTTGGATTGTCCGTCTGTGCTGGCTTGAGATCTTGAGTGGCGGACGACGAAGATTGTTCTGATTCTGAGCGTTGGCGAGGCGTACTACCAGTACGACTAGGCAGTTCACCATCGTTGTTTTGGCTTCCGGGATCCATAATTGGCCACGAAAGGTCCTTTTCCGAAAGGGTAGTGTTGTTAGGGTTGGTTGGTAGTGTTGCAGCTTCCCCAACCTCTGCTTTCTTGAATTCAGGCAAAGGATATCGCTTCTGTAAACGATTACGTTTCCGCGGTCTCTGGGATCCGCTTATCTGGCGGAAAGCTGTTCCGTCTGTGGCAATGCTTCTATGTGATATACGGCGTTTTGGCGATTGAGGTATGATTGCTGAGCCCGTGGGTTCTTTCCTCGAGTCGGAGGGCCACTTTTGAGGCATTTGCGCTTGGTTGTTCATCTCTTGGTAATCACTTGACCCTATGGTGCTTGGCAAAGTAGCAGGATCAGGTACGTCTGATGCCTGGATACCGAGTAGCATGTGGTTTGTACTGCAAAGGTCGACGATAGATGACACTGAGCTCAATCCTTCCTTTGTAGTTTCGGAAACGTCCCCGCCCATGGTATGATTGAATACCGTAGAATCGCCAGTGTGGAAGTACGTAGAATAGTCTTGAACCAAAAGCCATTTAGTGTGCGCCCACCATGTTTTTGTGTCTGTAAAACCAAAGTCCTGCATTGCTTTCAGACGCAGTTTTTGTAACGGCGATTTGTCCACGATATCAAACAACCATTCGTGAATCTTGCTCATCTTCTCCACCCAGCGCAGATGATCATGTGTCAGACGAATGTCATTCGCGCTCTTCGTTTCAACTAAAGCTAAATCGCTCAGATTGCTCCGAGGCGAGCGAGGTCGTGAGGATCTTATACTCGCACTACGTGGGACCACTAAGCCTTGCTCTGCTAGAAACGCGGATAGCTCCTCCATGGATCCGATGCCTGTCTGGTCACTAGAAGCTGGAAGGACTGAAGCTATGGAGTTGTCGTCATTAGGGCGTTCCATGAAACGGGTTAATTGCAGAATTTCCAAATTTTCTGCACTCTGACTTCTGTCGAGCGTTTCACTTGGTACGAGTTTGTTATTCAAAACCTCTTCAACGAACCTTGTTTCTCTGCGAGAGTATCTCCACTCTAGTGTGTTGAATCTGGCTTCGGCTTCGTCGTAATCAACTTCCAAGAGGCCAAGTCGGTCTCGTAATGAAGACGCGTCAGCAAGAGCACGTGAAATGTTAGGTGGCACATCGGCACCTATCTCATTGAGATATTGCCGTAACAGGTTGAAGGCATGGCCGTCCTTCGCACCCGTATCTATGTGAAGATCACGTAGCTCTTTCCGTTTCGCAGCCAAGGTAAACCGTGCGCCCACCAAATTGTCACAAAGATCCCGCAACGATTGCTGCTCGTTGTCCAGCTTATCCAGTGATGCATCCCGCGGTACAATTGGCGCCAAACTGGAATGAAGTCCATTCGGGAGGTCCATTGGAGGTGGAGGAGGCGGAGGAGCATTCATTTCGGCGATTGATATCGGCGGTGGTGGCGGAGGAGGATATATCATTACAGGTGGTATCTTCGAACGAGGCTGAGCTGCATCGTTCTGGCTAGCACTGCCATTGCTGTAGAACTCCACAGTCCGAGCATTGGGAGAGTTTGGAGCATGACTACCAAGCTGGTCCTTATCTGGTAACACCACCGCACGCGTTCGATGTACAGAATCCGGCAAATCTGTAAACTCATTTGAATTCCTGGCCTTCGCATTCTCATTGACTGATGCTATGCTCGTTAGAACGATCTCTGACATCATAGTCGACTACAACATGCGTCAAAAACAAGCAGCTCGAACTTACCAGTGGGTTGCGATACGCACTGCATTCCTGGGAAGACATCAGATGTCGGTATGTTCGGGTGCGGCTCTAGCCTGAGTAAGAGGCAGACCGTAGAAAGTGGCCGAAGCCAACGTATTATCCATTTGTAATCTTGCCCGTCGCCCTGGTACCCACGCTGATCCGCAAGGGGGTGAGCACTGACCAGATGGCCCGGATTGGCGGGCGCAGAAGTGTGGCACAATGGTGGTGTCTCATGCACCCGATTGTGTAAAGCGGCGTCCCGCAGGGTGTTGGTACCAAAGCGCACTAGTTCGCCTGCGAGTCGTCCTTGGTACGGGCACCTGGCCTTCGCCAGCCTGTCGTAGCCTGGCCCACGCGCCAACGCATCCTGCACTTTCACTCTATCGCCATCTGTAGGAGGGTCGCGTCGGGGTCATGTCTGTTACGATAGACGACTTTGCGTCGTCGCATATGACTAGTATGCGGCTCTGCGCGATCTGTCATTTGACCACGTACATAAATACCTGCAGCGCAGCGTTGTACCGCCTGAGCTGTCGCGCACGGATTATGTAGCACCGCTTCAGGTATGGATCCATCACAACAACCTGTATGGGACGAGCATTACCAGAGACATTTGTATACTGTTTGGGATGCGCAACACAGACGCTATTACCGAAAACACTATGTTGAAGGTTTGTAACTAATTCCTACTTTGTAAACCGGCTAATCAGAAATAGGCGAAGGCTGGGTATTCTTCGACTGGCTCCCTCAGCATATACGCACCGACTCTGTGCTAACGGTGACACCGTCTGGAGCTGGGCCTGCCGGTTACGGAGTCAACAATTATGACGGCCGAGGTGCAACTATTCAGGGCAGCTACAATCCACACAATCCGGCACCCAGCAGCCACTATGAGTCGCTTGATCCTTGTTAGCATTCATACATTACCTCGTCAACATCATCCTGACTTGCTTTAGCTTTCTTCGTCAGAGGTAGTAGTTTTTTTGAAGAAGGAAAGGTAGGTGGCAAGCGCCTCAGTGAGGTATAGATTACTTACAGTCACACAGGTCTTTTCTGTCCTCTTCACTGAGACGGCGGGTGCCAATGCCGTTAACGGGCTGAACCCCACCGACTATAATACAAATCTTTCGAGAGTCAAATACAACGAATACGCACACACCCAGGTCCGAAGGTTCATCGTCGTTAAACAGAAACGCGAATTCTGCTTTGCTGTGTATGCAAAAGCTCACCTAGTCTAATGTCTCGGCATTGCTAACATCTGATAGTCCGATCTTCTCTTACAACAATAAGGCTACCACCAAAAGTGGGGTAGTTCCTAGTGAGCATGCCATCGCCTATTCTGTGGGAACGCAGCCGCAGCTTGTATATGGGGAAGCACCGCTCGTGAAAGCTTCCATTCCTATCGTTATGGAAGAAGGCGCCACGCCACTAGTTGCAGCGTCGAGAATCTACTTCGCCATTCATCACCCGATCCAGTACAATGTGAAAGTCAAAAGCCTGGGCTACGTACATCCTGATTGGCTACCTACCTTCCTTGGATACTGGAACCAGGAAAATACAGATTCAAGACAAGACTTGGATGTGACTCATAATGCAGATAACACCGATAGTGGTTGATGCATCGCGCCTGGAGGATACATTTCTTCTCACGACTTACGACTATACGTTTCGGTTTCACGTCCTCCTATGAATCAAGCTTGCTAAGCGTTTCTTATTATTCTTGACCAGTTTTTTCTTTACGATATCTACAGTGTTGTTGCTGGATGCGCTGCTTTAAAATCACGTTTTCTCGATGTTAGTTACTCGCAAATACGATTCATTATAACAACTGCAGTGCCTCTATCCCCAACCCATCAGCGATTGATGTCTTGTACATTCGATCTGCCATCGCGACCAGATCCACTCTATACGTTACAGCCATTTGAGCACTGCATATCATGTCCGTCTGACGGTAACTTGGTTCAAAACTTGAGGTGCGATGCGACGTTGTAACTGTGTATCACTTTCTACCCCAATGACACATGTGACATTTGGCCCTCTTTCTAACTGGGTACTGGATGATATGCTTTGTATACTTGCAAAGCTCCCTCGATGCTTTGTACAAGGCCGAAGAAAACCGTGAGACCAAGGACTGTAACAGCGATCCAGAAGGTGTACCATTGAGGCCGGTTTCTTCGATCGTACCAGAATTGAGAGAGGGAGGTTGGTTTAGGCTGATCGAATCTTTCCTTCAAGCTCATCAACTCATCGCGCCAGTACTCGAAGTTTATAGCACGGCGATCAGTCGACATCATCATGTTTCGATTCAGCAGCGAAATGTCCGGAGTCAAGGTGTCATCGTCTCGCGATTGTTGAGATTTCAACCATCTTTGGGTATCTGTGTCTTGTCGTGGGAACAATAAATCCAACGTTCGAAGCGTTTCGCCAACGAGATTCTTTGGAAAGATTTCACTATACCAGTTAGTACCTGGGAACAGCAGGATAATTGAAGACTGACCTCGTTTGATGCTGGAGGAAAGTCGCATGATGGAAAATGCAAAGCCTTCGGTCGTTATCGACGAGTCGCAAATGATCGGTGAGATTGTTGCTCCATTGAATTTTCACCCCAGTGAAGCGCTGCAAATTAAATGCAGTGAACTCTTCCTCAAACACAAGATTCCCAGTCTGTCTTGAACTTATGACGAAGTGATTCTTAAGTACCGTCTTCAGATCGTCATGCTCGTCATCCCAAGGCAGAAAACTAGGACCCCATATCCAATACTGTGACGGGGCTCCGACGTCGATCATCAAAAACAAGCGCGCCACAAGTCGAACGGACCCTTCTGCCATCCGGCTTTTAGCTTCTTCACTTCTTTGCTGCGTATCGAGTACCACTAACGATCTCTTGATCACTTCTTTCGTAGCTCCTGCTTCGATATGTCGGACGATATCTATGATATCTTGGTGCGCCCGAACGGTCACATGCTCACCGCAAGCGGATCCAATCGCTTTCCTGCATTCCGTTGTATAGTGTCGAAAGTACGCATCCCACGGGCATCTCTCTCCGTCATCTTCCACTTCTAGTAGTGTCGTGGTATCGCATGGCCAGAAGGCCTCGAGAATCTTACGCTTACAAGGAATCTGCAGAGTTCCTTCATTGGCCTTTCCAGATAGGGACATATTTGCAGTCGTGACTGAGATTCAAGATGCATTAGATATTGAGAATCTACCATGATGTATACTTTATGCCTTCAATCTTATAGCGGAAACTTTCTACGTTCTAAGCAAAGTTTATATACTATCGTGACGTCCCTGGGGCTGAGCACTCACCGGATGATGCGTTGTTCGTGGGGGCGGCTTACTTAACGAACTGCAATGCGGGGTCAGTTGATGGCACAGCCCACTCGCAATCTCTGAACTTCACCATCTATTGAAGGTAAGGAGACATGATCTAATGATGCGTTCCTATCACACCAGACGTGATAAACAAGACCTTGTTTGCATACCACCTGTTTCCCGATAAAAATGCTACTTGCTAGTCACGGCCAAAACGAGGAACCAACTCACGCAGGCTATTCTGTTACCATGGAACAATGCTCACCTATAGCAGCGAAAACAGAGACAAGTCTCGCTCAATTGAGCACCAAGCTGCGTCAGCGAACGCGAGTAGATTATCAGAGTTCAGTTGATGTCGACAATCCGGTCCCAATCGATCACATAGCGAATCCCAGATGGAAACATGGCCAACTATGCTGGGAGGCGCGAGGAAGATGTGCCGAAGATTACAAGAGCAAAGAAACAAAACTTCTGAAGGAACTGAATCAGTCACGACGGGAATCCTTCAGCGAAGTAGCGATATCACTCTTTATGATCGGAAAGACGCCGCAGAAAGCGAAGCCCATGATCATCATTTCAAGCGAGGACAAGCGATCACGCGAAGAGGCCAAACGCGCCATCGAAAGAAGCGGCATTCTGGAGGATTTAAACTACAAGATAGGATTTCTGAAGTACCTTCCATCGGGTCCCATACACTCTGTTGCAGGATCACCTAGCGAGGTGTCTGGTGTCTATACAGCAGACCCTTCCTCTTGTAGCCCCGAAGCATCGGATTCGAACTCCAGAGAAGACGCAACATCTAGTTCATCGAACCAACCAGGTTTTGCTGTCTCTTCATTAGCCTACTACAACCCAGAACAGCGGCTGCGAACCACAGCAATGCCGATCTATGTCAAGACCGCTGCAGACCGATCAAGAACGGCGACCGCAAACATGGTATACAATGGAACAGTTTACAAATACATTACTGTATCCCATGTTTTTAGTCCATGGGGTGCCTCATCGATCGATAGTGGAGAGGACGATCTTGGTATACCGTTTGATAGCGACAGTGAAGATGAAGATCACTGCAACAGTGAGACTTCACAGGCCAGAGGCACAATATCAGCCTCATTAAGAGTTCCTACATCTCGAGATTCGGATATCGATAGCGCGAAATCACATAGATCAAAGATCTCGACCATGCACAACGATTCTCCTGATACCGCTAAAGACCCCCCCTCTGAGCTACTCAGACTTGGAGAATTGTCTGCTGATGATGACTTTGACAAGTCTGCCGATTACGCTATCATCACTATCAACGACTTCAAGCTCCAAAAGCAGCTTGCAAATCTCGCCCTATCCAATCCGAATAGGATCACCCAGATGCGTGCAGCCGAACCCAAGTCTTCTCAGGTCACGGCATGGACGAGACGTGGTGCTATCTCCGGTACGCTCGGAAATGTGCCCAGAGTTATGCGATTTTCAGGTAGCAAGCGCTTTCAACAGATCTACGAGTTCGCTTACAAAGGCGTGATTGAAAATGGGGACAGCGGATCGCTGGTTATCGGTGAGAGTGGCAAGGAATTGTATGGCATGATTGTTGCAGCTTCTAGCAGTCAAACTATCGCCTATGTGATGGCAGCGAAAGAACTTATTCCTAGTATCGACAACACTGGGAGATGGAGATTCATGAGCCCTAGCGACGATCGGACTGAAATAGATCAAAGTCGTGAGACGAAAAGTTCTAACTATTCTCAGACAGCGGACGACCAAAGGTCCGCGTGGACCACTCATGCCGAGCCAACATGGGACCATCGGTATCAGAGGTATTTTCATACAGTATGGGACGCACTATATAAGATGTATTATAGGACGCATTATGTAGAAGGTCAGTACTCGCTTCCACTAGCAGATACGTCAGCTCATCCGCATCTAGGGCAAGGATGGGTGTTTTTCGATTGGCTTCAAGTAGGCTTGGATAACCGACCACGTATGGAATTGGAAGTTATCGGAGCACGTATGGACTCGGTCTATCACAGCAATCAGATAGCAGGAGCAGCCAGCGTGATGAGTACAGAGGGAGCCCCCGTTCGAGGCTCTTACGACACGAACAACCCGGTGCCTTACGAACCGCTGGACCAAAGTAAACATTGCACTATCAGCATCGAAAGGCAAAACTGACATCGACAGGCTTCAAAGTCAGGCACAGAGATTACTTTGGAGAAGGAAGGGTGAATGCATTCGAACTCAGCCATTATTCTTGCACTGACCATCACTCCAGATGTTCGCTATCCTTTTCACCGATGCTGATGCGCATGCTCCAAATTATGTGACGAACTACAACAGCGATTTGTCCCATCTATCCCAGTCCGCTCGAGCAAAATACGGCGAACTAGCACACGCTCAAGTGCGACGGTTCATCGTCGTCAAATGCAGAAGAGAGTTTTGTTACGCCGTGTAAGCGTCGCCGTTGATCCCGCTTCTACGCAAACTGACGTTCATAGACCAGTTTTTACCTACAACAATCGCGCCACCACAAAGCCAGGCGTCAGACCCGACGAACATGCAATTGCTTACTCGTACGGCTGCAGCCCACAATTAGTCGCAGGCGAACAGGAGCTTCAAAAGGGGCCTATCGCGATCGTCATGAACGCGGATGAGAGGCCATTGTCAACAGCATCTAGAATTTACTTTGGCATCCATCACCCTATACAGTACAACGTCAAGGTTAAGGACCTAGGATACGTACACTCTGACTGGATGGCCACCTTTTCCGGATACTGGAAAATGGAGCATATGGATGCCCCCGAACAAGGTCTTGAGGTGACATATGATCCGACCAATCATGATACCAACTAAGACATGATGCGCAATAGAAACAGCAATCCAGAATGAATACTCGGAATCTTCTTTCACTTTGCAACCGTATATCCCATTTTCATTATTGTGTTTGCATAGATGCTACCAAGTCTATCAAAAAAAAACTCAAGTTCCTCCGTGCTGCAGACCACGACTGGGCTGATGACGATTAGGTATAAACCTCTCATTCGTACGCCATATCAAGTCCATCGAATAAGCAAACAGCCTGTCTTCAAATAGGGTCCCAGAAGGATTGTAACCATCATGCCCAGCTTGGACCTCCAGGGCGCGCTGCGCCTCTGGTAAGCTATGAACCCAGTCAGCAAACAGCGTGAATTCACCGACACGGCTCCGCACAGTTCGTTTGTTGTTGATCATATCCACCACAGGATCATACCAAGCGTTATGAACGCCCAAATCATTCACCTGAAAATACTTCTTGTTGAACAACCGTAGGGTATAAGCGTCCGACTGAAGTTTACTAATGTACTGTTTGAACGTCCCAAACTCCGCTATCAGAGCATCGGTCGGAGGAGCCAAGTCATGCCAGAACGCAACCATGAGCTCGCCCGCCGTAGCAGCCGATGGAACGTGCTGCACTTTTATGCGAAGTTTCATGAGACGTGTTTCCATGTCCTTGAGAGGAGCAAAGATATCTTCGTAGCTGTCAATAAGAAAAGCTTTTTCGAGGTTGGCGTAAAGAATTGCCCACTCGGTGTTCCGTTCGCATGCAAGGCGACATGCGCGTTCGGTTTTGTGGAAAACGATACCTGCCTCTCTATACCGGTCTTCAAGATTGTTGCAACACCGTAAGAGATGATCGATACGGTCCAAAATCTCCCGGATGCGGATGCGAAAGGTTATTGAGCATGACTCCTCTGAACCCGGATCTATAGTCGTACATTGCCGACACATGATGGTAGTTTCCAGTCAATTTCTCGTTACAATACGGATCGGGTCGAAGACCTTATTGGGTATTTTCGGTTGCGCAGTTCTAGGAACAACGAAGAGAGATTGCGCATCAACGCGACTTATGATCTTGCGACAACGAGCGTTATGCAAATTCATCAACAACAATGTGCACGTCATTGACACTGTGTACTTACTTGCCTTGTTCATCGCCTAATGTCCCTCTGAATTTATCGCAAATGTCGATCGCAAGCTGGAGATAGTAAACTTTATAGGACTAGGAACGTAGACATGATGTGGATTTAATAGCAACTCACACAGTCTTGTGGGCTGGATGAGTTGCTGTATCATTAGTTCTTCCTCCAAACTCACGCTGCAGTGCTGAGCGCTAGACTCACATCGCTTTCGCCAACGCATTCTAGTATCTATACTCCACAATATCCTCACCTCCGGACACAGCATTAACGAAACCTTCCGTGAATTCAGACTGAGATTGTACCGTGCCCAACTCAATCTCTGGGAAGGTTTGTATCCATCTCCGAAACAAGCCTCCTTCACGGCTATGCTTGGCGGCCAGATTGTCGCTTCCATCAATGTCGGAGCGATCAGCGAGGTCTGCGACGTATTCCTCGACCCACGCCAATGCAGATTCCAAGTTAGGCAGTGAATTTGCTAGCAATGACAGCGCAACTTCGGATCCAGACTCCAGTATGCGAAGCCGATCGATATCCTCCGGTTCGTTCTTGTTCGCTATCAATTTTCCCAACACTTCCTTGGCAGAATTGGAAATTTCAATCCACGGGCGGAAGAATGACTGCTGAGCACGTGGACGATCGGTCTCGAAGATTTGACTCAGACGTACTAAGATGACAGGGTTTATTCGGTAGCTATTAGTAACAGTTGAGGCATGTCGCAGCGCATACGGAATCTTGTGATACGTGACCCCAGCAATTCTAAAGCGGCGCTCAAACTTGGTGAGCTTGTCGAGCCAGGAGAATGCTTTCGACTCTGACCAATCTAGCCAGTCTTTATACACTGTGACTGCAATCAGGCAAGCTGTGTTCGCGTCCTCAAAGTGCCAGTCGTAGGGCAGACGCTCGACCCACAATTCCATGCGGCTTCTCTGTCCCGGCGACAAGAGTTGGCCGTATGCCTGTCTGGATGCAATAATCGTGGCGTACTTGTTCGCAGCCCTGACGCGACCCAGTTCATCAATCGCTGGCTCCGGTTGATCTCCTCCCACATCTTCAGGTGTCTGTGGTCCTTCAGCTCCGGATAATGCTGAGCTCATGATGCGGTCGAAGTATATGCGTCCTCGTTAGGGTTGCAATTCCAACGTGTTCGCGGAGGTTGGAAGGGCGGAAATCAGGAAGATGACCAGTCGGGGCGTGTAGGTGCAGCAAAAGAGTATCAGAGAGTCGTTTGTTGTCGTGATGGGAGACCATCTGACCGTTCGCGTGTTGTGGTGTGTGCGTGACGCATCTGTAGTGAATGCGACCCTACTCATGGCGCTTTGTCGCAAGGACGATGTGGGATGAGACGTACTCTATCGGGTCAACCACGGGTGTATTCTATACTGTCAGTGCTTCTGAAAGGTATTAAATATCCATAACGTCAACTGTTCGAGCTAGAGAATGTCTTCTACTAGACAGATTGAAGCAGCGCCCCCATAGTTGATGGTGAACGCAGCAAGCCGGCCAAGAAAGGTACATCCGAGCAAGGACAATACTTGTTGTAGGAAATCGATGAAGGAGACAAGAAATAAGGTGCAAATGGTAGCCTTCTTGGATGGATACTTGTCAAACGCGCCTGCACGGCCTTTGATGCTCAACCTGGTTTCTTCACAAGGAGGACTCTCCCATCATACAGTGATCAAACCGGGAACTCAGAACATCAGCTTTAATTCTGTTCATAGTACTTTGATGATAGAGTGGCTTGGGGCGGTTCTCATTGATGTGCTATTGCAAGTTGAAGGTCTTCAGTCATAAAACCCAATATTCGGTGAAGGGAAGAAATATTGGTCCAGGTTGTAGAGTAAGGAACGGGACGAATTGGGGCTAAAAACGTTTAAGTGTAAAAACCCAAGCAGCCAAGGCCTAGAGGTACGAAAGTCGAAGTCTGCGGCTAGAAAGAAGTGCTTTGTCGACACGACGCGTAGGCTGTCTGGCGATCTCGGTGACGTCATTTCCCGCTCGAACTTGGCGTCTATCAGTCCACGATAACTGGTGTTCGAGAAATCCGATATGAAACGATTACTTCCGTCTGGCCTGTCGCGCATCTACGCTATGTGCGTAGGTGAAGTTCTAGCCAGCTGGCAAGGCTAACTTGCCCCTAAAATGACCAGACCAGTGACGTAAGCGCTAGCCACTTGTTGGCATGTGACAGGCACGGCAGACCTCGGGACGTGCACACTACCTAGTGATCATCAAAAGCAACGACTCATGAAAAGAAATATCAGAGCAAGTATACAAAATCCATTAATCATCAAATATATACCAGAAGCCAACTATATACCCTCCCGTCATCTCTCAAATTTCCACGTCATCCAAAGTCTATGAACAAGCATATACAGAAGCATAGAGAGAATATGTACTCATCAAATCGTGAATACATCACCAATTCATCACACTTCGCGTCGATAGTGTGCGCTTACTGGCCGCCGACAGCGATAGTGAACAGCTTCGGGCTGCCGTCGAAGATTGTGCCAGCAACGTCCTGACCACCATCCGGAACAACGTCATCGTATGGGAAAGCATAGCCACGACCATCCTTCTGGACCTGATGAACGATGCGCGAGTAGTGGTTGGTCGTCGGGTCCTTGTAGTACTGGCCTGGGTTGCTGCCATTCGGGAACTGGTCACCGGGTGTGTTCAGCAAGATGCTACGGTTGAAAGCAGCGGCGAGACGCGGGATGACTGCATTGCGCGCTTGATTCGATCCAGTCGCGAATGGCCCAGTGCTACAGGTAAAGATATCCCTAGCTGAAGGAGCAGCAAAGTTTCCTGCTTGGCCAAGTTGAAGCTCGTTGCCTTGGACACGGCCCTTGAGGTTGCCAGCTGCGGCTTGGGTGTTGATAATCATGTCCTCATTGCGGTACTTGTTCCATACCGCCTGGATGTAACCGTCCCAGTAGTTACCCCATGCATCCGCGTTTCCGACGAGAAGGTTGTTCGGGCTCAGCACTCGCAATGGCTGTCCGTTGTGCTCATAGATCAGTTTATCCCAAGGTCGACCGTCGCGCTTGGCTTGCGCACGCAACTCTTCAATGACTCTCCGCATGCCATCGGCACCCATACCTGGCACTGTTTGAGTCTTGCCTTGGGTGTTGGTCAAGCTGAGCCCAACAGGAATGCTGACAAAGTCGACATAGCTGATATTCGCGAACAGTTGTGCGTCGTTGTAAGTGAACTCACAGAAAGACCAGTTGATGTTGAAGTTAGGGTCGCTGGGGTTGGTCACACTGGGCTCTACGACTGCAGGACCTGGGTTGAGAAGGAAAGTAAGCTTTGCGCCAATGCTGAACCAGATACGACCACCGGCAATCTTTGGGATCCTGACGTTGACAGTGTTGCCGGGAGCCCCAAGTGGAATGGCGACGTCGGCCTGGAGTGGTTGCTGGATATCCTTGGGCGCTGTTGGATAGTAGATGGACTGGCCGTCTGCTTTCACAAAGAGGGGGGTGTTGTTCCGTTCCAGAGCAAGGCCGGTAATGTACGCGTATACGGTGCTGGAATTGGACTTGTTCTGCAGTGCCAACTGAAGAGTGCCAGGTGCGGCTTCAGCCATTACTTGTTGCTGTTCAGCGTTGGCTTCCGGAGCGGCTGCGCGCTTCTCATTCTCGGTGTTGGCGTTGGCATTGGCAGGTGCCGGTGCCGGTGCCGGATCATTCTCTTTTTTGCCGCGGTTTTGGAAACTCTGCCGACGCTTGTTGACGAAGCTCTTGAATGCTTTCATGGTAATATGCGAATCGAGTGGGTGTGGAAGATGGAAATCTTGTGTAGATGGATGCAAGTATAGTGATTTGCAAGAAAAAGGCAAAGGATCTTACGAGTATTAACACTCTTGCAAATTGCAACAACCGCGAGTACGTCACACAAGATATATCTTCGACCTGTTATAGCGAATACACCCCAAACGCGTCAACGTCCTAAATTTCAAGGCGTGAATGCAGGGTCCAGCTGATGTCACACATGCGACGAATTTCTGGGCTGGCCCCTGCACGTGCAAACCGGTTAGCGATCGCCGACTCGCCCAGCAGTGCAAGCGTCAACAATTTTACGTTTACAGCCAATCACATTTTTCCAAGCGACACCACCATCTCGCGGCCCGTAAAGGACTAGCACAAGTTTCCAAACCACGCGTGGCGTGCTCGTGGCATCTGAAACTGACACCTGGATTGCGGGGTGCAGTGTAGGTGGTAACTTGGGACTGGTATTGGACGGCGCCGGGTTGGCGGATTAGTGTCAGAAAGGAAGGTATGAATTAGCGGTAAGCGGAAGTACGCGATGCTTTGTTTCTGTGTCTGGCGAAGAAAATTGTCCTTTGTTCGTTTTATCTTTTTCTAGATGTATTCGGCACTGAAACGTACCTAGAGAGGTTGAGCGTGGTTGAAGTCGATTTGTTTTGGACAGTAATATGAGCATGAATACACTTCCAGCCTTGATGACTACGATACAGCGGACAAAAGATACATCTCTCTTGTACAAAGAACGTAGGATCAGCAATCGCGCTACACCTGCTTGGAACAGGGCCTCGAGACGTGCCCACGAGCTCGTCGGCAAACGATCTGCGATGCCAGTGTTGCATCCGCACGAGCGAACGTCTTGCATAGCTTCAAGATGCTGTAACTATTCGCGCATGACTGCTTGTGTCACACTGTCGATGATTCAAGCCCGGGGATCAGGTCTGAGCACCACCTCCAAACGACATGCCAGCATAGCTGTTGTAGCTGTCCTCCCCCCAAATGCTCCCTGCCATATCAAAGAACTGCACCATGTCGAAATTTGCACTTCTCATAAGCGCAAAAGGGTCGCCGCTGGCCTCAGTCTCGGGAGGCATTTCCATGTTGAACTCATCCATATAGTTTGTGTCAGCTAAGTGGTTGTATCGGTCGCTCGCATGGTGGGTTGAATACACTCTTGGTGCGCCAGTGATAGGGCATGAGCCTTCGCTTACACTGTGCTCGATCGAGTCGCCGGGTGTAGGCATTGATGGTGTCTGGCTAGGTCGCTCCGGTCGGATCTTGCGAATGTACCAATTCTTCGTCAGATCATTGATCATTTGCATAGCGTGCCAGAAGTCAGTCTCAGGCCGCTTTGTCTTATCAAAGGCCGTTAAGGTTGACATGCGATAGCAGATTGACTCAAGGCAGAGATCTAGGCGCACCCTGTCTTGGGCGGCTTGAGTGTCCCATCCGATGGTGGCATGTTGTTCAGAGGGAATGCATAGTCTGGCGACCGTCATAATGACCGCGGGCAAACGCATCCATTCCGAGAACGATATCAGGTGATACTCCTGAGCTGGAAACGAAAGGAGTGTATCCAAGAATCGTTTACCGGCCTCAAGTGACGAGAGCAAGCTGTTGATTTGCGATGAACGTACCGACGCCGGTAGCTCCGAGGGCGACGAGCGAAGAGCTACGCTATGTAGTTGCATCTTAGCGTACGAGAACGAAAGTTCGAGTAATCTTTGTGATGCAACACCATCGCACTCCCTTTTCCATGTATCGAGTTGTGCATCTATAAATCGAACATGCATCAATGCTCGCCCATCGGAAATTGGGAGCTGCGAACCATCGGCCGTGAAGAGCGCATCTTGTACTTGGTCATCGATCTGCCGTAAAGATATGAGTAGATTGATAGTCTCGTCGGTCTCGTACTCTCGGTTCTGTTTCAAGCTTTGCGCCCATTCTGACATGATAGAGTTATGTTTTAACAGGTTTGGCTTCTGTAAGCCTGTAGCGACCCTGCTTCAAGTCAACACAGGATCAAAGAAGGTATCACTGCGGCTACCTACATAGAAGAAAGGTAATAGCAACCCAGAAAAGCACGATGTCTCTCGCGCAACTCTCCAGGTGGTGGCGGTGGAGCTTTAGGCCGCTGCGGCATTGGAAAGCCAATGGGTTGGAAGTCTTGATGCAGACCAATATCGAGCGCCAGTCCTGTGACGAGGTTGTGTAAGAAGAATATCTGCTGTGTTTTGTGGCTAAAAACGAAGTGATACCTAGACCGATTAGCATCTTATGGCGGAATGTGAGCACTGGCATACCATGACAAGTAGACCAATACACTTTGAACTAGGCCCAGTGTCCTGCGGGGTTGGATAATCGTTCGATGAGCAAGTTCTGTGCGAAAGACACCATCAAGCTGCATCTGGCGTGTGTGTTCTTTCCATGATGATACCAGAATGACAGCCAGTAAGAGCATAGGTCTGTGCTCGTGCAACTGTTTAGCAGTGATCTGCGGAGGTAGCATTACAAAAGGGAACGTTGCCGACATGTTACGATACTCGTTCAACAGTACGTCAGCTTCACCTGAACAGAGCATTTGTTGAACAATTTCGTGTTCAATGGGTGCTTCGGGGCGTTTTGACGGCCTAAAAAAGCCCTCAGGAGCCGGAGGAGCATCTTCACGATCACTGAATCTGTGTATGCTGCGAAGACTCTCGAGGTACTGTCGATCGACTTCAGCACTTTCTGACGCGACCTCGGTGCTGTTCTCATGTTGCGAGGTGCTGGTCTCGAAAGATGGTGTCGGTATCCAGCTTCCCGGTGTAACGTTGATTACTCCCCGTTTCTGCCACGTCTCTGCTCTGGTTTCTCTGGGAGTCGGCTGTGATGCACTCGCAGAATCGGTCGTGAGTTCAGTCTCAGCAGCCGCATGGACGAGTTTAGCAACGAGCCCATCGATCTTCTGTTCGACCTGCGCGATTCGGCTACCAACATTATAAGTCAAGACCAATTAGGAATAGACAACGACTTACGAGGGTGCCCGCAGCTTCCTTGTCCTTCGTGGCGCTTCGGCCCAAGTACACTCTTTGCCGGCAGAAAAGCATCTTGTGGGTGGTTAGCACTTTCAGAATAGCCAGATTGGTATCATGTGGAGCGACGGCTGGGAGCACCATTGGGCTACCACAACGCTGATTGGATGGAGCACACCTTTGACATAGTCCAGTTTGGGCGCTTGGCAAACATCGCGTCTTTAGATTACGACATCGCTGGCACGCCTGAGTAGTTCGCGATGTACCCGCTCTTGCAGCGGAGGGTTGTTCAGTGTCTTCCATCCGATGCGATGGCGCAGAATCGATGCAGGTGCGAAAGGAGTGCGAGTGTCGTACCGAACACGGGACGGGATGTATACTAACATCCGGCCGCTGGTAGTGCTGGGCGCCTTGGATGACTCATCAGCGCTAGATTTCCTGGGTGGGATACCGTTGGCCAGATCAATGACCATGAAACTAACACAATCGTCGCACTGCATCATGCGAAACTATTCGTATTGAACAACTGCTTGGTATAACACTAACCCTTCTCGATTCACAACCTTTCCAACTTCTGCACCATTTCCAAGTTATTTAAACATCCCCAGGGCTCACTACCTGACCATCCTGAACCTTAAAACTGCTGAGGAGTTCCACTGTCATCCAAACTCAACCAGTTTCGAACTGTAGATTTGACGCCAAACGCAGCCCGCACCATATCGTCGCTCCAATCGTGATGAGATTCAAATGTATGCTCATTGCATGAGCCCTAGAGAAAGCTCGATTAAGAATCTTCATATCGTCGCTCATGGTTCCCTTGAGCTGTACTTTGTTGTCACGAGTTGCTAGTTCATGCATCAGCCATCAAATGTTGATTTGAGCGCGCTGTAATGCCTACATTGGTGGACCCTCTCAATCATCAAAGCTTGTGTCCTGGGGCCAAATACGATCAAATTGAACCCTGCAGTGACCCCAGCAATGGCGAGAGCTATCCAATCTCCTCTCTTTTGGAATATCGAGATCGGCCCATGAGGTGGAAATGTTGCCGCAACGATGAGCAGAAGGATTGACTGGCTTTGGAAGTATATTGGGAAAACACGCTTCTGCAAAGTCGTAAAAGCTGATCTGGGGAGAGCTTGGTAGGCGACCTTGGTCATTACGAAACTCTGATACAGCTCGGTTCCAAGCAGTGTGGAGTAAGCTAGAAGATGTGCAGGCGGAAGGAGAGACGAGAAAAGCCCAGGCAAAGCTTGTACAGCGGCGCCCATCTGGTTTCCGAAAAGCATCGTATTGGAGTCAAAAGACACTCTAGAGAGTGGTGTTCCTGACAGCACCCGCAAATCTTTGAATTGCGCTGCCGCCTAGCAGGTCGGACCTGGTCGGAAGTCGTATAACATTTGCATCCGTGCCGGTGGGACTTGGAACAAACCTGTGTGCGTTTCCTCGCACAGCTGGAGTTCCTGTAGTTGGCGTATCTAGATTAACGACTGTTTTCCTAGTTTCGTCTCCATCTTGATTCGTTGTTCCACACAGCTTTTGAACGCGTGGATGCTTTGAATCAACAACGTAAGATATGCTGAGATCCTATACCTAGCTGACAGTCAACGGCCAAATCGGCATACATTGATGTCCAAGAATTTCGCATTGCTAGCTACATCATGCGACATTGGTATATTGAGTTTGAGGATGTTCTGCCCATGACGCTACTAACGTCCTCGGGCCACATTACCGCGAGGTGCCTGACGATTAGCGACGCACCCCGCAACTCCCTCCCCGTTTACTCCAGCTTCACGGGGATCTACAACCACCACCCAACTTCTGGAATTCCTTCCGCGCATCACGAGCGCTTGTAGAGCTGCTTCAGGCAAAGCGAAGATGCAATATCGTAACGCAAATTTGGAAGATCTATGTCTTCCATTCCGCCGGCTTCATGGCTGAGCGTGGATAGCTGTCGCCCTGCTAACAACGTACATATGTACCACTTCAAGCTCACATTCTAGGGCTCATTTCACCGTCACCCAGAGGCAATCGCAAACATTCATCATGCGCGTAACACCTTTCTCTCTCCTTCCTCTCGCTCTTGCAGCACCGGCGGTCATCTCCAGGCAAGCCGAGAAGCCTGTATATTGGCTGCTGGCTGGCGACTCAACAACAGCAACCAATGGTGGATGGGGCGACGAGTTTCTATCCAAAACTGTTGCGGCTGGTTCATCAGGACACAACTACGGGCACAGCGGCGCGACAACGCGATCCTTCCGTGCCGGCGGCGATTGGGCCAGCGTCACCAAAGACATCGGCACATACAAGGAGGACTACAACGTCTACGTGACGATCCAGGTACGGCAGTGCAAGTAGAGAAGGTAGAAAACAAAAAGTTAACACCACTACAGTTCGGCCACAATGACCAGAAACCCACCTCTGGAGTCTCCCTAACAGACTACCGCAACAATCTCGCGACCTTTGCTTCCGAAGTCGAAAAAGCAGGCGCCACGCCCATACTCGTAACTCCCCTAACGCGCCGCACATTCAACACCACGACAAAACGCGTCATCGAGAACCTGTCCAACGAAACCGCAACCACACTAGATGTAGCTCAGTCCAACGACTTGCACGTCATCGATCTCAACAAGGCGTCGACCGCCTACGTGAATGCGATTGGTCAGAAAGGAGCAGATACCTACAACTGGGGTGAGAATGGCACAACTGGGACGGATCGGACACACCTGAACCCATGGGGTGAGGTCGTGTTTGCGCGCATGGTCAGCGATCTATTGGTGGCCAAGTACGAGGATGAGTTTGGGGCATATACAGTCGCGAATGAGACGTTGAGTGGGCTGATTAGAGACGGCAAGGTGGCATAGGTGATCACTAGTTGACATATTCCTATAACAAGCAAAAAACTATCAATGACTATGTGCCCAGCTCCACGTTACGGACATCGTGCCGTAGCAACATGTCTGTTCATCCGTTATCGTGTCTCGTAGTGAGATGGCTTCGAAGTAGCCTCGCCCTAATACAAAGCAGGCGTGGGTAGACCTATAATCGTTTGTTTGGTCCTCTCTTCCTTCTTTCCCTTTCGTCATCATCATCTCGATGAGATCGTCCAGAACTTCTCTAACGTTCCTCTGCTAGATGTCATGGCACCAGTACCGACAGACATGATACGATGCCTTAAATCGCCTAAACATCCCCCAAGCTTTAATCACTCCTCATCCATACCCTGACCCATCGTACCCGCCACTGGCCCACCTCCTCCCTTGCGCCTCACCCTGACCGTGCGCATTGCCAAATGTGCTTGTGCTCGAGTTGGGCGTATCCCAGGGTGCCGGCTGGCTACCAGTGTTCGTGTACTGGCTGCTCTGGAACGAGGTCGTAGATGAGGCTGGACTTTGATGGGGATAGGGTACATAGGATTGCTGCACCGGATGTGGAGGTGGTGGGGGCGAGGTGTGGGGTGAATAATGTTGTTGCGGTGGCTGCGGTGGCCCTTGATACATCCATTGCTGTGGCTGAACGAAGTGCTGCGACTGTCGCTGTGGCATTGGCGGTGGGTAGGATTGGTTCGGAGCTCCAGTGTAGCTGTCTTGAGGAGCCATTGGAGGGGTTCCGTATTGAAGTGGTGGGGACGCAACCTGTTGGCTAGGCGTAGCATAGTCGTGCTGTGAAATTGATTGATCCAGAGGTGGCATGTAAGCCGATTGCCGCTGTTGATGGTACCGGCTGAGCGCTTCCATGTTGGCGACTGACTTGCGGTTGACAGCCTTACTCTGTCTTTTGAGTCCGTTATCCGCGCTTGCCTTCCTATTAGGTTGAGGCACGCCAGGTATCGATCCGGCTGAGTTGTGTCTTTCTGATACTAGAGACGAGGCCGAGTATTGCCGTTGTCGGTGCTCTATGGGTGATCGCATCCGCTCAGGCGTTGATGATGGCGACTGCGTTTTGCCTTGAGCAAATAACGGGGCAGGATAGCCAGCATAAGATGGAACTGGAGGTGGAGAGCTTGCGTTGGTATTATGAGTTGGAGCCTCTACATTACCTGGCCTGAGGTGGAAAGGCAGACTCCAAGGCTCTTGAGGGTGCTGGCCGTAGGCCGACTCGGACTGCATCGCATAGTCGTGCACGCTAGAAGAACTTTGCTCCGCCATCGAGGGCAATGGCGGTACAGGAGGACGGCGGTTAATCCCAACGCTGAGACTCACTGGAACCTCTCGGCGCTTCACGGTTCTGAAGCGCTTCACCGTCGGGTGACGTTTGCAGCGGTCCTGTGCGTCTTTCAACAGTTTTCGTATCTTCACCTCTTCAGACAACTCTTCTTCCAGTTCCAGGTCGGTGACGCTGCCTTCGTCGGTCTTTCCCGATACGGAGACACCATCGGCCTCCCATTCGTCATCCTCGTCGTCGTCTTCTTCCTCCTCGTCGGAATCTTCATCCTCTCCATCGTCATCATCCAAATCTGAGTTAAATCCCTCCTCTTCTGGAGCATCGAGTGCTTCAGTCGCCAATCCTCTAGTCGGATGCCGGGTGTATACGTTAGCACCTTCCTTCAACAGAGCGTCAACGCAAGCCGATTGACGATAGGCACAGGCTTCGACGAGAGCCTCATCCAGTAAGTGGTCTGGAGGTTTCATCGCAAGGAATTTCTCAAGAATGGCTTTGTTCCCTCTGATGGATGCCGCGGCGATGGCACTTCGATACATCCCCCCTTGGACCCGGAAGTCTGCCCCAGCATCTAGTAGCTTGGTAACCACATCCGTGCGATTAAAGTAGGAGGCAGCTATGAGAGCAGTATGGTATTTGCCCGCGTGGTGGTTGACAAGTTCGGGAGCCCGATCAAGCAGTTCGTCGATGATGGTCATATCGGCCTTCATTGCTGCAGTTTGGAGAGCATCTCCATACTTGCCTCCTTTAGCATGCACATCGGCTCCATGTTCTATGAGCAACCGCATGACAGCCAAGTCATCCCCACGAACTGCAGCAGCTACAGTTGACCCAAGCAGACCTCCTAGCGCTGACGCATTAGCACCATTGTCGAGTAAGCGCTGAACGACTGTTATATCGCTAGACTGAGCAGCGGCTAGGATGGGGAATCCGTGTAAGCCACCGCTGGCGTTCACATCAGCGTGGTGCTTGATGAGCAGCTTGACGATCTTTTCAAATCCACCGGCTGCGGCTGCGGACAATGCGTTGCCGAACTTTCCGTTGGCTGGCCGAATATTGACAGCTGCACCATGCTGCAACAACTCCTTCACAATTTCGAAAGATCCAGCAGCACAGGCAGCCTGTAGTGCTGTACCATACTCGCCAGATATGGGCTCGGTAATGGTGATATCGGCACCAGCTTTTAACAAAACGCGGACGCTCTCCATATCCTCTGCCCCTGCAGCGGCTTGCAGTGGTGTTCCATATGGACCTCCAACAGCATTGACGTTCGCTCCAGCATCAAGTAGAACCTCACAACAGTCCTCATCACCTTCAGCACTGGGAACAGATTAGTATCTCTTATGTAGCAGGAGTAGTTGGACATACGCTGCAGCATGAAGGGCCGTGCCGTACTTCTCACTTGAGATGTGTACGTCGGCCTCGTGGTCGATGAGGAATCTCAAACCATCCGCATCACATGAATCTGCGCAATTAATCAAGGCTGTCGTGCCTCTGGCGCAGGCTGCGTTGATATCTGCAACGTTCTTCAAGACCAGCTCCAAATCTTCAGTAAGCAGAGTAGACGCCGCCAGTGAGATTACTGGCCAGTTATCTTCTCCTCCTCGTACGTTGACGTGAGCGCCATGTTCGAGCAAAATTCTAGTCGCATTGCTATCGCCTTGCTCGACAGCGGCAATGATGGCATACGAGAAGTGTCCACCAAAACCATTTACATCAGCTCCTTCTTTGATCAGAAGACGAATCGTCTCTTCGTTGCCAGTATGAACAGCGGCTTGCAATTCGTTGCCGTAGTAGCCGATGGGCTCAGTATTTAGCTGAGCCCCGTTATCAAGTAGTAGCTGAACGTTCTCAGCATCGCCGTACCATGCAGCGGCCTGGAGGCATGTGCCATAATCTCCGCCGCGTTTGTTCACGTTTGCACCCTTGGCGAGGAGAGCTTTCATGATGTCGGTTGTACCATCGTATGCACTAGCGGCCAATGCAAACCCGTAGGTTGGACCTTCCGTGTCCGGGTCGGCGCCGAAGTCTAGAAGCAGCTCCACAGTATCGACATGCTCGTTGTCGGTGGCCTGGTATAGCGCTTCATCCAGTTGCGCTTGATCGATACCCTTTGGATAGAGTAGCTTGAGCACTTCCGTCCGACCATAGAACGCTGCCAAAGAGAAAGCTCTCTGGTACCGAATAGTAAATGTCGACAGTTCGGATTCCTTGTCCAGGATGGCCTTGACAATGGGGGCGTAGCCTCGTTGCGCAGCGGCTTGCAGTGCCTGCTCGAGCACAAGAACCCGTTCTTCTTTTTCAAGCAGGACCTGGAAAACTTCCAGATGATTGTATGTAGCAGCAGCACTCAAAAAGCTTCCATACGTCTTCATTGGGCGGTTAGGGCTCCACGAATGCGACAACAGGTGCCGGACTACATCGGCATGCCCACGACGAGCGGCTGCACCAAGTGCAGATCCATAAAGATAATCCTCATTAGGATCGACATCAGCGCCCTTTTCGATGAGGAGATGAACAGCTTCGGTATTGCCTGAAAACGCGGCAATGTTTAGCGCTCGTCGACCAGGTCCACCAATGACGTTGACGTCTGCGTTACGGTCCAACAAAAGCTTCACGATACGATTTTCAAGATTGCCAGCTGCCGCATAGAGCGCCGTTCCTTGATCCGGAGTTGTTGCATTGATGTCGGCATCGCGGTCAAGTAATGTGCTGACGATATCGTAGTGACCATTAGACGATGCAGCGTGGAGCGCAGTCGGGTTGGCATTGCTGCTCGAGAAATCAACTTCGGCACCTGCTCCAAGTAACGCATTAACAATCTCGTCGCAGCCACTCTCGCATGCGTAGTATAGGGGCTGGAATCCTAACGAGTCTTGTGCATGAACTTCAGACGTTCCCTGGTGATCTAAAATATGGTCGACCAGCGCAGGAAATTCGAGGATCACAGCGACGTGAAGTGGTGACACGTCTTTCTGGTCTGTCATGTTATGAACATCCTCTATGGTCTTCCACCATCTTTGGCGAGCATCAGAGCCTTGTCGCCAGAATGAGTGATCAAAGTCGATCTCCTCAAGGACGTCCGGTGGGGCTCTCTTCGCATGCTCCACCCAATACCGAACAGGATATCGTAGATCCACATCTAGTATACCTTCGTCTTCATCCTCTTCTACATCAGAAGATGCATCATTGTCTTCGGTGGTCTCTTCCTCTTCACTTTGTTCGCTCGCGTCGTCCTGTACTGATCTGCTGTCAGCATCGGCTGGATCTGGCACTTCTTCCTCTTCCACGTCGAGCTGTTCTACTGGCTCCTCTTGCTCTTCATCATGCTCTGAGGTGTCTTGGTTTTCGATGGCTTGATGAATATACTCCAATGATCGTAAGGCGATGATACCGTGCTGCACATCGTCGAGGTCCAGAGACAGGTCGTTCTTTGCATACTTTCGGAGATGCTCTTGTGCAGAGATGTCGATCCACTCTACGGTGCTGTTGTCTAGATCCCAGTCGTTGCCTCTCAACGTAAAGAAAGCACCACAGCGTCTTATGTAAGCTTTGAGTTCTTCTAGATCATCCCGATCTTCCGAAGGCAGACCAGCCATGACAGCCAGCTCACGCATCGTCGGCGCCACGTACGCCAAAACCCTGCAACGCAAGATCTCTTTCGTGTATTCGTAACCCTCAGCTTGCGGGTTTAGAACGCGCTTCCGCACGTGCTCGAACATATCCGTCAAACCATATGGAAAAGACTCTAGCAGTTTGCGAATTTCTGCGTGTTGAGTACGCCCGGAACTCCAAGCATTCTTGACTTCCTGTATTACCAGGCTGACATAGATCCAATTGTCTTCCGCGCGCGCGTAGATATGGCGCTTCACGAAGTATGCCAGAGACGACGGGAGCTCAAGTTCATCGACACTGACAGATATGTTTGCTTTGAGATCGTCGCTGATATGTGCGGAGTTCTCCGCACTGCTCAAGTTGATCTCTAGCGATCTCGGTCTCAAGCAATTTTCGATGTTTCGTCGGCCGCTACGATTCAGCAGCAGCCATTTGATGGTTTGGGTTTCTTCTGCATCCTTTGTAGCAGCCTCGGTGTCCAAGGTCTCCGTCATGAACTGCAGGAACTGCACCAAAGATTCTTCTGCAAGCTGTTCTAATCCATACACTGTGATAAAAACATTGGTGCGAGATAGATCCTTTGCCATTTTGTGTAGTGCCACCCACAATGTCGGCACCTTGAGTATCTCCTCGGCATCGAAACTTTGCTTCCCAGCGTCTTTGCTGCTGCGAGAATCTGAGAGTAGATGCCGTGCAAGATCCTGGTCCAGATCGATCATCTGGCGAACAACCATCTGAAGCAAGCTTTTCAGTGATCGTCTCATCGTATCGCCTTGGTCGCAAAAGAAGGATATGATCATGGCCTTTTTACCGGGCGATTGTCCGAGGTATTCAAGGGCAGAAGTGGCGATCGCACCTTGACCGGTACCAGCCTTTCCGTGAATCCACAAGATAGGATGTGCAGACGAGGTCTTCCAAGTCTGGAAACTGTCGATTTCGAGCACGGAAGACGGTTTCGTGCCCTTCGCCCCTCTGTAAGTACCCTTTACAGCTGCGTCTACGTCGGCAAAGCCTTTGCTTAGAACATCCATCATGCTATGGTATGTGCGATCATCGACCTGAGCCTGTCGAAGCATGTTTTGACGGGTTTTGATGATGCTGTCTGCCTTGTTGGCTGTTTCACGGAGCTCATCAGAAACGGCAGTGAAATTTCCATCCTTTGGCCCGGGGAATTTATTAAGTTGGAAATGATCCGACATAAGAGACATGTGATCAAACGACTCGATTGTTGCGGAAGACTGGTCAACGATACGCTCCTTGCTCTTCAGCCATGAAATCCCTTTGACAAGGTAGTTGACCAGGTCGCTATCGTTCTCCTCCCAGAAGCAGAATAGCCGAAACTGGGCTTCTCTCGCCATATAAGAGAACTCCGTGAGGAGACTGCGCAAGATTTCGGAATCTTTCTCTAGAACCTTGAGTAGGCTTGATGGCGTGCCCCAGCCGGCGACCTCAGCCATGGAGGCTAGAACCATTGCCTTGGACTGGCTGGATGTGCCGTGAAAAGGAGTACCGAGGAAGAAACATCCTGCAATCCAGGGATACACGTTGGGGAAGTCTTTCTGGCGTGATCTTGACATAAGTAAGGCCTTTTCAAGGATGATGCCGCCCAGACAGTGCGAGACGAAGATGATTGGCGTCTTAGCGTCTTCCTTTGAGGTGTTAGAAGGTAGTCGTGGCGATAGCATGCTCACTTACTCTAGATCGGTCGAGTCCAGATAGTAGTTTGAATGCAACATTGTCGATGCGCTCATCAACGGATCCCTTTCCGAACCACTGCGACTGATATTGGAACACGCTGATCTTGGCATGCGGTATCTTCTTGGGCAGCATGTTCGCATCACGTAACCAATGCACTTTGTTCTTCTTCCATGTATATTCCGGATCTGCTCCTAGCCCTGGAATAGCAATGATCCTCGAAGATATTAGTTTTGGTCTTTCGTCCTCACTTTTTGACCACTTACTCGAGTTTGATCGAGACCTTTGATGTTGCCTGCTCATCGCTGGGATAGAGGACGTTCAGTCCGGGATTGAACGACTGCGCTCGTTAATGGGTGGAAAATCGCGGATGAGCATGACACTGACCTGCGCGTCGAACTTCGAATGTTGGACCTTCGTGGCCGAAGCCATCGTGAATTGTGGTGTTGCAGCAGAACTGCGCTGCAAACTGGAAGTTGGTGGCTATCAGGTACGTTTGAACCATCACCAAAGGAATACTTTCAGGGTCGGTTTGTAGAACGTTGCGCTCCCGCGCATGGCTTTGCCCCCTGCATCCAGGCTTCATTCGCGCCTTTGGGGGCCGAATATATTGGGGGCCAAAATTACCAAAAACAGAAACATGGAGCGGATGTGTCAGCCAGGCGTACAGTCCAATACAGCCCCCTGGCCACAACCGTATTGGTGGCAGATTATCGAGCGCTCGGGGCTGTTGGCGATGGGGCGGGACCGGGGCGGACGCTCGCGAATCCGCTTAGGCGACCAACGCAGGTCTTCATCTCGCCATCGCAGTCCTTCTCCACGACTTAGATGTCGTTTTCATGATGATTGACTCCTTCGAGGTCAGTAGCAACCTTAAGGGTCTCCGTCAACACACTAATTTCGTATAGCAGTCGATCAAGTACCCAGTGCCTTTCCGGACGGCGCCGCTAAGGACTGAAAGCTTGGATGGTGGGTCAAAGTCGAAAGTTCCATTATTGCCAGCGACGTTCCGGAGGAACTACAAGATCGAGCGCATCGACAACAACATCGGTGCATTTCTGGATGTCGAGCTGAATGTCCGCCGTTTGAACGAGGTTCACGAATGGCTCTGGCTGGTGGGTCTGCCAACCGCGCCGCGGCCTCTTCATTATCAGGTGGTGAAGAAAAGAGAGATTATTGTGACGGAGCAGTTGGACCTGCACCTTGTTTGGTCGTCGGCGCCTTCGTCGTTGATTCTTCTCAAACCGCTGCCTCGCTTCCTCTTTTGCCCAGACTTCTGGACTGAGCAGATTTGCCCACGTCGGCACCTGTACGAGACTGCACTGGGATTTTTACTGTCGTATGTCGCGCTCATCGAAAGAGAAGTCGACTACAACTTGGCCATCTACCATGGTCTCATTCCCAAGGAAATTACTTGGTCTGCGTGGCTGACACTCGTTGACGAGGTCGTTCGCGCCTCTGTACAGGTGCACACGATCGATGCGTCGACTACATCGTCTGTAGATTCCCTCGAAGCGCGTCCGGTCGTGAACCAGCGCTTCAACTACGGGGAGTTGCGCCTCGGGCGGCTGAACTGGATATACCGCCTGACCATGGGCAAGTTTCGCGGGTACCTTAGTGGCTGCACAACGTACGGGGCTTTCATGCGTGACAACGTCAACAGTCTCATCACGCTATTCGCATACACTACCATTGTGCTCTCCGCGATGCAGGTCGGCCTTGCGACAGAGCCTCTTGCAAACGACTACTCCTTCGGCATGGCTTCATATGTTTTCTCGATCTTTTCTATCCTGGCACCATTAGCATGCATCGTAGCGATACTGGGCGTCATAGCCACGATGTTCCTCATCAATCTGGTGCATACGCTGACGATTCGGGGAAAGAAGCGGCGTCAAGGTGTCAAAGTGTGAGGGTGCCGGTTCGGAGTGGGCGGGCAGGAAGGCTGAACGCGAAACGCGCTGCACACAATGACGCGCCACGGGCCGACAGCCTGGACTTCCCCACCAAACCTCACCAAGCCTTCAGCACTCATCAACACCACCACCCAGGACTTTCTGTGGCAGTTAGTTTACGGTTACTCGTCAGCCAACGATGACACCCAGGCAAGCGCTTAGTATGCGCACGACTGATCGAACAAAGACCGCGAATGGCGCACAGATATCGCGATGATATCCTTGAAAGCAGCCAGGCCTCACGGATATCACCAATGTCTTCTACGACGTCTAGTTGCGATGATCTGGGGTATCCGTCAATGGTACATCGGAGACCATACCTTCACATCACTAACGATCATATCTGCTTATCAGGTTACTCACCCATTCGCGCGATCGGGATTTGCGAAATCCGCCAAATCATATGCTGTTTTCCCTCGTTCATTCATACGGTTAGTCACGAAATCGCAAAGCATATCCGCTACGACAATTGGTGCTCAGGTGTTTTTGCAGTTTTGTTACTAGTGAAATGCATGGCATAGTGTCGTAAGCCTTTAGACCCTCAGAGCGGTGTTGTCTTAAACGTATTGGGTCAATGTGTTGGAGATATGTCTGAAACTGGCACGTATACGAAGGAGTTCATATTTTCTAGGTTTTACCCCAAGTGCTAAAGCCTGCATCATGGGTGTACACGGTTACCCCTTCAAACCCTTTTTATTCTTATCTCTGAATACTTTGTAACTTAATTGAGCATGTATACCTTCAGGATGCAACCCTATAGAAATGAACTTATTTGTATTTCTGCTCGTAACCACCACAAGCCCGCATCTACTCAAATTGCTAGGTGAGACTTGCAGCAACTGCGTTCATGAATTTCTGTAGGTCCAATTTCGATGCTCATTGCATCACCACGTTTATGCTTGTAGGCGTGAAGGAAACAATAACTCGGAGTCGACCATCGGAGTAAGCCTCTACCGAGGCAAGCTTTTATGCCGGTATCTAACCTGAACTGGCTGCTAGCGCAGACACTAGACCCTACGGGCATCTATAAACTGATACGACTCTAGTCATCTTGGTTTGTTTTTTAGGCTCCAATTCTTCGACAGAACATTCGTAAAGTACGGCATGATGAGCGGAGAACCAATCGAGCTCGCCAATCTTGGAGCTGTGGAAGCGCCAACGGCTGCAGCGATATCTGACACCACTGCACCACTTCCTCAATACCCTCGTGGTATCCGCTTGGTTCTGGTCACAGTCGGCCTTATCCTTTCCATCTTCCTCGCAGCTTTAGACTCGACAATCATCGCTACAGCAATTCCGAGTATCACCACCCAATTCGGCAGTATCAGCAATATAGCCTGGTATGGCTCGTCATACTCCATCACCAACACTGCGTTCCAATCCGCGTGGGGCAAAGCTTACCAGTACTTTAACCTCAAAGCGACATTCATGTGTGCGATTGCAGTGTTCGAGATTGGTAATGTAATATGCGCAACTGCACCATCGAGTGAGGTGTTGATCTTTGGAAGGATCGTGGCTGGCATGGGCGGTGGTGGGGTGATGACGGGCGCGTTCATCATCATCGCAATTACTGCTGGGCCGGAGTACAGATCAGCGTATATGGGTGTGCTGGGTGTGACGTTTGGATGTGCGAGCGTCGTAGGGACGTTGATGGGTGGTGCTTTGACAGATGGCCCCGGATGGAGGTATTGCTTCTGGTAAGTCAACCTAGCATCATATGTTCAGACATACGGTTTGCCACCACTAGAAGCACTCGATCGGATGCTGTGTGCATAACGCAAGAGTCATAGGAACCTCCTTGTGTACACCATAGCGCTGACTCTACCCAGGATCAGTCTACCGATCGGTTTCGCTGCAGCGCTCACGATGTTTCTTTGCTTCAAGAACCCCGAAAAGCCCAAAGATGTACCTCTCCGCGAGAAAGTATTGAATCTGGATCTTAACGGCGCAGTCTTACTCTCCGGGTGTTTCTCGTGCTTCATTCTGGCCATGCACTGGATAGGCATCATGCCTTGGACGAGTGCTCGTGTTATTGGCAGCTTCGTGGGCTTCGCAAGTCTCTTCATCTGCTTTGCCGTCAACGAGTATGTCATGGGCAGCCGTTCTATGGTACAGTTTCACTTGTTCAAGAACAAATTGGTTTCAGCCAATTTGCTCTATGCCATGTTCCTTGCTGGCGCCTTCTTCCCACTTATGTATACGCTACCCATTCAGTTTCAAGCTGTCGACAACAACACGGCTTCGCAAAGCGGTATCCGGCTCATCCCGCTTGTCATGGGCGTCTCGGTCTTCACCATGATATCGAATGGACTGCTCACATTTTGGCGCCATTACAAGCCCTTCTTCTTACTTGGCGCACTCTTTGCTGTGGTTGGCAATACGAAGATACACTCCCTGGACGTCAGTACACCAATCAAAGACTGGGTTGGCTTCGAACTCTTGACAGCCATGGGAGTTGGCCTCGCTCTTCAGATCCCGATGATCGCGAACCAAGCCCTGGTTCCCGCTGAAGATCTGGGAGCTGCAACATCCATGTCGCTGTTCATGGAGAATTGTGGTACTGTTCTGTTTGTCGCATCGGGTGAAGCAGCATTTACGAACGGACTCCTTTCAAGTCTTGCCCGTAATTTGCCACAAGTCGATGCGAAAGTGGTATTAGATGCCGGCGCGACGCAGATACGCGCTCTTTTCTCAGGTCACGAGCTGGAGCAGGTGTTGGGTGGATATCTAGATGGTTGTAAGACAAGTCATATCGTCACCGTAGCTTGTGGAGCGATGGCTGCGGCGATCAGCTTGTCGAATGCAGGGCCGGCAGCCATCAAAGAGTTGAAGAAGAGTATCGAAAAGAGCCATGAGCGATGATTGTGCGAATGGGTTGATGGATGAGGCTTCAACATCCGGGATGTTGTTTCAACATAGAAACCAGGGCTCAACGCCTTGCATTTGAGGTGAGCTCAACGCTCGCGTCTAAACTCGACACATGTGCGCTGCTATTACAGGTCACTCCAGTAGCCTATTGGCATTAATCTATGCTGCTCAAAGCGCACCACCATGAGCTTGGATGACTCGACACCGACAATTGCACCGTGCTTATATCCTGCTATGCATCGATCGCTCAGGGTGCCTGGGAGACTTGCAGTTCCTTAAGCTCTCTTCGACAACGGGTGCGTTCGATGAGTGTAGATATGACGCGTCGATGACACGTTGTTCCAATACCTGGTGACTTCGTTCGCGATTCGTGAGGCTCAGTTCGTGCCGGATGAGAGGTGCGCGTGGATGGAGGCGCGTGACGTAGCATAAGATATGCTAACCGAGTTTGGTCGTAGCTCCTATCACGAGCCAGAGCGGGCCGTGCGCAAGGCGGCGACTCAGCCATCGACGCGCTTATCATAACAGTCCCATCTCTCGCCTCCTCTACAATGTCCACACATCATGCCATCAAACAACTCGACTCTTAATCATCGGAGCAGGCCCTCCAACACTCTATTCGCCTTTGGCATCCTCGCACAGGTCGCGTTGCTTGTCGGTATCTTCTGGACTTATACGAGCTATGGCAACTCCCGTGAGCCGACCACGTTAGCGGAAGCAGCAGTTAAGACAACAACGAGACCAAACGGCTTCACTTTGCGTCACCTTATAGATCATGGCGCTGGCCAATCTGGACCACGAGCACGCAGATTCGATGTGACACCAGAGCGATTTGCCGTAGCTGGTCTTGATACTCACATCGGACCCTTCGCTATCAAGACAGCACCGGTGAAGATAGAACGACCTGCATTGCGTGGCTACGATGCACAGATCCCCATGTCGTCCATGTGGATCGCCGAAGATGTACCGGGTCCGGATGTTACGGACAAGAACACGGTAATCAGTTTCGCGAACATGTCCGAGGATGCTTACAAGGTCGGTCGTGATGACGCTGGGTGGATGGACGTTGACGGACGTTACAATTCATCAGTTCCTTTTGGTTGGGATGACAGTGGCATCCGAGGTCACGTGTTTAGCGATGATACCAATTCCACCATCATTCTGGCGGTGAAGGGAACGACTGTAGCCATGTTTGAAGGCGATGGAACCTCCGTTCACGACAAAGAAAACGACAACTTGTACGGCTCTTGCTGTTGCGGCCAAGGCGGGACATATCTTTGGCGCAAAGTGTGCGACTGTCAAACTGGCACCTACAGCTGTGACGAGCAATGTGTCAAAGACGAATTACGAAAGCCAAACAGATACTATGCTGCGACTGTCGAGCTGTATCAGGAGGTTCTCAAACTCTACCCGGATGCGAACATTATGACGACGGGACACAGTTTGGGAGGTGTCTTGGCTTCTTTGATTGGCTTGCAGCACGGTATTCCTGCGGTGACGTTCGAGGCCTACCCGCAAGCCTTAGCAGCTAAGCGCTTGGGTTTGCCAGCTGCCGGCGATGTCGCTCCACTTAGGAAGAATACAGGCGGCTTTCATTTCGGACATACCGCTGACCCTGTGTATATGGGCACCTGCAACGGCGCGACGAGCTTTTGCTCAATTGGCGGATATGCTTTCGAAACACTCTGCCATACCGGGAAAAGATGTGCATATGATGTGGTGAAGGATTGGGGATGGAGACAGAACACGCAAACCCATAGTCTCAGGTACGCCATTGACAACGTGTACATGAAATACGACGAGGCAGCAATATGTCAAGAAGAAGACGTTGGGTGCGTCGATTGTTATCTGTGGAAGTTCGAGAACGGCACCCACACCACAGCGACGACCAGCTCCACGACTGCAACAAGTACTACATCATCAAGGACGCGGACTGAGACGTGCAAGACACCTGGGTGGTGGGGATGCCGTGATGAGACCACTACGATGGTATCGACCACTTCATCCAGCCCATCAAGTACCGCAACCAGTACTAGTACAAGTACCTGTCAAACTGTGAGTTCGTAAATTCCATGACTGCGGACAGTTCGCTAACTTCTAAAGCCCGGATGGTTTGGTTGCAAAGACAAAACGACCGCTAGCACAACTAGCACAACTAGCACAACTACTACTACGTCTAGTGAGCCAACGACTACATGTACCTCGAAAGGCTGGTTTGGCAGGTGTCACGACGACGTGCCTGCGACGACTACACCAGCCATGGAAGGCCATGCGTACTGGCGGACGGCCACGACCGCGACGCAAACTGCACCATAAGTTGACTAAACTCCTGGACATCGTTTTGGTGGTAGTTAGTTGAATACAATTGCATCTACACACAAGTAACACAACAACTAAAGCTCTCGATTTCGCTATCATACACGCGATGCCGCCGACACTTGTTTGGACCTTTCCTGTTGTCATAGCTACAGAAGTCGCAAGATCGTGCAAGGCGCTCAGCTCAATAGGAAACCGCTGACCATATGGATCTTCAAGCTTTACATGCCGACACTGACTGCGACTGAGAACACGATGCCGACGCCTTTCCTCAATCAGGTAATCAAGCGAAGGTACTGATGGGTCAAGCTTCTTGCTTTCGGGCGTTACCCAGGCTAAACCCGAGCGATCTGAGTCATTTGCCATATCTCTAGGCAGCCATCACTCAGTACGTCAAGGCGGAGACATAAGAAGCTCAGCTCGGCCAACAACTAAGCTTCTTCAGCCTCCTCCGAAATGCTTGACCATGACTTCCATCTCACGACACCCCGTCTGTTCATATCCCACCTTTTACCTACCAACGATGCGCATTGCGACTTCATACACGACCTGATGTTCAGTCCAGGCATCACTAAAGAGATGCCTGCAGCCGCTGTGGAGAAGGCAATGAGCACTCCTCCACGCGACGCTGGGAGGAAGTTCATCGCGGACTGCGTAGACAGAATGGAGAATACAGGCTATGGTCGCTACCTCATCTCTCTGAAGTCAACCTCGACCTCGGACATATCAGCACTTGAAGAAAGCACCTTGCCTTTTTCGGAAAGACGGTTGGTGCCAATCGGCGTTGTATCGATGCAACATGCACGGTTCCCGTCCGCCCCTGCAGCACCAACAATCCCAGACGTAGGCTTCGGTTTATTATCTCGATATTTTGGAAACGGTTACGCTACTGAAGCTGCAACAGCGCTGCTGAACTACTTCAGAGAAGAGAAAGGACAAAAGGAATTTTGCGCTTTTTGTAGACCGGACAATGAAGCGAGTAAAAATGCGCTGATAAGGTTGGGATTTGAGCCGAGAGGCCTGAGAGAGGTCCATGGGGTTGTCGAGGGAGAGTTGTTGAGTGCGCTGGTATGGACCATGGACATTGGACATGAGGAAGGGGTCCTCGAGGCAAGAGGCTTGTAGTAAGTCGTGAAGCATGTTGCCGAAGGCGAGTCGCACACCGACAAGATCCCGTAGCTTCATTTCGCATGTTTTGATTCTATACAGTATTCGCATGCCATGACCCAAGCTTCCACTGCCACATTGCATATGCGCAACCTGATCATATGCTTCGTAGATTCTGCACTTGACTAGCGGATGATGGACGCGTCTAGTGATGATGATGCTGCCAGCCACACGCGGAAAGAGCGCGCGATGACGCCCGCACCCCACCGGCCTAAAGACAATATGCCAAGCCCGCTATCAGCCGAAATTTCCCGTCCGACAGTCTCGTCGGAACAACATCCGTCAAACGGTCCAACGAGTCCCGTCATTCAGCGCTGCAGCGCGCTCTGGCTCATACTTACATGCTAGGAAAGCAAAAGGCTGCAAACACCTTTAAGGTACATTACATTGATCATCGACATGTCCACACCATTAGATCAACTGCCGACGCGTCCGGAGAAACGGCGTCGACTCGAGCGTGTCGCTGCGGCCTGCGATCTCTGCAAGAAGAGAAAGGTCAAATGCGATGGCGAACAACCATGCGCTTATTGTACGCGAAAGGATCGTGCGGCTACTTGCACGTTTAGTGGTCATCATGCCCGTCCTTCCACGCGTTCCGCCGGACACACTCCTACTCACGGTGCCCGTTCCGACGATATCCACCGCCCTCACGCTCGTTCCGCAGGTCATACACCGAATGAACGTGACCGCGACGAACAGGACAACGTTCTTCGGGAGAGGAACGATCGTGAAGCTGCTGACGTTGGAACATCACTCTCCCCAACACTAAGTAGAGACGATCAGCAGGGAGACACAGTAGTGCCTCTTGAAGGCCGTATCCTTCGTGACGCGCAAGGGAAGTCAATCTTTATTGGCGATTGCGCTCCGCTGTCTTTTCTACAGACAGTCAGGCACCTCATCACATCTGAGGTTGACCCAAGAGCCACTGTCCAAGCCACTCGCGACCCCATCATCGAGATTGCGCGTCCTGAATCAGCAGATCAACATTCATGTCCTCCAATCGATGTAAATCAAGTGGACGCATTAGTCAATGAATACATTGCTGCAAGTAGTGGTCTCGTTCAGCTATTCCAGAAAGAGGATCTCGCTCCTGAACTGAAAGCCTGGGCAAATAGCAGAACCTCAAGCTCAGACGACGCCGCAGCTGCAGTCTTTTATCTTGTTCTTGCTATTGGTGCACAAGAAAGATTTGAAGAGAAGGCAGAAGCTTGGTTCAACACAGCTCGGGATCTGCTTCTGAAGCATATGTGCAGTAGCATGAATGTCTCTACAGTCCAAGGTTTCGCGCTTGTAGCGATCTTTATGCTCCGAGCATCTCAGCCGAACGGAGCTTACCTATATTTTTGTATGCGAACGGGAGGACGAAACATGCGGATCGCTAACATTCTCTAGCCTTGGCTGCGCGCGCCGCATATGCAATCGGCATACACCGAACTGAAGTAAACGCTTCCTTTGGAGAGACCATCAAGCTGGTACGAGATCGCATCTGGAAGAGCATTCGTGTCACTGATCAATTAATAAGGTAAGAAGCAGATTGAGTTTCATTATGGTCTACTGTCACAGTTTAGCTCTGTACGCTGCCTAACCTACATTCCTGGCGACAACCTCTTGGGTATATCATCAGAAGTTAATAACCTTGCTTTGGGATCTTCGCTAATCACTCCGCTCGTATTCTAGCAATGCCTTAGGTCGACCTCCGTCTACTTCCGATGTTGACTGCACTGTCAAGTACAATGCCTTGGAGGACGGTATGGAAGCCGATGATGTCAGTGTACTAGACGCAAGCGTCCAGATTTTTATGATCATCGAACGCGTTGTCGTTGAAGTGTACTCGCGCAAACGTATATCTTTACGTATTGCCGATTATGTCTCGCGACAATTGAAGAACTGGGCATCCAAATGGCTGCATAGACTATCCGGTCTCACGGCTAGACGTCGTTCTCGCGAAGCAGTAGTGGGCGCATGCTCCACACTCTGCTCCTACTATTATGGCATAATGCTACTTACACGACCATTCCTCATTTACGAGTTATACGAATACATGGGCGCACCACTGAAAAGTGGGGGCACACAAGCTGATCATCAAGAAAAGCGCAAGTATGCGGACGCTGCACTTGATGCAGCCTCAACGCTGGTCGATACTTTACTGGCTGTCATTCGTACGAACCAGTTGCCTCGCAGGATGCCGCTGATAGTGTAAGCCACACCCTCCGCCGAATTAACCACAGCTAACAAGTATCAGGTCTTGGCTTTTCACTGCGACACTTGTTCTTGCAGTTGGTGTGCTTGGTGACTCAGGCCTTATGTTGGTAGACAGCTGCAAGGATGCGATAATATGCATGGATCACTTTGGTCAAGTCGACCCTCATGCGCGACAATATTCGCAGGTCGCTCAATCGCTACTTAAGATCACCACCGCACATGCCAAGAAGAGAGAGTTGCATCTGCGACGAAAACGAAAACAAGCTTCATCTGAATTGTTTGGTTTGTTGCCTTCTGAGCCTACTGGTCTTCAGCCTCAGACAGAGGAATGCGAGGCACAGCTTGGCCCTGGTTCTTTGGTTTCTCGAGATTCTATTCAGCGCCATGTGTCCTCCGCAGCGCCACTCGATTGGACTATATACGATGCCGACTTCTTTGCCATGCCATGGCCGAGCGAGAATGACCAAGGCCTCCAAGACTTCCTCCAACCAGGCACTCACAATCTCGATGGCGTATCTGTTGCCGACATACCCCTGTTTCCCATACACGATCAACAGACAGGTAGCGACTTCTTCCCATAGGCTCTGAAGGGATGCCTTAGCATCACGGGTATCTTTTTAAACGGTCTTTTCCAACACCTTTCAATGCACGACTTTCGTTTCGCTCGTCTCGTCTCTCGAAGTTCGTAGGAATGGTATCAACTTAGTACCTCCTGTCCCTACCAATTCTTGCGTTTTTGGCTTCCCGGTAGCTAGTTCAGTCGAGGCGGAAGCGAGATCTCTTCTTTTGGGGCCGGTCGTTGGCTTTCCCATCCGACTCGGTATGATGATGTACCTGGTCACCAGAGCGATGTGCTTGTCGCGGAATCCGCTGAGTGCTGCGACTGCTTCGTTGAATGCTGTCAGGAGCTCAACGTTATCTCCATGACTGTTAACATAGCTTCGGATGTTTGCGATCGCTGCGACGTCGTCAAGGAAGCGGGCGTGGGGTCCGGGCATGTAGCCACGCATTTCCGCGTGAAAGCCGCCGCTCCGGGAATGGTCGACTGAAAGAACCGCGTCGAAAAACTGTAGCAATGACGACTGACCGTTGGATCCGCCCCGATATGCGCGCCACGTGCCGTTTCCATTACCCTCGTCATAGAAGACACCGTTGGGCAGACCTGCAGTGGCCATGTTCATGCTGCCAGCCAAGAAGGGTCGAATGGTGTGATAAAACATTTGTGGGTCACATCGCTCATCCATACGTTCCAGCAGCTGGCCGATGCTTTGCATTCCCTGTCGGAAATATTGCAGCGCGTGTATGATTGTTGTGACATCATTGGTCTCTACTGCTTCGACTGCACCCAGCATGGCCTCGATGAGTGGGCCAGCTCTTGCTTCCATGGCGTTTGATATGATGAAGAACCACGATTCATCATCACTACCACTCACTGTGTGCAACGCCACCATGTTTTCCGGTTGTGTCAAGTCGGCGTTCTCGCTCAATGGTGTCCAATTCCATAAATTTAGAGCTGCGTATGTGGCCACCGGATGCACCTCAAGGTACTCAGCAGTCCGCAGGAATGGTACACTGATGGCCGGAGGTAGTCGCTACGTTTGTTGTTAGTGCTTCACATCTTAATAATTCCGGCCTGATGCTGGCATACCTCTGATGGCTCAGGACCAGCCCATATGTAACCTTGAGCTATGACGGCCAGCATTGAATGAGCTCTCTGCCATTCCGCCTCACTAGAAAGATGTGATGTGTCTAGGACTGGCAACTCGTCAACCCATTGCCGTATTTGTTGTGTCTCGACGAGTATTGGGATTTGCTCAATGATCTTTTCCCATGGTTGATAGTAGGTATGCGGTAAGCGAGTCAATGGTGACTCGGCAGGCAAGAAGCCGTTCTTTGAGATGCCGTAATAGGGGAGTGCGGCGGGCGAAGGGAGAGCAGGAATCTTATGAGGACTCATTGCGGAAGTGGTAGCGACAGTATCGTAGCACAAGAATACCGGAAGGATACGTCCTGCATCGAAGCGGCGAACTCCTGCTTTATTACGCTGAACAGATAGGTCCACGCGCAATCACGGTCGCGTTCGGATGCTTGTCGGAACCCGGAACGACGGAAGCGATGTCGGAACAATGTCCGCGACCCCAATTGAGAAGGTGCAAGCTTAGTTTGCTGCAAGCCTCAAAGGCTCTTACTTCGAGACGTAATCGTCGGATCGAGATGCATATATAGTCTGATGCCGTCTGCCTGACTGTACTCTTGAATTCATACGTAACATTACAGCTCTGTTGGCATTCTCCAAGACAAATACCCTTACCAACAATACATCGCCATGGACGCCGCCGCAGCAATCAAGCAGCTACGCCAGGGCCAAAAGCCACAGTGGCCAGCAAATGCCGAATCATTAGAATTCGCGCACTCTCTCGACCAAAGCGCAGAGATCCCCAAAACATTCCGACCAGAATTTGTTGTTCCTAGCAAGGCGCAACTCAAGCGGAAAACCCTAAAAGATGACGCACAAACCGCCAACCCAGCATCAACACCCGATGACGAGGCTATCTACTTCTGCGGTAACTCATTAGGCCTGCAGCCAAAGGCCGTTGGCGAGCACCTGAACGCATACCTGAAGACATGGGGATCCATCGCCGTTGGTGGCCATTTTACCGCCCTCGAGGACTCGCCACTTACCCCATACCAAGACATGGCTGCGGGATGCTCAAAGAGAATGGCTGACATCGTCGGTGCATCACCTTCAGAAATCGTTGCTATGAACACATTGACCATCAACTTGCATCTGATGATGGCTGCATTCTACAAGCCTACGGAGAAGAAGCACAAGATTATGTGCGAGTGGCGACCATTTCCTAGCGACTGGTATGCGATCGAATCGCAAATAGAATGGCATGGTCTCGACCCCAAGAAGTCAATGCTGTTGGTTGAACCGGATGACGGACACATTATGACTACAAAGAACATCCTCAGGCTTATTGACGAGAACGTGGACGAGCTGGCGCTGATCATGCTACCTGGTATCCAATACTACAGCGGCCAGCTACTCGACATCCCAACCATTACCGCACATGCACGGAAGCACAACATCACCATCGGATGGGATTTAGCACACGCTGCTGGCAACGCTGAGCTGAAGCTCCACGACTGGGATGTCGACTTCGCCTGCTGGTGCACATACAAGTACATGAACGCCGGTGCCGGTTCCATCGCAGGTGCTTTCATCCACGAGAAGCACGGCAACAACGACCACTACAAGGGACTGAAGGGCTGGTACGGCCACGACAAGTCATCACGCTTCCTCATGGACAACAAGTTCGTTCCTACACCCGGCGCGCAAGGTTTCCAATGTTCAAACCCATCGATCGTCGACCTCACATGCCTAGCTGGCTCGCTCAGCGTCTTCGAGAAGACTTCCATGACCGACCTACGGTCACGATCCCTGCTCTTAACGGCATATGCTGAGCACCTGCTCTCTCAGATCGCCGCACGTAACATCAAGGACGGCGCTTTCCCCTTTCAAATCATTACACCCACAGATCCTCGATTCCGTGGCGCACAACTAAGTGTTCTGCTCCCGGAAGACGTTTTTGACGATGCGAGCGCAGCGCTGGTAGAAGGTGGTGTTATCTGCGACAAGAGGAAACCCGGTATCATTCGGGTTGCGCCTGTGCCAATGTACAACACTTTCAACGATGTTTGGAGGTTTATGCAGATCTTCGAGGAGGCGATACGGCAGAAGGGACAAGGGCAGACGCAGGAGCCTCAGTCACAAGGGGCGCCAGTTGAGGCGAGGTTGTAGTTTAATGGTCATTAGTCCGGTTATATTCCCCCGCAGGTTTAGAGGTTAATTCAAATCAGCAACTGCGTATCGAGAGCCCTATTTCGCCTTTATATAACTGTGTGAGCACTGAAATTAAGTTTCCATGACTAAGACTTGGAAGATATACTAACTTTAACATACAATCAAAATTACAGTTGCGCTGAGTTTGCGTTGCACGTCAGTGTACGTTTTGCTCAATATCTATTGGAGGACCTTTATCTTGTTTGTCTCTTATAGGCGCGCGACAAGCAGCTTCCATTGGATCGTGTCCCACCGCATACTGCCTGCACCCCTCTTCCACCTTCACCTTGCACGTGACTATACTGGGAGAAAGGCTGCGCCGACAACAGAGACACAGATCAGAGACCACTCACTATACTCCAGAGTTCCCTCCTTACTCAGTAACACAGCTACTAATAATCAAAGACATGGCAGGAGTTGCTCAGAAACAGGTTTTGGCTTCACTCAAAGGGCATGTTCAGTCTCAACATTACAACCTTCTTGTTCGTTGCTGTGTCGCGGTGATACTGACTCACTTTCAGCTTCCTCAAATCCGGCGCCTACTCTGATCTCACGATCGCCTGCGGTAGCGACACGTACAAGGTCCACAAGGTCATCATTTGTGGCCGTGCTGACTTCTTCGCCCGCACACTAAATTTCGGCGGAAAGGTAATTATTTGAAGCATTCATGGGCTCAACGGTCGCTACAGAATATTCTACGACGACTATGTAACTGTTAGGCTGGACCTTACTAGGGAAAGGACTGACAGCTCATCCAGGAATCAGAGAGTGGTATCGTCGACCTTCCTGAGGACGAACCAACCATCGTCAAGCTTTTGATCCAGTACCTCTACGAAGGCGAATATGAACCGTTACTGCCGGATGGCGAAGCCTCGCTAGCACTATCCTCAACTGGAGCCCGAACTCAACCCTCTCGGCCAAAGCATGATTTGGACGGGCTACCCTACAGCTACGACTTTCCCCATACGTGTGAGGAGCTCACCAGCGATTGCGATCATCCTAGAGTCTGTCCGCATCATACATGCGATGGAAACGCAGGCTTTGTAACCATCAGGTCCTATATACCGCCCAGTCAACGCGGTAGCCAAATGAGGAAAGCAGGTTGCGGCTACACATGTAAAAGCTTCAACTGTGAAGAATGCAACCCTTCACCTCCTCCGCTACCCTTACTCAACGGCAGCGCCGATCAACTCCTCCTCCACGCCAAGATGTACGAGACTGCCGACAAATACGACGTGGTGGGACTCAAGGACCTGGTCATCGAGAAATTCCGTAGGACATGCCAGCACTTCTGGAACACCGACGAATTCTCTGTAGCAGCTCATCATGTCTTCTCCACCACTCCTGATCACGACAAAGGTTTGCGTGACATTGTCAGTGCTACGATTAGCGCACACATGGGCTTGATTAAGAAACCTGAAGTCAAGGTCCTCTTGACTGAGTTCAACGGTCTTGCTTTGGGTATCCTGGAGGAGAAGATCATAGAGCATGGTTGGTAGAAGGAGAAGTGATGGGCTTCGCTCTACGCTCGTTGGCACCAAAGGAGTACAAGAACCATCAGGTGAGCATGAAAGGTCTGCTGGAAAGGGAACAATGCTGTGATGACTGCGCATCTGGAAACGAGAACGCGAAGGATTTGAGAGACTGCATATAGACCAACACGCCTTCCAATGCAACGCCATATCCAAAGACCCCAACCATATCCATGTCATATCTGCAAACTGACCTTTTCGTGCATATAGATCATAACTTGATCCACCCCAACCATAACTCATTCCCAATACACCCTTCACCTACTGCAACCTCACCTCGCCCTCGTCCGTCTTAATCCCAAACTTACTCAGCCTAATCCTCGGCACAACACCCACCAACACCAACACACTGGCAACAATAACAGCCCAATGCTGAATACCCCCCACATTCAAATTATACGTCGTCCACGTAGCCGCGCAAATGGTCGCAAGTCCCAAGACGGCAATGATATAACCCGCCATCCTATGGTACTTGTACACGCTCTTTGCATTATCCACGCTACCATATAGCTGCGGGACATAGTACTGCGTGAAGCCCACAATAGCCTGAATGTAGACTAGAATGTAAAACGTAAGACCGAGACGGGCGTGCGCAGACGCAAAGTGTTCATGGCCGGGGCCCGCTTTGTTCATCTCGATGATGATGAGTCCGGCTGTTAGCGCCGATGCGCCCACGGCGTGGAAGAGGAAGTGGGCAATGGTGCCGGAACGCTTCTGCTCGGGCGTGTGCGTGGGTTGGAGGACGAGAGCGGCTTGGATCGCGAGGAGAAAGCCGGCCTATTGGGGGTATCAATGATACGGTTGTCGGGAGGGGGTGACTAGGGTAGTGTTGTGGCTTACGGAGTTGAGGAGCTGCGCGGTTAGCTTGGTGTTTTGAGACGTGTAGACAGAAGGGAGGGCTTACTGGGTGTGCGGAGAAGAAGATGAGTTTGTTGGAGAAGATGGCTCCCCAGATTATGGCTGCTAGCTGTTGGTAGGTCAGTGTTTGTTGTAGCATTCGACGTGTCGCCGAGGTGCGCTTACGATCCAGATGCCTGCTTGCGCGATGGGAGCAGTGCCTGTCAGTCTGTTAGCAATTTCCCTCTTGGTACACAGTGTTCGCGCAGATTCTCGGCACGTACCGATCCACAGGTTGTGATAGAGCGGCTGTCCATGTGGTTGGCTGGCATCTCCTCTTCTGCCTAGAAGAGGCTCTTCTTCGCTCTGGCCGCGCGCCGCAGCGACATTTGGCGGAATTCCGGTCGCAGAAGCCATGCTGAGGATATACAGAACCAAGCACCGTGATACAAAGAGTGCGACTCGGGGGAGCGATAAAAGGAAGACACAGCGTCAGCGCGCGACTGGTGTCAGAGGGGTGCTTCGGACTTTGGGTAATGAGGAAGCTCAGGCCGACAATGACGACAACACCAGCCCCTGTACATATCCACCAATCAGCGCCATGGAGATGTCAGATGCACTCCAGACCAGCCAATGAGCGCAGAGATGACAAACAGTGGAGCAAGTGGTGATGTTTGCATCGTGGGTTTGGGGGGGTGGAGAAGACGTTTCTTGACACGGACATGCATGTTTAGCGTATGCATGTTGGTCGCGTGGAACGCTTCGGCCCTATACATATCATTCGCACACACAGTAAACACCAAAGCAGGCCACGAGGGTTGAGCTACCATTGTTGATCTTAAAATATATTCTCATCTCCATGACATCGTCTCTATCGTACAAGTTCGCGCTCATCCGTAGGGCTGCACTCGCGTCATCATCTCTACCCATACCTTGGTATATATAAAGCGCCTGTTGGTATCCCCCTCTTGCTATCCCATGGCAGAAATTGCCGTCATAATACCGCCCAACCGACTATCCCAAGGGGTATGATTCTCCACCAGCTGCGCTCCCAAGCAATAATACGCCGTCAAATGCTCATGCATCCGCAAGAAACCATTACGTCCATTAACCAATCCAAATGCACATTCAAACTTGGGATATAAAATGCGAACAACATCCAGACGAGGAAAGCGCACCTCTAGTGCGTTGGTAGTAGGACGTCGACCCATGTCACGTCCCATGTGCCTAGTAGCACATGCCGTTTTCTCCAACGGCGCCGTTCGCTGATGCAGGTAGGACTAAAATCGAGTACTGTGCCTCGATACAATGTATGTTCGTGTACGTGAAAGTAAAGCACAGCCGCCCTTACTTCTTCTTCATGAGGGCAGGCTGTTTCGAGGGGTCGGCCGGATCCAGGAATTTGGTCATGGCAAGAGAGAGTTCCTTGAACTCTACAGGTTTCGTCACATACGAATTGAAGCCCGCTTCTACACACTTTGCGTATACATCACCCAGGACGTTGGCTGAGAGTGCGATGATTGGGTGGCGACGGTAGCCATGTTTCTTCTCCCATCGCCGGATCTCTTTGCAAGCCTGGTACCCATCTTTGTTGGGCATGTGTAGATCACACTGATCAACGTTAGCATGCAACAGAAGAGGTCGGTATTACTACTTACAAGAACAATTGAGTAATAACCTGGCGGCTTGGAAAAGATGGTTTCGGTGGCTTGAACACCGTCCTGTACTGTCTCTGTTTCAATCTCTATCCTGGCAAGAAACTTCAAGATCACCTATGAGCAGTTAGTATAGACCAATACACAATAATCATAGAACGAAAGCTTACCGTTTGGTTGATCTTATTGTCTTCTACCAGCAAGACCTTATGATTCTTGCCGCCTACCCGACGCTTGAGTTCTTCAAACACGAGTTTTTGGCTGACCACAACCTGCTGTGCGCTGTCTTGGTTGCGATCCGTGCTCGACTCACGCTCCTTCTGTGGGTCAAATATAATGGCAAACTTTGATGGCTTGAGCGGCCGGTAGATGAACTGCAAGCGTCGATCCAGATGAAGCTGCTCGTAATCATATACTGGTGCTTCCTTGATGAGCTCTTTCTTCTGGGATGGATCCGAGACCACGACGACAGATGTGTTACCGTACGCCATGGAGCTGAATATCTGATCTACGATGGCGTGTACCTCGGCAGTGTCATGTAACACAAGTACAACATGGGTGAACAACACCGGATTGTCACCTCCCATCATCTTCTGCGCCTCAATCACGCTAGCCTGGCCTGTCACCTGGTGGGGTATCCCTTGAGGAAGTGTGTTCTTGATGTGTCGAATCGTCGCCTCTCTGCTATGCTCTAGTGGGCAGACCACCAAGATGGAATACATGGGAGGTTGCAAGGCGCTACCAAGTGGTGAAAGACTGCGATGCGGTGACGACGCGCGGAGAGTCTGATCCGATTCAACAGACGTCGAAGAGTCGGGTTTGGGAGCTTGCGAGTCGCTGTCGGTTCGCTTGGGAGGCAGAGCTAGTTTCATGTCCGGATCCGGGGCAGGACTGGTTTCCTTCAGATAAGAAGATGCAGACGACCTTTCCGAACGCAAGCTTGACTGTCCTGTAAGTGCGGCGCTTGTCAATGAATGGTCCGAGCTCCCAGACGAGAGAGAGGGCGAGTCACGCGATCGCTCAGAAGCTGACAGGCTGGGCGCTGGAGATCTGGGAGATTCACTCTTCTCAGAAGACACACTTGACACGCGCTTGATTTGTGCATGCCCGGGGTTCTGCGACTGAACAAACTTCTGGAGAGCAGAGGGCTGGGGCGGAAGTGAAGGCACCGGCGGCATCGAGAGCGGAGTCTCAAAGGCTGGTGTGCCTGGGGTAGATACCTGGGGCTTAGGGTAGTCATCAGCCGTTGGGAGCCCAAATTTGATTGTGAAGAAGAATGTTGAGCCCTTGCCAGGTGCACTGCGAGCATCCATTCTACCTCCATGGAGTTCCACGAATTGCATAGAAATAGCCAATCCAAGACCAGTTCCACCATGTTGCCTGGTGCTGCTGGCATCAATCTGACTGAATCGCTTGAAGAGATACTTAGCCTCAGCATCAGTGAAACCTTGGCCAGTGTCTACAACCTCGAACCGGATCATAGTCTCGTTATCTCGTAGGGGACGAGAACGATCGGGTGGTTGCAGCTTGCATCGGATAAAGATTTCTCCATGCTCAGTGAATTTGATCGCATTGCCAACCACATTGAGAAGGACTTGTCTGATGCGGAACTTGTCACCTTTGACTTCTGCTGGTACTCCTTCATCCACGAGGTAGTTGAGTTCAAGGCCTTTCTGTATGGCCAGGCCCATGTTCAAATCATTGACCTCCTCGAGAAGCGACGGCAGATGAAGCCATTCCATGGACAGCTTGATCATGCCTGCTTCGACTTTTGACAGATCAAGGATGTCGTTGATAAGATTAAGCAGACTATCGGTACTGGCTTTGATAATGTTGACGTGCTCTAGCTGTTCGGAGTTGAGCGTGCTATCTAGCAAGAAGTTGACCATGCCAGAGATACCATTCAAGGGCGTCCGGATCTCGTGAGACATGTTACTCAAGAACTTGGACTTTGCGTCCATAGTCTCCTTTAATGTTTGCTCGAGCAGCTTGTGGTCGTTGATGTCTGTCGCTGTGCCATACCAAGTCTCTTCGTCACCGTCTTCAGAGAGCGACTTCTCTAATAGGATCCTGACAAGATGCCACCTGTATTCGCCGTCCTTGTTGCGTAGTCTAACTTCGGTAGAGTAAGACGCTCGCCCGTGCGCATCCTTGGCGACTCTCAATATGCCGGTGCTTGCAAGTTTCGACAACTTGGCTTGGGGCATATCCATACGATCAGGCGTCGATCCACCAGGACTAGTGATTGTCCTCTCAGTTTCCGACGAAGCATCAGATGAGTTAGATTCGGTTCTCCCATGGTCTGCTGGCATGGAAGTGGGAACATTGGCGACTCCGTCCTCATCCAATTCAGGAAGCTTACACTTGATGACATCATCAGGATGCACGTGCTCTAGGAAGCCGTTGCCCAGGGCCTGGATTTCGGTCTGGCCCGAAAAAGCAGTCCATTGGGAGTTGCAGAACGTCAAGCCCCGCCGATCCGAAACAACAAAAACGATCTGCGGGCTGGAGTTCGCTAGCGCACGATATTTGGCCTCAGAAGCTGCCGTCTCCTGCTGGCGCGCCGAGTTCAGCTCAGCAGTATGCTGTTCGTGGAAGTCCATATTGGTTCCGATCCAGTGAACAATCTGTTGACGCTTGTTCTTGAGCGGGGCCACACGGACGTAGAACCATCGGTAGCAGTTATCGAATCTCTGTAGTCTCACTTTCTTCTGCAACTGTTGTCCAGTGCGCAGAGATTTGCTCCACTCTTCTAGGTACGACTCACGATCCTCTGGGTGGATTGGATTCCATGGGTCCTGCAATACCTGGCGTTGATCCTGGCCTCTGTATATCAGAAACTTTGAATTCACCCAAGTGACCGCACCAGTATTAGGCGCGGCAGTAAATATCTGAACCGGTAGTGAGTCGGTGATGGTCCTAAGTAGACTCTCGGAAGGAGGTGGCATGTCGGATGTTTCGGCGATTGATGGCCCCGTGACATGTCCATGCTGAGCTGGAGGCCTTCCACCTGGCGTTGTCGCTGCTGGCAAGGACTGGAACGACGAGCTAAAGTCTGCACCGTATGAGTGCAGGAATGAATGTCCACGGTTCGAGGCGCCTTGCAGTTGAGCGCGACGTGAGCTCAATGACTCGTCTGTCTTGTCGTTGCGTCCCTTGGCAGGATCCTCGTTGACTTGCTCTGCTACAGGATTCACCGTTACGCGTTTTGCAGTACGCTTATCGGTTTTCCGTGCTGACTGGTCGTGCGGATTTGACGTCGGAGGGTTCAATGTCTTGCCATATTGTTTCCTAGCATCAAAGTAGCTCTCGACCGCTTCACTGCCTGCAAGATGGCCAGGCGTGCCGCCCATCGAATGTTTACTCGAAAATCCGACCGAAGAAGTATCCCAGCCTGGTGTTCCAGCGATGGAGCCACCAGGGCTATGCTTGGATCGGCCAGAGTAGTCGGAAGGGCTGGTAACACTACCTGCTGCTGAGTTGGTGATATCCTCAAGGTCAAGGTGAAGCAAATCATCGAGACTATCCGAATCTGATGGCAGGCTGATACCCCCTGAAGTGCCGGCTGTCATGCGGCGTTGTCGAATGGACGCAACTTGAGCCTGAGCATTGGTGAAGTGCCAAGCATTCGAGAACGACGTGGCCAGGTGAGGACCAAGATGCTTCAGCGAGTTGGTTAGGTTACGCGGGTATGGGACAATGGGCGACAGTATCGACAGAATCGCAATAGGAGCTTTCCGAACAAAACCTTCTTTGTTCAGCGATGTCGACATGGACTGTTCTGATTGCCGTCTTGTCATAGGTGGCATTTGCGACGGCGTAGTAGTAGCCGGTGATGCCATCTCTTGCGATAGGATAGGATGTATCAGCGGTATGTGCGTGACTGTGCTGGCTCTGTCAACGCCGATAGCCTCAACCATGCCATATTGTGTGTAGTCTTGCGGCGAACGGGAGGGGTTGAAAGTCTCCTCGTCAACGTTGCCCGTGGCGAAGAAGGGATTGGCGTCAGCGTCATTCTGAATAGCTGGTGAAGGGGCGGGTGATTGTGCCCACGGTGAGCTCGGGTATTGCTCGTACTCCTCGTAACGTTGCGGCAGACGGGGATCGTTGGTTGCTAGATTAGCTCGGCCACGGGCAGCAGCAGTTTTCTGGGCTTCTTGTGCAGCAGCACTGCCCTGTATTGCAGAAGGTTTGGGTTGATCCTGCTTGTCCTTGCCTAGGTCTTCTTTGGATGTTGCATGCGAAGTCGAGTAATCCCTAGTAAGAGTGACCAGACGTCCTCTCTCCAAAACACGGTTGACACCTGTGTTGTCGATGAGGGCATCTGGTTCATGATCAAGAGCTCGAAGTACATGGTACACAGCACTGGGTGGCGATGGTTCTCCCACACTGGAGAACTCTGGATCGCTGAAAGTAGGACCGCCTGTTGGAGTTGAACCAGCAAATGCAGGAGAGGCGCCGTCAAACGAAGCCTGGGAAACCTGTCTCAGTGGATGCTCTGGCCTCGCCGACATGTGGGGTGCATGGCTGGCCGCCCTCATCGGACCTCTTGGTCGGGTAAGCGGGGCTGGTGTTGGGGTATCTGGCGATGTGTTGGATCTCTGGCGTTCGTGGCCTGCGAAGGAGTGATGGGAGAATAGCTTCGGTCTGCGCTCCGGGATCATGGTGGCTGGTGGCATATCTGCATGTTCATTTTCACGCGAGCCTGACTCTTGTTCCGATGGAAAGTGAGTGCCTGTTGCTTCCTGGTACGTAGCTGCGAGGGGACTTCCGTTGTTGGTCGTGGCAGTGAAGCTAGTCTTCTGCCCCCACGGCACATTCTCAATATCAGACGCGTCCGCCGGCACTGCCAAGGTCGCTCTTTCTGCGCCGTAGTGATCACGCATGATGGAAGTCACAGCTGTCCACCACGCAGGAAGACCAGGCTCGGCACCTAGGCGCAATACAATTTCGTAGAGATTGGGACTAGGGAATCGCGGGTCCTCTGCATCTGGGCTTTGGTAATGTCTCCCTCCTGGGGCAAAAGGCGTACTCGATGCGGCGGGGGTGCTGCTCTCGGAAGCAATGCGCTCTTGCGGGGCTGCGTACTCTCGCGATTGGCCCGCAGCTACAGTAGGTGACAGGTTGGTGAAGGGCATGTGGAATGCCGAAGCCCATCTTGGCGTGTTTGGGACGGAGGGGAAAGGATACGACGGGGTGCGGACGGCATGGGCGGCGGCGGGCGTAGGTGGCATGCTGCCGCGAATGGTTCTTGCCGATTCCGTGGACTCGGTCGACGTGGTAAGGGCCGTAGGTAGCGGGTTTGGGCTTGGTGTAGGGCTGCTAAAGGCTCCCTCGAGGGTGGGCGAGATGCCGGGCACAGGCTCTTCCTTGATGGGCGATATGCGACGGGACCCCGGGGCCTGGGCTTGGGCATTGCTGGACGAGGAGCGCAGACGGGCGCGCTGCTGTTGCTGCTGCAGCATCTTGAGCTGCAGGCCGCGCAGTCTCTCGACTTCCATCTCGTCGGGCGAGGCCTCGCTCAGCGGCGCATCCTCTTTGTCGTCGGCCGGCTGGCTCTCGGGCTCGCTCATTTCCGTGTCGGTGGCTCCATCGTCGCTGCGTTCGCTCGTGGGGCGGGTCTGAGGCGAGGATTGCGACGTGTGCGACTGGTAGGGCTTCGCGTCGCTGGCAGCCAGTCTTTGCAGTGGCGGGCGTGCGGTGGGTGGCGTCGCGGTCGGCTCTCTCTTGGAACTAGGAGAGGGTGACGGGGCCTTTGTCATTATTGCATTCCCCAGTCTCCCACGTCTTGCGCAAGTGGTGTCGTGATGGGGTCGAGGATATAGGGAGCATAGATGGGATGGTGAGCTATGACGTCGCGGCGGGTGCTCCTGGCAAGAATGGACGGTGTAGAGGCCTCAGCACCATGGACAACTCAACAACTAACAACAACAACACACGACTACAGGACCACCGGTGGTACTGAGGCTATCGTTGCGTGTGCCCGTCAAGGCCGAATCCCCCCGGGGCGCAGGCGACAAGCTGGGAGTGCTTGGTGAGTAAGAATCAGGTGGTGGGCACATATGCCAGGATCAGGAGCAGGATAGCCTCGCGCCCGTGGGCTGAATTCAACACACACGCCCGCACACACTTACAGAAACGACGAGGCGGCGCTCACACTTGGGGACGCGTTGGACAAAAGCAGTTTGGGGGAATCGTGGATCGCGTAAATTGATGAGTCCTGGCGCGGGAAACCGTCTTGCTCCTTTCTCATTACAGCCTCTCCCGCTTGGACGAAATTGATTGTTGGCAGAGAACCGCCCTTCGCTATGATCGAGTCTTGGCGCTCGACGTCATCAGGGACTGTAGTAGCCGCGCCTCCGGGTGCCTAAGCCGAGTCTGACTTTCGACGCCCAACCACCGCGACCACCACACCGCACTTGCAACAACCTTCCGCGGAAAATACTCATCGCGATCTCGTGAATCCCACTTGTAGCAGAGTCGCGCCACCTGCCCCTGCCCCGACCGCTTCTCGACTCGTTCCAGAAGTGCTACTTTTCAAGTGGCTGATAACTAACGGGATGCCACGTTGTCCCAATTGGCTGGGTTCCCCTGCAACGCGTCAGTAACAGTTTCCTATGTGTCCTCGATCCGGCTTAGCCCAAGTGTGCCAGCCGCGAAGACGCTTGCCGCACCAACGCTCTCAAATCGTGAACTAGAGAGCCTCATTAGCGATATTGCTGACCCTCACTCGATTGACGTCTTGAATACGCTATCCCGCAAAATTTGGCCGTTCTGTCAGTGCTCGGTCCGAATGCATGCCAGCCTACAAGTAGCCAGCATGGAACCACAAGTGGTGTCATTATGCCCAAGGGCGGACCACCCGCCTGGATCTTGCAGTCCGCACTAGGAAGCCTCAGCGGCTTTGGCGCTTCTATAATTCTAGCACTGGCGCTTCTACAATTCTAGCACTGGCGCTCTACATTTCTAGCACCTGTCAGGCGAGACACAGTAAAAGAGAATGCCAGGAGCTGCCATGCGAGACAAGATGTCGTCTACAACTCTAACAAACTCTAATTGTCACCTGAACTGCGGGTACCTGCCTCACGTGCGAACACCACACGTACCCACCACCATGCCCGCTCAACGCTCGGCATATGGATCTTGATATATGGACCTTGATATCAGTTAGCTTACCTGCCCCAACCATGGCCACTATTCCACTATCCCACGATCCTGCCATGTCCGCGAAATACCGCAACTCCTTTCCGAGCTTCGGAAATATGTTCCCTACCAATCAACGTCAAACGGTTCCAGGTCGGGTACCTTACAGCGATTGTCTCCAACAAATACAGATCTACAGGCAATCGCAGTATCAACACGCCACAGCCGTCGTCAGTCACGTCGATCTTCAAGGGAACCACTGCTCCGTGGAGCTCGACATCTGTAACAACCACGAAATGCAATCGCCGATCGGATCGAGGATCTTCGCCACCGTCAGATGAGGCCGATCGAGCCCTGCTCACACTCCAGCAGTCCGAGACCTGGCACTGTGAACTATCAAACAGGTTTCAATCATAGTCAATGACTGATAAATGTGGCCTACTAACAAGTATTGACGCAAAGCACAGCATAGAAATCTAGTGTTGCGATCGACTACCGCTATCGATGCGGGATCCAACCTCATGCCACAAACAGGAGTAAATCGTCTATTTGCTGCCAGCCTCAGTATTGATATTGGCACCAGCACTAGCCACACAAAGATCCAATACCACATTTCCCCTGAACTCTCCGCCACAGCTCAAACTCGGCTCTCCGTCCCTCGTTCGCTGAAAGAAATATATCTTACACCAATCGTCTTCGTTACAGTCGATCGGCTCACAGACGTCACCGTCGCAGCTCTCCTCTGCTTTGAACGATACTCTTAGCCCACCCTTGTATCCGGGACATAAATCAACTTTGTGCTTCCTGTCTTCGGCCGACATGGATTGATCCGTAATTTCACGGTGATTTTCGGTGTTGAAACCGATGCCATAAAGCAAGGCATGGTCAAGCGGATCAGCGCAGTCAAGGAGCGAGACATCGTAGTTGAGTTTGTGGTAAGGTAGCTCGTCCAGCGGATTCTGCACAAGCGCGTATTCAAACTGCAGAGCCTCACTCAGATTTGCAGCAGTGAAAATCTTGAGTGAGACACCCTGGCCACGCAGTTTGTCATAGTCTGCACAGTATTCTTCTGCGCCCTCAACATTGGGGCAGGTGACACAAAAGGATTCATTATAACTTGCTCCAGATGCGATGGTGTGTTGAATGTTTTCTTGCCATGCGTTCAACTGCCGTTATGTGAAGCAACAATTGGGCTTGTGTCGTCAATTTTGGTCCTGTTTCCGCCAAGCGGCCAGGCACCAATGGATAACACTACCAAGTCTTCACTGCAGCCGTTGTTGATGACAATTTTGCCATATTCTGGCCCAACCTCAGCCACGATTGACTCCATGGGAGATGTCGGTGACACATCCGACGCAGCTGCACTTACACCAACAGTGCTAAGGCTAGATGGCAACAGGCTTTCCGAAGCCATGGCTGGAAATGCAGAACCTGCAAAAGATGTTTCGGTCGTGCTCATCGACGAGATGCTGCTAAGCGCCGAACTCACAGGCATGTATCCCACAGTTGCCGATCCAGAACCTAGAGGTCCCGAATACGTAAACGGTATCGACATGAGGACGAAGAGAAGTAGAAACCACTCGATGATTCCGGAATCCATCCTAGTCGATGAGGAATAGTTTTGCGGTATAGTTCTCGCTGCTTTTATATGATGAAATTGACAGAGATGAGTAGTGGATAAATATAACTTGTGCTGTGCAGAGGACCTCATGGAAGATAGTGTATGTACGAATGTGAAAGCGAGCGCAATAGTTGAGGCGTATTTGTATCTAATGACATGAGTCTTTGGTGATGATTTGTAAATATGCTGAAAGTGACTGTTGCTGTTGACCGAATATCTACTTTGACTAGTATCGTGACTACATCTCGCGCACTATTATGAATCTTCGCGACTCCGTGCATGAGAGTCACAAATATGCTGCTTGTGTAGTGTGGTATCCATTGTGTTGTTCTGTAACTTAAAAGTGGCTCGAAACGTTTAATCGCCAGGAAGGGCTGCATGTCGCGCCTCTCGATAAGACGGCATGCGTAGATAGAAGCCAGGGAAGGTTAAACTGCAGGGTGTAGCACTGTATAATAGTTGCCACCATTGTAAAGGCGTAAAATGATGTCATAAGCGGCGTGTTAAGCTTGTCACAGCCCTTCCAACCACACAACTGCCCCGCAGTGCGGCCCGCCTGATCGTCCACCTTCCTGTATTCGGCAACATCTGCCTACGGCGCCCTTCACGTGAATCGTGCCTGAATCCTTCAAGACTATATCAATAATGATGCTGCTGCTTCACAACACCCAGGAGACGGGCTGTCCATGTTATCTTGGCTGGGTCTCGTCACGTTCCACAAACACCTTCTGAACGCGTTTTCCCCTAATACTGAAACACTCTCTGGTACTTCCAGACGTCTACTTGCGACCCCTTGTTGCATTTCGAACTATATCGCGAACACGGTACACACTCTCACAATCCCCACACACGTGTTACGGCCTTGGCAGGTACATGTCCGCTGCACCGCACAGGATGACCGCCAATCTCGACACGCGTCGCATTCGATCTGCCACACCCGCTGAGCTTCGGGACTACTACAATCAAATACTGAGAGATGCACCCATCGGAGAAGTCACAAAACAGCTTTTCCAATTTGTCGAGATAGGCTCAATACCCCCAACAACCTTCGCGCCATGGCTTGGCGTAACAAAATCGCCTTCCGTTATCCGCGAAGCACTCACGCAAAATTTCTCGGTACTGATTCGCGAGTTTGCAATCAAGCACCTTCGCAAAGCGCTCTGTTCTTCGCAATGGAGAGAGACGTGGGAGGGGATTGGGGGTACCGCGGGTTTGCTCGACATCTTTGCAGACCTCTCGGTACTCGAGGTTAGATCAGCCTGTACAGCAATCGGCAGTTGCGGTAAAGGTGCGGATCTGGATGAGAAAAGAGAGCTTTTCACACAATTATACAAGGCACTGCACCCTGATCGGTTCCCAGATTCGCCACACAAGACCAAAGACAAGCGCGCACTTGGACGATTCTATGCGTCCCTCGTTCCCGCATGCTCGGCAGACCTGGTGGCGGAGGCTATCATGAGCGGCTTCAAAGGAACATGGAAAAATACGCGGGGCAAATATGTCATCAAATACTATCCGGAGTATATGCAAAAAGAGATCCTCCAGTCACTCGGTGCAGAGGAGTCATCTCCAGTTGACATCTGGACCTTTCGAAATCTATTGCATCACTACCCACCAGCAAAGTCGACTACTACAGGCTTCTCAGAATCTATGGAATTCTCTTTAATAGTTCTTGAAACCCTGAGCAATTCACCGCGTCGCGTAGTGGAGGATAGAATTTTCATCGACCAACTCGTCAATCCTCTCTTGAAACGCGCGATCAAGAATCGTACAGACTGGAGCATTACAAAAAGAATCATCGACCTTACAATGCATTATCTAGATATGCATCCAATCAAGGGAGGCCAGATCGCTGGCCTCCAGGTCGACTTCCTCCAGCAAGTTGCCTTTTGTTGGTCACAACAACCAAGTTTGTTCGAACAGCAACTACGAAGGATCTGCTCTCATCCAGTATTTGGCACAGCCAGCAAGACTGCAATCGGAGACTGGGATGATGTCCTCACCGGGATCCAAGCAAAACAAAGCTACCCACTCTTAAGGCTCTGCTACCAAGCGTCTACGTCGCTTGACCTGGACAGCGACGAAGATCTTGCAAAGACAAAGGGCTCAATTCATCACGAATTCTTTTCCAACATGTCTCCGGAAGATGCTCTTCTACTGTTCACTCGTTTGCGAAGAGTCAGGGGAGACACAGATCTGATCTACTTGGATTATGCTGGCTCCATCCTCAGCTTACCGTCTACCTTTGACGGTTCTAGCGGTGACCCGAATGTTATCCATATTTGGCTACTGAACTTGAGCAACAAGGAAGAAGAGGCCAAGAATATGGCCAAGGAATACATCGATATGCGCAAGAAAAAGGCTGCCACTGCGTCTCAACCGGACCAGCGCGCTTTCTTCGCCAAGTCAGCGATTTTCGCTACCATAGCCAGTGGATCACTTGAGATGCTGCAACATACGATGGAGTGGACGAAACGTTTCTTGGGCGATCCGACTGTGATTCGTGAAATCAACCTACAAGCATATACTCCTGAAGGAGTACGTTTGCTTTCAGGCGTTCCTGAATCGATCAACAAAATTTTGAGCCTGACGGAGCTGCAACAGCGGGTATGCGCAGCAAACTCGATTCTGCAAGACATGTTTGATACAGCCTGCGAAGCCCTCAGGCAGCCATCGTTTCAAGCGTACAATTGGGGTGGCGTCTTCGAATTATTCTATCAGGTCATCAAACTGCGGATCGATCTCACACCGATGGTCAAGAAGCAACTAGACGCTTTTGACGAGGATGTATTGACAAATCTCTGGGCTGATACGATCTCGATGGTCATTGCGATTGAGGAAAAGGCGCAGAAAGACGGTTACGAAAGACTTCAAGCGAATCTCTTCCGCGGCATCATTGCCTACAATAAGCCCTCCATGTATGAGCTGGAGAGCTGCGATGTATCAACATATGCATTCCTTGATTCCCTCGCTCGTGCGAGAGATGAGCTCTGGTGTAGACTGCGCCCATTGACGTACCCCGCTATAGTCACACTTCCCCATCCTTTTCCTCGAGGACTTCCGCTCCAATACCTTACCTCACCATGGACTTTGAACGTGGAGGATCTTAGTAGCGTTGCTCCTTATATTGCATCACGCACTCGACGCGCCGTGTTTCCCGACTCGGAAGCAGCTCTTCAACCGGTACCAACGGACAAAGATTCTCAACAGGCCATCGGAATGTTCGTGGACAGCTATCAACATGCTCTGCAGCTTTACATACCCAAGGACCGTGACAGAGTCGAGACACAAACCCGTGTTAAGAAAGCGTGGGAGTATGCAACCGGTCCGTTGAGTTCCAAGAGAATGGCAGAGGACGAAGCAGTACGCTTTTGGAGCGACAAGAAACCACGGCTTATGGATGAGTGGCCGCCTCGGGGCGCAATGAGCACTGTCGAGAAGCCTTGGCCATTGATACCCGACGATGATGGTTCCGGTGAGCCGTGCGAATGGAATCCCTTTTCGGCGAGACCAGATTTCCCCAAGCGAGAACTTGGTGAGCTTACCTACGTGGATTTTTCTGTAGGCATATCTAGGAACTCAACCATAAGGCCACCGGTAAACCTCCCAGTCGTTTCATCGGCTGAAGTCCCTGCCTACAAAGATGATCCTCGACACATCTGGAGTGAGACCCGCGGTATGGGTGAAGGTGGCGTCTTATCGGCTTTGTTGTATCTCGATACGAAATATGCCAGTGATAATCGTCTACTTGCTACCCCATTCCCCTCAGCGACAGACGTACGATATCCTTCCCTGTTCTTGGACGACGACTTCCTCAATGCGGACGAGCCCAATCAATACACAGCTGCCAGGGCGTTAGAGGGTCATCTCGACACAATACCTCCTCTATTGTTGGCACAATCCTCGCAAAACCTCGATAAGGCCCTCAAAAGGTTCGACGCAGATCCGGAAAAAGAAACCATCGAGAATCCTCACGAGGTTACGATGGAGCTCGTTGCGCGACTGGGTGAAAGTGATAGACCCAATTTGGCCACGCAATCAATCATTCGAACAGTTTTAGACAGACCAGAGTCGAGCTCATGGCATCGGAAACTTCTCAAACCTAGTTTTCTCCGACGGCTTCCAGCAACGCAGGCGGAATCTCTCATCGAAGCTTTCACCGATGAACTCATTCATATGCTTCGAACGAAGGATAAGAGCAAGAAGAGTTCAGACGACCAAAAGTTTGCATCGAGTGATAAGGCCCATGTCAAAGTTACTACGCGCAAGATGCTAGCTCAACTTCTCCAAAACTTGGACCTTGTTGGGACGGATTATGCTCTTTCTGTATTGCGAAAGCTCTCCAATGTGGATGCACATGTTGACGTCCGGCTCAACGTCATCAAAAGTCTTCTAGTCTTGCTCGAATCTGGCTCTCAAGAGCAATCTCGCGAAGTGTTTACTATCCTGGAGTCATTCATACCGCTAGCTGGTGCCTTGGATGAAAGAGAGGCACTAAATGAAGCGCGCTGGGTAAAATGCGAGGAGACTCTTTCGCCTCCCGAGCTCCAACCAGGCATCATGGGAACTCCGAGTTCAGATTCGCCAATCCTGGTTGCTTTGGTCAATTATCTCCGTAGTGGAAAGATCCCGAAGACCGAGATTCAGCCTTTCGTTGATCGCATCATGATGCCGATACTGCAAAACCTTAGAGATCAGACGGCGAGGTGGGTAGCATTGTTCCTTCGCAAATACGGGTTGGAAGAGATGTTGCTTGGAGACTTCAACTTCCCATCCATTCCACGAGACCCGTCGGTGAACAGAACCTTGCTTACCATGGGCACCGCAACACTGAGGTATATCCCGCGTACTGTGTTGGAAGAATATGTGACGTACATGTCTTTCAGAGCCGCACTGCCAGCGCCCTTGCAAGCGATGAACGAACGGCTCGCTGCAGACCCCGCACTGCGCTCGCTACCCGAAGTCGAAGCATGGATGCGATTGTATGGAAGATCGCTGGATGTTCAAAGCGAAGGTACGGATATTGTTGGGCTTCTAGATTATGTTATGGAAGATTTCGAAGACCCTGCCATTACACCAAGATGCATTCAAGAGCAATTTCTCAAACTGTTCACTACAGCACTTTGGAACGATACGCCAACATACACCAGATTCACAAGACTGTGTAATAGAATCATGCATGGCGGTTACCTCGGAAGGACGTGGTGGAAACCATACGGAAAGCCGATCTTGGAGGCGATGGTGTCCTATGTGGACACTTTGCGCACGAGAGAATGGGGACGCGATCCTGCCCGGAACCCATCGGTGTTACCCGACACATTTTCTTGGCGTCTTCGCCTGCTTGATTACCCATGGCCGTCTGGCGATGAGGAGAAAGCATCCCGCGAGGAGAGATGCAAGGTCTTTGCGGGCCAGCTGGTCGCCATCGCTGATCAATTGAGTAGCCTGTCAATCTACCACAAGCACCTTGATCAGCTGTCTACGTACATCGCTACTGATGCTTCTACGGGTAGCCAAGGAACAGAACTCAGCAATAACCGCGTCCTGACCGCAATTTACGTGGGCGACATCAGTAATACAAGACTGAGCTGGTTGACAGCACCGGAGTTGCTGAGGGTCGAGATTGCGGCAATGCTGGTAACGCAGGTGGGCTACAAATTGCTGGAAACAAACACTACCGTAGACAAAGACATTAGGGACCGATTAAAGGCGCTCATAGAAACATGGAAGGCATGTGAGAACGAGGGCGTTAGGAGAAAGGGATGGGAGATCGAAGAGAATTATCTCAAGTAATCTTACGTAGAGAATGGAGCACTGCAACCACGACCGCTACAATTAGCGAGTTGACTTCTACGTCAGTGCGGACCTTTTCATGCTGCTCAACGTTTGCTGATGGCCTGACTATTCTGGCGTGGCGGTCCAGCGAGCTTCGCTTGACTTCTAGAATGCAACCTACAAAGTGCAATGATGACGACTTCGGAAAGCGCTTCAGCCTCCATATTGGAAAGCATCACATTGGGGTGGTATCAATGGCCACAGCTCTCTGACCGTCAGCCCACTCCTGCATTCTACCAACCACTAATCTTCCTCCTCAGTGTTATCGCATTCTTCTTCCGGAACCGGCGTCGGGTCGCCATCTACATTTTCCCATTGATTTTCGACATGTATCTTAGATCACCAGGTTATACATTCGGCCACCCCTCAGCCGATTATTACAACGGCTCATTCTTCATCGCAGTTCCTCTCTAGTTCCTCGAATTCGCCATTCTTTCCCCACATGAGGGGCCAGACGCCCCAACCTAGGTCGGAAATGCACGCTGTGGCGGTACTGTGAGCGGGGAGAGCTTGAATGTTATGAGACTGGCGTGGCGGAAAGTACTCCGCGTGTGTTCGCTCATGGTTCCGTAGCATCGCGGTATCGGTTGGAATTGGCAGGTCAAAGGCGTTCCTGACGATCCGTACCATTACCTTCCTAAATAGGCCTTCATGAGGACGCATGTTTGGACGGCATCAATAGCGCATCCATGATCCTTGAGGATACTAGTGCTACTGGCATGGGTTCGACCGCGGAGGCACGGCTGTCATTGGGAGCCTGCTTGCATCAACTCATTTTCAATACGCTTATTGGCTGATTCGGTGTAATATGGGTCTGGGACAGATGAGATGGTTTTTACAGCTCGATAGCGGCGGTTTCCGTCGCGATTGAGGTTGGCGAGACATGTCAGTGGCCACCACTCATGAGAAATCCAAGGGATACGTAGTCTATAAGGCAGGTGTGGAGTGTGATGTAACACCAAACGATGAGAAAGGTAATGTCGAAAGTGACCCTTCACCCAATCATCACATCATCTCCAACTCCCGCCACCATCGTACGTTGTAAGTGACTTGCTGACACAAGGGTCTGTTGTAGATCGTCTCACAACCCGCAATTCGCATAGCTCGCTTTCTGGGTCTCGGCAAGAGCAGTCTCGGATCAGCAATTGCTGAGCTATGTATATATTTCGCAATCAGTTGTTTAATACGCAAGTTCCAAATGTTCATATTAACACGCAGAGACACGGGAGAACTCGCATATCTCATATCCCAGCCGGCAACCGTTGCTATCGAAAGCCTTGTGCATTGGAGTTTCTGTCGGGTGCGGTCCCGAGCAGCTGGCCCTGACAATACTGGACCTGCATTGGCAAGTTATGCAGGCTATGTCTGGGTAGCCTTCTAGTTCTCTATTAGTCTACCAGCCTACGTGAAAGGTTACAGAGACGCAGGGATCGTTCGTGATGCATTCTTCGGTAGCAGACCTTTCGAGGCTGGGGTGCGTTTGGCGAATTGGACTTCTCAGTGATGGAGGGCATATCTCCAACCAAATGAGAACATAGAGTGGCAGCTTCAATAGCTTAATCGAAAAACTGATGACAGGACTGAAACCCGGAAACGACGTGTCAGGGCCTAGAAAGTCGAAGGCTGGTAACCCCTGCGTTACCGGGAAGTGTTTAGCGGTGGTCTGTGCTGCCAAACGTCATCCTTCTGCGTTCACGTTCCAAATCAACACCACACATGCAACTGGGCATTTGAAAGTCTGACTAGCATACAAGACTCAACTCGCAGTAATGCATCTACGTCTACTTATCCCGATCAGCGAGATACCGGGGCTCTCCTACACACGTGTTCCTAATGGTAGCAATGGATGCGCCCCAGAGCCTCACCTACCGGCGCCTCCCTGACATACCCCATGCCAATCAGGAGAAGAACCCTTTTTTACAAGACATATTGATGCCACCGTGATGTAGGTCTATGGTTCAGGGAACCTCTAAACCCTCTCGGGTTTGTGAACTCATCATCTCGAGTAACCGCAAAGCCAGCAAGGACGGAATCTATAAGAGAGCGTCTCCCTACTCTTTGAAATGAGCAGCTCAATTGTTTGATACACTCGCTACTCTTCTACATTCACTCAGTCACCAGTAGTCGACCAACATGTCAGGCTGCTCGCTCGTTGCCGCAGGCTTGCCGGCCCTCATTGGGACGGCCACCCCAACCTTCAGCTACGATCAAGCCAAGCATTCATTTGGATCTGGCGATGATTTCGGTATCCAGATGACTTACATGTCGGGCACTTTTACATGTTATTCAGGAACCAGGCCTACCTTCACGCCCATCATCTCCAATCCAGCTCTCCTATACACCCGTACCTGCTCTTATGTCACACAAGGAGTGCCCGCAACCTATACAGGCATCTTCTGTGCAAATGCCGATCTCTTTAACTGGGTCAACATTGGTGCTTACACGCTCGACAACTACCAATTCCTCAACCCATTCGCGGTCACTCCTCGCCCTTTCACAGCCACGTTCGGCGACCAGCCTGCACCGACCACAGTCGCTACAAACACTGTTGTGGTGACCCAGACTGCCACCAACACTGCTTTTGCTCCCATTCAGCCCGCAGCGACTACTACGGTCACTTCTGCTTCCTCCACTACTACACGTACGAGCACGGCTACTGTTACAACCCCAGTCACCAGCCCTTTCACGCAGACTGTTACCTCGTGCCCAACGCCTTCAAGCACATCCACACCATTGAGCTCTTCGAACCCATCTTCTTCTCTGATCGTGCCGCCCTCCTCGTCTAGCTCTGCTGTGTCGGTTGTGCCGTCTTCGTCCACTCGGGTTTCTACTATTACTGTGGTCGTCGTCTCAACAACTACGCCATTGCCAAGCTCATCTTCGAGCCCTGCTCCGGTGTCATCTTCGTCGTCTTCCGTGGCTACCACGACCGTTGTCGTTGTGTCCACCGTTTCCCCAACACCGAGTTCGTCTCCAAGTCCGTCTCCTATCCCATCATCAAGTTCGTCTGCTTCGCCTTCGCCTTCTTCATCATCAGTTGCTACTACAACCCTCACCGTAGTGACCACTGCTACTCCAGCACCGAGCTCGTCTTCGACCTCCTCGCTATCTCCGCCACTTGCTCCTTCGAGCTCATCGGTACTCACTTCCTCGAGCTCACCCGCATCTCCTCCTGTTCCAGCATCATCATCTTCTTCTTCATTAGTTGCGACTACCACTGTCGTAGTAGTTACTACTGCTACTCCGACACCAAGCTCTGCTTCGACACCTTCGTCGTCATCTGTTCCGTCGAGCTCGTCTGTCCGCACATCTTCGAGCTCATCCGTTTCGCCTTCTCTAATCTCATCTTCGAGCTCATCCTCGGTCGCCACTACCACCGTCGTCGTGACTACAGCTACCCCAACAACAAGCTCTACTTCGACTTCATCTTCCTCTCCCATTCCTTCCAGCTCAACCACTTCAAGCCCTGCGTCTAGCTCCTCCACTCCTACTTCAGCCAGCCCGGTACCCTCTGCGTCTACCCTATCTTGCCCTGCAAGCAACGGCGCAACCTTCAGCACGCCTCAAGGAAACTTCATCGTCGAATGCTTCGTCGACCGCTTCAACAATGACATTGGCGTTGCACCAAATAACCCTGCAACCTTCGAGCAATGTATTCAGGCTTGTGCGAGCACTTCAAGCTGCCAGGATGTCTCTTATCTGCCCAACGGTCCATGTTATTTGAAGAATGGTCTTGGTGCACCCAACTCCAACAGCAATGTCTGGGGTGCTAGGATTGCATCTGTACCTGTGTCCTCATCCCCAGTGGCATCCACATCTTCCGCAAGCTCCTCCTCCTCTGTCGCTACTACCACAGTCATTAGTACCACGGTAGTTACCGCTGGCTCCTCTTCTAATTCTGTTGCCTCCTCTTCCAGCTCTACTACATCCTCGTCCAGCTCTGCTGCCAGCCCCGCCGCTAGCGCTTCATGCCCTGGCTCCAACGGCTCAACCATCACTGCCAATGGTAAGCAGTACCTTGTCGAGTGCGGTTCTGACTACACGGGCGGAGACATCCCAGGTCCAATGAGCCCAACTTACCCAGGCTCCTACGAGGGTTGTTTGGCGGACTGTTCTTCCACTTCAGGCTGTGTCGCTGTCAGCTACGTCATGGGTGGCCCTTGCTATTTGAAGAACGCGGTCAGCGGTGCGAGGAGCAACTCCAACATCATCGGTGGACGATTGGTTAGCACTATCTCAACTTCGGCGGCACCCACCTCTTCGGCAGCACCCACTTCGTCCTCTGCGGCTGCTACGTCGTCTGTTGCTACCTCCTCTCGCATTATCTCATCCTCTTCAGTGGCGGCCACAAGTTCTGCACCAGTCACTTCGGCTGCCCCTGCTCCTGGACCCTCGACCGTTACTGTTACCACGACTATCTCGAACACGGCGTACCGATGCGCATGCACGCCTACCAGTGTCTTCAGTGCCTCATCAAGCGCCCCTGCTCCGAGCTCAACAGGTGCTGTCACTTGCCCGGGTTCCAATGGTTCAACTTTGGTGACTTCATGTGGCGCACAATACGCCGTCGAGTGCAGCTCCGATCGTTACGGCAATGACCGTAAGTATTTCAAATCTGCTTCTTCTATGCATGTCAGCTAATATAGTGTACAGTTCCGAACGGCCTCGTCTACACTGACACATACGAGCAATGTCTGCAGGCCTGCGACAGCACCACTGGGTGCGTTAATGTTTCCTGGCTCATAGGTAACCCAGGTGCTTGCTACATGAAGGGCAGCATTGGCGCCATTCGGAACAACTCAAACATTATCGGAAGTCGCAAGCTCTCTGGATGTGTCACTCTCAAGCTTCACCGCAAGCGCGTTGCGGTTGCTGCCCCCAAGCAGAAGCTCGCGAAGCGTGCTGGTTTCTACGGCCCTGACTTCACATTTACTCAGGATCGCGTCGTTGCGACTGCAACCGGAACTGTCAGGACCACCGTCACTACGTGAGAACTGTCCTTTGCTTCTCATCATGCAATTACTTACCAATAACAGCACCTCCACACCTATCTCTGGTACTGCCACTCAGACTGCTTTCACCGTTGCCTCTGCCACCGTGACCACCACCACAAGCGTACCTACCACCGTTTACAACATTATCACCGTCACTACATGCCCGACTGCCTCTCCTACCGTCTAAATGGTGGTATCTTACTCTGCCAAGATCTTCAACCTCGGTCAACTCCAGACAAGACTCGTAGTGCCTGTCACCACACGTTAATCTCAACTACTGTCGCTCTTTAGCATATGGTTTGTCACCCTTTAGTGAGGGCAAAGCATATATCACTATTATACAGGTAGTAGATAGTTTAATGAAGTTCTTGCCTCATTGAATCAATCTTCCGATCACAGTGATAAGTGACTACATGCGCCTACGCATCTGCTTGAAGTGTCTTTAATCACGAGATAGAAGACATTCCATCGTTACGAGCCAGCACATAACCCTGTCACAATTCGACAACACATACCCCAACGCATGATCTCTCATTCAAGTCACCGCCTCAGACCCATTCATCAATCAGCACGACTATAAAACTCCGGAACCATCCTCCACCATTACCGCATTGTATAACAAAAACATCCTACTCACCCACCACAAAAACCTTACCGCAAGCTCGCTCCCACAAAAACACTAAATGACTACTAACAACAACACCATCGACCAAATCACTATCCAGACAGAGGTACAGATACTTACAAAATGTACAACCGCTTCACCCCCGAAGAGTGGGCACAAGAAAACTACTACGCCTACTCGCACGACATCTCGCCTCCCCGCAATCGCCACGAAGAACCAAGACCAGGGTACCACACAAACGACTACCGTACCGTCAGTCCGATAAGAGAAGTATCAGGATTGCAGAGACCACGTGTTAATTCTATTCGCCAACCGCCACCATGTGGGGTGGGCTGGTGGAATGGAGACGAAGGACTGAGGGACTATCGGGGTAGAGCGTACTGGAGGAGACGATGAGATGGGCTTGTGCAGGATTTAGGTGGCTGAGATATCAAATTCAAACGATTACCGTACTGTCAGTCTAACCTTTATCAATGAACTTGTAAAGCCGAAGGAAAACTTTAGAGCTCCTACTGATGTGGCTATTTCCTAAGCTACTACTCAAACTCAAAGTCCGCAGGCAACGAATATCCCTGCGCATTGAACATGTCATTCCATACATCACACCCGACGTCCACGACGCCCCAACCCTTGACTACTTCCTCAAAGTCCACTTCCCTCATGTACCGCTCCATGACAGCAGCCTCCGTTTCTCCACGTTTCTCCGCAGCCGCCACGCGCGATAGCCGCTCGATCTCAAAGTCCTCAAGACGCCTCTGGGACTCCCTGAGGTGCTTCTGCAGATCCTGCCCATACTTAAGCGTTTCTGAGAAAGTGGATAGGATCTTGTCGAGCGAGTTGACAGCCGTGGTGAGCGAGTCGCGCAAAGTACTCAGACTGGCGATGCTGTCGCGGAACTCGTCCCAGTTCATCTTGCTGTAGAACGTCTTGAACGTGTTGGTGAGTACCACGCCGTCGACCTTGGTCGCGCCCTTAATCACCGTACTCGCCGCCTTGAAGGCGACAGCCGGACCACTTACAACGGCCAAGGCTGCAGCCGCACCCACAAACATAACGGCAGCAGCATCTGCGGCTAGTTGGAAGATGTAGTCGGTGACTTCTTTTCGCTTAGCTGCAATCAGCTCGTCGATTGGCTTGATCTTTGACTCGAAGGCATTTCGGTTCTCCTTGATCCTTTGGAAAAGCGCCTTCATCTCCTTGTATGACTTCTCAAGGTCATCATTAGCAGTACCAACATAGCGCGAGGCATCGATGATGGCTTGCCGCGTGCCCGTGTAGAAGGTTACCCAACGAATGCTCTTGTCTTCTAACCTCTTGACGCGGCGGCTCTGGATTGAGGCTGCAGAACCGATGCGATTCAGAGCTTTGGAGATGGAACCAAACGTCCGTACGTACGTTGCCACAGTCTCAGCCATGCTTGAGTGTAAAGAAAACGACCCAAGGGTGTTATCGTAGGCCTTGAGCGTGTGCACATTTGGGAGGACCATGATAGCCTTTACGTTGTCGAAGAACTGACGAGTCTCCTCGGTGCCATCAGCCAACAGGGTCGCCATGACGGGGTGGGCTTGTATAGCGAATTGCATAGGATCTTCGACCTGACCTTGGAAGGCGCCCGCATCGTTATCTTCCGCTCCTGGTGCTTCAAGCGCGAAGAATGCCTCTGCTGTTAGTACAGCAGCTCGCTCCGCTGCGGCGTCATCGCCCCCAAGTACAGCAGAAAAGTTGATATGAGGGTCGACATTGAGCAGTGAGAGGACCTGTTGGGCATTCTCCAGCAGCTCTGGCCATTCAATACCAACGATCACATCGGCATTGAACGCGACATCGCTTCGTATCTCCTCCTGTATGTCTTTGAGAGTCATCCAAACACGGCTGAATTGGACGCTGAGTTTCTGTACAAGATTAACCCATGAAATGTGCTGATTCTGGTAGATTATGCCGCTGTCGCGAAGTTGCTCCAGTCTGAACTTCCGATCATCCAGTGGTCCGACCTCTTCCCGTCGAGCATACTCGATTTGTTGTGCCTTATGTTGGATTTCATCCATAAGTCTTTCTCTCGACCAGAAGATGGTCAGAATTAGTGGGATGTCGTCCTGAATGCGAGCTATCTTCTCCCAGTAACCAGCATCTGTCGAGCGTATCAAGTCCTCTAGGGCTCTGACGTCCGCAGCAACTTTATTACGAGCCTCTGTGACAGTGTGGTTGATTGTATTGAAACCATTGTTGAGCTTAGCCGTAGTGGAGGCCAGGTCGCCGCACAATCCTACAGCTGAATTGACGTAAGGCTTCGCCTGGGCTGCCTTCTGCTCGTCCGAGAGATCACTGTTTGCGTCTGCGGTCCAATCTTGCATGAGCTTTGCGAGCTTGATTGTATCCAAGACGACCGATGCAGAGATGTACTTTGCACCCGCCAGTAAGGCGCCGCTGTTGACAATGCCGATCCCATCGAGGTTCAATGTTGAGTTGTTATAGGCGAGTAGATCCTTCAAGCCCGAGTTGAGCCACACGGACACACCTTGCTTGATCAAGTCGATATCAAACCACCTGCCAGATTGCATGATTGCGTCCAACCTGAAAGTGGTTGGCGCGTCCAGAAGTCGTGTACTAACGTCCATGTGTGCCTCGAAAGCATCGAAGTCGTCTCTCTCTAATGCCTGAACGGCAAGATCCGATTGATCAACGCATGCCTGCTCAGTCAAAAGCAGAACTCTGCTGGGGATGTACTGGTTTCGCTCGATAAATCTGCCATCTTCTCTGTTCGATCTCTCAGATCCATTGGGCATAGCAAACTCTTTGCTACCAGCCGATGCTCCGATGTTGTTGAGTAGAGAGTACTGTTCGCTACCAGCTGATACAACTGTCACTTCTTGCGCATCGCTTTCGATCCCGTTTCCCAAAGGTTGATGGACGGCCTCTAGGAGAGCCCGGAAAGCATGCTCATCAGATGGAGGCGTACTGGGCTCGGCAGCAGGAGCTTGTAGTGCGCCAAGTTCGGGATCAGCCTCTGGCAGGTAGATACCCTGGGCCGTGAGCATGTCCAGGTACATCTGTGAACCATCCTGGAGCTCTGTTGCTGAATCTCTAGCGCTCTCAATTGTTACAGGGTCGAACATCTCATCAGCCAACTCCTTGTATGCATCTGCAGTCCAGCTCAGGAGATCTCCGGAGCTAGTGCTCATGCGTCCCCAGAACATGTTCAGCGCCTTGTACTGAATCTCGAGCTCGCCGAATTTGGGCGTAATCTTTTTCAGATCCGCTATAGAAGATTCGAGTGAGTTCACCGAGGCTTGGGTCTTTGCAATGTCGCTCATCATCTGGCTTTCCTTGGATTCGTATATCTGGTTGACGATGAAGGCCGCGGCGAACAAGATACCCAATCCCACCACGATAGCGGGCGCGGCAACACCGAAAGTCAAGATCAACGCCACAAACGCTAGTAGGATGTCAGCAGATTAGTCAAGTTTCTAGAGAGCGATAAACTCCACACAGTGGACTCACAAACGAGGATAACGATCAAGCTCCAGAATTGAACATCTCGGACCGTCTTCAGGGCATCTTTCTGACTTTGGAGTGTCTCTTTCAGCGCCTTGAGTTGAGTTTCCATCGCTTTCTGCAACGCTGTGAGCTCTTCACTAATGCCTCTCAAAGCAACGCCCATGTTCACAATGGCATTCGAAGCGTTGACCGAAGCTTTGTTGATAGTAGCCGCAATCTTGAGAGCTCCCTTGACACCCCTTTCAACGGCTCTTTTCTGTATCTTTGCTATTTTGTCTTCGTCTTCGGCTTCTTTGGCTTCTTCGTATGCTTTGGCATCGGCTTCCATTAGCTTTGTGAGAGCAAGGTGCTGCTTAGAAGATCTCCGGATAGTGGTAACCAATGGCATTACGTCGACTTGTGTCTTCATGTACTGATCACGTAACTGCTGGATGAGCGATCGGAGATCGAGCAGCGAACCTGGTGAGGCGACGCCAAGGTACGTAATCCCCGGGCAGTCAACAACATGCGTCCATGCTGTGTCTTCTTTCGTGGCCATCTCTTCGTCATCCCCAGCCTTCGAGACCCTCTGTCGCCAGAGCTTGTTGTTCCGAAGCGCGACCAGGCCTTGCTCGTTAGAGCTCAAACCGTCTGTTGATGCTTGCTTGGTTTTGTCCTTAATACTGACCTTGGTAGGGTCTTTTGTATCGACTGTGATATTCCAAGAGAACGAGTTTGTGTCGACCCCAAAAAGCTTTCCTGCATAGTAACAGAGATGTTTCCACTTCACATCGGATGCCTTATTCTTTGGCGTGACTGTCACGTCGCTGAAAGAGACATTGTCGACGAGGTCATTGCCTTTGAAGACTTTCAATTTGCCGTCCGTTCCAGCCACGAAAAGACTGAATGTAGGCACCGCATCGGCAGTCGTACCGGCTGCATGAGCTGCCACTGTGACTAGATCGGCTGCAGGTAAGCATTTGTCACCAACCTTCTTCCAACCCTCAATGAACAGTTTGGGCCAATTGTTTTTGGCATCTACCCGGTTCGCGTCTGTCATGGGCCGTGGTTCCTTCTTCCACACACTTTTTCCAACACTGAGATAGAATGATCCATTGTAAGGAAACAGGTGAACCGTTCCCTGGGCCGTGTCAGCCTCTACAGGTAAGTTGTCGAAGTGCGCCCAGCTCTCTGTGACGGTTCCAGCACCAGTACCCGTGGACGTCTTGTTTAAATATCGGATTTCTCGACCAGCCAGACCGACGATGGGTGACGTATTGAGCGTTGCGTTATATTTGTCCAAGTTGGGCTGAGTCTGTGGACAGTCAGTATTTCTCAGGTAAATTTGGAAGGTGTATTACCAAGAGCTCATCGAAATTGTTGAGAATGGGCGTAGCAGCCGTCACCATGGTCTGCATGGTCAACGCTGCTTTCTTGCCCTTCTCGCCCTTGAGGAAATCGGTGACCTCCTTGATAGCAGCCTGTTGCTCTGGCGTCTTACCGATTGGTTTACTGGCTGTCGGCGCGGCGAAGCCCGATGGATCTGACTGCTCACCCAGTGATAAGGCATTCGCGTCGAAGGCTGCTTTCTCCGTGGCAGCCCTGTTGTTTTGCAGTAAGTTCAGAGACGTATCAATATTAGCCATGACCTATTCTTTTTTAGCATGCAATACCGCATGAACCTGGAATGGGAAGAGCCTGCCTTATTGTACATCTTGGTGTTGTACGCAATAGTTTCAGCATCGTCAGTAGTGTTCCCCCGCCGGACTTCCGTCACCACCTCGTTGGTGACGATATCGAGGAATGGGAGTACCTGGGATGGGGAAAACATCTTGACTTGTAGATTCGATGGAAGCTTCTATCAAAGTGAAATGAATATACCCTGGAGCTGCCGTGACGATGTCGACTTAACGTCTGGTAAGATGGACTTATATACTTGGTTTCTTGGGCATAGGATACAATCCGGACTGCAAGGCATTGGAAAAGGCCCTTTCAGTAGCCGCATTGAGAAAGCGTTGCACAAGTGGCAAGCTGGTCGTCTATCCTAAGTCAATAGTCGGGCCTGAATTTCAGCTGTGTTGGAGTATTGGCAGCCTAAAATGTGTGCGGCTCGATGCAATGATTTGCAGACCTGCACTTCGATGCACACGCAAGAATCTACGGGACAAGATGGACCCTCGATCTAGCCTAGGAGAGATGATAGAAGACCAAACCAGCGACCCGCGTACTCCAAGATACGGAAAGCTCGTTCCAGACATCGACACTGCGACTTGAAGAACGACAAGCCAGTAGTATACCTCAAGCATCCTTGTTCTTACGGAGTACGCTGTGACATGGATAGTAACTGTAGACCATGCGAACCTTTCAGAGCAGCGATACGATCCACGAATGTAGAACGTTCTGGGCACTGTGATGATTGTTGCAGCATTCGCTCGCGAGTTCCTTTTTTGGATTGAATGGCGTGGTAGGATTGAGCTGAAAAGGCTCGAAGCTGAAGAATGAGAAGAAAACCCTAACCTGGCGCCATAACCGACTCGGCCGTCTCCCCAAACCATGTGATTGGCTGGTTTCTTGATAAAGTTGAGGGGTAGCGAGGCGGGAGACGGAAGGATTCCCGCTGAACGACATAAGCCAACCGTGTTTAGAATCACATGGCACCTCCACCCACCACTAGAGTCGCATGCATCAAATTTCAGCGACGCCATGGAGGTGATATACGCATGATGCAGCAGTTTGCAACAAACTTAACAAGCTAAAAGCAGCTCCGCCACGACGACATCCCGCATCAAGAGTAGTCCCTCGCCCAATTCGTGTGGGCGCTCACTGAATAGGCTGAACAGGCTTGATACGCGGGTATGCCGATTTTCATGGCGCCTCTAGAACGTCGCCATTCTCAGATGAGCTTGTGGAGCGACTAGAAGACTGGGAAGCTGAATGTCTACAGGGTCTCGCAGAACGGCCAAGAAGAATGAAGGGGTGGATCTCAGGGCGTCGAGGGCCTCGCCTCGATCGTTGGAGATTCGACAACATATAAGGTGGGTGGGATGTAAGGTAAACATCATTACTCAATCTTCAACCTACAAGTTTCTTACCATCTTCCAAACTGGCTGAAGCATTTGATCCCTGGTGTGGTGACATCGACCAACGTGCAATTACAGCCCTAGCCTCTGGTCATACCAACCCTGTTGTCCCTCCAATGGCGAAGACAATCACCCCCGTCTCGGAGCTCACCAAGTATCCCTGCGACACGCAGGAGGAAGAGGACCCCTCTTTTGGCCCCGCCCCCATCTCCAACTTGGAGGGCACTACAGGTGACAACAACCCGGACGAGCCCGACTCCCTCGTCGTAGGCTACGGTACCATTGTTCCTCGCTGGGATGTCCATCTCACTCAGGGCAGAGTCCTTCACTACTTTGTCCAAGAGGAGAGCTTCACGTCTCCCGACCAAGCGCGATCTGCAGCCAAAACGTTCCAGGAAGCTGCCGATACATGGAATGAGCTCGAACTAGGTGTCGTCATCCAGGAGACGACAGATCAGAACAGCGCAAACTTCTACCTTGCGTATAAGCCCAATCCTACTGTTGGGCCGGGACGCAACACGCTCGCTCGTGCCTTCTTCCCTCACGAGGTCGACCAGGATGTCATCGTCTTCTCGCGTGCCTTTGATGCGAGCGCCAAACCCATCCTCAAGAACATCTTCCAGCACGAAATTGGTCATATTCTCGGGCTACGCCACGAGTTCGCCATCACGGGCGACGACAAGAAGGATATCAAGCCCGAGGGTGAGGGCGCTATTCAGTTCCTCACCAACAATTACAACTCGATCATGAGCTACAACTTCCCTCCCAAGCTCCAGGACAGCGACCGCGAGCAGGTCACTCAGTTCTACAAGCTGAGCAATGGTTACATGATAGGGGGTAGTCCAGTCACCGACTATCAGCCCCAGATTCGACGAAAGAACAGGTAGGATGGTGTGGTATAAGTGCTACGAGGGAACTGGCAAAAACAGTGGTAGCAAGGAACAGCTCCATGGGTTCTTCAGTCTCTCGAAGAATGCTTGTACACGTATCTTGCACAGGTAAGTCATCAGTAGAATGGGAGCTGAGATGCTTGAACATCACCACATCGAGCCGCTGCAGCGTGTAGTATTGTGAAGTGGATAGGTACCTAATGATATTTCATGTTTATGGCAGTACACTAGAACTTCTTCTGTTAGGTGGCTACTATGGCTATCTTCAAGCAATGAGCAGTCCTTTTTTTTGAGCTTTGTCTGCTGCGAAGCGCTCATATATCTGCTGGAGCCAGGCAAGACCATATGTTTTCCTGCTTCTACTTCTTCCACGCAAGTTGTTTGTATGTTGCTGGAATCAGCCTCATATATAAGAACTGGCAGCAACGCTGTACTATCAGCGCTACCGTATGATGCAATCACATCACATCTTTCGGCAAGGTAAACAATCAATATCGAAAGTCTAAGTTCATATCTTTCTCAATATCTGCGTCGAATATGTGTGAGAGTGGGATGAGTGAGAAGAAGAAAAGAACCACATACACACACCCCAGATTCCGCTAAGAACCTAGCCGCTGAACCGCTGATTGCCAACAGATTGATACACATAGAAAAAAAAAACGCCATTGCCAAAAAATGCCATACCCTTATCACCAAAAAAGAAAAAGCGCCAGTGCGTACCATATCCATGCAACATAAAACAGTGTGAAAACGTCATGCTCTTTGCTAACTTTCTTGTCTTTCATTGCGCGGGCCAAACCCAAACGTTATCATTGATGTCGCCTCCTTCTGTTGGCTGCGTGCAGATTAGCTACTCCTCCACCAGGCATCAGGGTCCGGCGACAACGTCTGCGAGGGGGCCGTCGCGTGCTGCCATCGTGGGTGGCGATTTGAGGGTCGTCAGGAGAGACCAATTAACTGAAGTAGGTGTCCTACACCAAGTCTACGTTAAACTTCCAGGTGCCTATAAACGTTAGCAGCATTCCAATGAGGGCTAAAAGACGACTAACCGAGCTTCAGGTTCTCCGCTGTGTCATTGAGGACAATTATCCTTCTCTTGGTGCAGTATGAAGTCTTGTCAAGGATATCGACCTTGAGGTCCTTCAGCTGATCGATTGGCTTCTCGAACATCTCGCTGAGATTCTCGACGGCCATTTCCAGGTCCTTTTGGTTGTCCTCGAAAATCTCTGTGAGATTGTTTCGTGCAAGGTAGTAAGCAAAAGCGTAGGTCCATTTGAGTACCTGTCGGCACTGCTGAAGCGCATGTGAAGCTTGGTCCAGGAACTGCACCTCAATCCATGACATGCCCGACGAGTTCTGCAGTTGCTGCATCTTCTTTTCCGTCTTGAGGTAGAGGTCTTTGTCTAGCTTAGCCGATTGTTCGTGGTTGGCAAAGCGGTTGTAGTAATGAAGGTATCGTTCGAGCGACTGCCGGGACTTGGCCTGCGCATCGCGGGCTTCCGATCCGCTCTTCTCCTCGAAACGGTTGCAATTGTACCAGCTCGTGCCGTGCTCCGACCACTTGCCCATACACATCCAGCAGAACTCGTTGCGACACTTCCTGCATGTCATGTGATTGCACCCTCCATTCTTCTCAATGGTGGAGTTACAGTTTGGGCATTCCTTTGTGTTGGCCGATATCCAGTTGGCTGTCTCCGAGTCGTCCTCGCACTTCTTGACCCATTTCTTCACTAGAGCGCAAGGTGCGGGTTGGTGGTTGTTCAGCGTGCATCCAAAGCAGAAGTCGTGTCCGCACTCGCAGTGCACCGTGGGCACGATCTTGGTGAGATCCTTGCTCTTTACCGGACATTCCACGGCGTATTTGCAATCGGGCGCGGGGCACCACTTGAGGTTTTCTTTATCGTCGACGTAGGTTCGTGTGAGGAGGGTGTGGTATCTGTGATTGTTAGCAGGCTTTGGGAAGGTGGAGCGGCATCGACGTACCTGTCTTGGAGATCTGCTGTAACGAGAAGGTCTAGCGATTTCGAGTCGACTATCCGGGTGCAGCCCTCTCCGGGGCAGCGTATCCGGGCAGCCTCTCCCTCATCTTGAATCTTGGTGCCGAGGTATTGCCTGTAGCAGTCCAAGCAGAACCTGTGCCCACACTTCATGGCAAACGTCCGCAGGTCCTTGTCATCGTCGCAGCAGATGTCGCAGACAAAACCTGGTATCTGCTCGACCTTGGGCGGATTGGTGGTGGAGTCCTGACCCAGGCCTGCTGTCTCGAGGACCTCATCCGTCTTCTCCATGTATTGGTCGATCAAACGTTCCTTGTTCCATCGCAGGTGGCGGAGGAGGATGGCAGCGGCCTCTGGTGGTTGGCCGAGGATGCTCGCAACCTCGTCGATCTGCTTGTCTTGCTGTGCTTGGATCTGGGCAGGATCAAAGACTTTGAAGTCTACTTCGAAGGCCTGCTTGGTGGGCTTGATGTCCTTGTCTTGCGTCTCAAAGCCGACGTCATCTTGCTCCATGTCAAAGTCCGAGTCTGTTGCACGTTAGCATGCAACTATAGTTGGAGCTCAAGGGAATGCGCACCCTCTTCCAGGCCCAGATCGCTGTCCTGGTCGTCGAAGTCGTCGCCGCTCATGGAGCTGTTGAAGTCGTCGTCGGAGTCCATTTTGTCGGCGTGAGTTGCGGGCGTGGCCGGTAGGCTAACAACAGGCGAGTTTGTCTTCTTATGGGGTGGTTCCTCTGCGGGGCTGAGGTAGTTGTCTGCCTCGTCGGCCTTCCGCTTGCGAAGGGTAGTTGGAGGCGTGATGATGGAGATGTCCCGCCTGATGACGGAACGCTAGCTGGACAGGCTGCGGCGGAAGAAAACGTGTGTACAAACGGGCGATAAGGCCTGAGGCGCGCGTGCAGAGTGGCGGTACAGGTGTGGGAGAAAACAAGGGTATTGGTCAGCTGAACAGAAGGGAAGGAGTCACAAGAGTTGGGGAGTCTGGCGTCCAGCAGTCGATTGATGGTCCTATGCGGGCACTCATCGGGTGGCCCTAGCGCCTTTGGGAGGCAACAGCCCAGGGGCGCGCCCGGAACTTGACCGCGCTCTCCACATTTCCGTCTGCCGCCTCACCCACCTAGCAGACCACCTAACGAACTTGGGTATACATTGTCAAGCGCAGAGTTCAATCCCTTGGCGCAAACCACTGCAGTCGCCTTGAGGCAGCTGTCCTGCTCCGTAAGCACCATTGTCTGCTGCGGACAAGAATCGGCCATACATCGCCGCCTCTATAATAGTCTGGCCTATGTCCAGATGAAACCGGCCAACGACATAGACTTTGTTCAACTCATGCTAATTTTGCTTTTCCACACAGCATGCAACAGAAGCTCTCATCTTGTCATAGTACTTCGTTGTAGCACGCACTAATCCTCATCACTCTCTTCCTCGCTCTCGTCCTCACTCTCCATCTGCAAAAAGTCAATCAAACTCTTCGTCTTCTGCCTGACCTTCTCCATGTCCGCATTCTCCGTGCTCTTCTCGTCTTCCCACCACTGAATCATGCCATCCTCTTCTATCGAGTCTAGTTCGACCAGTTTAGTCGATGCACTCAGCAAGATGGCATCGCCGTTCTCCTTGTTGCACAAGTCGGCCTGAAGCAGCAGCATAAAGTCGATCTGATCCGTCTTGCTTTCAGCGTTCTTGTCAAAGATGGACCGATCGATGAGCTCCTTGTGTTGCCCAAAGACCTGCGCAACGGCACTCTTGATTGCCTCGCCCGACTTTGTAAGTTGGGTGACGCGCTTGACGAACGAGGAAACAACGGCACGTCTGACTTGGTGGTCAGAGGCGTTTGTGCTCATACGGAGTGCCGTCAGCTCCAGCTGGATGTTTGCCGATTCGTGGCCTTCGACAAGAGAATCGTAAATACTGGCAGAAGCGTCGTGATCAAAGTTTGCCGCATGTTGACTGTCTGCCGAGCCCACAGACAAGAAACTACTGGTCGCTGATCTGTCATGGCGTTCCATACCCATCATGTCTGCCTCGGAATCCGAGTTGATTGTGGATATCGATTCGTTTGAGAAGTTGTACACTAATCATGTTAGCACACACACACACACACACACACACACACACACACACACGCGGGGTCGGTGGTCTTGGACTTACTGGGACCTCTGGTAGCGAGACCATCGACAAGCTCGTCCTCGTCATCTTCGTCAGAGTCATAGAACTCGAAGCCGTCGCCTTTCTCGCCAACAATCGCAGGATCTGAGTTACCCCGGACAATTTCCTCCCCTTGTTCGCGTCTCCGCTTTGCTCTTGTAATTCTGTGATCTCCTCGTATTGTCATGCCTTCGCTGATGCTGACCCCATATGATATCAGAGCACCGGCTTCGATGGTGCACCTGCGACCTATGGCCACTTCGTTTGCGATGACTGCCTTGGTGACTGTGCTGCCGTCGGCTATGCTGGCATAGTCCCAAATGTATGCGCCGTCGATTTTAACATTTCGACCAATTTGACAATGCCTTCCGATAATACTGTTGGTAATGACGCTCTTCTCGCCTATGCTGGTACCCCGTCCGATGACTGTCTTTCGTCCGATGATGCAATCGCGTGCGAGTATGACGCCCTCCTCCTTGTAGGTATTGCCCTTTTGTAACCGATATGACTGTCCCTGAACAAGATTGCTGTCCGGGCACAACGGGTATGCCCAGCGTGATACAATGTCCTTGCTAACCGAATCGTATGCGTGGAGGTTTCGTACTCGTGCCGCGTAGTGGTCTGAGATGATGTGTGTGTGGAAGGTCTTGCCGTTGAGCTCGTAATCCTTGAGTACGCTGTGTAGGAAGCCCTTGCGAGGCGCTTGGAAATCGAAGTTGTCGCTCCATAGCGCGAGTACGTCGGGTGTGCAGATGTCGATGCCGCAGTCGATCAGGTCCTGGCGTACTTCGACCTCCTGGTGGGTGGAAAGCAGCTCGGGGTCGACGGAGAGGTAGTGCGTCTGGTCGCGGTTGGGCATTTGTTCAAAGTGCAAGCATCTGTCTTTCTGCGGGTCAATCACAAATACCGGACTTGTTCCCTGTGCCTTTGTCCGATGAGTCGCGCCTGCCTCGCGCAGCACCATGGTCATGATGGCGTTCTTGTCCTTGGCCCGCCTCGCTCTGTGCGCTGCAAGCGCAGACTCCAAGGGCAGATTGCTGACCACGTCGCCGTACACCAGGAGGAAGTCTCCCACGAGCAGACCCCGGCTGTCCAGGTCTCGCATCGCGTCACCGATCGAGTGTGACGTCGACTGGATGAGCTCCAGTCGCGAGAAGGGCGAAGACTTGGAAGACCATCTTGAGGCTTTTATGTACTCTTCAACCTGCTCTCTGTGTGCGCCGCAGTATACAAAGACTTCCTCGACGCCGGCGTTGGCGAGAAATTCGAACGTGTACTCGATGAGCGGGGTATTCGCGAGGGGTAGGAGACACTAGCAAGTGTCAGCGTGCAGCTGGCAATCTTTGGGGGCATGCGTACTCTTGGGTGCTCGAGTGTGAAGGGATTGAAGCGTGTCTCGAAGGGGTCCGCGAGTATCTGCAATGTCAGCACAGTCGGCGGCCAAGTACAGTGCGCAACCTACCACGGCCTGCAGCGGCTCGTCGCGCTCCTCCTCGCCCGACTTGCCCTTGTTCTGGCCTTTGTTGCCTTTTGGGGGCATGTTTGGACTTTGGTAGTGTGTTGCGCAAAAGGTGGAGGGGCGCGGTTGGAATTCTAGATTCGTACAAGTCGTGGTGGGGGTTTGGGCTACGACTCCCAAAAAAGCTTCCACGAACTTACAACCACCGCTGAGTCACAAGCCCCCTCGAACCAGGGACCACCACGCAAACCCAGATCTTCGGGTCCCGTCACGTCTCAGATCCTTTAGCGGGGTGGCTCTGCGGGTAAGCCGCTGCAACAGGGCGCATGATTCTCGAACATGCTCGTGCGCGGCCTTTTGGGCTGGCTATCAAGGTCTGGACCACCAGGGAGAACATTTACTCGGGAATGCTTATTGCGACGACACTTTCACATGGGAGGACTGCTGAGCACTGGGATTCTTGTGTCTGAGAAAAGAATTGATCAATTGTTTATCTAACACGTAGGGTATTTTCTGGCAAATGTCCAACCCGGACCTGGCACAATAGATGACCTTGGAACGCCGGAGACCCCAAAGGTCCTGGATACCCTCACAGACAGCTTCCCGAACTGTCCGATCCTTGCATTTATCTCTCCCGTAGATACAAGGGCCGACCACGACTATCGGCTCCAACATGGCGAAACATCTCTGTCCAGCAACGCGATTACGTGCTCCATGCCTGTCAACAGGAAGCCGGTGGCTGTACTCCTTCTTCTCGAATTATTAACATGAAAGTTCCCTCTTCACTGCCTCGCTAACCGACATATCAACGTGGGCGCGGTTGCATTCCTCCCATCTGCTGCTGCATCTGAGGTGGGTACATTTGTTGACGCTTGGCTGGGTTGTTCAGATCGTCACCTCCAGATATCTCCGAGACCTGACGACGGTGACCTGGCGGTAATTGTGCTTGTTGCTGTGGTTGCATTTGCATGTGTGGCGAGGTGTTATATCCCATGTTCCCATGCATGGGATTCACGCCGTAGGGAGTCGGGTGCTGCACTGGCTGGCCGCGCATTGCCTGTGCAAAATCGTCCGGAACTGTGGTACCAACTGGAGAAACGCCCGGCATTTGGTTTGGTGAGTTCCAGTTGCTGACAGTCTGGGGGGACTTGGCCGGAGAGTCCTCTTCCTTGAGAACCAACTGACGTGCGATTTGCACAGGTTGAGGTGCAACCATAGATCCGTCAGCTTGAGCTATTGGCTTCTTGAGGTGCACAAGGTGTTTTTCTAGCATGTGCAATAGACCTTCTTTGGTGAATGGCTTAGGGAGAACGTCGTTCATGCCTGGGGAGGTTAGCACTTGTTATACATACAGATGAGCCGGTCTTACCATGTTGGAAATACATTGAGATGTCGTCGCTTCGGATGTTGGAAGTCATGGCAACGATAGGAGTAGTATCGAATTGTCGAATCAGATGGCAGGCTGACACACCGTCGAGGTTCGGCATGATGATATCCATCAAAACCAAATCATACTTGGATCCAGCGTTCATTTTGTTGACCGCCTCCAAACCGTCGAGCTTATTCGAGTCAGTATGGAGTCTGGATAGCACGGGAAGATGACTTACAGCACTATCAATGGAGCAATGGAAGGCGTACAAGAACTTGCTTCCGATTCGACGACAAGTGGGATCGTCTTCGACCAGCAAGATCTGGGGAGGTCTGATCCACCCTGGGTCTGGGATGGTATTCTTCTTTCTCGGTTCTGGAATTCTGGGCTCGCTGACCTCGGCCGCTTTCGGCGGAGCGGCATACGGGATGTTGTTGATATGCTCGCTGTACATGGGGTCGATGCCGTTATTGGAACCGACGGGATAAACAAGGTTGTCGAGGTTTTCTAGGCGCATTGAGTTGGTGGAGGTTGCAGATGGTGGACCGCGGCTCGTCGGTCGTGCTGCTGCTCGCGCGAAGTCGGGCGGTGGCGTTGTTAATGTCCCGTTCATGCGCATGGTGATCTCGTTCATTTGCTCCAAATTCCGGGGGTTCAGCATGGCGTCCGCGTTCGTCTCGCTGAGAAGCTTAGAAGCGTGCTGCAAGGGCGAAGCAGGGTTGTCGTCATCCGTGTTGGAAGGAGGCTCCATACTGCCGTTCTGCGAGTCGGCGCCGTTGGGGAAGATAAGTTTGCTGTTTCTCCTCTGTGTCGCGTCGACACCATGTAGGAAAGTCATGATCTGCTGCATAACATGCTCGTGGTTGACGACCGTTTTTTGTAGCCCAATGACCTCCTGTAGAAGCATGGAATGGTGGATGCTCAGTTCACTATAGCGGCTCTCCAGCGCATGCAGCTGAGCTTGTGTGGCCATCAATTGACCGCTAACCATGTCCATCTGTTGTGAGGGTGCGAACTCTTCGGCGGCGGCTTGGTTTGGTTTTCGCGGCGCAGGAGCCTTTCGACGGATGTTGTCGAGCGCATCTTTGTTGTTCATCTTGAAATCAGGGTGCTTGAACTCCCAGGCCTATTGGCTTGTTAGCTAACACAATCATGAAGATATGCAGGAATGCCACATACTCCTGGCCCATAGGGCGACTGCCCATTCTCTTCGTTGTTATGACGGACTTTGTGGAAATCGTATTTGTTCAGCTGGCGGACGAAACTAGCAAAGTTGCTGTGTTTGAAATGCTTGGGAAGTATGTGTTTTGTGAACTTCTCGTTCTGTCCGTTGGTTAGCAGGTGGATTAGATTGGTACGTATACGAGGCGCATACTTCTAGGACAACGAAGCTGTCGCCGTCATTCCCCCATCGCACAACACTCTCGTCGCTCGGGTTTTCCAACATCCTAAACCATGTTTTAGCACGCCGTCACGTCGCGCATGGGCGCGTCCACCTACTTGTACAGCTTGCGCACAAAGTCGCTGGAGTTGTTGGACCCTCCCCCACCAGCTTGATTGGGATCCATGATGCAGGTGGATTGACGACTGTCGTGGGCGAAGAAGCCGTCGTTGGTAACCCGTGTTGATGCGCGACGGCACCGGATGAGTCTCGTCGATGCCGAAATGCGATAGCAAATTCCCCGTCACAGTCTTCAGTACCTGGAAGCGACTGCGATCGAAGCTACGGAAGACGGCGCGCGAGGTTCCGGCGGCGCGTTGTATGCTATGCGCTTAAAGTTTTGCTTAGCCGCAGGCGACCGGTGTTGGACGAGCGATGACGAAATTTCCCAAAACGGGCGCGCCTTGTTGCAGGCTGACGACGGAGTGCGATGGGCGAGATCTGGACCTTCAAGTGTAAGAGACAGGGAGAACATGGGCACATTGGCTCGTGGCTTCTGCGCGGGCACTTGGGAGCTAAACGGGCCTAAAGCAGGTTAACCTTGGGCTTGAGAGGAATGCAGTTGGCAATGCGCTAGCGGGCGTCGTGCCGAGGGAGACGAAGCAGGGGGGGAATGACAGGACACGGGACACGGGGGTGAAGACGCCTGAGTCGTGGGTGAGGTCTGCACCGCACACACACGCTCTCCCTCTCGACGGTGGTGCGATATTACACTGCTTTTTCCAGCGTATAGCACAGTTTTGATCATTCTTTCGCCCATGGTCCTTCTGGCTCATGTCTCCACTGATTACGCCGTTGACGAAACATCACCGGCTTGAGGCACGATCGGCATAGCACCGAATAGCTTACGCTAAAGCTGGTGTGGGTCGATAGGTTAACATCATTATCCGCAATTTGCTGGTGCAGGCAAGACTAGTCTGTACATACGACAGCTAATTATGGACACGAGTATCAGTATGCACATTTGTCGATATTACTGAGGTACTGCGACCGCGGAGGCGCCCATGTAGCATACTTTTGGATGAGGGAGATGCACACGTGCTGCGTAGAGGGAAGTGAGCTGGTGGGTGCGCTTGCCGTCTTCCGAGAGCAGTGACACCGGCAAAACACGTCGTACCCCCACTACCTCAGAAGCTCGTCACCGTCAAGTGCACACGTGCTCTACACCCACACCACGCCCGACATACACACTTTCTCCTGCATACACCATGTTCGCTACCGCCCGTCGCCTGCCCCTAGTGCGTCTCGTCGCCAGTCGGCGTCTATTTCACGCCTCTGCGCCTGCATTCGTCAATGTTGGAGACAAGCTGCCTGACGTTGAACTCGTCGAGGGTTCTCCGGGTAACAAGGTCAACCTAGCAAAGGAGTTGACCGGCAAAGGTGTCATTATCGGTAATTAACGTCTGGCGGGTCTCGTTGACAAAGCTGCGTCTGACAACTGCCAAAGGTGTTCCTGCAGCTTTCTCGCCTTCATGCTCCGAGAACCATATCCCCGGCTATATCAATTCTCCTAAGTTGAAGGATGCCGGCAAGGTGTTTGTTGTTTCAGTAAACGATCCTTTTGTGTAAGCAGATTCTTCTTGAAATCCGCCATATTCTCAACTGATCGGATGTAGCATGAAAGCATGGGGCAAGATGCTCGATCCTTCAGGCTCCAGCGGCGTAAGTGTTACCTTGTTCGCCCTTCAGACATTGTGGTGTTGACATTGATAGATTCGCTTCTTGGGAGACCCCAGCCTTGGCTTTACAAAGGCGCTTGATCTCTCTTTCGATGGCGCCTCCATCTTCGGAGGTGATCGTTCGAAGCGATATGCTCTTGTGATTGACAACGGTACCGTCAAAGCAGCACACGTCGAGTCTGATAACACAGGCTTGAATGTTTCTGCAGCAGACAAGGTCCTGTAAAGAGTTCCTGACAGGCTGCATAAGAGACGAACAAATGTGCATCTAGAATTCACGGAATGGACCACGATCGCCTAAAACGATAGCGGAGGTCATCAACCTAAATGAAAGAACCAGTACAATACATCTACATGTACGAAATCGCTCATCAACTTTATACGTCTCGGACTACTATTACTGGTTGACTATGGTATCATGGACCTTTATCATACAATACTCCAGTCACGTTGCAACCACTAATTGTGCCTCCAAATCATCAGGCCATTCTAGCTTCTTGTAAAGTTTCTCGGTTCCATCTCCCTATGCCTTGGCTAAAGAAGAAAGACAATGAGTCTGTTAGAATGTTTGACTAGACTCACGAAGCGCGACCAACGCTACTTCTTATATAGAGATATTAGTTCTACAAGCCTTTTGAACGCCTTGGAAAAGGTAAATTGACGTTGATTGCCTACTAGGAGATACTGATTGAAATAGCACAATAACCGCTAAGCTTCAGCCACATTGCGCCATCCTCCGACCCAATCCCCACAATCCCTGTAAACGTTCTACACACACAGACCACGGTCTACTTCTTGCCAGCAAATGCGCAAGACCCGAGATCGCGCTTCTCAGCGGGAACATGCGGACTGATGTCAAAGTCGAAGATGTCCATCGGCAAACCTATAGTCGTACATGCATTGGGGATATCGACTATACCAGCTATGTGACCTTGAACCGGGGCGCAAGAGAGCAAGAGATAGATCTGGTAGTCGCTGTACCCTGTGCTATCGTTAGTAAAGGATATCTGAGAAAAAAGAAACTTGATGAAACCTCGGGCCAGCGCCCCTTCGCCACTACACTCCTCAAACCAAAAAAAAACCAAAAGGCCAAGGAATCTAGAATTGGCAGAGACGAGCGCGGAACATGGGAAGAGAATACGTGCAAAAAACGCAGAAAGAAGAATTGCAAACTCACCAAATCGTCTCAAATACTCAATTACCCTCAGACAAGTTTGTCGGTACGCAACCGTCGCATCGAGATAGTGCTGTTTCCCGTGTTCATCCACACTGAAGCCCTCGAAGTAAATATACCTTCCAGGACCAAACTGCGGTTCGACGGGGCCTGGGATGTAAATTGGACTCTTCATATCGAGTTGCTTCATGCCGCCTTTCATGACGCTGAACTTGATTGTTATGACGCCTGCCATCTCGATTGCGCCGCAGAAGGATATCTCGCCGTCGCCCTAGCAGGTGGAAAGATGAATGTCAATTTCAAGGTCACGTATAGACTTCCTTGGAATGAGATGTGAAAACTTACCTGACTGAAATGTAAATCTCCAACACTAAACTTTGCACCCTTGACATGCACCGGCAAGAAAACTTTAGATCCCCTCGACAAGTTCTTGATATCACAGTTACCCCCGTGTTCAGGACGACCTGGAATAGTGCGCGCGCCTTCTTTGGCAATCTTCTCTTTTACAGATCCTGTTGCAGAACCTGCGTGGGCGTTCTGAGGCTCAGGCGGTTTAGCCACGTCGCGGTTCAGATGGGTGTGTGTAGAGATGAGTTCGGCTTCGCGAGTGTTCCAAGTCTCCAGGACTTCGGCAGAGGGCGCGCAGCCTAGAACTAGAAAACGAGAAAAGGATGAGGTCAGCGCTGAATTCGGCATTTTGTGTATGCATGTGAACAAGGATAACTTACTGCCAGGGTGAATGAGGCCTGCAAATCTCACGCCGGGAATATGGCGAGAGCTACAGAAGATGCCTTCAAAGTCCCAGATGGCCTTTGCCCTGCCGATATATTAGTCCACCTCTTCGTTCAGCACCTCTCTCACTATCTTTGCCCTCCAAAAAAAAAATCAACACTTACGCCTCAGGGTAGAGTTCATCCAAGAATCCACCGCCATTGTCCTTTGCAAACACACCTGTAAACCCCCAAGGCTGGTCCTCTAACGGCTGTACATCTTGAATGTCGACAGCGAGGACGTCACCCGGCTCTGCGGTTTCAATATCGAAAGGTCCGGTTAGATAGTGAATCTTAGTAAGGTCGACATCCCGCACATCATCTGCAGAGTCATTGTTGCCGATTTGACCACCAGTCCAGTCTACGCACTCGATCTTGACGGCTTCACCGGGCTTGATAGTGGCGAACGAGGGGTTTTCGGGGTGCCAGCGGTTCTAAAGAACAAAAAGACATGTATTAGAGTAGCTCAGTAAACTGCAGAATGATTCGACATACGTGCAGGCACTCTTGCTCTGATGCTGGCTTGTCCAGTGACACTTTCGCTGCATAGCGGAGACCTTCTTTACCCATATTGAGGATCTGGGGTACACTGAACTGGAAAGTGAAAAGAAAGAAGGAGAGGGTATGCTGTGTAGATCAGAGAACAGTAAGAAACGCGTCTAGTCGCGCGAGAGGGGAACGTCACGCATATGAAGACAACAGACGCGGGGAAACAGTAACCTCAGCCTGTCAATTGTTATCTCGGATATAAGGATACGTGCCGAAGACAAGGCCGAATGCCATATCCACCAACTATTACTACAAGGCGGGTGATAAGCTCTACGATACGCGGCTGTTACGTTACGTATCATCGGACGGAGCTGTAAGCTACCTACCACAATGGGACGCGTTGACCCCACTGCGGGGTATAATCATAATAGTACCATCATCGTACAGCGGCCAGATAGCGTGACAGCTAGATACACCTGATTGCCGACGGCGCACATACTAGCTGCGAACTATTTCCAAGGTGCGAGGACGTGTCTTCGTCATGTTGAACGGGAGGTCCCCGCTTGCGTGGAGCTAGTCGTTGAGGTTTTCAACGTCATCGCAACCTAGCTAAACGTCTTTCGTGGTGTTTGCCGTACTTCGGATTGGAACTGGGGTTTGTGCATTGCGAGATTGTACTCATCCATGTGCTGCCATGGCAGATTTAGGAACTCGTGTTTGTTCTTCCAGCGCAATGACTCTTCCTTGAACTTCTCAGCTTCGGTCGGTGGCAGCGGCGGCTCTGTGATTTTGGTGATGAGGTATGCCGTCGACGCTTCGGCGAGGCCGTAGATGAGGACGCCTACGAGGGGTATCTTAACGAAGACGTAGAAGCCCAGACCAAAACCGAAGAGCACGCCAGCTCGATCTTTGAACCATAGTTTCTTCTGCTCTTTGTTGTACCGCACGCGTGTGAAATAAGGTTCAAGCTGTCTGAGGTTAGAAGTGAGACTACAAGGTCTGCTGTCAAGGTACATACCAGCTCACGCATAAGCGTTCGTGACGAGAAGTAGGCCTGCAGAAAGCTGACCAGATATCTGCGGGGAAAGAGCAGTGACCCCGCAAAGATGGCCGCTGCTGGTTGCGTTCCCACCGACTTTTTGAATGTATAGAAACTGGCGGCGGGTAGCACAAAACGTCCTACATATGGAACGTACGACAATGCTAATACTCCCAAGGAAATGGCAGCTTTCCTCCCCTGCTTCGTTGCGTATATCATGACAGCCTGTTTGATTGGCTTCTTCTCTTTGTCGACTCTGGGTGCGTGCTCGGGGTATTTCTCAAGGTTTGGATAGTACATGGCGCGCAGATTGTGGGGGTCTTCGGTCTTGTGCTTCTGCACGTAGGTCTCGTCCACCCAACGCAGGGAGTCCATGAACCTGAAGGTTGCTGTCAGCCAGTGCTACAGATGAGTGACAGGTATGCTTACATTCGGTCCAAAGTAGGAGTGACGTAGCGCATCATCGTCATGAGGAAGAAGGGTACCTGGAGTACGGTGTGCTCAAGGAAGTGGAGGCCATTCACGACGCTTTCATCCATGTGGGTATGGTCCATGTTGACGAAGAGGGAGAGTATCCATAGTAGCACTCTTACACCTTGAATCTGGGCATGTCAGTGGCCGTGTTTGCTTGCCTGGTGGAGGAGACGGAGCGTACGGGTATGGCGACGATGACACGGATAGCGATGCCTGCAGCTACAGCAATAGCAGCTTGGCGGTAGTGGTCCGAGGTGAAGAGACCCGGGTTCTGGAGAGCCCGATTGACTGTCGGGGCGTGTTAGAATGGAGCTGTCATGACGATACCGTGATGGGCAGGCCTTACCACCGACCAAAGTCAGCTGGGCTCCCCGCAGGATGGCATTAGGGTCGAAGTTGGATACATCGAACTGGGACAGGTCGATTTTGTCCATGTTTGCAAGGTGAGGGGACTACCAGGCAGCTTGGTGTTGCAATCAGGCCAGCAAAGCTAGAGCTTGACTCCACGTCGACGACTTGTGCGAACGCCTGCGAACTGGCGGAGCAATGACGTCGTGCTAGCAGTCCACGGACCCATCCAGCTGCGCGTGTCGCAAACAAAGAACGCGTCGTTGGAAGGTAGCGCCTGCCACGACGACAATGCTACTTCTACCAGCGCCTAGCATTCCATAGTCTGTAGGCTGCATGAAGGCATCTGGACGCGGGCGGGGTTCTGACGCTCCGCTGATCAGCTTGAAACTGAATTCGTCGCTGTGGCCCAAGCGCGTATCCCATTCCGAAGCAAGGGACTTGGTTCGGCTTCAGCCTTCGATTACCCACCCAACTCAAAAGTAACTATTGTAATACACCCCTCTGCAAGCGCCGGCCGCTGTCTTCTCTAGGGAGCCTCTACCCTGACCTCACTGGGATAGCAATGTCCATATAGCACGCCCATTATGACGATGCCGGCTTCATCCCAGCATGCGCATCCTGAGCACGCGCCGTCCGCTCTCAACCCCAGCAACTCCAGGCGCAGCTTCACGCTCCCCTCGCGCGCGACACGGAGGACTGAGTCGGTGCCCGCGTCGAGGAACACGACTGACGGCATAGAGACGCTGTTCGTGTGCTCCAACTCCAAGATCTTCTCCTTTACCACAGCCGGACCCGCTCGCCGGCTTTCGCCCTCCCGTTCAGGTGACACGTCGCATCCGATACCATGGAAGACGCCTACAGAGCGCACACTCGCAGTCGGTATGTCATCCCACCTGCCACCCAGCCTGAGGGCTGTCTAACGTATCACAGGGGCTCTTCGCATCTATCGCGTGACAGCCTCCAACGTCTCCTTCCTCAACAGCGGCAACCTCCTGCACACAATCTTCCCCCGATCCCAGATATGGCTTGTCGACAATCAGTCCGTCTTTGTGCTACGCATACGGCAGGACTCTTACTATCGCATCGAGCTCCCCTATGAGACTGACGAGGACAAGGTCAACATCACGCACTTCAAGTCGGTATTGGCGCAGGTGATGCAGTACGAGAGGACACAGTGCCCGTTCGCGCGAGGATTTGAGGTCGTCGCAGAGCTTGAGCGTCCAAAGAGTCCTCCACGCAAGACGATCAAGAGGAAGCCTTCGGGACAGGCAAAGAAGTGGGTCATGGATAAGACCTGGGTACCACAACAGCATGGCTCAAGGCCTTCTACGTCTGGCACTGATCGCTCAGAGACTGCTACTACCTCTTCATACGACGAGGACGACCGGTCGAGCGTCTGTACCGACAGTAGCGAAGTAGTATCCGCGGCCCCTGAGGTCCCTTTAGCGACAACTACACCCAGACCCCTCGCGTCAAAAGCGCCCCCGCGCCGCCTGTCAGTGGGAGAAAGGGTCAGCATGTTTCAAGGGCTCCGCTCGGCAACTGCGCCCATCAAGATGCCCAGGAGAGAATCCGTGTCTGCCATGGAGCGCATAGTCGAGTCTCCTCTCTCTCCTCCGGCGAAGCAGTCTAGCGAAGCCGATAAACCCATCCTTGAACGTCAAATCTCAGATGCCCCCAGTCTGGCCTCGAGTATGGACTCGTTCTACTCTCTGAATACTGCCACACCTTCTCCAAAATTCCTCGATGCCGATGCTGATACCATAAACCCATGGGCGAACACCTTGTCTAAGCAAGAAGACGAGCCGAGGGGACGTTCAACACATCGACGCCAGGTATCAGAGGTTACCGTTCGTGGTCCGTCCACCGAACGTACCGATCCATCCGCACCTGTGACGCCTACAGTCCCATACTATTCCTCCACAACTCCCTCGATCGATGTACGGCCTTCTTCTGCGCCATCTACACCACCGCTTGTAAGCGATTCCGATGATGACAGTCTTGGGCGTGCGAGCATAGATATTCCCACGCCGCCTGACGCAATCCGCATGAGGAAGCTTACAGGGGCTTCGCAGAGGCGCGCCTTTTCTCCTATGCCGCCAGCCCAAAACCTCTTCTGTCCACCAAAGCACAGCCCTCGCAAGGACTTCACAAATGCCCTGGTACGCAAGACATGCGAGCTTGTTCTTGGGCCACCTGCACACTTGGTTTCGGTCATGCTTCGCATCGCTACAAGCATCTCGAATGGCTTTGGCTTCAACACGTACCGTGTGCGCCGCGCAGAAAAGATCCCATGCGCCTGGGAGTCAGATGACGAAGCTGACTGGGTTGAAGAAGACGACTTTGGCATCCCGCTCAACAACATGGGAACTCCGGCGCTACGTCGACAGACCTTCTCTGGTGAAGTCGACTGATGGACCTGAGACAGACCACGTGCAGATGGTGCTTTTTTTTATGTGCATATTCACTGATGATACCAAGCGTTTGCATTTCATGTTGCATCTAGAAGGCGAAGGGCATGCTACTTTGTAGTCGTCTCTGTATTACGTTGATGTTTTTATTAGAATAAAGGATTGTAATGTGGCGGTACGTAGGGTGGCAGAATAGTATAGTTTCGAGACGCAGTCTTCGCATGGATGAGGATAGCAGTCTACACACCGTCTTTGGCTGGGCGAACAGCATCACTGTGGAGCTGAGACCATAATACCATCATATCCTTGCTATGCTGAAGCTTGCATGGTGGTCGAGACCTGTCAGCTTGCGCTTCAAGCACAGTGTGGTGACACTACGTAACATGCTCTGTTGCTCCGTCAGACCCGGAAGTAGCTCATAGAGATGACCTCAACTGGACTCAACTTGCACCTCGCTGCCGTCCGTCATGGCGAGCGATGCATGTGGTATGACATGACCCCTGACGTTGAAGACGGTTGACTACCAAGAATCTCGATCCCAAGGTACACTCCTAGGGAAGGCGTTGCCGGGCCTGGTTCCTAGCGCCCGACTTGCCGGCCTTGGATCGATGACGAGTTTCGTCAGGTACGACAGATTTCAATGCTCACCCTCCCCAACTCCACAGCTCCATCAGCCCATCAGCGCCAACCCACTCTCGTGCGCATCTCGAATTACTTGCATGTCCTCACCTGAGGAAAGCTGTTGGGACTTGCGCGTGATCGCCCGTCCCGTGGGGCATTTAAAATGAGGATGCAGGGTTATGGGTCCTAGCCACGCTGGCAAACCTTCGATCGCGTCCAGCCAGACTTACCGCAACTTGCAGCGCCAGCGTCTTGTCCAATGACGTCTAGCGCTGGCTCGCCTGTTCCGCCTGTAAACAAGGACTTGACCGACTAATGGATTTAGTAGAGGAGGCGGGTGATCCCACCTTTCCTGCTTAATATTCCCATGGAACCCTCAGCTTCGTGTCAGGATTAGACACCCGTCTCGCTTGAGTACGCCCACCCACCTACATATCCCTCTTCGCTTCGCACTGCCGTCGCGTTTATTATGAAAAGGAAGATGGCAGAAGACGACCTCGATGTCTTGTTTGAAGAGACATTAACGCTATGCGAAACACCTCCCGTTCCGCGACGCCATCCCAACCGCGTCGTAAAACAGTACAACAAATCGCTCCCCACAGCGCCAGCACACAAGTCCGAGATGGAGATGAAAGGACCGGCCATGTTCCACTTTGGAGGACAGACTGAACTGTCCCCCAAGCCGCTCTTCAACAGAAGCAACTCGTTGCCCTCGAAATCAACACGGCCATCGCTACCGTCTCGCCCATCCGAACCCTTCCAATTCAACCCCGACGACATTGTCAAGAGCCCGACACCGTTATTTGGCAGGAGGAACACGCTCCCATCCAAAGTGCGCCGTGCTGTCGCCGCCGAAAGAAAGCCATCACCGCTCTCGCGCAGAGAGGACGCGCCACCCTCCGCACCGACCCACACCACCCCCAAGGAACCCACGTCACCAGCGCTGGCACGAAAGGATCCCAACACCAAGACCACTCCTAACCCCAAAAGCAACTCCAGCAAGGCGCCCTTTGCAACTCCACAAAGGTACCCAGGTGTTCGTGTTGTCGACATCAAAAGACCATCGCCCCTTTCTGGCAAGGGCAGTGTGCGACGACCCGGTCCTACCCGCTTCACTCCTGCGGACCCCGTATCGCCGATAGTCCTGTCACCTGTCATCTCCAACAGCAACAGCTCAGTAGCTTCGTCGCCATCGCCGTCTGTCTTCTCCGACTCGGCCTCTTTCTGTGCATCGAGCCCCTCAACACCCGCCACGTCACCACCCGGTTCGCCAACAACACACGCACGCTCGCTAAGTTATTTCGCGCCTTCTCATTGGACTATCAAGCCTTCGCCTTCGCCGATCTATGTCCCTAGACAAAAGTTGAGGAGGAAGGACAGCCCTCGCATGGAGACTCTGCGCACTCTTCGAGCCAAGGAGTCAGATGCAATGTTGCAAAAGGAATACGACCAACATTGGGAACAATACCGCAACAAACTATCCGTAAGTCATCGTCGCGCACTACTGCCTACTTCGTCCGCTAACCTGCGTAGTTAATGACCGGCGGACTATTCTCTGCTGAGCGACTTTAACGACTACGAATAACGATTTTAACGACTTGAACATGAAGGCATCCACGGCGTCACCGGGCATTTGATTATAATACCCAGGGTTTGAATATTTGGGCGCAATTCGATGCATTTGGGTAACCGATCTGCTTTACACGGTCGCTTGCATTCAGCATATTGGTACACACATGTAATCTAATAGAGCACAGGGCCTTTCAGCCCTGGTTTGCATTTCCAACACATTCATCGACGTCTCAGAGCGATCGAGGGGCGCACATGTCGTTACTGCGGAGCCTCAGCGCGGCTTTCGTTCATGCAGAGCTTACATCACCCCCGCCTGGCAGCTGACCTTTGAAAGTCACAACTACGCCGATCAGCCCCATCACACAGCGCCAGTGATTGGTTGACGCTTCTGACACATTACAGCCTTGGCTGCCTACTTTTCCCGCTGCACCCGCCACATGATACCTATCTCGCTAGTTGATTCTACTCCTTGTCGCCGATGTTGTTATCGAAATTCAGGGTCGAAATGTTCGAATGTACATTACTTGTGCTATATCCAGACCGCCTGCGCCGCATATCCGTAGTGGCGCAGCGCGTAGCCTTATTCTGTACAAAGGTGGGCCTGACCTAGCCACACAAGGTAAGCAGGCGCGTAAGATGGCCCCCGAAACCCATACGCTTCGAGTATCTTCATGTACGCATTGACGCCGTACAGCACATAGTACTGTAGTATGTGTGGGGTGTGGCACAGGACTTATAGGACGCTTGGTCCCGGCTTCTAGGGTTTGGTGGTATCTCGAGATTCCGCCTTGTCTGGCGCGTCATTTGTTTCATACGACATATAGAATTTGGCCCGTAGCGCAGCCTTGTAGGCAACCTTTCCACTCTGCATACGTTTTGCACACCTGACTCACTTCGTGTCGTCGCCACTGGAATACTATCAACCTAGGAGAGGCCGCCTCGTGACAGTTGATGCTTATGAGTCGGAGGTGGATTTAGAAGTTCGACTCGGTTACACCCTCGATACAACCTACACTCGCAAACAAACATCCTACGATCCGCCCCAACGCATACGTATACTTCCCGATCGACACCTGGAACTCACCTGAACACACGACCCGCCCGTTTGGGCGCCTAAACACCATGGATTTTTCGAACCCCGAGAGAAATCCAAATGCGCCGTTACGCCTGCTATCGTTGGATGGAGGAGGTGTACGAGGACTATCGTCGTTGCTGGTACTCGAGAATCTGATGGAGAATATAGCTTTGGAGGAGAAGAGACTAGGAAGGAGAGCAATGAACGACCACGAACCGCTCAAACCATGTGACTACTTTGATCTTATTGGCGGAACATCGACGGGTGGAATCATAGCTATCATGCTTTCGCGGTTACGACTAAACTGCAAAGACTGTATTGCGGTGTACAGTAAACTAGCTGAGCAGATATTCAAGCACGACAGATCGCTCAAGGCCTTTGGCATGAAGATCCCAACAGGAGCCAGTCGCTTCTCAGGCACCGTCCTTGCAAACGCCATCAAGACTGCACTGAAAGATCTAGGTTTCGATCCAAACGAACTCATGTGGGATGAAGCACTGTTTGAAGAGGTGGACGAAGCGAATGATCTACCCAGGGACAGCATCTGGGCAGACGCAGCACCAGCACCCCTTATCACAGAGAGCCCAGTAGCCACACTCAAGAACTCAGAATGCTCGTTGGCCTCCGGACCCCCCGACAGCATGGATAGCACCATAGCTCCGTCAACATTGTACAGCGACAGTCCATTTGGTCCCAGAAAACCGATGCGAAGCGCAACCTGGAAACTGCACCACCGGCAATCCGTCCACAGAAAAGCAAACGCAAAAGGCTGCCGCGGTTTTGTCCTCACGTCTCTCAAGAATGCTCTAGGTCTCCCCAGGATTCTCTCAACATACGACCCCAACGACCGAACGACCCGTATCTGGGAAGCCCTCCGCGCCACCTCTGCAGCACCAACCTTCTTCGAGGAAATGCAATTCGGCACACCAAAAGTTACCTACCTAGATGGTGGCGTAGGCTTCAACAACCCCTGCGCAGAAGTCGACTATGCAGCAAAAGCCCTCTGGGAAGGCCGCTCAATCGGTGTCATAGTTTCCGTAGGAACAGGTCTACAATCCATACCCAGCGTAAAGAAAATGGCATCCTGGCTGCCGTTCGGCCTCGGAACAGACATATCCATTGCAAGCGCCCTCACCGGAATGGCCACATCCACCGCACGCGTCGACAACGAAATGAAGCGCATGTACAACAACAGCGACACAAAGTACTTCCGCTTCGACGTTGATCGCGGGCTCGCAGACGTCAGTCTAGAGCAGTGGATGAAGGAAGATGAAATGGCGTCCTTAACCGAACTCTACATGAACGACGGCGAGCAAATCCGGTCGGCCAAGGACTTTGGCCAACGCATGGCTAAACTCTCGGCGCTCCCGCCCAGATTCGAAATCAGTGCTAGTCACTTCCGGCTTGGAATGACGGGACGCGGTTTAATGGATTCGTCGTTTCAACTCGCGCAGGTGGATTTTAAAACGGGGATGCCGCTTGGTGTAAGCCCGCATCTAGAAGATCTACCGAAAATGTCACAATACCGTGATTTATCGCCAAGTGGGGAGAGCGGTCTTGCGATTGACAATGAGACGGGGAGGTTGAAGAGGGTTTACCCTGTTGCCGAGGATCTGGATCATGATGGGCGACGCGAGGAAGCGGCAGTGTATCAGTGTATCAAGGCTGATAATGTTTGTCTCCGGACGATCAAGACGGGGATTCCGCAGGGGAAATACAAGGTCCAGTTCCTCGTCTCGTTTCACAGTTGTTCGTATACACCGCCTCGGGATCTCGTCTTTAGCGTTGGGAAACCGTTTGATCCGAATACGTTTTCGCAACGCTATGTTGATGTCAAGATTACGCCGGATGTGGGCAGTGTGTTGTTGCATCCGGATGCTGTGAGGGTGAGGGTGGGGTCGAAGCGGTATGAAGAGTTTAAGGGGAAAGGGTGGGTGGAGATTGAGGGGGATATCGAGGTTAGTGTAGGGTTGGATGGGGCGCTGGGGTTTATCGTCAGCAAGAGGTTTGAAGAGGGCGTCTTTGTTGATGGCTGGAGTTTTGGCGGTGTGAGGTTGGAGCCTGTTTTTGGGAGTGCGCCGGTGCGGATAGATAGTCCGCGGATTTTGACATGAAGGCACACGGTGATTGACAGAGAGAAGGAATTGTATATTCTAGGAACTCGAGTTCGGTCGCATTACAGAGCCTAAGTAGAATTAATAATGAGAAGTCCATCCAAGCGATCAAGACTACAATATTTTGATATTAATATGTAGCTATAGATACAGTAATCTGCGTCGGGATGACAACAAGGATGAAGATCCAGACAAACAGGACGATGCGACTTCCCCTGGTTGACCCGATGTACAAAGCGGCGATCAACACGGTGGGTAATGGGAGAAGGGCGACGGTACCGGTATCGTCCGGTACCCAAACAAACAAATTGATCATCATCGCCACAAGGCATACGATCATCGCAATGATGCTCAGCTTATGGCTCTTTATCCAAGCTATGGCATCCCACTTCTTGCCGCCTTCCCCGTTGGGAAGTATTGGAGTGTTGTATGAGATGGATCCTCCGCGTAGATCGTTTTTAATGCGTCGTCGCAGCTTTGCTTCGGTCAAAGCAGACACATCGTCGCCCTCTTCTTTTGTAGGCTCGTTCATTTGCTCTCGCATCGCGGCTGCAAGTTCGAAGACAGCTTTATTTTCTCCTGCCACGTCTTCTCTGCTTCGCCCTCGTTTCTTCATAACCATGCAGGCTCTGATCCACATGGTGAAAAGTCCAAGAGTCCAGACTATGTGGAAGATTACCATAATGAATAGTTGGATGTATGAGAATCCTCATTTGTAGTCCTATACGGTTCAGTTAGAGAATGAACACCTGAGTGACAACAGACATACCAGCGCAGCCTGACACTTCCCATTCTCTTGTAGGTATTTGAAATTGTACGTTTTGTTATCGTATGCCCATAGCATTTCCGATGGATCGTTAGTGATTCTAAAGAATCGGTCTTCATAAAAAGTATACTCTGAAGAATCCGTTTTGATCAAAGATAGCGCTGAGATGTTGAGTGTAGGTGGCGGCAGAAGTTGCCCCCCAAAGGTAGAATTTATCTTGTCTCCTCTGTTGAAGCCGTACTCTGCAGCGTCTGTATGGAAATCAGCGATAGCCACTTAGTTCTACATAGTGTAGCTTACACCTAGATACGTTGCGCTGCAACTCACAGGTCGTACTGTTAAATTCCCTGTCGCCACTCGAACCGAAATGTTTTTCATGACACGTGCTGAACCTCCCATCAAGCGAGCCGAGCGATGGAACCACTGGTTCAAAGCTGTTTGAGACTGTGTAAGACGGGTCAGACCAGATAACGCTACTCAATTTCCCGCTTAGCTCACTTACATTGGTAATTGCTCTTTTCAGGATCTTTATCTAGTGCAATATGATCGTCTTCTAAACCGATCCGCGAACCGTCATGGATGACAAAGTATGCGAAGCTAAATGCGTTGAAAGGGACGTATTCGCCTCCTGTTGTTTGGATAAAAGCATCAACATTCGCGCTATAACCCGTCATTGCACTGGCGATGGTCGGGTACACAAAGGTGAAAGTCATGGTGCACACCATGAAGACCATGGCTATCTTCGAATGTAGCCCGTGACGTCTCACGAAATCGCGGATCATACACAGGGTAGAAACGAAAAGGCCGCCGTTCGGGAGAAAAATCGTTCGATATGTCCCAAACGTGACAGGCGTGACTTCCATGGATGTTGTAACATACTGAGCGAAGACGCGCCAGGAGATATACGCGACGAGAGCTTGACCACCGCGGCCGACTAGCTTTGTAAAAGTCAGCTTCTTAAACGTCTCAAAATGCAGTATAGACAGGCTGCAGTGTGCCTAAACTCACGATGTCCCAGGCAATGTCTATAGTTTTCACCTCTGTGAAGTTCATATGCCCAAATCCCAATGTAATCTGGAAGAAGCCAGATTTGCTGAAGAATCGAAACTTCGATGGGTCCAGCGCAAAAGAATCGTCGGGTAAACAGGCTGGTTGAGATCCAGAATCAACGCTGGAAGTTGGCGCTATTAGTACAGCAAAGGCAAACAACAAGAGTGCAAGCCATGCTGCGAGAAGTATCCAAAGTGCACAGCGCCGCCATCTTCTGCGGATGTCTTTGGCCGCTTGTTGATGCGGTTGGCGCCAGAATGTTGTAAAGTGTGAGGGTGCTGTGCTGAAAGTGGATGAGAACTGGGATAGTTTCCGTATCATCGTGAGAGCGGAAAAGTGAACACGCAACTATCACAAACCATCACGCGCTCGGTTGTGCATGCGATACAAGAAGGAAGCCGTTAGTAACGAGGAAAGCAGGAACACGATAGAGATACGTGAAAGACTGCACGCCACCCTCAAGCCAGTAAAAGGCGGGGATACCGGGCGTAAGTCGCGAATTCGCTTTTGTGCTGGCTGCAGCACCGCCCCCTCGAATTGGGGGCCAGTTTCGAAGTTTACAGCATACTAGCTATCACAAAATGTTGCCGATCGAGTGGCGTAAATATGCAAGGCCACCAGTTTACGGATTACAGCCAAGGAAGCAGATCTGCTTGGATTTCGTGAATGAGTTTCCACATCGCGGTGATGGTGGGTGATGTTGGCGTTGTTGGAGTGGCGGTCCTACAAACTGTGCATCGTGCGTGGTAGGCATTGGTCTTAGCTCGTCCCGGTTTCCCGTGGTGCAAGCCTTGCAGATAGTACTCAGCCTTGCAAGAGATGGTGACAATAAGGCGGCTCGCCTTGTCGCAGGGTGGTTAGGCGTCCGGCGTCAACCTGCGGACCGTATCGCGACGCGAAGATAAACTTGGCGCGACCCTGGAGAAAGGGAAGGGAGCTGACATGACGCGGTGGCGCTAACGCCACCATCCTCTCCATCATCTGCTTCTCTTCCAAGTAACAAGGCATATGCGCGAAACACCATAGCGCAAGCAGCAATAGTCGCATAAGTATGTTTAAATTAGTTCTCATCGCCTATCTACGCTTAGCACACATGTCGGCGGTTCTCAAAGGATGATAGAGCAATATGCGTCTTTCTCGAGCGAGCTGGGCAGCATGGCAAAGCGCGCGCTAACATGATACAAAGGAGGTTCGCTTCTCTCTATATATGTCCAAGTAAACAATAGCCCAAAAAGCATTTCATAGGTTTTACGACAGCACAGGTAAACCTAACATTTATCAGGTACCTCTAGGGTAGGTTTTCTTCGCCTTCACCTCCAGCCTTAACCAAGGCTTGAGTCTTTGCTTTACACTCGTCTAGTTGATCTTCTGTCCGTATACATTTCGACGAGACAATACTCACCCACCAAACTCAGTGAGGAATCAATTTTGTTCCACAACAATATGGCGGAACAGGCGCGCGAGGAGTTCATGCGCACATTCAAGAGGTGAATCGATCATATATGTCAATCGAGCGCTTTTCCAGAAGACTAACACCATCGCAGCTTGCTTGAATCTGGCGACTACTCTGACTTTGCCATCACCTGTGGATCTGACACGTACAACGTCCATAAGAATGTGGTTTGCACTCGATCGGGGTTCTTCAAGGGCGCGGAGAGGTTCACTGCTAATCAAGTACGTCATACATAGCCTGCGAAGTTGCCTGTCTTCTCTGGAGTGTAACCTCGTACTAGAAAGATACCCTGAAGGCATCCGCTTTACCTTGTTCTACGATACTTGTAGAACATAGTAGGTGTCTACCTTGAGGGTACCTTCTCGACATGAGGCAACAAGCCAGAGAGAAAATAGCTCCTTTGCACGCACAATGCATTGAAACAAACTAACGCGCCTAGTAGGGAGCCGCAACTGCCAAAGCCGATCTCTCAGAGGAAGATTCAGTGATTGTAAAGCTACTTGTGCAGTACCTATATGAAGGCGAGTACGATACCAAACTAGCTGATATGACGCTTGACACAGCCCAACCACAGGTAAAGTGTGTGAAGCGAGGAGGGTATTCATACGATTTTCCACACACATGCCTCCCAGACTGTCCGGACAACTACAGAGTCTGCCATCATCATGAATGCCGCAGCACGACCTGTAGGGAGGCATGCGTCAACTTCGTATGCCTAGAGTGCTGCCCTGACTGGGCCTCTGGCACAGAATCAAAGTCAACATCCGACGCATCACAACTCCTCCTCAGCGCTGAAATGTACGAAATTGGCGACAAGTACGACGTGCTCGGATTGAAGAAGCTCGCTCTTAGCAAATTCTCCCTCTTATATGACGAGTACTGGGACGATGTGCTGTTTGCCCCGGCCGCTCACTTCGCCTTCTCCACCACACCCGAGAACGACAAAGGGCTCAGAGATATTGTCACCCAGACCATTGCAGATCATATGAACATGCTCAACTCGCCAGCGGTTGAAGCGCTACTCCACGAGTTCAACGGCCTGGCCGTGAGCTTACTCACCATGCGCGCGAAAGATTTGGGTTGGATCAAGACCTCTGGCTAGTGCACATGCATCATGAAAAAGATTTTATCTTTTACGAACGAACCATTGTTTTCTGAACTGTATTATCTTGCCAAAGAGATAGCTTGGATATTCTTGTCATAGGAAGGCCTTCATTCTCACCTTCACCTTGGATCTCATTGAATGCGTATGTCCGTGGTTAGCTTTCGTCTATCTCACTTTCCATAAACACGCTTTTCGTCAACGTGACACTTAGCAAAGCCAGATTAAAACTTTCCTGGACCTTTTCTCACAACCCTTGTTACAATCTCTTCTCCAACTCCAACGTCGTATCGAGAACACCTACTGCGATGGCTACTCCAGTGTCGAACGCTCATATGGCGATGATGAAGGAGTAAGTAAAAGCTCATTACCAAAAGGTACTTCCAATGTATACATAGCTCTTTTCCTGCTGGAATTGTAGCGCAGAAACCTGTGTATACCTTTACGGTATGCTGTAGTAATTGAGAGTATACTTCAGCCAGAACAAGCTTCGTACTAACCAACACTTAGGTTGTTAGCATCAGGCGACTACTCTGACTTCACAATCACTTGCGGCAGTGACACATACCGCGTCCACAAGAATATCGTCTGCAAGCGTTCTGGCTTCTTCGAGCGCGCTGAAAGGTTTCCGCGGCCTGTTGGCGAAGTACGTCCACTGTGAACTCTGCAGATGCGTTCGATATTAGTGCTAATGTGACAACAGGAAGCAAGTGAAGGCAAAGTCGATCTACCTCAAGACGAGCCGGAAATCGTACGACTGCTCGTTCAGTACCTCTATGAAAGTGATTACGAAGTGGATTCCGACGAGAAATACAAGCAGAAACAGAAGCAGGCACAGGCTGCCATAGACGAACTGCGGTCGCAACGCAGCCCCGGTGGCTGTGGTCACCTCTTGAATTTTCCTCATAAATGTGCTCAGGGTTGTCATTATCATAGCGTTTGGGTCTGCCCGCATCATCACTGCACCAATGACTGCTCTAGAAACTGCGTCAACTTCACGTGCGAGATCTGCGCCCCAATCCTCGAAGCAGGCAAGACCGACCCGAAGTTGTTGCTCGTACACTCCAAGATGTACACAATTGGCGACAAATACGATGTGGCAGGCCTGAAGGTGCTAGCATGCGAGAAGTTCTCCCTAGTTTGTGAGTCATTGTGGAATGAGGAAGCCTTCGTGCAAGCAGCAGAATATGTTCTCAGCAACACACCAGACAGTGATGTTAGTCTGCGAGACGTACTCTGCCAAATTATTGTATCGCACATCGAGCTGCTCAACAAGTCAGCCGTTGCAGATCTACTGGACAAGCATACCAAGTTCATGTTCAAGGTTCTCAGACATGTATCCGAAGCCAAGGCAGGCTTGAAGCGCTCCGCCTGAGTGTGAGGGAAAGGAGAGCAGACATTGGAGAATGGTTCCGAAGGCAATGTGCAGTATGGTATCACGACTGGATCGAAGCGGAGTCTCAGAAAACGAGCTTCCATCAGCAACATCACATAAAAACAACCAGAGAACGAAGAGCAAACATGGCGGAGGAAAGTTAGATCCATTCCAGATATCTAATCTACCTCACATTGCGTTCCATGTCATGAATGATTCCATAACGTACAGTCCATCAACTTGAGCCCAATGAGATAGGAGAAATATGCTCCTTGTAAAGAACCCAACGCCAGTACCGTACCCATCCCATTCCATATAGCAGTAGACCCTCTTGGGTTCATATTAACGATCATTACATGTCACATTTACTGGCTAGCGACGCGCTCCTTGACCTTCTCGAACATGGACTCCATCTCCTCAGCGATGAAGTCCTCGATCTCAGCCTCAAGGTGCTGGAGCTTGCCTCCGACGCGGTGGGCGTTGCGGCCGGCAGACTCCTTAGCCTTCTCGAAGTCATCCTCGATCTCGGAGAGAGAGGGGATGGTGATGCGGAACTCGGACTTCTCCTCGTTCTTCTCAGCAGCCTTCTTGACAGTGTAGCCACCCTTCTCAACGATCTCAGTGTAGTTGGAAGAGCCACCACCGTTCCAAGCGAGGATGTTCTTGGTGTTGCTTGGGACGTCAGAGAGAGCACCGACGGTAGCGACGGAGATGAGGTTAGCCTTGAGCTTCTTGGGGGTGATATCGGCGACGGCGTAGGCAGAGTCCTTGGCAGGCTGGAGAGACAGCATGTAGGCAAGGAGACCAGCAATGTGGGGCGAGGCCATGGAGGTACCAGAGATGGTGTTGGTGGCGTGCTCAGAGCCAATCCAGGTGGAAAGGATGTTGAGACCAGGGGCGAAGATGTCGTTGCACTTTCCGTAGTTGGAGAAGTACGCACGCTCATCAAGGAGAGTGGAGGCACCGACAGTGACGGCGTTCTCAGCAGCAGCTGGGGAGTAGTTGCAGGAGTCGGCGTTGTCGTTACCGGCAGCAACGGCAAAGTGGATACCAGCGTCAACAGCGGCGTTGACAGCGAGGTCAAGGGTGGTGGACTTGCCACCTCCCAAGCTCATGTTGGCAGCGCTGCCCTTGAAGCCCTTCTTCTTACCGTCCTTGGCGGCCTGGACGGTGTCAGAGTGCGCCTTAGCAGCGTACTCGACACCCTTGACGACGTCGGACATGGTGCCAGAGCCGTTGGAGCGGAGCACCTTGACGGCGTAGACGTGCGCCTTCTTGGCGACACCGTACTTCTTACCAGCAACAGTGCCGGAGCAGTGGGTGCCGTGGCCGTTGCCATCCTCGTCGGCATCGCCGTTGGGGATGGTCTTGCCCCACTTGGCACGACCCTCAAAGTCGACGTGCTTGGTGTTTGTGCCAGTGTCGATGACGTAAACGTCAACGCCCTCACCACCATCGGCGGCGTAGAGGTACTTGTTCCAGGTGCCGAAGCTCAGGGAGTCGCGGTGCGAGATACGAGCAAGACCCCAAGGGGAGTTCTTCTCGATCTCTGGTTCGTCGTGGCCGAGAGTGTGGACCTCTGAGTCGCGCTCGATGTAGTCGACCTATCAAGTTGTTAGCGCCAAGTCTTAT